GTGAGGAGATTTTCCAAGCAGAAAACATATTGAATACGATTAGTGAAGAGTTTAACGATTTATACATGTTAGAACGAGCCATGAAATCGAAAAATCCGCTCGTACTGAGGAGATGCCTTCAAAATGAAAACACTGCTCACAACTCTTCCGATAGACTACACACTCTTCGCCAGCAAGCCAATACGCTCTTGGATGAACTGGAACGTGAGTACCAACTTGTGGAGGATTTGGAATCACTTGTTCAAAGTAAGGACATGGATAAAATTCTTGACTTGAGAGAGAAATGCCAACATCTTCGACACATATCTGCGGAACAGGTGTTGAACGAGTGTGATAACTTGATCAGACAGTGTAATGAGAGCGTACTGTATGTACGTAATTATATTTCGGGCACATACTGTACAAAGAAAGAGCTGGAGGATTATTTGAGAAGTAAAACCATTTCCAAACAAGATAAGATGTTACTACGTCAGGAATGGACACGCAGCACAAGTAAGAAGATGATGGACGATCTGATTCACGATAGTCAGCTGTGCAACATCCTCAGCCTTCAGAAAACCATAGACCATACCAAAGATTTTCTTTCAGACATTGGAGAAGAACCTCATTTTGAAAATAAGGATATTTTATTAATCAAACTGCAACAAGCTCAAGAATTAATGACACAATTAGAGTCGTTGAAAAATGTACTGTCTACTGAGATATTGAATGATCAAAATTTGGAAAGTATCAAGAAGGCCATACAAAAGGCGTCCGAAATGAATTGCCTCGAAGAAGAACGTACAACAGCCCAAAACAGGGTCCAGTTATTCATGTATGCAAGACAAATACTTGACAATCCAAGACCTGTATTGAAAGATGTTGATAACATCTTGCAACAAGCGCACTCTTGGCAAACATTGGATGGCACGACGTGGAAATCACTTTGCTCGCTTAAGCAGCGGTTGACTGATGAAGAGCTGTTGAAGCAAGACATCGAAAAAGCATTGCACGACAAGGACATTTTTTCTCTTCAATATTGTCGTGAGAGAGGAAAATATTCTAACCTCTTGGAGGAGTATCGAAAGCAAATCGATCTGGTACTTGCACAGCAAAAACATGCCAAGGAAGACCTATTGGCCCTCACAAAACGATTTGTTGAATTGAAGCACATCGATGAAAAGGAGTATCTCAAGTTCAAAGATGTTCTTCCTGAGAAAGATATTAACGCACTAAAAGAGATGGCGTTGAAAATATGTCAGCAAAATCAAGAACAGGAACAATTAACGAATATCATGGAAAACGAAATTAAGGAACAAATTCAAGAGCATGAAAATCAATTGCAATCATTGAAAACCATCTTGGAAGAGAAGCAGCGAGAAAAGGAGTGTATTCTTGAGTCCAGCACGTCATTGGATCTCGAGATTCAACGGTTGAACCAAGAATGCGAATCTCTAAAACAAAAAGCATTGGAAGCCACTCTAAAAAGAAATCACATTGAGCAGCTGAAATTAGAAAATATACGCCTATTGCAAGAACAGCACGATAGAATTCGAGATACTGAACAACAATTAACACATCAAGAGGATGAAATTTTGGTTAATAGCAAACGTATTGAGGATCAAGTCATAAAAATCAGAGAGTACGAAAAAGAGCATGAGAACGTGCAAAAGCAAATGACGTCTCTGAAAGACGAATTTCTGTCAATTCAAGCTAATTTGGATATTGTCATAAAACAGCTTCAAAACGAGAAGTCTAGTATGGATATTCTTAGAGAGGAATTGAAGCACAAGGAGCTGGAGGTGATATCGCAGAAAAATGAAAAGAACACACTCATGGAATGTGTTGCACAATTACAAAAAACAAGTAACCGTTTGAATGAAGAATTGAGCAATCTCTTATTGGAAAAAGAAACCTTACGTAATGAGGAAATTAATACCAGGAAACAGTTAGAATCAATCCAAGCTATTTGTGCTATCCAATTACAAGATATTGACATGCTGAAAAATGAAATTAGAAGGTTGGAAAAAGAGAGGACAAACATGGACTTGGAGAAAGAGGCTTTGAATTTAGAGCTTAAAAACTGCTTTGAAAGTTTGTCTGCAATACAAAACTCCATGGAGCTACAGCGGCATCAACTGGAAGATTTGAGGGAAAAGACTCATGCTAGAAGCACAGAGTGTATGGAATTGGAAGCATTAATTCAACAAGAGCAGCTGGCTCTTAATGACAAGCAACTGTCACTGCAAGAACACTTGAAACAACGAGAGAAGCTAGAAGAATTACGAAACTCAGAGGAACAAAAGCTCACTGAAGAGATCAAGCTTTGTGAAATATTGCATCAAGAGGTGTTACAATTAGAACAGATTCGCAATGAAAAGGAAGAGCAGGCAAGGGTAAGACAACAAGAAAAGTACAACCTGGAGCAAGCGTTGAAATCCAATCTAGAAGAGAGATTTGAAGAGGAGAATGTACAAATCACTCACTTAAAGAACAATGTAAGAAACAAGAGGAGGAACGACTGTTCTTGGAGCAGTTTACTCAGAGACGAAATTCAACGGATTGAAAACCAGAAAATACTGAACGAAAAAGACTCTTAAAGACTTAAATAACCAAGCGTCTAGATTACAAGTAGATATTCATAACCAAACCGCTAAAATTAATGAGCTTCAACACTCCCTTACTCTCAAGAAAAAGAGGTATCAGTATTGGAAGAACGTCATGCAAAACTATTGGAACAGTTGACCAATCTCCAACAATTGATACAAAAAGAGGATGAAGAATTCAAAAACACTCAGGAAAGTATTTCTATGCAAAAAGAGTCTAATCAGAGTGTTATTCAAACACTCAAGAAGCAACTAGAGGAAGAAGAGAATTATTTGTATGAAGTAACAGATCTGATACAGAAAAAAGCCCAAGAAAATAGTGTGTTGAGAAATGAACTTACCCTTCTCAAAGAGCAGCATTTGGATTTAGAAACACTTCATAGAGAACAATTAGCGATCAAGGAAGAATATCAGAAACTTGACATTCTCAAACGTGAGCTAGCTCAAAAGGAGACAGAAAAGAACCAAATAGAAGTCGAGATGGAGTACATTTCTCAACAACGAAAGCAACTAGAAAGCATAAAGACAAAGGAAATGGAAGAGTTAAAACAATATCAAACACAACTATCGGACAAGCTGATTGCAGAAGAAATGAAAGTCAAACAATTGGAAGAAATGATTAAGACGAAAGAATCTCAGAAAGAGTTACAGACTGAAAAGCTCTACAAGAGAGAGACGGAATTGCTTTTGAATTGGAAAACAAATATAAGGAGCAGGAAGAAAAACTGAAATTGCTTGAAATTCAAGAGAAATGAAGCTACAAGATGAGGAAGACCGACTTGTCAGAATACAAGAAGCATTGAAACTTAAAGTGGCAGAAAGAGAAAATCTAGAGCTAGAACTAGCTCAGGAAACGAACAAGACATCACAATTATTAGAACAACAGCAACGAGATAACGCTGAAAAACAAGATCTTCTCCACAATTTATCTCAAACTCATCGCGTACTAGAAGAGCAACATGACCACATGACGACATCAATTAAGAGCTTGGAATTGGCCTTAAACCAAAAGCAACAAGAAAGGCATGATTTGGAAGAATTGTTGCGAAAAGAGCAATCCACACTTGAAGCAGAACGCAAGCAACTAACCGAATCAGAGCAGCAAAAGAGCGTACATCAAGAGAAGTTGAAAGCATTACAGCAAGAACATGCCACCCTTACATCTCTTATTAAAAAAGAAGAAACAGTGCTGAGAGTTGAGAAGGAGAATTTGAAGAGGCTGCAAAACGATATTCAAACTCTTCAGAGAAAACAATCTCAATTGGAGGAGGAAGTAAAACAACGGAAATCTATAATGACCAGCGAGGCAACAGAGCAAGCGAATGGTCACTTGACAGCAATTCTGAGAGAGTTCCAAATGATTCCAATGTCGAAGTCGTCACGACGAATAACGTCAAGATTACAGATGAATCTCCACAATCATCAACAGAAGTGACGACTGCATTCAAATCTCCATCAATGGTATCCGAAGAAAAGAGCGTGCCACCCGAAAAAAAGAAAGCCATTCTCCAAGTAAGGTCAACAAAAAGCCAACCCCAGCCCCAATTGAAATTATTGACTCACTTTTGACGGATCTTCACAAAAAAGGCATCAATGATGAATTTCCACAAGATGACAAGAAGCACTATATTCTACCTCTCAATTATGATCCTCTCATTGTGATGGTACAGCAATATGCATGCATTTTATGCGACAAGTGCATTATGGGAAAGGGAGATTTGTCTCGATTTTACCACATGGTATTTCCCAAGTTGTTAGAGAGCTTGGCTTCTCACATCAAATCCGAACAACATGACATGGAAGCGCAACAGAGGTACAAAAAACTTTTTACCAAATTGAGGCACGTTAAAAAAACCTTCTCTGAATTTGAACATGTGAAAACCTTGGAGGCCTCAAAGGAATATGCAACCTTGTCACTTCTCTTTATATTTTATGCATTTATTTATGGAGTATTTTCGAAAGAGTTTTGGGATTATTATTGTTCTGCCGTGGATTTTTTGAAGGAGCATTATGAAAGCTCATCAAGTCTCCTCATGAACGCGGATTCACGTGAGGATTTACTATTTTTGGTGAAGAAACAATCAAAATTCAAATGTATACTCTCTGATTTCGAGACTGTTGCGGACCATCAAAAGGAAGTTGCAGAGCTATTACTTGTGGATCATCATAATTGTCATCAATGCTTATCCATGCCTCCATTGGAAAGACTGAAAGGAGTACTCTATGAAATTCGGCAAGTTTGTTTCAGGAATAGTAGTAGTGGTGGTGATAGCATGAGTGGACAGAATTCTCAAGCCATATCTGAATTGCTTCAACTTAAATTTACTGCTAGCTTGTTATCTACATATGAGATTGGTTTCAGACAATTCAAATTCTTTGGTCGATATTTCTTTTGGGATTATTTAAAGTTTTATCTTGAAAAGGTTGCTACCAAGCAGAGCTCGAATGAAACCTCGACTTTGATTCAAGAATTGTATCAACATGCTAATGAGAGGCTGACTTTACTCGTATCCAAAGAACCAAATGATTTAAAGTTTGCCTTATTTGTGAGCATGGCTATCAATAAGAGAAAACTCGAAGAGATTTTCACACCTCTGTTTACCAATCCTCAAATAGCTGAATATTTTTCGGAGGACGCGATTGTACGCTCTGACAAGGTGAAAGATGTGCTTTGGGTGCTTGCTCAGATTGATTCTTTCACCACTCTACCAACCATCGACATTTCACAAATGAACAATATGCATTTTGATTATGCAAAGGGAGCTTGGATTGGAATGCAATAGTACTATATCATGCCAACAATCATTAAAAGTTAGATTCAAGATAAGAGCATAATTTATTCGTTGATATTTCTCTCAAGCAAAAAGTCACACAATTTCTTATCCATTTGACAAATGTGAGTTAATAACCAGTCAGTTAAGAAGTTGAATAAGTCTAATGAAAAGAGGAATGTAAACATAAAGAATTTAGCAAAAGAACATACCTTGACCAATATTATCCACTGTCATGTTAATAAAATCGGTTCTTAAATTGAAGATGGTCTTGACAAAAAGTTCATGTTTTTCTTTGTGAGCTTGTTCGTCCTCCTCCACATAGTGATACTTTTGCATCAGGTCTTCCTCCTTCTTAAAGTGAAAATCTGTATACTCTACCAAGTTGTCGAACACGCTTCCAATTTCATATCTCATGTGACCATCTTTTACGGCCTCTGCTAGTTCATTGATAAGCTTAACCAATACTTTATGTTGCTCATCAATAATATGAACTCCGAGAGCATAACCTGGTTTCCATGGCATGGCAATGTCGGCTCCGAATAATAAATCTGTTATGGTGTGTCATAGTTGATGAAAAATCTTATTAACAACAACACCTTACTTACCCTTATCTGAGTGGAAAACAAATTCTGGAATATCATCAATATTTGCTTTCTTGCGTCCAAGTAACGTGGTTTGAGGTCTAGGTTTCTCAACGGGTTCGGAAGACGAGCCGTTTTCCTCTCCGTTTGGCTGAGTGGTCGTTTCTGCTTTGCTTTGATCCATTGATTCGGTATTCTTTGGTTGTTCCTGTTTTGGATTTTCCTTAACTTGTTCTTTTGAGGGCTGCTTGGCAACTTCTACTGGCTTTTTGGAATCAGCCGAGTTCTTGTTATTTTCAGAGGCCTTTTGATCATTCATACTTTTATCCACACTACTCCTCACGCCATTGTTACGATTGTTCGCATTTGATGATTTATCAATACTCTTACGTGAGTCGGTGCTCTTTCGTACGTCTGTGTCCTTTTTCGTTGAGGACTTTCTTCCAACCGATAGTGCTGAACCCATTATTGGTGAGGATGGTTATATCTTATACGCGGAATGATTTATATTTACAGGAAACAAAATGATGATCTTATTCAGAACTCTTGAGAAACGGATTTTTTGGTCTAACTCTGATGAAGTTGTACAATTAAGAGAAAAGAAGCCTAATGTATTACTGATGATGATGATATCCAGTGGTTGAACAGAGATAATACTTGGGATTTTAGCCGAGCGATGATTCTCCCAAGTGTAACCGTCAAAGGTAACTGATGCAACAACAATTTTTTTTTGTAAGAGATTTTTTGTACTTGGCGCCAAAACGGTCCAAATCGTAACACTCTTCCGAAAGAGTCACCAAACCCTCAAATTTAGAAATGTATTATTCCATTACTCGAACTTGAACCATCAGGGTACCGACTGTCATTAGTGATCTGACCTTAACGATGAAGAGATTGGATCCGCGTGGGGATTGTTTCAACCTGAATCGGAGGGAATTTGAGGATTGGAATTTTATCTTTGAAATTCCGTCCTAAGGAAATTGCCTGGAATTTATGCGAAATTATTACATACGCAAAATACTCCTCTCATCAACTCCATGATGGAATGTGTTGATTTGTTCTCTCAACAATAAAAATCAAATAACGATGACGAACACGTCCTCCTCCTCATCGGATAGAGCTACATCAACAGAAGTATTATCAGTAGAACCACTCGACATGGGTTCATCCAATCATCATCATCATCAGGATCATCCTATTCATCCAACGATCGTTAGAGAAACTCGGTCCGATAGCTCTGCTTCCACGACATCATCCAGTAGTACCACCACTTCAACTACCCTCCTCTCTTCATCATTGGCCAATAAATCCTACTCGGATTTGGTCGTTATGGAATTGAATGGTGTTGTTTCTTCAACCACCGATAATGCTTCAAGTATACATCATCATCATGATGAAAAAGTTCATCATCATCTTCCAACTGCCAATATTATCATCCATTCTACTCAACCTCCCAACAATCAAGAGAATCAGGATTTCCCAAAAAAGAAAATGGAAGAAGGAGAACAACTCCTAAGCTCTCTCTCCAAAATTAGTACCACGAAACAAAAGCCTCACCTCGATAATCAATTTGCACATACTCAAGTGTGTGTTTGTCCTGAACCGTTGTGGTCACAGATCCGAGCCGATGTTGGTGTGATTATTGATAATGATCCTGGTGTGATATTTTGTGTGACAATATTTTGTCGTATGAAACCAATGGTTACCGAAAATGCACATGGCTTAATTAACAATTTCTTTTATTTAACATTAACAATTTCTTTTGGGATATTCTTTTCTAATTACACGAATATTTATCTCATTATTACAATATGCTCTTTATTTTATTGCACTATTGTATTTTCTTTTATATTTTCAACAATGAATTGTTGTGTTTAATGGAAATACTAAAATTGAAATGAATTCGAAAAATCCAATTACCCTTTCATTCATCAGGAGTGGTCATTGGAGAAACAGCAATTGTAGGAAATTATTGTACATTATATCAAGGCGTCACACTTGGCGGAACATCTACCACGAAAGGCAAAAGGCATCCAACCCTGGGTGACAATGTGCTTGTCGGCTCCGGTGCCAAAGTATTGGGAAATATTGTCATTGGGTCCAACGTAAAAATTGGTGCAGGCTCTGTGGTTGTCAAAGATGCTCCCAGTGATTGTACACTCGTGGGAGTTCCTGCAAGATGTATTAAGGATAAGAAGCCAACTGTAAATACCAACAACTCGAATAATGAGACTATGACTGCGACATTGTCAAATGGAGAGCAGACACTTCATACTGAAATGGATGCATCATCTTCTACAAGGATGGAGTCGGGAGCAAATTTGTCAACTATCTCCAATGGTGATCAACAACCCTCAATAGTAGAAAACCTTAATGATGGTTTGTTGAATGGGCACAACACCGCTGTAACAAGTACTTCCTCCTCATCTCAAGGTCATCATCCAAAGAATTTAAGTATTGACACCAAACATGCTCCACCTGCAACCACCACTGCAACGGATGAACAACACAAAAATTTCAACACAGGTGTCATGTCACCCACGACGGTCATTAATTTCATGTTAAATGCATTTACTAAACAACAAGAAAAGAAGAATATTGATGCAGGATCAACCGTCTACCAATACGACGATATTGATGCTCAAGCCATTCGTGCCTTATATTTGAGAGAGAAGAGATTGGAACAAGAACTTGAACGTTTAAAGAAAAAACTGAAATTAGCTGGTATTTTTGGAGACAGTAGTGAGGATGAGGAAGGAGGAGGAGACGAGAATCAGCAGAAGTCGAAACACTCCATCACATCCTTAAAGAAGAGTTCTAGAAAAAAACAAGTGGCCACTAGTAGTGCAAAGAATGACACGACCACAACTCTTGGTTCTAATAATGATGTTGCATTGACAGCTGAATTAGCACTCGTGCCATCCGACGCGTCTCGTGAACCATGGACCTCATCCTCAACACCAACAGGTGCATTGGTGGGTTCCAACAACAGTGGCGATTATATTCATCAAATTGCAGAAAACGAAGAAGAATGTTTTAAGGTCTTATTTGAAAGTACTGGTTCGGTGGAGCTCGTCGACGGTGGAGGTATTTAAGACGACACCATCTTGGTGCTCGTAGTACTAGATGAACTGACGAATATACGTATGTTTTGTTCATTGAGTTTCCAATACATGCATGATGTATTAAATTTACATTGTATCGAATGACAGTTTTCTCCAAAAGTGTTCTTCAACAGAGCATTATGGTGTGAGTGACATTTTAGGACAGTTTTGAGCATCGAGTGACCAATTACCCAGTTTAAAAAGAAATCATTATTATTGACACCAATTCAATGTTCATTGGAAAATGATGCAACCATATGTCATTGTCACACCCAACACAACCATCCAACCATCGTCATCTCTTGAAGAAATACCACACCATGAAATGAATCAAGACACACATCATCATGAGGAAATTTTGGAACACAAGACCATTCCCGAACAACCTCACGAAACAGCTGTACAAGGAACAGCCATGACCACGATGGGAGAATATGGACAACTCGATGCCGAAAGTTCGAAACCAGTGCTGCAGAGAAATCCTTACATTTCATTACTATTTCATAATAAGAGATTTATGATGATTTGGATGGCAGGAGTATTGTCTGGAATGGGAAATTATTTTTCGGAAATTGGTGAGTATTGGATATTGGGTTTTGATAGAAATACTAACCTGATGATCATGCATGACTTTAAAATTTCTATATTTGGTAAATGAAAATGTCACAGGTGTCATTTATGAAGTAGAGAATCGAGCAACCTTTGGTTTTGCCACAGGTGCCCTCTTCATTTCCATCTTTGCTCCATCCTGTCTCGCCATGCCTCTCGCCGGCGTTTGCAGCGATCTCTTCGATCGCAGAATTGTCTTGATCATTGCCAACATATTAAGAGGAATCGTCGCCTTCTGTCTTCCTTTCGGATTTCTCATTCAACATTTAGGAAATGGTCCCTTATTTGCCTTTTATTACATGGAAATGTTTTTCATGTTTTTCATCAATGCCTTTTACGATGCCTGTCGTGGTTGTTTATTACCACTCGTGGTCGATCATCATGATTTAATTGCATGCAATGCATTGGACAGTTTGACATGGTTGTTTTGCTCGTATGCAGGTGCTGCTTTGGGAGGATTGATTCGTGCTAGTTTTGGATTATTAACCGTCTATCTCATGAATGGAATGTTATTTGTGTTCGCTCTTGCCTTAACCATTGGATTGATGTGGTTTCCAGAGTTGAATCCTCCGAAACCTGCCAACACTCCGAAAGGTCTCGCTCTCGTACGACACAGTATTGTGGAATTATATCAAGGATTTAAATTGTTATTGGGAGGAAGAGGTTATTTATTGAGTTTTGCAGTAATGAAATTAATTGGAAGTTTTATTTGGGCGAGTGTGGAATTTATTAATGTGAAAATTTCAGAATTTCCAATCGTTACCATTGGGAACAGTCCTGAAAATACCAACACGATTGCGTATTGCTTATTTGGAGTAGGTTCAGGAATTGCTCCCATGTTGTGTGAATTGATTTTGGGAAATCGAATTCGAAGATCGTTGCGAAGTGCGTTTTGGTTACGTTTCGTCATTCTCATTTGTTTCTTATTCCTTCCATTAGGATTTTTATTAATGACCTTTACCATTCACGTGTCCATGTTCATGATTGGAAGTTTCATATTAGGATCTGCTGCTGGTGTCATTTGGGTGTACAGCATGTCTGCCATTGAACAATTAACACCAAATCATTTTTTGGGACGTGTCACGGCGTTTGACATTTGTTTTGGATTTGGAGCTGGACAAGCATTGGGTGTCATGGTCCCTTCTCCATTGTTGTATGATGTAATGGGGTTGAAACAACCACACTTGTTGGCATTGGTTATGTTTTGTTTGGGTTGGGTTGTTTTTGTGTGTTGGGTGATTTGGTTTTATTTGACACGAAATATTAATCAACATTATCATCAAGAAGTGATGCAGAGAGAGGTGCATTCGGGAAATGTGGTTAAGGATTTACCAAAGAGATAGGAATGGGGGGTTCATACAGCAATCTCGAGAAAAAACCTTAAATGTCAAGTGTCATCCGGTTAAGCGTGCGTATTAAAGAGTTGGACTTTGAGTTTCGGTAACTGCAAAGTTTTCATTTTAAAAACAATCCCAATTCATATTATCTATTTCAAAAAAAAACATACAAAGAGTTCCTCCATGTCTTCACCTCGCTCCATTCCACTCCTTTCGATTCAATTCATTCCATCTGACAAACGTCAACACATCAAACAAGGTTGGCTCGAAGCTTTTCACTCTCACCAACACTTACCTCGAAATTCTCCCCTTCGAGTCGTCAATGAAGATTGTGTGGAACGAAATAACAATGGATTTGCAAGTCATCCTCATCAAAATTATGAAATTTTCACATACATGTTGAGTGGAGAATTATCTCATTACGATTCCATGGGAAATGCACATCGGTGTCGTTTCGGAACGGTGCAATTTACCTCCGCCGGAAGCGGAATGTTTCACTCCGAAATGAACAAGCATCCGGAATGGGATTGTAAATTGTTACAAATTTGGGTCAAACCAAGAACGTTGAATACACCTCCTAGGTATCAGAAAATTGAATTTTCAAATGAAAAGAGGTTGAATCAACTCTGTCTCATGATTGTTCCAAAAGAATTAATTTCTTCCATTCAACAAGAGAATGACAATTTTCCAAATGAGGAAATTATTGGAATGGATCAAGATTTCTTTGCATTATCGAGTTTGTTACAATTCGGTCATCAAGTTCGACATGAACTGAGAGCTTGTCGAAGATTATTTATTCATGTTCCATTTTGGGGAAATAATGAAAAATTTCATTCGAAAGAAAAACTTCTTCAAATTATTATCAAGAAAGAGCTGAATGAATATTCTGAAAAAGAACAAGAAGAACCATTGATTGAACTTGGTCCTGGAGATTCATGTTTGCTCACGAATGAAAATGTTGCCTTGTTTGGAAAGTCGCTTGAAATTGTTTTCAAAACGAAAGAATTAATGGATCAAGCCTCTCGAGAAACGACAAATGCCATTGATTCCTTCTTGGAATTTGTCGTTTTCGATATGATTGTTCATTCCAATTCTTCTCATTAACCCAAACATTTGGAAAAACAATTTCAACCATTTGTGTGTGAAAATATTTCAAATTGTTTTTTTACTGAACTTGACACACTGAACATCAACAACAACATTAAACCTGAATCAATTCATTTCCTTGATCCATCTCATTTCCTCGATCATTGTTGCCAACCAAAACAGATCGATCATCCTTTCGATTATTTTCATCGACTGGTTGAGGTGCTATTCCAATAGCACTTCCTTTACCAGGTCGTCCCAATTTTGGTGGTCTTCCATGACCGTGATGGTCATGTTGACGATGTTTCGAATGAATGGTGTTGTAATGACCACTGACATGATCACTCAATTCATCAAAAACATCATGACTACCAAGAACGTTGTTGAAAATGCAAAGAGTGAACAATAGAAGGATTAATAAAGCTAAGAGTTGGAAGGAACGAACTTGCATTTTTTTTTTGTTTGAAACGTGTTGTGGATTGTAATGGTTTGATTACAATTATTCCTCGGCATAACGGCGCTGTTGGAAAAATGAGCTTGTTGATTAAAAGCTCGAAACTTGCTTTTCATTCGTATCCTTTACACCATTGAAGCTTGGCCCAATACACCATCATGAGTTTGCAAAATGGGATGATTTTCCTTGAATCTGAATTATTTAGCTCCAGGTCATGTCAAAAAAACAAATATCCAAATTCGTTTCGTTGATCGAAGGTTCAAATCCTGACAATGAAAAATTCAAGGTAAATTGTTGCCAGACAAACAACCGTTGTTTCCTCTGATTGTGGTTCGAAATTGCACTCCATAATGGAAGAATTTGGCTTTGAGGAAAATCAATGCTAAAGTGAACGTTTTATTGGCCTCCAAGCAAAATATTGGCAACGAAAGGATGAAAGAAATTATCAAAACAATCACCAGATACAACTATTAACTTATCAGTAGCGACTACAAGTTCCTTTTTTTCTTTGGTGGTTGTAATTTTTCCTTTTTCTATCATATCTCTTGTTGATTTGGATATTTTTTTGTTTGTGAAAATGATTACAAAAGTCTCAGAGTTTTCGAACGGTGTTTTAGCCGCATTTTCATAATACTCCACAATCTCGCCTGGTGAGAGCAAAGTTTTCTCCGAGTCTTCTTGTTGAAATTTGTTTTGCACAACAAAGACAATTCTTTTGCCTGTGTTAACATTGATTAAAGGACAAAATACTCCATCAATATCTTTATGATTCTTTTTCGTCTTTGCCAAATGATTCAGTGTGAGAAGTTCGTTATTTGCATTTCCGTTGCTGTCTGATATTTTTGAATCCAAGCAACAATACCTAAACCACTCATCATTAGTAGTTTCCAAAAGAATTCTTCCCATTTTTGCAAAGTGTGCGCCCTTAAACAACCTTGAAAAAGGTACAGTCGTTGATTTGTTGACAGTGTACAAAACATTAAATCTAGCCGTCATTGTTTTGATACACACTTCCTCAAATATTTCCCATCTGGGTTTTTTTGATGTTGCTGTAATGAAATCCGTCACGACCTGCTTTGGAATGCAATCCTTCTTTGTTGCCAAGATATCAATTACTACGAGAGGAAGCCCAACAAAGTCATTAGTGTCATATACCTTTCCTTCACGGATGTACTTGGTAATTCTGTCATCTTGTTCCGTTTCACTCAATCCAGATAATGTTCTCAGAGCCAATTCGACAAAGTAATCCGTTGGTTTTTGTAAATCACTTCCATATTGCCTTTGAACGGTGTTTGTTACGTTGTAATATATGCTGGATATTACAGTATCTTCATTGAAAATGTCTACCATATTTTGTAACTCTTGCTTCTTTACATCATAGCCTTCTAGAGCCCACTGTAAATGCCGAGGTACGACTCCAATGGCATTCCAAAACTCCCTATTTCTCTCGTACAGTGCTGACAGGCCCAAATCTTGCATAATCTCTTGGATATCTATCGATCTCAATGATGGAAGTGGCAATGTTGCGGGTGTATATTGTGTTGGTTCCATTTTCGCGTCATTTTCGTTCAAGGTTCCTGCAAAAGCAGGAAAGAGTAAAATTTGGTGTTGGAATTGCACATGTCTCATATACCATCCTAATTTGTGTTGGATTGTGGTGTGTAGTCCTGAAATATGTCTCGTAGCCAATTGATATTCATCAAAGGCCAATACTAATGGAATAATTTCAGTTGATTTGTATTGTTCATGGAGTTTCATTGATATTATTTTCAAAACTCCATAGAGTAGAGAATCATTAGCACTGGATGGCATTTTCTGAATGATATCCTCAATGTTCCCTTCAAATGCAGCATAGACAATTCTGGAAACAATCATTGGAATTGATGCTTTATCTCTTTCAGAATCATCCAATGAGAACCCTTTTGCAAATTCGGTAGTAAAAGGGAGTTTTACTGAGGTTTGTTGTAATCAATAAAAGTGGTTGGTTGACTAATTTTTTGAATTTTCACTTTCAAAAAAAAATTTACATTACTTGTGATATGGAACAATTATTATCAATTACTTCGAGAAAGGTGATAGAATCACTTTCTCTCAAAGAATTGAAAAGTACCCACCCTCCTCCCAATCCACCTCTGAAATAAACAAACATAGTTGTGGCTTTCCACAACTCCCTCACCTTTGGGTGGGATGCCTCATGTCTCAACTTGGGATGCCTTATTGCATTGCAATAGGATGCCTCACTTTAGTGGGATGCTCTTTGAACTGAATTCAGTCCAAAGGATGCCTTGGCCATTTGAGCTGGGATGCCTCAATACATTGGGATGCCTTATGATTTTAATCATGGGATGCCTTATTGCATCGCAATAGGATGCCTCACTTTAGTGGGATGCTCTTTGAACTGATTTCAGTCCAAAGGATGCCTCATGGTTTACCATGGGATGTTTAATCAGCGCACGCTTAATAATGTCATCCTGTATGAGACTGATGCATATGTTTGTTGCATCTATTTGTGTTGTACTCTTGCTGAATTACAGGATAGAAAAGGTAATGTAAATCTTATTTATTCAACTATTAGACATGCGCACGCACACGCGGCGAAGAATAAATAATCCGTTTTACCAACCATCTTTCTGTTGATTTACAACAAAGTTAAAATAAATAATCTGTGTGTTTTGGAAAATAGCATCCAGTTCTGTTGCTTTGCGCATAATGTTGGGTATTTCCGTTAAAATTCGTGATTTTCCACTTCCGCTTCCTCCTTTTGCAATGAAAAAGTTTAAACCTTGCTTATTCCCTCCTTTTTTGAAATTCAAATGTTCCTTTGCTACACTCACTACTAATTTGATTGTCTCTTCACGGTGTTTCATTTTAAAACTCATTTTATCCGTGGCTATCGGGGAAGGTTTTGTTAAATCTTTTAGAGTGTAGTTGTTCAATAAATCATCGAGAAATGCCTTCTCACTTTTGTGTAAGTTTTTGCTTTGAAGATATTTTTTGTCTAATTCATCTTCAGCGGCCATTTCTTCAATATTGTCTGGAGAGAATGAAGACGGTGTAGGAAAAGTGAATTTCTTAACTTGAATCTTGTCCTGTAGTAGAAATTGATTGACCCACTTGACAACTTTCGTGCACAAAGTGGTGTCAAGATTTTTCATGTTTTGGATAGCCACGAGTTCATCCTTGAATGAGGCTAAATCACTTGCAATGGTGTAGAGAGTTTTGCTATCTAATGAAGAAACTTGATCAAGACTCAAATCAGCGCCTCCTTTTGCAATTGGTTCGCCCAATTTTTGTATGATTTGTTTACTCACTGGCTCCAATTTCCATAGTGAATATTGTCTGGTCATTAATTGATCGAGCACCCAAAATACAACAGTTTGACAAGTGTCGGAGAGTTGAGGAAGAAAGAGCAAAGAAAAAGAAGAAGATTGCTTCTCATTGGCAGAGATTGGAAGTATTGAAAGACGTATCTACTGTTGATAAATTTGGAGACTTATTAAGGACTGCTTATTTGGAGCGTGGAATTAGTATTGAATTTCTCTCTCTCGATCAAGGAAAAACATACGCAACCCAAGAACATTACATGTTGTTATTTTTAAAACAATTCAATATGGAATGGAGCAAGATTGGTACTTTCTTTTTTGATAGATCCATCAACTCATTGAAGAAAAAGTACAAGAAATTGAAAAGAAAGATTAATCGTGCCAGATTGGAAGGAGCGTATGACGTTTCAGATGCAACAAATTTATTATTCAATGGAGTGTCGATGATTTAACCTTTTCAGAAATCACTGATATTAACACCTTTACCTCTACTATATCGATAACTTTTCCAGAAACATGGACCAATTCTGACCATTACCAGAAAATGATTATGAAACTTGGTCAATTAAGTCCATCCAAACCCTTACCGTTAAGACAAGCACAACCATCATCGAACAAGTCCAATGTATCAACGACTCCAGGAGAACCTTATTCACAGTCGGAAGAGGATTTAATTGTGACATCCTTGCGGAAGGGAATGAATTTGGAACAAATTTACCGAGATTACTTTACACACCGAACATTTCAGTCGCTGAAAAATAAGGTTCGACGGTTAAGAAAAAGGCAACTCTATCACAAACAACAACCATCGAAGAAGAGATTGAATAAGAGAAGGATGGTTCCCAATTCCACTGTTTCGACTGATTCAAAGGAGTTAAGAAAACCGTTTTGGCATGATGATACGGTTGATCGTTTGAACAAGATTTGTCCCGTGTCATGTTTTGCCAAGAATGGTACGAAAATACTGACCCAAAGTTGGTTTACCCTCTCCGTTCGCCAACGATGTCCATCCACAAAACCACCTCCGAGCAAGAAGGAATTGGTAGAAAAAGTGTGGAGTAAATCAGAAACTTGGAAAAAGACGCCATGTAAGTGTGGGAATTCCAAGTTTAAAAGGACAGTCTGCTCGTTCAACGGACGCAAGTTTGGGTCAGAAAAGAAGAAGCTTGTTCAGGAATTCAAGCAAGTATCTGCGTTGGAGGAGTCTTTAACAATGGTTCAAGAGAACGGAGTGAGTTCATCCACGACTGCTGAGAATGAAGTGAGTTCATCTGCGACTGCTGTGAACGAAGTGAATTCATCCACTACTGCAGAGAATGAAGTGAATTCATCTACGATTGCTGAGAATGGAGTCAATTCATCCACTACTGCTGAGAATGGAGTGAGTTCATCTATGACTGCTGAGAATGGAGTCAATTCATCCACTACTGCGGAATCAAAGGAAAAAGCTGATGACACTATTGAGAAATTGCTAAAACAAATTTACACCTCCTTCTCAATCTCAAACGAAGACAATTATTTTGTGAGAACAAAGAAAGTGAGATTGAAACTCACCTCAGAACAAAAGAAGGTCTTTGAAAGATTTTTCTTCAATTCTAACCATGCTTATAACGAAGCATGTCTCCTTCATTTCATGTTAGAGCAAAACAAGGGAAAAACACTCCTTACCACCACAGAAGACGATTACTTTAAAATTTTGAAGAATCCCCAAACCAACCTGAGATTCAAACAAACTAGGTGGCTATGGGATCAAGAGTTGAAACATTGTCCAGCAGATATTAAATTGAACGCTGTGAAGGATTTTGTCAAGGCTGAGAAAATTACTAGATATAACAATAAGCAAGCAGCAGAAAAGGAATCCAAAGAGGCTGCTCGAAAGGCCAAAAACCAATTTTTTAAAGATGTTCAAAAAGGAAAGAAGGAGATGATTACTGATGAGGAAATGAACGAAAGATTTAATCCCAAACATTTTACTCGACAACCTCGTGAATTCGAAATGAAAGGACGAAGCAATCAACATCCATATCAATCGTTCAAGGTGACAAACATTTCATTATCACAGGAAGGAGTGTTGTTAAAACCTACCTTTTTTAAAGGGAATGAAAATGCATGTCCTTCCAAGAAATCTACGGATCATCTTTTGAAATTTTATTATCCTGCAAGAGCACGAAAGTGGTTAAAGGAAGAGATTGGTATGTATATATATGTATTTCGATTTTACTTACATGTGATTTGAATCTCTTACATGAATGTGATTGATTCATGTGATTGGAACTTTTCTGAATTCTAATTTTTCCATGATCCGTCTGCCCATTGCCTACCCAAACCTCAAGACAACAAAAAATTTTCACACGAGACAACCTTTATACGAGAAAGAGGAAGATATTTTGTTTGCCTTCCAGTCCGTTATCACAAAGCTTTAACTCGACAAGAATACCAACGGTTTGATAAAAGCTTTTACGAGTCCAATTCGAACAGTGGAATTGAATATGACACGAAATTTCTCAAGGACTGCCCACAACCTTCTCAAAATGAACTCAGAAAGGAATACATTGCATTGGATCCAGGTGTTCGATGCTTCATGTATGGTTATGATAGTAATGGAGACGCGTTGGAGTTTGCCGCTCAAGGAGAAAACACCATACTCTTTTCCCTTTCTCTAAAGCAAGATCAGCTCAGGTCTGAAATTGCCAAGAACAAATTTCTAAAATACAATTCTCGGCAGGAACGAAAATTTTATAAGGGTTTAAGAAAAGCCTTAAAAAAGAAGATTAGAAGGTTGGAAAGCAAAATTAGAAATAAGGTGAATGATATGCATAACAAAATTATTGACTATTTAACTTTCCACTATTCTGAAATTATAATACCTGAATTTAATGTCAAGGCCATGATTGCTAGAAAACAAAAACAAAGGAAGCGTCAAGGAAAAGAAGATACCACGTGTCAAGGACAAGAAGGTTATACTAATGGCCAAACGGAGAATATGGATGTGCGAACAGAACCTCTTGTTGCATCGTCTTCACCATTCGAAGGATGGGAATCAAGGGACACCACTACGAGTGAAACCACCACCAACACCTCCGAATGGGTTGGAAGAAAAATTACTAGAAAAACTGTTCGCCAAATGTTGCGATTTAGACACTATGATTTTCGAATGAAACTCTTGCAAAAGGCAGAAATGCGTGGATGCAAGGTACATGTTGTCACAGAACAATATACATCGAAAACGTGTGGAAATTGTTCAGTGATCAAGGAAGACCTTTATGGAAGCAAATGGTTTCATTGCAATCATTGTCACTTCCACATCCCTCGTGACGGTAATGGAGCAAGAAATATTTTGATCAAGAATTACCATCATTTATTACATTGGTAAGTTGAAGAGACAACTAAAATGATTCATCATTCGGGCCATAGATCTATATAATAATAACTATGTGATTATCATTCTGTCAAGATGATAATTCCGTCTCTCGTGTGAGAGATGAGTATGTGATCGGAGCACTTTAAAACACCAAAAAATCATTGTTATCATTGATGGAGTATGGTGTGCTCTCCGAGTAAGTGTTGTTGTTGTTCATTATTTTTAACGCGTGTGACTTTTTAATTTTGTAAAGACATAATAAGATTAGGTTCGACATGCGTATTGAGATTTTCATCAGATAAAAACTTTGAAAATTATTTTCTAATTGAGTAGAATAGATGAAGACATAGTTGAAAGGCTCTCATATTGAAACAACTCATCCGTTCAACATTCTCAATTTTAAAAATTATTTCATTCATTCTCTAGTGGAATAGATGAGAAGGAGACTTGTTGTTGGTTGTTTGTGTGTTGTTTGAGGTCGTGTGACAGATTCCTTCCGCTGATTCTACTATTTAAAAAATCTTTGTTTGGAAATTTTGTCGTGGCACAAGTGTGGTGGAGGCCAGTTGTATCTAGCAAATAAATAAACAGTTTACCTGATAAAGAACACACAAATAGATAGATCATTGCCTTGTCCATTTCATAGCTACCTAAAAAGAACATGGGAATGCTTGGTATCAATGCCTTAGCAACAACCGTGACAACTGACAGTTAGTTATTTTATGCCTCAATCCGACTCATGATCTCTTTCTGTAACATCAAACCAACTCTCACCAGCATTATAGGAAGGAAAGTCAGGAGAAAGATCTATACTCACTTGATCTTGTTGTGACAATGTAGAAGTTCCATTTTTCTTTGGTTTTCGACTTCGTGTCTTCTTTTTTGTTGTCGTTTGAGTTTGTGAATTTGAATTGGTTATTCCACTTCCATTCGATGCTGTAGGAATCGATTGGTTGACACTTCCAGATGAAATTGACATTGTTTGATTATTAGTATTTGTGTTATCTGATTCAAAATGTCCGTTACTAGTCATGCTGCTCATTGATGTTGCGTGATTGTCACGATGACTCAAAGTAGTGGATCTTTCATGATACGATGACGACACATTTCTAGCTGGAATTTGGTTGGATTCACTATTTTGTTGAGTTGAAATTGGTGGTGGAAGGAGTGTATTTCGTTTAAATGTCGATGTTGAATTTGATAAATTTCTTGGTCGAGAAGGAATATTATTGCCAACAACCACCACTGGTGAAATGGTTGTGGGTGGAGGTGGAGGTGGAATCATACCATATTCCAAATTATAAGGCATTGAAAAATTGGTTTGTCTTGGAGAAACGGGTACGGTTGGAATTTGATGAAGATTGCCATTATTGTTGTTGACATTGTTCGGATAGGAAATATTCGAATTGGATTGATTCGAAGAGGATGAAGAGTTTGGATTAGCCATGTTGTTGTTACCACCACTACTCGTGTTCGTGGTATTCGTACTTGACGGAATTCGTTGTTGCATTTGATTGTGCATGGAAATTGCGACTGCAGCCGGATGTCGAAATCCATAATAGGGATTCGAAAGCATTAGGGTAAGATTGGACAGATTGGCAGAGAGTGATTTTAGACTATCCTTAATACCGTCACAGGTGTTGGTAAGATTTCCCACCGATTGGATAATGTTATTGGCTGTCTCTGTGAAATAGGCTGTGGAGGAAGACGAAGTGTCGACGGGCAGTATGGTACCCGAAGAGGATGAAACAGATCGTTGATGTAAATAGGGAGGAGAAGTCGTACTGGTGGTCGAATGATGACTGTCAACATGTGACTCAACATTCGATGGTTGTGCATGTGAAGGAATTTGTTGTGAGGAAGTATTTTCATGAGGAGGAGTGTACATGTACGAAGTGGGAATCAATTTCGCAGCTGCAAGAATTTTCTTTCGAGGTCCAAATTTTGAAATTCCCAATTTGAACAAGTCGGCATCTGTAAGAAGTGGTATACATTCCAAGTCAATCTCTTCCTGTAGAAAAATGCTTGCATAGCGACCAAGTCCAAGATTGACCAGCCAATTCGTCACCTCTTTGACTTCCTTACTACCAAATATTTGATCTCCATTGCCAGTACTGAGAGTTTTCCGTTTGGAGCTGCTTCTCTTTCGTCGTGTAGTTTTTGTTTTGGTCAGTGTCACGTCTGTGCCTTCAGTCGATGGTAAATGTGAATTGGTAGTGGTATCATTGGCGGTGCTGCCAATCGTGTCGCTGCGTTGCTTCTCTTCTGGTCCTCCTTCTATTTTCACATCGCTTCTAAGTTCGAGATAGCTTTGTGAAATTTTGTCCAAATATTGCGAAAAACATTGACCTTTCGAGTACTCGACTGTGTCACTGGTCAATAGCTCGTCATCGGATTCGTAGCCATAGGTTTCATAAATTCCCAGCTTTTCAAATGCAGCCTTAATGTCAAACAAGTAGAGTTCTTTAAATCGATGATTACCTCCACCACCTCCAAAAACATACAAATAATTGTTATCGATGAGACATGTCGTATGGGCACATCTTGCTTTTGGACTCTTAAATTCAATTCTTCGTGCTTTGTGTGACTGTAAATCAAGTACGTATAAATCTTCAAAATATTTAGTGTCATCTCCTCCCCACAATATGATTAGATATCGTCCTAAAATGATGTTAGCTGTGTGAGCAGCTCGAGGTGCCAGAAATGGTCCAGGGTCTGGCAATTCAATTCTCGTCCAAACAAAGCTCGTCAAGTCAAGCATGTACAAATCATTGAGCATGCTCGTTTTAAATACGCCACCAAAGACGTACATCTTTCCAGAGTGTACACAAGCAGAGTGACCCCATCGAGCAGAGGGCTTGTTTTCAGATTCAGGTGGTTGGCTCCACTCCATCTCGTTCACATCTAACACCCAAATATCATCAAAAATTCTATTTTTTCCTCCTCCACCATACAAGATTACTCGTGAGCTATCCTCTGTCACAACTGCTGTGTGCCTGCTTCGTGGAGCAGGGTAAATTTCCTTCATGGTAAAATTTAAGGAATCAAGTTGTTCATGATGAGAGGGATTTCCAAAGCCAATCAAGTCTTCCTTAGTTCCTGATTGATTTGCACGAATGAATTGCTCCACTACTTTTGATGAGACGAGTGGATTTTTGTTTTCATCTCCATCACCATTTTCTATAGCTCCACTTGAATTATTCTTATTATTAGCAATTTCTTCTTGCAGTTTGTGAAATTCTTCCTCTGTTAAAATAATGTCATCATCTGAAATGTAGACTCGAACACGACTCGATACTTTTGGTCGAGTCCAACGAAACATGTTGCAACACTGTATCGATGTCTCGGTCGTTGAAAGTAACTGCAACTCCTTTTTAAACTCATCATCATTCTCTGTTACAATTTCCATCACAACTAAATCAGACAAGTAATGCATTCCATTACCTCCTCCAATAAACAAAAGTCTACCCTTGTTTTCCGACAAGACAGTAATAGAATGTCCAGATCTTGGACTCGGTGTGCTTCCAAAAGTTTTTACAGGCTGTTTCCATGTATTTGTGACTGCATCAAATAAATGTACATCGTTAAGCATGTTGGCACCATCAAATCCTCCATGAATCATCAAAGTAGGATGATTCGAGTTGATATTGGGATGTTTCAACATGACACTACAATGCCCCCATCTTGCAGAGGGTGATGTTCCTGATGATGGACTTGGTATGGACCACAAACGTCGTCGTCGGACATTGTTACTGCAGGTCGTGGCTGATGAGGCTTGATCGGATTGATCTGCTAAAATATATTCTTCTTCCTCTTCTTCTGTATATTCTGAATTTATCATCAGTTGTTGTTGAGGATTTGGGTGGTTGATTTATATATTTACAAAAGTGTCGTTTGTTTCGGAAATAGATTTTGGTAATAATAATCAGTTAAGAATGATGGTGGGAATATATGTGATGGTAATATTGATTATTGAAAGTTTGATGTGTTTGATGATAAGAGTATTATTCAATTCTCTCTTTGAAAATTTGATGATGATGATGTTTACAAATCAAAATCTCCACTACTAGTCGTAACCCGATGATGATCAACTATTCTCGAAAAAAAGAGTACCCAATGAGTATGGATACTCTTTTTGTTGCTGAGTTGTTGTTGTTAATGATGATGTACACCTCTCCAGAGGATTCACAGTGTTCGTTCACACTTATGGAGAGAGAAAGGATTCGGGTTGTTTTTTTGGGGTTTCTTGCAATCAAGCAGACTCCAAGATTACAAAAAATTGATGATGGATGAACAACTTCCAAAAGACAAGACCTAACGTAACGACTGAACGTTGTAATATTCAAGGATTTTCTTTGAATGATGAAGAACAAGTTGAATGAAATTTCAAATGAGACAATTTCAGTAACGTTGAAATGTTGAAGAGTTTCAAATAACAACGGTCTTTTTTAATCTAGGAATCGTGATTCAACGGTTCTTAAACCATGGCTAATTGTGTACAATTTTGTCTATCTCACAACCTCATTCAAAACCAATTCTTACAGTGATGAAATTTCAGCATGACAATACTCAGACTGTTTTGGAACAAAATTGATACATTAATAAAGTCAGATGACAAAATATGTAGAAAATCCCTCAAACACCAATCCTTTTCCAAAGGATGGATGTTTGGCGAGTTTCAAACCCATTAGTTTCCTTTAATTATTTCCAAACTCTTGTTGTTGTGCAATGTAGAAACATTGAAAATCAAAATGATCATTTATTAATATGATTCATCTTCATTGTCACTCTCGTCCTCTTCTTCCTCATCCTCTTCCTGTTCTTGTTCTTCAGAAATTCGATTTTTTTCTACTCTTTCCAACACTTGTTTCACCCGATCACTATTAAATCCATACGGAACTCCACATTCAAGACACATATACATCATGACACCATCCGAATCACAAATGGAAGGTAATTCTGGTAAATAACCTTCAATTTTTCTTCCACTGGGAAAGATCAATTCGCCACCATCATGACTTCGAGCACCAATGTAAAAGAATTCGGAATGGCCACACTTTTCACACACTCGGTCTTGTTGAAATTCCTTCTTTCGTTTTAAATCACGTTTTTCAGCCAATTGTTGTTTTCGTTTTTTGAGATTTTCGACTTCTTCTTTTGGTAAAATGTTTGTGATTTCTTTTTGAATGGTTTCTTGAATGAGAGAGATGGAAAGAGGAGTTGTTGAATTGGATGATGTTGTCAATGGATACAAAGAGACATCATGGAGGAAATCCTTTTTAGGAAGACCCAATCGTTCACAAGTTTCCACATATTTGGTGTGAATGGTTTTCAAGTCCGAATTGTAATAGGATTGAACGAGATGATCCAAACGTTGTTGTTGTTGTTGCGAAGACATTTTTTTTTGATTTTGTGAAAGAATGAATTGGAATTATCTCGAAAAATGAAGGTTACATGATGTGACTTTCCATTAACACTGTGTTTTCATTGGAAAAATGCAAAGAGGCATGATAACACTCTTTGGACATATTCCTTTCAACTAAAACCTGTTTTCAATGGCCCAGACAACGGTCTGTTGAAACTTGACAATGATTCATATACAACAAGAACATGCGTCCAAACTAACTGTTTATTCTTTTAATGGGTATGTTCAAGATGTGTTTAACAACAATGTGAGCAAACATTGGTATTATCTCAGATTAAATCCTTAATATTTCGATGAGCAAGGTTAATAAATTTTCAATCAATTTCAATTTTTTTTTAAATTCAAAAACACAAAAAAAAATGCGACCAAAGAGTTACAACCCTCTCGATCCGATTCTTCAAATTCAACCCGAAGCCGGACAAGAAAGCCTTCAAATGAAGGAGATTTTGGTTCGGGGTGTGGAACGTACTAATGAATCCAAATTGAAGAATGCGTTTGAAGCAACAACCAGAGCTAAAAATTTAAATGAATTGAATGAAGCCATCAGTGTTGGCTTGGAAAGATGTAGTAAATTGGATGTATTGAATAATTTGAATGTTATTCTTGATACGGATGAGAACAAAAATGTTGTACTCGTTTTGGACTGTAAGGAGAAGCAATCAACACGTTTTTCCGTCGGTTCTACGGTCAATGACAAGGGTCAAGTGAAGGGAGAGGTTTCAGTCGGATATAGAAACTTGTTGGGAGTAGCTGATAGGTGGGATGTTGATGCTAATTTTGATAAGAGTGGCTTGACTTTTGTGAGCCGTGCTTTCTTTCCACAAAGTTTCAATAATGATGGTGCTCTTTATTTGAGCGGATACTTGCTCGGAAGTAGAAGAATTACAAATCTCTTGCAGGAGAAATCGAATGGTGTTTCGGTCCGAGCTGAAATCAATGATAGACATACCATTTCCTATGATTTTGAGTTGAGAAGAAATGAAGATGTGAGTGCCATCTTCAGAAAGGCATCATCATCGGGCTCCTTCAATCGATTCTTTTCTTCATTTTTCAATAGTAAGACCCAAGAGTCGGAACCTGTCCTCGACCAAGAAGATTCCCATGTGAAGAGTCAAGTTTGGACCGAAGTGAGAGAACACAGTGTCAAATCATCACTCAGCCACATTTATCGTTACGATACAAGAGATTCTGCTGCCACGCCATCACAAGGAGCCTTCTTTAAATTAGTTCATCGATTGGCAGGATTGGGAGGTGACGTGAAACATTACTCGGTCGACATGAACGGTGAAGTGTTTGTTCCTCTCATTTCTGATACCCTTACTGCTGCTTTAAAACTCAATGTTGGTACCATTATTCCTCTCGATCGACAGAATGATACATTCATCTCGCTCAATGATCGATTTGTGGAGAATGTTCGTGGATTCCCTGCCGTAGGTTTGGTTCATCCACGATCTGAGGAAGTATATGGAGGAAATGTTAAGGCTCTCGCAACTGGAAGATTAATTTTCCCATTCCCAATTTCATTCCTTCATCAATTACTTGGCTTGCATTGTCAAGCATTCTTTGATGCTGGTCATGTGGCGAATATGAACGATTACAGCGAAAAGGGCATGCAAGAATTTAAGGAAAAATTCTCAAAGGGTCTCCACACGAGTGTTGGTTTTGGACTTGCCATGATGCTGAGCTTTGGTAGAATTGAATTCAATTTTGCCAAGCCATCGACAATCTTCAATGACCAAAACAATTTACCTCCCACTCTTCAAAACTTTAAACAATTTTCAGTCAACTTTGTTTACAACGAATAAGAGTTGATCATTGGATTAAATGGGATTGTTGAAATATTTCAAAGGATGATCATTTCTTGTGTCTTTTTCTGTTTGTTTTACATCCACAAAGATTCCCTCAACTTAATGATCGATCCACACAAATGAGGTCTTTTCTATTTTCCGTTGTTTTACATCCACAATTCCATCAACTTACCTTATCTAAACATTGTATCTGGACTGAACTATTTACAATAATGAAAACCACGTGGAACCATTGTTTTCACACTGCCTCGTTTGATGTGTCCATAGCCACATAACACATGACGAGTTCACAACCAACCAAGTTCGTTCTTCGAAAAAAATGTCCAGTAAGCAATCTTCCTCCGACAATGCCTCCCCATCACCTCAAGATCTTCTCAAACTCTCCAAAATTCCAGGCAATGAATCATGTGCCGATTGCCAAGTTCCAAAACCTCAATGGGTGGATGTAGCACAAGGAGTGTTTATTTGTATTCAATGTGCTGGAATACGTCGTTCCAACATATCGGTTACGATTTGTCGAGTCAAATCATTGAATTTGGATCGTTGGAATCAAGCCGAATATCAACATGTATCATCTCTTGGAAATTTAATAGTGAACAGACGGTTAGAAGCAAAGCTAGACTCGGAAACGAAATCACAATTTGTTCATAGTGGAAACTCAAAATTAATGGAAACGTTTATTGTGAGTAAATATGTGCATCGGGTGTGGGCACAAGATGATCGTAACACCAAATCGGAACATGATGAAGATCCAATAATGAGTGATGATCGTGATCATATAATTACTACACGTGATCAAATGATTACACCTTCTGGTCATCATCATCAACCAATGATCAATTTTCTTCATTATTGAATAGAAAATTAATTTTCAATTTTAGAGAAATGGACTCGACTCAGGGAAAGGTCCAACAACAACCATCGAATGAATCTAGTCCAAGATGCTACACCGAAAAACGAACACGTAAAACATTATCACTTCCGTCAGATCCATACAAGAACTGGACCTTTTCCATGAATGAGAAATTTGTTTGTTTATTGAAAAAGCAGAACCAGGATGGTATGGACGCATCACAGGATTACATTCAATATAACATACGAACAGGAGATGTATTGAAAAAACAAGTTTCATCAAGTGTAAGATTAATCTCGTGCAACAAGGATGGGAAATATGAATTTCACTTATCGTCGCAACACTTACAAGTATTTAATTCTCGTAATTCAACGATGGAAAAGGAAATATTTATTTCGAGTAATTCCATAGAATTTGCAAAATGGATCAATGCTCACACAATTGCTTTTGTAACATGCAGTACTAGTTATCATTCGATCGGTGAGAGATGCGTTTATCATTGCAAAAAAGTAGTATCAACAGACAAAAAGACGCAATGGAACATGGAAAAGATCTTTGAATTTTCAAACCAGCCAATAGAAAAAAAAGTCATCGATATGGGAATGAACATTTCGGAAGATCAACACTATGTCAAGTTATTGAATACGGATTTCAAAGCGTGCACATGCGTATTATATTCAAGAACTTCTAAAAATGTGACATTTAAAGAATTGGGTGACGGTTGTTTTGGAGCAAAGATTTGGTATTCTTCTCAAGATGACAAGAATAGTGAGATCCGCCAACAAACTTCAATGTTTATTGCCGAGTGTGGCTCGAAATGGACATGCTATCAAGCAGGAGGATCAAAAGAGTTTACATCGAGTCGAGCACAAGTATATCCTGTCACTCTCATTGTGAATGAAGAATTAGGAATATTTTCCAGTTTGGATAGCTCTGGAACTTGGAGCTGCTTTGACCTATATGAGTGCCAGAGATTTCACAAAGACAGAATTCCACATATATTTAAACATGTGGTTTCAATAGAGAATGGTTTTCTTTGTTTGGACTCGTCTTTGAAATTATTTAAGTTTACATTTAATGTTGAGTATTTGAGGCTAAATTATGCAAATGATGACAGGCAAAAATTTAATCCATGGAAGAGAATACTTTATGAATACAAACCACAGAAAGAAATGGAAACTTGTATTGAACCCATTTGTCGATTGAAAATATTTCCGAGAGATGAACATCAAAATGGGAGAATTACATGCGTCAATGCTGTAATTGCAAAGTATTATCCACAACTGTGGAATAACGTCATCAAAACAGATCTTGATTCTCAATTCCTATCACAGCAAGAATTATTGGTACTGAATGAGTGTCTCGCTTGCCTAATGTATGGAAAATCAAAATTTGAAAGCAGAGATTTATTTTCACTGGCATGTATTTTACATTATTGCCACTCAGAATTTCCAGAATTGACTACACTCGTTGAAGCATCCTTTGCAGAAAGCATTTCGATGGACAATGTATTTTCATTGATAGCGAGCATTAGACACTTTTTAATAGTTCATCCAGATAGCATTCTATTGAGGAAATATCTACAAAAATGTCACGATTTTTTACAAGAATGCGAAAATGATGAAAATAGAGATCAATTTGGTCCGTACTTACATGCACTTGATGAATATTTTAATAGTAGCAACACATCATTTAATTTGTTGGATCAACAGCAACAAGGTTGTTGTTGTATTATCCAGCATCCACCTAAACTCTCTGGCCTCACTCCCCTTTTCAATGATCCTGAATTGAGTGATGTTAAGGTCAATGTATTTGGTCAAGTCTTTCATCTTCACAGATCTATTCTTTCCAATGCAAGCACATTTTTCGAGGTTTTACTTAACGAAGAGTCTCCATTTAGTGACGTCTCCAATGACGACGTTTTAATTTTGCAAGATCCTTGGAGTGAAAATCAATTGAACTCTATAGAACAACAAGGAATATCTAATGAGGATCAACAACAGATTGCCCTTCAAGTCAAATCAACTGCCTTAATTGTTTTACTCAAATATTGCTATGGAATGACAGATCAATTATTATTATCAGACAAAGAAAATTCCAAAACACAAAAACATGTGTCATCAACCAATGTTCATGACATATTTGACAACAATGACGACTTTTTTTGGAATGACGAACGAGTTACAACTGAACCTCTAGAAAACAACACCAACAACCAATCACAACAACATGCGGAAACCACTCATTTAGAACCTTCTCATTTACTCACTCTCTATACCTATGCCAATTTCTATCAAATTCCTTCACTCAAGCAGCACGTCACGCAATTATTCAAGCAACAATTAAGCGTCAACAATTTTATACAAGCCTGTTACTGGTTCACAATCTATCAATTGCAGCAATATGAACATTTACTTGAAGATATTCTTGAATTTGGGACGAGGCATGCACGAGAAATTTTTGAAAAGTATTCAGATGAAGAATTGGAACCTTATGGATTCATCTTGACACGACTGGCAAGAAGATTGGCCACACGTATTCCTTTACAATCTAAAGAAGACGAATTGTGGCAATGAATGGTCCATTATTTCATATTGTCATATTTTAAAATATATTTAATATTTAAAATATGTAAAAAAATATTATTGCGAAAGCTTACAAAAAAAATGCACAAATTCATCATTCGTAAAAATTTCAATTCCACTCTCACCAACCACACCACAAATACTGGAGGTGGTATTTTCTTACATCATCTTTCCGATCTACATATATGGCAACCAGAAAAATTTCATCAACCGATTACTGTGTATTCTCTCTTTCGGAACAGCTCTTTCCAAGATTGGAAACAAATTCAAGGCTATCTAAATATAAAACATAATCGAGGACCAAATTTGTATCAATATTCATGTTTGAAAAAAGCTTTACAAGAAATTGGTGTACGATGTAAGAATGATGAATATTCTCATTTAGTGATTACAGGAGATGTAACGAATATTTCTCATCCGGAAGAGTTTGAACTGGCAAGAAACATGTTGAATGAATATTTTGTGGAAACTATTAGAAATGGAGAAGAATTTAATGAGAATTTGTTGTATGAATATTGTAGTATCATTCCAGGTGAGTATTTTTTAATTGACTTCTAAAATTGGAAAAATGTGAATTTAAATATTTAATAATTTTAATATTTATTTTTTTTGTTAAATAATTATAATGATAATAATATGATCATTCACTACGCATAGGAAATCATGATGCCTATACTCCATCAAGTGTCACAAATAACTATTTTGGTCACTATTTTGGAAATACTTTAGGTCTCTACAATGCCATGTTGACCTCTGACCCACAACAAGATCCTCTTTCAGCATTTTCCCAGAATGCACATCATTCAAATTTCTTTCTTGATCAACGAGGAAAAAATCAACATTTAAACTCTCTCAAAAATTCCATTTTCGAATCTTTATCCATGAATGACCTCTTTCCAAATGTGAAAATTTTATCCAATGCACAAGATGGAACTCATGTATTAATTCTCTCACTTTCTTCGAGTGTTCCACAAAAACCATTTGTTGCTGGAGGAGTGGTTGAACAAACACAATTGGAACAAGCCAGCAAGCTCATGAAGGAAATTGAAACGACCTTTCGACATGAATATTTGAAAGAAAATAATGATAAAGAAGTCTCTTCTAATGCATCTTCCCTTTTCAAAGTGGTCTTGATGCATCATCCTCCTGTAGAGAGGGCAAAAGATTCATTTCGAGAATATTTGAATGGCCTTGAAAAGAAATCGAAACAAAGAATTGTGGAATTTTGTGATTCCGAAAAGATTGACTTGTTGTTGCATGGTCACACACACGTACCTTATTTGGGAAGAATTGGGATCTCGAATCATGAGACACTCGTAATCGACAATGGAAGTACAACGTATGTGAATGAGGAAAAACCATACAAAATGGCTCGATACCATTCGTATCATATTAAGGGAAAGAATTTGGTTGGAATTGAACAACATGTTTGGAATACTGCAACACAAGTTTTTGAAAGAAAAGAATTGGTGTTGGATAAGGTATAATTTGTCAAGACAATTTCTGCAATAATAATAATTTAATTTATCGAAAACACTGTCCAAAATTAATTTTTAACGATCCACTTGTCGTTCAAAAAGTTGTCTAACATTCTCAAAGCTTGTTGTGGGCGATATTGCGGTACCATGTGACCAGCTAATACCATTATTATGCAAACAATGAACGTGAGAGAAACAACAATTTGTCAATGTAAAACAAAAAAAAAACATACCTCCACGAACGGTGACAAATGTCAAACCCCTTCCATTCGAGTATTTTCTAATAAATCCATCCACGACAATGTTGTTATTGTCATCGTAGTGAATCCACTTTGAGTATGGAAGAGAAACATTAAGTCCCAACTTGTCAAGTCCAGCCTTAGTTCCAGAAGTGTTCAAAACACAGTCAACATCACCAGAATATGCCAAAATTCTAATTTCTGGCAACAATTTCGAATAGAATGGCAACAATGTTGTATAAATCTGTGTGTAATTAATAAATGTAGAACACACTTGCCATCCTGAAGGAGAAGCAATTGGATGAGTCGCTCCAATAGCTGCTCTCACAGCAGGAGTATTGAAATAGGTCATGATAGAATGATCTGGCACACAAGGACTATCACTTTCAGCTCCAACAATGAATGATTTCTTTGTTTTTGGACGTTGTTTGTGCAATTCAAAGAGAGGATGATTCTTGGAGTTCTTCTTCATAGTTAATCCGTTGTCTCCTAACCAAGTACATCTGTGAAAAAAGTGATCCATTGTAAACAACGTTGGTTCATCAATAATGATACATTGATGGAGTGAAAAAAGTGTGACGATGATGGAATTGAAATTACAGTCACTACTCCTACTTACGAATCATAAATATAATAAGGATTGAGATGATCCAATGAAGAATAAACCAATTGCAAAAAGTTGGAACAATCTGGTACATTTTGATTGGCATAGAAATTGCCCTTACAAGCAATAAATCCCTTGTTGTAATCCTCAGATGTAATTAAACTGTGTTCCTTATAAAACAATGGTACTGAATTAGCATCACTCTCGGCATCTTTTAGCAACAGAAATTGATGCAAATCACCAAAAACATTCATGTTCAGATGAGTTCAACATTTAGAAAGTATTACATTCACCATTTCAGTTATACAAATATGGAAAATTACAAAAAAAACATACCTGTGACACCATTTCCAACCATGATACCTTTCAAATTAATTCTTGGCAATTCACCTTGTTGATTACCTTGAAGAACTCTCAAAGCTGAAGTTGGAACATAGACTCCTCCATAACTCTCACCAGCAATATAAAAATCATTCTTCAAATATTGAGGAAATCTTGAGAAGAAATCACGCATGGCTTCATTCATATCAGCAGCGGCGACATCATCGTTGACATTTTGATAATCGGCAGGTGTGTCACTGTAGCTATATCCAACTCCGATAGGTTGCTCAAGGAAGACCATGTTGACACGCTTATTCCAAGCGTATGGATTATCCACAACAGTTTTACCATCAGCCAAGACGACGAAAGGGCCGTGTTCCGAGACCATACCGTCGATAGAGGAACAACCTGTTGTGGAATGGGTGTTGTCAAGATGATGAAAAGTTTGTAGCAAACCATTGACATTTTGAACCAAATATAGAGTTCAATCCATTAGTTCAACCCAAATCCGTACACACAATGTTATTATTATAATCAAAACGCAATATAAATGTCATCACACGATTTTCCAAAATAGTCATATTAAAAAATCATCATCACGAATATTTTTCAATCGCATCATCATCAAATTCATTGCAAAACACTCACCTGGTCCACCATTGGTCCACCAAACCACTGGATCCGTTGCCGGATTATTCTGAGATTCCATAAACCAGTAAAACAAATAATGTCCCCGAGTCGCATTAGCCTTCAAATAACCGGTATAACTCTTGAATTTAATGGGCCCGTTGAAACCTGGTAAATAAGAGACTTGATGATCTAGAGCTGTTTGTCCCAAAGTGAACTCGATTAGTGCCAATAGTACTATTGATACGAGCAGAATTGAACGAAACATTTTTTTTTCTTTCAAAAATCGTCAAGGTAGTATTTAGGACTTTTTAACACCTGGATAACTCCGAAGTCAATTGGGTAATAATGGCCAGTTTCACGAACTGATCACCCCTCCAGTAGAGTGGTTTGATATCTATCAAGGAAATTCAATATTATGGAAGCGCATGAATTGGCATTTGTACAAGCTCTTACAAATTACAAATTCAAGAGCTCTGTACAAATGCCACTTCATGCTGAATATTCCTGAGAAAAGGTCAACAAATTTTGAAGCCATTTGATTCTGCCACACACATTCTCACACAACCTCAACGACGTGTTGTGGTGTTATGTTTATTTTGATCGACCCATGAAATAATTTCCTTATAGAAGAGAAACCTGAGCTTTTCAGAGCTGAACGAAGCATCGTCGTCGAGTGAGCTAATCTTCTCAGTGGCACTTATTCTGTTGATCATGGGACTTGATCGAATGAAGGAATGATTGAGGGCGTCCTCAAACGATATTCTAGTTTCAGGATTCCAAGTCAGGAACCTCTTGAGTAAATCTATTGCCTCAGTGGGAGCTGATGGGAAAATTTGTGAAAAGTCATATCCTTGAGTTGGGAAATTTTCAAGTAACTTTTCGTGTTAGGTTTGGAGATTTGATGTGTAAAAATTCGTGAATCAACATATACCAATCATAATTTGTGAATATGTGAAATTTGTTATAACAACAATTGATGAAAATAAAAAACATACCCTCAATAATTCTCGTACATGTTGTGGGTTACCTTTGAGATCTTGTGGATTGGGTCGTCCTAGAAGTGAGGCCATCAAGTTCAAATGTTCATAATGGTTTGGCACTCGAATTTCATTGTCTTTTAAAATCACAAAGAGTGGTCTTCTCTTTGGCAGCGGAGGAAGCATGTACAAAAGTTCAGCAAATATGCCTACATTAAGAAAGGAATTTTAACAATGATTCATAACATTAAAGTTTGCATGTAATGGTTATACGTTTACAATGATGTCAAAATGACTCAATACTTACATCCAATAGACCATGAATCGATGGCGGATGATTGAAAATCGTAATTGAGAACTACCTCAGGCTGTTTTGTTGAAACATCAGGTCGATAATTATGATGTGAATGTGAGAAATTACTACTTACAGGTCTATAAATTTCTGTTACCACTGCCAAGCTCTGTGGATTTGTAATTTGTTGGTGTGACACATCGCTTCTACTCATTCCAAAGTCACTTAATTTGAGTTGAAAATTTTGATTGAGCAAAATATTACTTGGTTTCATGTCTCTGTGAAGAACCCCAGCACTTTGTAGGAAGAACATGGCACTCAACAGTTGTCCCATAATATCTCGAATATTGTCCACAGAGAAGCTTTGTTTGCATTTACATAAATTTGACATGACACGCCCCAAATCGCCTCCGTTCATACATTCCGAAACAATATACAAATCGTTGAATTCACCTAGTGTAGTTCCTGGAATAAAAATATCAATTAAGGTAACAATCTGTGTGTGGTTGAGGGCAAGTGGTTAAGGTCAACACATGCAAAGGTTGATAAAAGTAACCAATGAACGGCCAATGTCAAACGAATCATCAACCATGACCAATGAAAAAATGTCAACTAATGAATACCGAGTGATAAAATACTTACGTTGGGATGACCTCTCAAATGTTTCATTATTTTAACCTCTGATTACAATTATGAAATCAGAAAGAACGACGTGAGTGTGTAACATCCAAAAAGTTCGATTATTCCATTTTAGCAAGTCACACGCATTCGCTCGTGAGCATGCAAAAAAATCCACACCACTTACCTCTCAACATGCGATAAGCTGCCTTGTCAAAAACTTTCGGCACCTTCTTAATGGCCACAATAGCTCCATTGTGTTCCAAGTCTGCACATGCAATTACTTGACCATAAGCTCCCCGTCCAAGAAAAACAACTTCCTGCTGTGGTGCCTTTACACTCTCCGATGATGATGATGATGGAGGTACGACTCTCAAAAGAGGTTGATACCGATACGGCAATGCAAAATCACATCCATCAAATTGGTAGTGATGATACTGACGCTGATCGTTGAGAGGGATGTGCATAATTCGTTCCAGTTGAGTTTGTTCATCATCGACTTGTTGAGATTGCACTTGATGTTGCTCCAATTCTTCCTCATGATGATGATACAGAGATATATCCTCTAATGGATGTACTTGTTCATTGCTATTGAATTGCATGAGCATATTATTGATATCATCAAATTCTGTCGTGTGGTTGTTTTGATGAAAACTATCCGTGTTGTTCGCCAAAGCCATTCCCGAGTCCAGCATGGCCGTACCCGAAGGATCTATTTCGGCATCATCCAATTGTCCAAAACCACTTGATACTATCACGACAGCAGAGTTATTACTGGCTTGAACGTTGTATGGATTTGTTGTATGATTATTATTGGAATTTACATGATGAAGTTGCTGTGATGGTGGTTGTTGTTGTGAATGTCGGAATTGAGAAGAAGCCATCAAATGAAACAAGCCTTGATTTTGCAACGACGGAACCAGTGTTGTTGAGGGTTGTTGAGCCCATGAAATTCCTGTGGTGGTTGTGGATGGTTGCTGTTGTTGGGGTTGTTGTTGAGAAAACGAATATCCAAACATATCTCCAGCAGCTGTGGTATTAATACTCGTCGTCGTAGTATTTCGTCGTGTTGTTTGTTGATTGTTGTTTTCGGCCGCCGTGCTTGTGCTGTACATTTTTTTCTTAAGATGTTTTCAGTCGTTCGAGGGAATAAAAAGCGAGTGGGAGCAGAGGAGCGCTTTTCTTGCTCATGAGGTAAACTTGCGTGAACCTTCCAGAGTGCGAGTACTAGTAAATGGAATCTGTTTCTGTGTCTAAAAATTCCAGTAGGGTCGGTTACATTGATAACGTGTTTCATAAATTTCCAAATTTGAACCAGTGTGGAGCCTCAATCGAAATTTTGTTTTTTATTGTTGACATGGTGTAACCCATGGTGCAGTATGTATCTATGTAACATACTCATAGTTGCAGACCCAGAATGAACCAAAGGACCAAGTCTCTCTCCAATTTCATTCACCATGCGTCTTCTCCTCCTCCTTCTTCTTCTTAAGGAATGGATGTTGCAACATTTGCTTGGCTGTGGCTCGTTTCTCTGGCATCATTTCAAGCATGGGCATTAGGAATTGACTCAATTCCGTTGCTTCCCATTCATCCATTCCATACCCTTCGGTCAATTTCTGTTTTAAGGAAGTGGGTTTGAACTTTTTTATATTCAACATTTCTCCTTTTGAGGCGTTGAAGAATTTAGTGGTTTTCGAACCTCGCGAAAGTAATTCGTGTGGAAAGGGTCCCAACAATTCAATCATTAATGCTAAATGGTCCTCATCGCGAGAATAGGTTCGACCTGATTGAGGATCGAAGAGATATTGACCTGTTGCCAATTCGAATGCCAAACATGCTGCGCTCCATATATCGGCCGCAGAGAAATATCGAGCACCAATGATGACTTCAGGTGCTCGATATTGACGGGTTTGAATATCATCGGTGACTTTCTTGTCAGAAAAAATAGAATTTCCAAAATCTGCAATTTTCACTCGAATATTCTCGACGTCGATCGATTCTGAAGGTGCATTTTCTGCCAATAATTTAAGTGCTTGGCTGTGCTCATCGTGGTCAGCGTTGGCCGAGCCTTTCTTTTCGAGTGTTGCAATTTTCTCTTCCAATTCTTGGAGCTCTTTCAATCGATTCTCGTGCTTGAGTTTTTGTTTCAACTTTTTCAATTGTTTCTTGTTGAGAGTTGAGACATCTCTTTCTTCGAGTGGTGTGTCAAAATCTGGTACTTGATAGTGGTCTGAGTAATTACAATCACACAACGGCATGCAGTCCATCAGCAATTTCATATTTCAAATAAACAATACAGTTAAGGGAAATCAAGTTTGTGTGTTAGGTCACACGTATGAGTAAAGGTTCAGTGGTTACAAGAATATGATCATACGCCCAAAACATACCCATAATATGTTGAATCTTGTTCGTTGGCTTCACAATTAAAATATTTTCCGGTTTGATGTCCGTATGAATTATTTTACAATGTGAGTGTAACAAATCTAGACCTTCCAAAACGTCTCTCATAATAATTTTCACTAAACTGAGTGGCATTCCCTTATATTCGTATTGTTCGATTAATTTCAACAAATTTTGACCCACAACTTCGAAAACCATTGAAACGTGCGTTCCATTCACTCCACGCACCAAAAAATGATCAAACATTCCAACCACTCTTAATTTTGAATAGTCAATACTCGTCATGGATGATGAAATGTTTGATGCCTTCTCAATGGAATGGCTGCCATTCGCTGCTGCTTCATCTATGGTCGACGTTGCATCTTTTGTCATGACTTGTTCCTGAGGATGGCCATACAATTCTGAAAATTTGTTCATGACATCTTTCAATAATTTAATTTCATCCATGGCTGCATCTGAGAAATCTTTCTGACTTTTCTGAATTTTCACAGCTCTAAAAACCTTCTCCGCTAAATCATAACACAACCAAACCGTACTAAAATATCCCCAACCTAATTTATAAACCACCACATATCGATCATTGCCCAAACGATCACCAATTGCAACCGGATGATAACCTCCTTTTTTATATTCATTTTGTGGCTCGTTTTCTGTATCGGAATAATCATGATCTTTGGAAGATGACGATACGGTGGTGGTGGTTGTTTTTTTTTGTACGACTTTCACTCCTCCTTTTTTCTCTTTAATTCGTTTCATTAATTGTTGTGCAATAAATGCATCGGAGTGAGTATTTGATGATGATGTAGATGATTGTTTCTTTTTTGAAGAGGAGTGGGGTGTTGATTTTTTACTTTTAGATTCTTCCTTGGAGGCTGTATCGGAGGATAATAATTCTGTTGTATTAGTGGTGGTAGTGGTAGTTATTACCGAAGAGGATGATGTGGATTCGCCTGTCGTCGATGACAGACTCAAAGATGATACATTGTTTTCAATATGGTGCATTTTTTTTCTGACTTTCCAAAAAAAAATTTGTCATCAAATTGCTCGTTTTGCAAGTAAACGGATCTGTTCGTTCAAAATCACCCAATCTGCTCGAACCACTGTAGTACTGTTAATGACATCAACAACGGAAATGAATTCACCAAGTCGCATCCCGAATAGATTTAAATAATAGAAGTTGGTGTATAAGGGATGTTATACTTTTGGCACAACAAGTCACAAACCATCCTAGCACTTTCATAAATCACAGGAAGGCCGCTTCCTGGATGTGTATGTCCTCCTGTCAAATATAAATTATCCAACTCGTGGAATTTGTTTCGTGGCCTGAATGAAAGACTCTGAAATAAGGTATTGCTCATGGAAAAGACAGATCCAAATTCTACATGTTTTTCGCTTCTCCATGTGAGTGGTGTCAAAATTTTACAACTCAAAATGTGGTTTTGAATGTCGTTAAAGCCACATTTTCGTTCAAGAATTTCTAAAGCAAGCATTTTCACTCGCTGTATAGTTGCACTGTTGGACCAATCTGTGTGATTTTGATCAACTTGTAAATTGGGAACGAAAACCATCACAAAAAGACCAGATTTTCCTTGCGGGCTTACAGTCTTGTCAACCACACACGAATTTCTCACATACAGGGTAATATTCTCTGTCCAGTCACCACTATTTGGAACCATCATGGTTTTGTAAGCCTTCTTAATATCCTTTGGAAAAGCAATGACATGAGTGTGAATATTTTCATAAAGCTTGTCCAATTCTAGATACATGTTGAAGCCACTACAACTAAATTGTTTCGAGTCAATCTTTGTTGGAGTCCATGTTTGAAATATTTCCTCGCTATTTGGAATGTTATTTCTGTGAATAAATAAAGGACAACAGTACAATAAATATATATTATTTTGGACAATGTTCAGTAAAATAACAATTGTTTCAACAAACAAATCGACAGTGTGTGAACATGTGAATAATTTGTGAATTAATGTCAAAACTCACCTAACAATATATGGAAAATCAGCATTACATATATATTCATCGAAATGATACGCTTCAGTTATTTCTGAACCATTCTGCTCATCCTTGCGTGTCACTTCAATTTCCTTAATCATTCTCGATCCCCTCTCAATCACAATCTTGTTCACCGTCGAATTTAAATGAATTTTACCACCTAACTCTTCCGTAATAATTTTCGCCATTTGCTCTGAAATGGTAGAAAGCCCACCCTCTACATGATAAACTCCAAAAGAATGTTCTGCATACGGTATTAATCCATATACTGATGGTGTATTCCATGGACTCATACCCAAATATTTCGATTGATAGGAAAAACTAATTTTCATCAATGGATTCTCAAAATATCGATCTAACATTTTCATCATGGATTTGTGAAGTCCAATCATTGGTAGTGCCTTAATAGCATCCCAATTGATAATATCCCAATGATTGGAATAGGTTCTTTGAAGAAGTTTCATCACAGAGGGATATCTCTTCTTTTCAAATTCATACCATTGATGATAACCTTTCACAGCTTTTGATCCAAACACTCTCTCCAATTCATGTTCCATCTTTTCATGACTTTGCATATCGTGACAATCCACGTAAGTAGTAGTCGTCTCATCTCCACAAGTACGATTTTCATCAGCATTTCTTGTATTCTCCTTGTCAAATATCAGTCGATACATGGGATCCAATCGAATGAATTTCAAATAATCTTCACTCTTCCGATGAGCATCTTTGAATACTGCATCTAATATAAATTTCATGATGAGAAGAGTGGGTCCTACATCGATTTTAGAATCTCCAACCATGATGGAAGAGTTCCGACCACCGACACGACTTCCCTTCTCAAAAACTGTAACATCAAAGCCTTTAGATGCCAATAACATGGCACTCGTGAGGCCTATCAATTTATCCATTGGTTCCGAATAATAATCAAGCGAATGTGATAATAATAATAATAATAATAACAGTATATTTCATTTCTCCATCATTGGATTTCCGAAATAAATTTATCAGAGATTTCATACCTCCGGGTCCACCTCCGATGATTCCAATTCTCTTTTTTACGGTCTTGAAATTTTCTTGATGATTGAATGTTTCATCATGGTGCCGTACAGCTCTTCTCAATATTTGACTCGCTCGATAAAATCGTGTAAGCGACAGGCTCATCATCGTCATGTATTTTTTTCTTTGGTTCTTTGAAACAAAATCAATATGAAAGTGAGTAAATAATTTCCAACAGTTAAATTCAAAAATCAACATGTTTTCAGAGTTCAACATTTGGAATTCAATTAGTGACACAATCCAGAAATAATTATTAAAAAATGTCAATATTTGATCATGTTGAGACATTTTGTCAAAAAGTTCACACAATCATTCCATTAAGAAAAACAATCATCATGAAAAAACAAATAGAGGAAGATCACTCAAAAATGGATCGAGTAGTTTCATTGCCATGTCATCAAATAGTACATGATGATGAATCTAGAATTTTGAGAGTATTTCCAATTACAGATCCTCATTTAAATCCATACATAAGCCGACAACGATTGCGTAAAATTTACCAACACATTGTCAATCATAAGGACCGTATTGATCTCGTTGTTATTACTGGAGATATGGAAACCATGGATACTGAGTTGTTATACTTTGGCACCTTAAACCTTACACTTAGTGTCAGTGCTGTTTGCGTTTGACACTTGAGTGTCAAACGTATGAAGTACAGGTGCTGATGACACTCGGCACTCAAGTGTCCGGTGCTGTTTGCATTTGGCACTCCAGTGTTAAGTGCTATTTGCATCTCCTTTTTGGGAGATTGTTTAAGCAAGGTTAAAAATTGCATAAACAATGAGTAGCAGCAGTCAACCATTATTGGATATCATTCAGAAATTATTGGAAGACGATCAAACCATGGTGGAAATTGAAAGATGGACCCAATGAAGAGGTAAAAAATCTCAAGTTTCAACTTGTTGGTTCCATTTTCTCATGTGCCATTCCCTGTGATGACCTTTCAATGAACAGATCTTTCAAATGCAAGCTGAATGGTATGACCAACAAACTGAGAGAATTGAACAAGGCAAGCAGACAAAATTCTGCTCAATAACCAAAAAGCTCATTATTGAATGGACTTCCAAAGCGTTAAAGGATGTTCCCGATTCAGTTGTGGTGAGTGGATTTAAGAAAGCAGGATTAGGAATTGCGAAAGACGGATCTGAAGACGATTGTGTGCAATGGAAGCAGGTGCAATCTTGCCATTCCAAGTGATGACTGTATTCAACAACAAGGAGTTTAAGATTCACTTGTACTACCAATATTTGTTGTTGAAACATAACAAGTTCACAAAACACTAACAGAAAAAAAAATGTTGAATCCACAAGCTACAGTTTCATCATCATCATTTTCTCATAACGTTGGTAACAGCACTCCGACCAAAATAAATTCGTCATCATCATCAGGCTTTTCAAAACATGCATCATCAGAGTATTATAATCGGACGTTGGTGGTTTTGGGAGAACATGTTTTTGATCCGAATCAGTCGTTCATTGAGGAGTTTGATTTGTACATTGGTACGTTTGACTCTACTGATTGCCATGATCATTGAACAACCATTGCTATAACAATATGTTCTGTTCATGAAAATGAATTTAATCATTTTTGATAATAATAATAATAATTAATCGACTAACAAATTTTTATTATTTTATATTTTTTTTTAACATGATGATTGGATTTCATCCCGATTAGAAAGTAAGAAGGCTAAAAAGCAATTAAAGTATTCAAAGCCACAATGGAGTGTTACACTTGAAACTATTTTAGATCATTGTCGGATGGTCAATGACATATTTCCTGAGGAGGCCGGAATATGTGTAGCACTTCAACATCACAGCAGTGAAATCGCCGTAATGAATGAATGGAATTGGGAGCAACAAAGTTTTCTAGAAGTATGTTTCAAGTTTTTACATTATCCAATCTCACGCCACCTGTCAATTTATATGCACCATTGATTCACAACGAAAATAACGTCATCATCACACTGCACAAATATCGGTGATCTTTTTTCTGTATATTCAAAATGAATCAGATTTCAAGCAACCTTGCTACTGGTATTGACCAGTTACACGGAACACCATTGGATATTGAAAAAAAGACATCTCCATATCCATTCCCTACAATTCAACAGCTTGAAAGATTTTGTCATAATATATTTCTACAAATATTTTCTCAAAGCGATGTCAAGGCAAGAGAAAAGAGTCAACACAACGTGAATTCTACTTTTAAAGTGATTTATGTCACTAAATGCTCATTGGAACAAGAAGAATATATAGATCTCAAAACTCAATTAATATCCAACCTTGCCATTGTTTTTGAAAAGCAATTTGAAAAATTTAAATCTGAAGTTCGACAATTTATGCAACACACTCCAGATACTACCTCTACCTTTAATGTTATGGAATATCAACTCAAAATGCAGCAGTTTAAACTCTTTTCATCGTTCTCTGAAGAGGATTTGGACAAACTCTCATGTACCTTGGACATCATAATTCCCATTCCAAAACTGAAAGAATTTTTACAAAATGTGGATGAAGAGACAACCTTCATTTGTCAGTCTTTGGATTATCATACATCACAATTCAGAATCAATCCAGCTCCATTTGAATCTGTAAAAATATGGGATATTGAAAGAGACAGTTTTGATAGAATACTACGAGAGAAAATAGCGCAAAAACAGTACGGACTTGTTGTCATTGCCGTTCAAGGAATTCCAATGAGAGATGTCTCGGAAGGTACTTCCAACTATGATGTATTTTTGGCATGTAAGGGAATTACCTTTGACATGATTCAAGATGTGAACATTTCTTCAGGAGTGATCAACTTGAAATGGGTTCGAGCGGATCCAAACAAAAGAACCATTGAGCACTTGTACACTACAAAATCTGTACATAGAATCACACCAATCACTCCCTACACTTTGCCAACCATTTGCCTGATGAGACACTTGTCCACCAAGAAACCAGTGACACTGGTCTACGAATCGGATTATAACAAGACACATAACCACTCTCCAACTCATCTCATATTACAGCATGGCCAAGATGTTTATTTACATGTTCTTCATTTGAACAAGGTATTTCAACCATATGTTTCCATCTCTCAAAGTGAAGAAAATAATTTAAAGTATCGAGTGAATGAATTTGTGGATGTCATTAATAATCATTTGGTGAGAATTAATGTGAAAAGAGACACTGAGAAGGACTCTTCACGCACTGAAGACCCTGAACATTCTCTCATGAAACATAATAATTTTATTTACAACACTCCGTCCAGCATTGAGAGGAGTACGAGATTCTTCCCACTCACCGCTGATGAAACGTCAATTTTAACATTTGAAAACGCTAAAGAAGTGTATCCAACTCTCTTCTCGAAAATTATCACACCCCTCATGAATTCAGTCCTTCGAAAATCCCCAGAAAATTTCACGGAACTCGATAAGAATGATTTGGAGAAGATGCTTACCAAATTTTATGAGCACTGCAAGATGAATGATGAATCACTATTTCCAGAGCTCAAGAATGATCACACCAAACGTTGGAACTCGTACAGAAAAGCATGGGGCGAATTACGAATGTTTTTGTTATCGCTTGGCTTCAAGGAAAGTGGATTGGCTGTCATGGATCGATTGTGGCCTCAATTTTTCTTTGACAAGGCCCAAGGAGATTCGGACAATACAGGACGTAGGGCCAAGAGAGTTGTAGAAGTGCAACGAGATCGTTATGGTAATATTGTGTTTCCAATTCCATTGGGAGCATTGACTGTATTGGCACTTGGAAAAGTGGTATACGATCGACCAACCTTCCATACCGACAAGTACATTTGGCCAGTCGGATACAAGAGCACTCGGTACTATACCAGTGTCAAAGATACGAATAAGCGATGTTTGTACACGTGTGAAATCAAAGATGGTGGCGAGGCGCCAATATTTGTATTGACCTCAGATGACAATCCCAATGAAGTGATTGAGGCACCAAGTGCAACGGCTGCCTGGACTGCCATTGTGAAACAAATTAACAAGATTAAGAGCGAGGAGTCTGGAAAGAGAGTTTTCACAAACGTGAGTGGACCCGAATACTTTGGCCTCGCTCACCCAACCATTATGAAACTCATTTCACAATTGCCCAACGCAGAGAAAATCAATCGACCAAACGCTCCTCATCAACCTGTGAAAGCAGAATCATCGACCAACGAGCTACAGGAGAGTAGTGACGATGAGTTTTCATCGGCGGCCGCAGTTTCAACACCCACTCCAAACGCAGCAGGCTCCACAGGCAGTCACACACCAACACCAACACTTCAACCTTCCCAATCTCAGGCCAGTATTGCTACTTCTGTGTCAGCAGTCACTGCTGGAGGTGGTGGTACTCCACAATTAAGCGATGGAGGTACCAGCGCCCAAGACGCTTCCCATTCACCCAATCATGGAACGACAGGACCTGATCTTTCAAAGAAACGTGCCAAACGAAATGAAGCAGTATTCTATGAACGTGACACAGTTCGGAATGAAATTCAAAAGGTTCCATGGACCCCAACCATGAATTTGCAACAATTCTGTGAGCAGAGAAATCAAAAACTTGTTGGAAAGGTTTTAGATGGCGAAAATGAAGGAGAAAAAGCTCTCTACGCACATTTAAATCTAAATACAAGCGATAGATCTAGAGATCAACCTTCCTCTTCCTCTGCAGGCAATCATCACTACAATCAATACGGAAATGCACAAGGTCAATATCACGGTGGAGGAAATCGACAACGAAAATATGGACAAAAGAGAAAATTTGGTCTTTATCAATGAGAATTGCGCTTCCAATTCATAGATTGACAAAAAATAAACGTTGCAATGAACCCGCGGCATCATGAAGTGGAAGGTGAAGAATTCGAAACGAAATCGTACTATTGCTCAGTCATGACCTGGCGCTGAAAACCCGTAAAAGTCGAGAAACAATTTGAAATCTTTCAACCGTCATCGACAAACCGGACTGTCTTACCAATCACAACACAGCTCCAACGAAGTTCCATTGAAACAATGACCGAGGGAAAAGAAACCAAGCAGTCCAAAAAAACACTTTCATCATGAACACTCCAACAAGCTGTACATCTCTATGGTTTCTTGTCCTATTATTTTGCTTCCTTCTCTGTTTTCATGTAGGTACATGTGTGTCCATAACGCCGCAATATACCACCCTGACTGTGGCTGGAAGCATGTACATGGATACAATTTCAGACCATTATGCATTGAGTGAATATGTCCCATTGAGTAAACCCAGTGCTGCAGTCATGAATGAAAAGAATGAATTATTTGTTGCAGACACCAATCATCATGTCATTCGTGTCTTATATCCAAATTCAACCTCAAGGGTCTATGCTGGTTTAGGAACAGCAGGATTCAATGGAGATGGTATGCATGCATTACTCACTCAATTCCACACTCCAATAGGTTTAAGTTTAACTCCGAATGGAGATTTATATGTGGCTGGTAAGTTTGAATGAGTTCATCTTTTGGTCATCATTTTAACAACAATATTAACAACTAAAAAATGTGATCGTGATGATGATGAAAATCAATCTCACTTTATAGATTCGGGTAATGGAAGGGTAAGAAAGATATCAGCCTCTACTCGGATAGTTACCACTCTAATTTCAAATCAAGAACTCTCTACACCGGTCGGAGTGTTTGCCATGACGAATGGAGATGTTTATGTAACGGACTCAACGAAAGGCTTAGTGAAACATTACAATGCAACCACAGGAATAGTTTCATTAGTAGCAGGTACGTGGTTAATGTTATTGATTTGATTGAAGTTCTAAATTCATGGATTGATTTTAATGACCATCATGATGAAATCAATAATATTTTGAGAAACAAAAGGGGGTGGCTCTGCTTCTCGTAATGGAGCTCTTGCAACAAATACCAAGTTAGTTTCTCCGTATGGAATTCATGTAATGGAAATGTTACTACTGTCTTCTATTCTCAAGTTACTGCAGGTGCGTAGTTATTTACTGTTTTCCAATATCAATAACATTAACTCCAAACATTAGTTTTTCCGACAAGTCAAAGCTCAACAACAGGTTTCATCTATTGTGCAAATTCAGCATTCATATTTAAAATCAACGCAACAACATCAAGCATGACCATTGTTTACAACTTTGCAGGAAACACCGAACAAAGTACGAAATCATTTCATGTGGTTGATGCTTTAACTGATGGCCCAATCCTCTATTTTGCTGAATATGGAACGAATTCCATATTCAAATATTTCGAGAATAATTCAACAAAAATTTTACTTTATAATGGAACGAATGATCTGTCAATTAGCAGTATTGCAGTTCAGAATGACACTCTTTATTTTGTGCATGGAAGTTCGACCATTCGGGCATTGTCACTTCGAGATGGTTCAGTTCGTATTATTGCTGGAATGGCACCAGATAGCAATGGAAATGAATTTGCGGGTTATAACGGTGATGGATTGAAAGCAACTGAATCATTGATTAGGTATGTCATGATTACATAGAATTTTTTATTCAAAAAGTTAACTTGTGTCAATTTAAAGCACTCCTACAAGTCTATTCCTCACAGCACAGGGAGAAATTTATTTTATTGAACAAACGTACGTTGTTTTTATATGGCAGTAAAATGATTAGCTAACAATGTAACAGAATTCGAATTAGAAAGATATCTGTGGATGGTATTTTGTCAACAGTGGCCGGTAGATTTCAATACGATGGGTCATCAAAAGCTCCTCAATCAGCTGCTTCTACATATCTCAATACCATTAACTCCATTTCCTTTGTTAAAAACAAAGACTCTAAAAGTGGAGGAGACATTTGGATTCATTCAGTTGACTCGTTTTACAACTCCTATTTGTTAAGCAAGGTTGACATCAAGAACGGATACCTTTCTCGCTTATCGGGTTTCAGGATCGATGTGAATGGAATGAATGCAATTGAAGGTCTTTTGAAGAACGTCCTTGTCACTGGTTTGGTGTCTACATGTGGATTTTCGAATGGAGACGTCATTATTGCAGCAAGACAATACCACGTGCTGTACAAATATGTAGCCGCTACTGGATTGGTTTCAATTATCGCAGGAACATTTAGAAAGTCGAGCTCACCACCAACGGAAGGTCTTGCATCTCAATCTTTGCTTGTTTATCCAAGAGTCCCAATGTGTTTTGATAATGGAGATATACTCTTCATCCAAGGAGTATTTGGTCTGACAAGAATTTCGAAATATGTAGCTGCCACTGAGAGCATTGTATTTTTGGCAAACGTTACAGCAACCGTGAATGGAGCTGCCATTTCGCCTTTCACAGGTGACTTGTATTTTGTAGAACAAACAACAAGTACTGTGAAAATGAAAAATTTTACTAGTGGAGAAATTTCTATCATTGCTGGTAACGAGTACTCTGGTTACAGTGGAGAAGATGTATTGGCAACAGAGGCGAGCCTTAGAAATCCACAATCGTTAGTATTTCTAAAGAATGGAGATTTAGTGATTTCCGATTCTGGAAATGGGTTGATTCGTAAAGTATCCAAAGAAACTAAACGAATTGTAACCATTGGAGGAATGATTCCAGGATCAGAGACATGCAACTATAATGGAGATGGACGGTTATCTACACAAACTTGTGCAGGACTTCCAACCACGATCGTATCTGGAGACAATGGTGAACTGTATTATGCTGATCAAACATTTGGTCTCGTTCGAAAAATGATTCCATTTTGTGAAGGAAACAGAACACTTGATAATGAAACCTTTTTAGAATGTATTTGTTTGAATGGATGGAGCGGATCGAATTGTGAAATTCCATCTTGCAATGGAACTTGGGCCAACGATATTCGAGTATGTTCTGGAAATGGTCAATGTAAATCGTTGGATTCGTGTCAATGCCAAAATGGATTTGAAGGACCACTATGTGAAAGAACATCCCTTCGCCAAAATACTGATGCAATTATTATTGGTGTGGTGGTTGGTGTTGGAGGTTGTCTCATTCTTTCAGCACTTGTCATTGTTGTGATTGTCATTGCATCATACTTGTCTTTACGAAGAGGAAAAAACAGCAAGAATTCAGAAGTGAATATTGAAAATGGAAAGAAGGGAATTTCTCATATTTCTACATTGAATAGTGTCGAGTTGGAAACAAATTTTTCCTCTTCAGACTTTCCTTCCGATGCAAGTGTCTCATTCACACCTCTCATGACAGAGAATGGTTCTGGAACTGTATCAGCAGAGGCACGAGGACAAGCGATAGATCCATTCTCTCGTTATCAAAATATTGTGAAGATTGGTCAAGGAGCATTTGGTTCAGTTTTTAAAGCGAATGATACAAAATATGGAAACAAAGCGAAAGCTGTCAAAGTCATGAAATTTTCTTCGATGAGTGAATTGAATAGTATCATGAAAGAAGGAATTCAATTGATGAACATTCGACATGACAATATTTTGAAAGTGAATGATATTTTCTTGTCCAAAGATCAACTTTTGTGTCTCGATATGGATTATTATGAGAAAGGAGACTTGAACAAATTTACCACATTAGCACCTGGTCATGCAGTGGAATGTAATGAAAAGATTGTGAAACAAGTGATTTATCAAATTTGTACTGCATTGGTCTATGTTCATGGAACATTGAACATTATTCACAGAGATATCAAACCTTCAAATATTTTCATTCAGAGTTTTGATGAAAAGAAACAACAGATTCGTGTTGTTTTAGCTGATTTTGGTCTCGCAAAAGGAAATCAAGGATCTGAAGCACAAAGTTATGCAGGTACTCCGTTATATATGAGCCCTGAAATTGGATTGGGAAGCAAATATTATGCAAATACGGATGTGTATTCATTGGGTGTGACTGTTTATCAAATGATGACCAAAGATACAGCCACTTCCATCAGTCACTTATTATTAACCAAAGAACCCTCAGTTTCCAAACAAATATTGAAAAACAAAATACTGGAAAATGATTATTCAGAAGAACTGGCCAATATTGTACTCCAAATGTTGGAGAAGGAAAGTGTGACGAGACCCAATGCTCAAGATATCTTGTCGTTACCTTATTTTAACAAATGAAAAATTCGTGATTCGATAGAACAATTCATAACGTTTTGAAATACATTGAGTCAACATTTGTGGAATTTCAAAAATCACTTCCATTGGAATTGGTAGTGAAGGTGTCAAAGCTATTGCTAATAATGAATATTTGAAGAAGTTGACTATTTTGGATCTCTAAGGCAATCAAATTGACAATAATGTACAATATTCTACATCACATAGCAGTAGTAGTGGCAACAAAGCCATTCCTAAATTCGTAGATTCCGTAAAGATAAACTTTGATTTAGTCATTCTTTCGTCAATTTCATCCTGACCAATCTTGAACATCCGCCAATCATAAACAAGGTGACGATTGCCAAAATACACAGTTGCAACATATGGCCACTCTCAACTTCATGCATGGTTTGAATTCAAGAGTTCGCTGTGGTACCATATTTGTCCTGGTCAGAACCGTTGTGTCCATGTCCTCCCGTTGGATATGAGATTTAGAGCAGTCAACCAAAAAAAAATTCACAACCTACCCCTTTCCATGAATCCATCATTGAAAAAGCAAAAACGAGATCATCACTCTCCACTCGAACACGAAACCCCTCTCGATGATTGGAACCATTCACTTTTTCATCGTTCCGATTTATTTCAAAGGATCATGATGAGCGGTTTTTTACCTCTTCACGATGTTTTGCATCATGTTCGACTCGTATGCAAACTATGGAACGATCATGTCGAGAGTGGATGGAATGTCTTTCATTTTCATGTATTGGTTCAAATATTTCAATTGAAAATTCCAGAAAGAATTATTTCCTCTCAAGAACAACAAGAACAATTACCAAATCATTCAGCTAAAAGCACTCTCATGCTCTTCTTTTCCATATTAAAAGCGTGTCGTGAAATTCGAATGGGTTTGGAACATCTTTCGTTCAACTCATTTCTTGAATTTTCCATTTTTGAAACACCAAGAACAACACACGAAAAGGAATTATTTCAAAACGAGTTCCAAGAGGAGTTAAATTCGATGGAAGAAGATTTGGCAAGTCAATTTCTTTCAGACAAATTTTACAAGTCATGGCCACATGTTTCATCACCCAGAAAGAATGATGTCTTGTTGACATGGATTCCAAACTTTTTAAATGGAAAACAAAATTATTGGACGAACTTGAATTGTGATCAATGGTTCACACGTCCATTCCAGAGTTTAACAGACAAGAATGACAAGAATGACAACTTGAACCAAACAAACAACAACAACCATTTGGAGATCAAGTCATTGTTGTGGGTACAGAGAACTTTCGAACGTGGAAATTACAAAGAGTTTTTTTTTGACATGGTGTTGCATTTGGAAGGAGGCATGTTGGACCATTCGAAGAATTTGATTGAAAAGTTATTTCTGGTCAAGGCAGTGGATGAATGTACGATTGAAAAGGCTGAACCTGTGATTTTGGAGACACCATTGATGTGTTCGAACACAAAATTTGATTATGTTTCATTGGACTTGACGTTTGAAACAGAAACAAGACATGCCATCTGTCAACATGTCACCTGTTTCAGCAAGTATTCATTGACTTTTATTGATCTTGAATTTGTAAACGATTTCCAATCTCTGGACATGTTGATGCAAGGACCAATTCCAAACGATCTAGATTCCTTTTTCAATCAAAAATTAGAACAAATCTTGTACCGACTTTGGTCCACCGGTTTATTGAATGTGAAATTTATTCGAAATTTTATATTCAAATTGTTATTGGCACTTGCACACAAACGAAACGATTGGTATTCACTTTCATTCCATGACCATATTCAAGACAGTTGTTCCCATGCACAAGCCACGAAAGGTGTCACCGAATGGTTCAATGAATATCTTCGAAACAAACAATCAACAACAAGAAACAACAACACAGAAGAATGCCACGAGGAGGTGTTGCTGCAAACATTTGTCAAAGATCATGAATTCTTTCAAGGATATCATGAGGGAGAGAAAATTCAATCGTACATGCTGGTGTTGATGTTGCAACCGAATTTTGAAACTCAAACTTGTTCATTCCAAGTATTGAAGTATTTATTTTATGAATATTCCACTCATGGAGAAATAATGAGTTAACACCATCACAACACAAGGAATGGATTTGTTGTGTGTGCACACAAGTAAGAACATGAATCGTTGAAAATATGTTCATATTAAAAAAAGAATTAATAGTTCTTTCAAGTAGAAACAATAAAAAAAGTATTAATAGTTCTTTCAAGTAGAAACAATTACTTGAAATATAAACTAGGTGGAATGGTATCTCCTGCGTTCAATAATGCTTGTTTGGCTTTTCTTGCTGCATTTCGAACAATTTCATTCAAGGCAGGATGAATGTAAATGCAATTCAACAAGTCGTCGAGTTTGGCTCCTCCTTCAATTCTAAACAAAACTCCAACTTGATGTACAAGAGTACTTGCTTCATGACCAATAATGTGACATCCCAGAATTCTTCTAGTTCCACGTTCGACAATGAGTTTCACAAATCCCTCATCGCTCAATAAGGCCATACCCATGGCTGAGGCTGAATAATTGTTCTTGACTGAAACAAAATTCAAACCTTTTTCGCGACATTCTTGTTCAGTTAAGCCAACACCAGCAATTTGAGGATTTGCAAAAACAGCGTGTGGCATACCTGTGTGATCGATAGGATAAGGTTCACTCATCTTGGAAATGACTGTTTCCATGAGATATTCGGATTCAAAGTTAGCATTGTGACGGAAGAGATAGTTTCCTGCAATGTCACCCAAGGCCCATACGTTGGGTGCACTAACAGATCTCAAATACTTGTCGACCTCTACGAATCCATCTTTGGTGAGTTTAATTCCAGCCTTTTCACATTGCAAAATATCTGTGTTAGGTTTAACTCCGGCAGCAACTATGAGGTAGAATGATTCATGAACAAGTCAATGAGTGTTTCATGGGTTTCAAATGCATGAAAGTAAGTAATGGTGTATGTTCATTGAATTGGTAAAAATCACAATTATTACGGTAAAAACTATCAACACTTTAAAATTTACATACCTAACAAAGCATCAGCACGAATTTCTTGTTCCTGTGCAGTATCTAAATGAGGGTTCAAATAGGTCAAAATAAATTCATTATTTTCATATCTCACTCTGATAGGTTTCATTCCCTGTTTCACTTCAATATTTTTCCTCTTCACAAACACTCGTTCAAATTCCTTTTGAACTTCTTCATCTTCATATTTCAAAAATTTAGATCTCACAAATAACGTGGTGTGAGTTCCAGTACTTGAAAAGAAGTGACACAACTCGGTGGCAATATATCCAGCTCCAATACAAATTAATCTCTTAAATCGTTGCTGATTTCTGAGAGCTTCTCTGTAGGTCATGTATGGAGTGGAAGCTAGACCTTCGATTTGATCTGACAAATCAACAGCTCTTGCACCTGCTGCCACAAATACTCGATCGGCAGTAATGACCACATTATCATCAGGAGAGCCCACTTGTAAGGTTCTCTCGCCAATAAATCTCGCTGTTTGTCCAACAAACCAATCCAATTTTTGATTCTTTTCAACATTGGGAAGAATGGAATCGCTTTCATCATCAATGGTCTTTGATACACGAGCTACCAATTCCGAGAATCGAATGTCGTAATCCAAATCACCACTCGTTTCCTTCTTTTTCACATCCACTTCAAAACGATGAGCCGATTCAATGGTTTGAACCACATCAGCCGGATGAATCAACATTTTCGATGGAATACAACCACGATTCAAACATGTTCCTCCCAACTTGTCATTTTCGCAAAGTGCTACCGAGTAGCCATATTCTGTGGCTGGTCGTCCGAGTTTACCTAAACCAGCTCCGGCACCAATGACAATGATATCATAATGTTTGGTAAAGTTTTTGACATTCTTCAAGAGGACCATGGTTAGAGAGTTTTGGTTGGTGTATTAATATAATAAATGGATGATCGGGTTATTATTGTTTGTTGGAATGGAATGAAAATAAATCTGATGATGATTTTTTTTTGTTTTTTTCATCCTCAACAGGATGATGAAATGGAGAGAAGACGATCAGTTGCGGGCGAACAATTTCAAATCATCCTCAAGGATGGGAGAGGATGGATTTTTCGGAAGATGCGTGCGAGTATGAAATTTTATGAAAGTTCTAGAGGAGCCTTTCTCATATCTTGTTTTCATCTTTTTAAAAGTTAAAACTGCTCTGAAATTGAGGTGTTGATGGAGTTATCAATAAGGAATTGCTGGAATGGTTTTTTTTTAAAAACATCCCAAAAAAAATGATTTCATCATCAACGGGTGTTCATACGTCGAGTGCATCATCATCAGCTACTCCTACAACATCCACCAAGAAAAATTCCTCTCTTGATTCAAAACTCTATGATCGGAGTCGTAAAAGTTTTTATAATTATTTGAATCATAGACCCTTGTTGATGAGTATGGAAAAACCGAGAACCAATTATTCGGTGCAAAATTTGTTGGATATGAATATTGAGAAACGAATGATGAATGTTTTGAATGTGAATCACGTTGCATTTATGGGTGCGTTTAAAACAGGAGCCAGTGGAGGAGAGGATTGTTGTTTTTGTCTGACAACGAATCACCGTAATATCATTGCCACTAGCAATGGAAGAGCTAATTTATTACTTTTCAATTATGATGGTGTCAAGACAAAGGAATTTGCATCACATCACAAGGAAATTATAACTCAAATTCACTTTGTGCAAAATCATCGGGCCACTGAACAGCAACAGCAATCATCTGAGAAAGTGGTACAACAATCGTCAGCAAAAGGTCATCCGATCGACCACGAAATGTTCTACACGTCATCTCTCGACAAAACTATCAAAGTATGGCATGGCGAGAATAATATTCAAACATTGAAGGATCACAAAGACTGGATCCGTTGCTTGAATACAAATTGTGACTCTACTACGTTGTATTCCGGATGTATTAGTGGCTTTATTTACGGATGGGACATTAATAGAAATCATCAAGTTTCTTTTCAAATTCAAAACGATCCAAAAGATGCGCTAGGAGGTTTGAATACAATTAACTCCCTGTTAACCCTCCATAGATCACCCCACATTGTTTATAGTGCTTCACGTGACGGATGTTTGAGAATGTATGACACCAGAAGTTTAGTTTTCAACAGCAATACTGGAGTGAATACAGTGAAACCAAAATTTAAAATCAAGGCTCACAATGGTAAAATGAATCAATTACAAATCACGAACGATGATTTGTATTTACTCTCTAGTGGACGAGATAGTACCATGAGACTGTTCGATGTTAGAAAACTTCCTTCAACTACCCTGAATGAAGTCTCATCGCTGGATCCATTTGTTGTTCAAACCTACTCGCAACATGAATGCAAGTCATACAATGTCAGTTCATGCTTTTTCAAGGAAGAGAAATATGTTCTCACAGGAAGTGAAGACAACAAGATTTATATTTATGACACATGGTCAGGAAAGTTAGTACGCACTCTGAGTGGTCATGAAGGCGTGATCCATTTATTAATGAACCTCGATGATTACAGGATTATTTCCAACTCGATTGAATCGAGTCGTTTGTTTTTCTGGGCACCAACGCTCGAAAAGACAGACATTTTATCTCAACTGGAAAAAGAAGTCGACGACTCTCTTGAGAGAAATATTTTGGAAAGAGTTATGAGACAACACGGAGATCAAATTCTCAATTTATATCACACGAACAGTTTACACAATGAAAACGAAGGATTATCAGCAGCCATGAACAATCTAGTCATCACTCCAGAAAATCAACAAGTGTTCAATGATATCATGCAAACATTTTTAAGAACAGTTATTCAAGAGCAAGGACAAGGAGGGCAAATCAATTGGGACAGTTTAGATGGAATTGACGATTCTGATAGTGATTCGAGTGACGTGTAATTCCATTTCACAACATTTTTGACGCTTGTTGAGAATTCTCCGTTTTTCTTCTCCCAAATTATATTATAATTTATTTCATTGCATTCTACTATTCCAATGCATGCTAATGAAACGTTTTTCATTTTGAACACTCAGTTTGCTTTGCCTTTTCCACCATTCGAATTGTTTTGAATTCAACACGAAAAAAAATGTACAACTCTGCACTGGAGTGGTTGCAAAAGAAGTTGCAAAAGTTATCACAGTCCGATTCGGAATCCAATCATCAACAACTTAATCAATTAGAAATTCATTCCGAGAATAATGGTATGGAAACATCCAATCATTCTCGAAGAAGAACAAAATGGATAAAATTCATGATCATCCTATCATCGGGATTGACTCTCATCATCACCATAATTATTTATTACAAAATTCATTCCAAGAATCAACATTCCACAACACTTGATTTCATTTCCTTTAGAAAAACGCCATCCAATTATTTTCATGAATTTAAATCAATTTCCAAAACGAGAAATTCAAGCCTCAACACCTCTCGAGGTAATTCCAACCCATCATGGTCATCCAACAACACTGAAGCCTATCTCAACGATACAGCCTCTTATTATCAATACATGCTTTCATCAGAGTCTTCAACAAACGGTTTGAAATTTAATCCTCAATGGAAATTTAGTCCTTCGTATACAGATCCCACAACACTCAGTTCTCAACAGAAAAAGAAGACTCATTCATCATTACTGCCAGGCTATGGTTTTGTACAATATAGAAGTCAATCCTTGTTGGGACGAGAGGCTGGATTGCCACGTGTGTTCTCGTCTTCTCCAAGTGAGGATTTGTCTTTATTGAGAACGAATATTCATGGCAGTGATTTCACACATGATTGGACCTATTATTTAGAAAAGATTAGATATATTCTATCATTGCTGTATTATCGATTACCAAGAGCTATTGCAGAGTGGGAATTATGGTTGGGAATGGCATCTTTGGGGTTGTATCATGTGTGGATGAATCAACCATTTTCAAAATGGAGAAATTCCAAAGAAAAAGAGAAGCAACAACAACAACACGAGGCCAAACACTTTATGGATGGTGTCATGCATCGAGTGATATCCGAAAAGAATGAAATTGAGAATTCTCGAAAGAGGAATCAAAAAATTGTTAAAATTATTGGAGAAGGATCCAACATCGAAGGACTCGAAGAAAATTTTGAAAAGTTACTTTCCAATGAACAGGCGGATAGCTATCTGTAATCATCACATCATCGAATTGAGGCCAAGGACAACAAGAAGGACATGTCCAGGTATAGATTTTTCACATTTTGAAAAAAATGTCATCATCGCTCGGAGTGAATGAAATTCGATCCAATCAAGAAATTCATTTCTGGAAATCTTTCGACATTGATCGATGGTATCCTTTGGTTATGGCATCATCCTCTCTACATCATGATCCGAAGGAAGGAAAAAAGAAAAATCCATTGTTAACATTTCCGACACATTTCATTCCTCTCTCATTGGAACAAATTTATCTTGTTTATAAATTCATGCAAGATCAAACTCGAATGAAAGAATACAAGAGAAGAATTAGCATGCAATTGGGAGCAACTTCATTCCACCACGTACAAGATTTATTTCAAGATTCCGAACCTGTCATTCGATACATCATTTCGGAAATGGAAAAATATTTTTCTGGTCCAGATGAATCATTGTCACAGGATGAATTCTGCCAACATTCACACGACATGTCGATCGTTTCAAAAAAGAGCATCCGAAAAGCAGTGTTTTTAAGATTAAGTGGAAACTCTCCAAAAGATAGTGCTGAGCATCGAAAGATGAAACGAAATCAAGAACATTTATATCAACAATTGGTGAAACATGTGGCATTGATTGAGGAATACATGACACTCCAAAATGCGTATCGAACCCATACGCAAGATTCTATTCCTTCTCGTTTTTTCAAAATGCAAAACGAATTATTTAAAATTTTAAGAGGAGAATTTTCACAATTGTTGAAAGTCTCCTCCAATGACATTATGTATGGTGTGAATTTAATTTTGATGAGTAAGAGAATTCGAAGAGGTTTTGAATGGATTTTAACAAATTATTACCACCATAAGGACTCTTCTTTGAATTATACATATATTGCACTTCGGGAATGGCATGACAATGTTGACTTAAGAAACGAGTTTCGATGTTTTGTTCATAACAAGAAATTGGTAGCCATCTCTCAATATGATCAACATGTATTTCATCCACATGTGTGCGAGCACAAGGAGGAATATGTTGGAGCTGTGAAAGAATTTTTCGAGAATGCATTGAGTCGACGTTTGGAAGCTCATTTTGAATCCTATGTCTTTGATGTGATGGTGGTGTTGAAAGGCGAAAGTACGTGTCATGATGATACCTACCCGTCACGTGACGAATATGGATTCATAACATCTTCGTCCTCTAAGGTTTATTTAATCGAGTTGAATCCATATGATTACCACAGTTCTGCATGCTTATTCAATTGGAAGACTGATGCTTCTATTTTATATGGATCAGACGAAGAGGTTGCGATACGAGTGACCACTCAAGAAGTTCAAAAGTTTGATCACCTTTGGGAATACTTGGATATTTTGCAAAAGGTGTTGGATCGACGAAAACAAGAACAGTTGCAAAGATTGTCAATGTTAGGGTTGTGTGTGGCTTCGTTCTTGGGTGGATGTCTTTTTTGTAAATATTTTCTCGGACGCTCGTCAACACACACGCAATGACAATATTATTGTCATGAACCTCAAAGTTTTGCACATTTCACACCATGTGAACCATTCTTGATTATTTGTGACAACTACTTTTGTGTAATGACCAATCTGCACGTTGACATTCCATGGAGCAATAACAGACTTTACGACATCCACCACATCTCGATTTCGCTCCATAAGTGGCACAATATTGACATCTGTCAGTGATTACTTTTGGTGTCTGCTGAGGACCATTAATATCAACAAAAATTGGTTCGTTATCATCTGATTTCACAGTTCGATCATTTCCTAATAGACCCATTCTTCTTGAAATGATAGCAACAGCACATGCACAATTACGAATAAGGAATGGATTCGAACCTTGTGCCTCCTTCAAAATAAAGTCGAAAAATTTCAAATATTCTAGTGAGGAAACAATCTTGGCTTCTAGACACATTTCAGAATATTTGAAAAACACTGAAATGGCGTTAATAAGATTAGCCTGAGCTTGTACTGGACTGGCCATAACCATTCTCAAGAAATAGACAAGTCCCTGTGTGGTGTGTTGCAACACTAGGTTGACCAGTGACTCTGAATTGCAAAGCGTTGAAAGTAAAATGCTTGAGTGTTGCAAAAGGATGGTTTGATACTCGGTCAAGTTGCAACTTTCAGGAATAAAGTGTTGGAGAGATTGAGCAAGTAGTGTTAAAATTTCTTCCACCTCGTTTTGGGAAAGCTTGACCTTGAACTCTTTGGAATAGAGAAATAGCTCTAGAATTCTGACGGCCATATTACAATTGGAGCATTGTTCATTCTTGTAACTTCTCAAAATAGCAATCATTGTTAAAATAATTTGATGCTTGTCTTCAGTAGATTTTCGATCAGAAATTTCTAAACCTTGAATCACGGCATAGATCACATTCAAAGCCAGTCCTTTTACATCCTGAGAAGGACTTGGCAAGAAATTTAACGCAATACGTATTCCATCGCTTTTAAGAACATCCTTAGGACGATTCCATGCCACAATTGACATAATTTCCAACGCATTGCAAATAATTGTAGAGTCAAATTGTTGAGTTTTTGACAGATCTGTTTTGATCAGTTCCATAATCGACTCTAAACCTCCAACATTGCATAATTTCTAAATATTACCAAAGATTCATGCCATCGGATGAAACCGTCTTGAAAAATACTTACTGTTGTCACAAATATATTGTCTTCATGCTCTTTTTCAAATGCACGATAGAAATTTAACAAGAGAGTGCATCCTGTCAACGTTGATTGACGATGTTGGCGTAATAAGCATGACAACGTTGTATTCACAATACTTCCAAAGCTATATGATTGAAATGTCATCACACGAGTCCAAAAATCTTCGTCAAATAAATTTTGGAGCAATCCAACTGTGCTATCCAGTATTAGATAATTCCTATTATGCCTAAATAACATTCTATCAAGAGCTGCTTCAAGTCCTTTTGATGAGGCATATTTCTTTTTTTTGTCATCATCAAATTGATTAGAAATATTTGATAGAAATAAGGCAACGAATGACAAGTTCTCTTCTGAAATATTTTGATATTGTAAAAATCCAATCCAATCTTCTTCAATATCGTTTCGAAGTAATCGAATAGTTTGAGATGGATAGGTGCTAATATCGACCATTGTTTTGCATTGGGCTTCAATTGAAAGATTTTTCAACAATTTCTCTCTGACAGTGGCAGTAATATTTCTCATCTCTTGAATAAAAGTTTCTTCTGGAAGACCTTGCCACATTTGTGAAACGGCTTCCCTATTATTATCATTGGTAACTCCGACAATCTTAGATTTCACCGTTGAAGATGATTTCTCTAATGGCTGTTTTTTCACTTTCTTTTCTACTGTCTTGGCACTTCTTTTCGTTTCTGTTGCTTTTTGCACCTTTTTTTCCTTTTTTTCTGGTAAATCAAAGTCAATACCATACGATTTGCATCGTTGTTGTAATGCCTTCAATATTTCCACATGGTCATTATTTCTGGCAATATCAAACCATGTGGCAGCGAATAGTTGGGTCTTGATGTTTAAGAGAAGTCCAATGATTCTTTGTTTCTGTTTTTCTTCACTGGTTTTACATTTCTTATCCAAATGGTCAAATAATAAATGAATAATTCGTGCGTCTCCACTGGAAGCAGCACTCACAAAAACACTGTCTCCCTTATAGTCCAATAATGTAGGATCGGCTCCATTAGAAAGTAAAACTTCAACTACATTTGCATGACCTTTCATACAAGCTAAATGTAGTGGAAGAGGAAATTTAGGTAGTGCTCTATTGACATCAATTTTTTGTTTGGGATGATTGAGTAAAAGCTGGACAATCTCTGCTTGTCCAGACAGACATGCTGTCAACAGAGGAGTGACTCGGTGGGATTGAATGGCAGCTGTTTGGTTAATGTCGAAATCACTGCACTCTAATAGTAGCTTCACACATTGAATATAACCTGAAGCAATTGCTAAATTGATGCTTTCAGGAACAGGTTTAACATTATTTGCCAACAACACTCTTAAACAATCGTCATATCCCCCAGAGCAAGCCATGTCCGTTAATGAGTTCAGTTTTTCATGAATTTTCTGATTTTTCTTGGATAGGGATCCAAGATCGATCAATGTTTGAGTACATTGATAATGTCCATAGTAAACTGAGAGAGCAAGAGGTGTTAATTTTTCGTTCGTTTCCAAGAACATGTTTGCTCCTAAATCTTTCACGAGAATTTCAATAATCTGAGCATGAACACAATGTTGGTCCGAATGATCACATGGTGCCTTGGATATTGTATTGGTGCCTTGGACCTGTTGTACAATCGTATGGTTTCCATGACATGCGCAATGAATAGCAGTTTTCCCATCATTATCTTGCGCATCGACTTTCAAATAATTCTTGAAATTCCTTGCCAGATATTTGACCACTGACAAGGAGCCTCTGTCAGCTGCGGTGTGTAAAATGTTTCTTCCACATAATACAGTGCTGGAAAGTAAAGTATCCATTGAAAGAATGTTCTTTTTGACTAAAATTGAGTCGAATATGATTTCCAAACATTCAACTGAATCTCTGTTAGCTGCAGACAGAGTGGGTGGTGGTGTCATGATGTTTTTTGAAAGAAATAGTTCTTTCAGTGCTTGTGACGTTTTCTCAGGCTCTTTTTCATAACACTTGTCAATATATTGAAATATCGCTTGACACATATCTGTGATGTTAAAGAAACAACACAAATGAAGAACAGTGAACCCAAATGGTTGAGCAGTCTTTGCTTTCCAATCTGCACCATTCTCAAGTAAATAACGAAGCATTTCAGGAGTTCCTTTCAATACACAATAATGCAATGGAGTGGAGGAAGAACCAAATCCAAATTCAAAATTTAAAGCCATATTTACAGAATAACCAAGTTCTGTAATACATTTCAAAACATCATCAAAATCATTCCTTTTGATGGCTTGAAAGAGTTGAGGAAGAGTATATGTATCCATCACCTTTTTGAGCTGCTCCATCTCTTTGGCCTTACTCGTGGATGCTTTTTCTTCTCCTTTTTCTTTCATCAATTCAATTTGATTTTTCAATTTAGAAATCATTTGAATTCCTTCTTCAGATTTGGACGAAGAACGAGTGGATACTACTTGTGGTTCATCATGATGATCATTGCTTGAAACATTTTTCAATGCTGATAAGCCTTGCTCACAACATCGTTTGGCCTCATCATATTCTTTCAGAGCAGCCAATGAAGCAGCCTTGATATGATATGATTTCCACCATTTGGGATCTAATTTCTGGGCAGTTTCAGAATCATTGATGGCATTCCGATATTGTTGTGTCTTGTAAAAAACTTGAGCCCGATTGGTGAGGTTTAAAACATTTTTTGAATCGAGTAAAATAGCATTTGAATATGATTGAATGGCTTCATCAAATTGGTGTTGTTTATATTGTTCATTTCCACGTTCTCTTTCTTTATCGGAAAGTTGTTGGTCCACAACAAGTTGTGAAACTGTTTTCGGCTTTTTCGGCATTTTTTTAACAAATGACAGGTAAGCTCCTTAAATTCATTGAATTCAGGTATGGTGTGTTAAATTAAAGTAAAAACTTGTTCAATGTAAACAAGATGTTGTTTATTCATCTAAACTTTGAATGAAATACTTTTCAGGATATCTCAAACACTGACCCACAAACTCTTGCTCATTCATGCACGAATGTAGATAAAAGACAGTTGTACCTTCTTGCATGTCCTCTGACTCGTTCTTCATGTCGTTTTTTCCACCATAGCCTAAACAATTTTGAATTTGTCTTCTGCACAGAATGGAACCCATCCTAGTGAAATATTCCATGTAAGGAACAAAGCATTTGTGAGCTAGCTCATTTGCATTATTTTCTCTTAGTCCAAATTCTGTTGCATTTTCATTGATTCTTTTAAAGTATCGATCTTTGGCACATTTTCTCAAATTTTCATATTGGGGTTGAGCAAATCGTTTTCTAATCTCGTCATTCAGTCGGAGCGCTCGATCTTCGCTGCTAGAATCAACTTTGGAAAAGACTTCTTTCAATGCGTCCCTATTTTTCAATGTTAAATTATTGTAAACGTCAGGTAAAACCTCCTTCAAAGGGTTGGTGTGAAGACCGGAAAATTCTTCCCTCTCCTCCATAAATTGTTGATATTTCATTTTTGTTTCTGGATCCTTGTCCTGGCAATGCATTAAATTATAATAAAATTGGCCATATTCTGCTTTGGATGAATTTAATCTCGTTGGACTTTCCTCTGCATTGAAAGATACAAATTGTTTCAAACATTCAGAGCCTTTTAATAAATTCACTGAACACAATTTCTCAATAATATTGACTTGGCCCAATTTTGCATCTCCTGCAATTTTAACTGCTTGTTGATGACAATAATTCATTCGTTCCATGATATTATAAATTTGTTTTTGCTGTTCATTGAGAGTTTGTTCCGAATAGTGTAACGATGAATAGAAATCATTAAGAGTAATGGCATCCGATGTGTTTTTATCGGGGTAAGAAGAACGTCCAGAAGAATTTACATGTTGTTGCTCCGACTGTATATTATTGTTAACATGATTTCTATTTCCCAGGGATGATTGTTGGCTCATGATGGCTTTTTAGAGTTCTCGGTATTTTTTTCAATCAATTTCGACCATGCCGAACGAAATAAGAAGAATTATTTTATTTCTAGCGACTTCATGGACAATCATTGTACCTTCTCATTCATGAAGATGTCGAATTTAAAACAAGATAGGTAAAAATAAGTGTTTCGAATTGGAGAAAAACTAAGCAATTGTATTTGAAAAAATATTGTTGTAAACCATCCAGGAGTATTGAAATGAGTAAGGGAACAATGGAAATGAGGAAAACCACTCATGAACATCCATCAACCACATTCTACCAACTGAAAGATTGGATTCAATGGTTTCATGAAGAATTAGGGACTATTTTAGGTGAGAGAGGTGTGGTCGAGTCTTTCCGTGCGGAAGATCAACTCTTGAAAACAAGTACAACAACTTTGGAGAATAGGATCAAGAAAGGCTTGATCATGATTCTTCAAGGAATGAATATCCTTATTCAAAAACATCCATTGGAAGGAGTGATATTGAAAGAACACGAAACAGTTCTGTTGATAGAAGCCCTATCATGCATCTATGAAGAGAAGGGAACGCTGTTTCAGTATATTTCTCATCATTGCCAACACTCGGTGAGAGAGGCTCTGCTGAAATTAGAGAGTTGTCTTTCCGAATTGGTTTTCAATGAAAACAAAAGGTAAGCAGGAATCAATATTGGCGAGATCTTGAATCAAGTTTTTAAATCAAAATTGTCGTTCACCAATACTAGCCACCATGACTATGAACTAGTTGCTCAATTTTCTCAATTCTGCATGATGGCCTTGATGTTCCGATTGCAGAATTATGATTTGTTAATGATGCAGCCTCAATCCTTTGAGGAGTTGGCTTGCCGTTTAAAGGACATCTTTATCAAACCTGACACGCAAAAGGAGAGGATGTTGAGCTATTTGCTGGATCCTTTGTTCAAAGAGATCGATGAAGGTGGAAACTTTTCTTCCATGCAAATAGGATCTATGGCAGAAAATGTAAGACGTCGATGTTGCATTCTCAGACATCTTTCTCTCCAAAGCAAAGACTCACAACTCAAGCTGGAGTTAATCTTTGGGGGTTTGCAAAGCTATATCACACCTCAAGTGATATTTCATGAGAGCATGAGAAGAAATTTGGAACAAGCAATTCAGGCGTTCTTTGAACCATTGTCAATGGCAAACCTCAGTCATCATGCTCTTATTGAGACTGTGGAGGGAATGAAGAAGAAAGTGTTTTTGATAATTATCCAAATTGTGGCTACGTGCTCTGAAGAGGATATGCGTGTTGTGGCTGGAAATTTGGAATCCGTGTCACGAAATCCATCACCGTCATTGAATCGTTCAACTACAGCAAATGGGAAACCAAGAAAGAAGAAACAAAAGCAAACAGGAGCTTTATCCGACCATTCGGTTTCACAACAACAAGATGCACCGAGCAATGTATTGAGCCACATGATTGACGCATTGCTAAACGTGCTAGGATGCAACGTGGTTTTTACTCAAAAACTACTAAACGATGGTATGTTTGGATAATGATCGTCAAATTAATTCAACTTCAATTTCCAAATCCGAAAAGTCTTTGCCATAATCAAAATATTAGCCACTTCGAGAAATAATAAGCAAAGAATTGAATTATTGTTGAGAGTGATGGAGTCTCTTCGAAAACATTTAATGCCTATCAATTCAGACGACAATCAACCAGAACGCAACTCTCAAAAGCAGCAGCAACACTTGCAATACGGTCTATTCATCCGCTCGGCATTTTGTTTGGACGAAAACAATCACTTGGAGTCTTTTGAAATGTGATGAACCTGAATAGTTTTCACTTTTCAAAAAAAAATTCACACCTCCTTGCGATACAACAACTGCAAAGAGTGACAACTCATGAAACGTCTCTTCTCGAAAATAAAGCTGGAGCCTGGTCGGGCTTCAGTGGCACTTTTCAAGACCGACTCTACTGCTTCCCTCACGGAGAAGAACCGAAAAACAGGCATGTTCGACACATTGCAACAAATGATTAAAGAACATGACGAACAAAAACTTGCAGCAGCGTCAACAGTTTGGGGTCACTTTCCTTCAAACCCAGAAGATATACCCGAATTTCTATTCTGTGCCATGGATTATTTGGAGAGAAACGGATTGGAGACTGTTGGTATATTCCGTCACTCCACGTCAAAAAGCCGAGAAGATAAAGTGATGCACGAAATTGATGAAAAGTTCAGAGCTGGAGGAGCCAAAAACGCAACGATAAACTTTGACGAGTATCATGACATTCACTTGGCAGCCTCTCTCATCAAAGTTTATTTGAGAAAATTGAATGAGCCTCTTTTAACAAACAAATTGTATGAAAGCTTTTTGGCAACTTCAAAGATGACATCTCCTCGGTGTTCGGATGCTGGTGAAAGTGCCAATTTGTCTGCCACTGAAATCGAAGAAGCAGAGAATAATAGAAGAATTAGATTATTACAACAGGTGGTTTCTCTGCTGCCGAACGCAAACTATTGCCTTTTGAAACGATTGTGTCTCTTTTTAAACAAGATCACAAAATATCAAGCACAGGTAAGTCACACTTTACTGATCAGTTCATGATGAAGATTCTCTATGGAAATATTATTTTGAATAATGTATGCTGTTACAATGTTACTACTACCATCACGTCATCATACTATGAATTATTCCACAAATGGATTTTTTGATTTTTTTTGGACGAATCACCTTGGCAATTGCAACACTCACAGAACTTGATGAGCCCAGAAAATATTGCCATCGTTTTCCAACCCAATGTACTTTATTTGAAAGATCAAGATCCAATGTTGACCATTCGTGACATTTCCAATGCAACCAATGTCATTAAATCTTTGATTGTATTCGCACCAGAAATATTTGGTGAGCAAGAACAAGCAACACCACGCCACCGACTCACCACAGAAACTTCTGATAGTGTCAGCAGTACTCTTGATACATCATCTCTCGTATCGGAGATTTTATCGAGCACCACTGAAGCCACAAACACAGCAGCTTCTCTTCATATTGTGACATCACCCTTAACAAGTCCAAGAAATCCATCATCAAATGGTGAAAGCACTACTTCTACTTCAACAGCAACTGTGCCTAGTATAGCGTTACAACGAACACCATCTTCAAGTGCCATGCATTTGGATGTGTCTGCATGTGGAGGAGATCAAACACCAGAAATTTTACAAGAAGGACAACCTTTCTATAAGGGAGAAACAAATTCGAAAGGAGAAAAACATGGTTATGGAATTCTCATGTTTCATGACGGCTCAGTATTTGAGGGCAATTTTGTGGATGACAAAAAAGAAGGCCATGGTAAAATGGTCTGGGCTGATGGCTCCAAATATGAAGGAGAATTTTCCAATGATGTCATCTCTGGACGAGGTACTTACAAGTATGCATCTGGAGATTATTATGATGGACATTTTGTGAATGGTGTGAGGGAAGGAAAGGGTAAAATTAAATTTGCCTCAAATCAGAGTCATTATGACGGTGAATGGTTGCAAGACAAGCGTCATGGATTTGGAAAACAATCATATGCCAATGGTGACGTTTATGAGGGAGAATGGAAACAAGATTTCAGTAGTGGCTAGTAAGTAGTAATAGCAAGAACCAAGTTTTGCCAAAAAAAAACACAATGTATTTTCTGCCTGTCAACAACAAATTCATGACTGTGAATCCTATGAATATTCAATCCCATTGCATGCAAATTTGCACTTCTCAATGTGAACTCATCATATTCAGTGGTACATTTACATCGACAGGATACACTTACGAAGGATACTGGAAGAGTGGTAAATTTGATGGAAAAGGTAAATTTGTCTTGCTCATTGATGCTCTTCGTCGAGAAATTCTTGAGGGAGAATGGGTTGATGGTCAATTGCATGGAGAATTGAACTACACGGACGGAGAAGGAAGAAAATTTTTACAAATCTACGAGAAGGGTGAACTTGTCAAGAATGAACGGCTGATCGATGAAAAGGAACAACGAGTCTTGGACTTGGTTCAAAAATTAATGTTGGAACCTATTAAGAGTCATCCACAAATTAAGTCCATACTCGAGAAACAAGTCATTCAAAACAATGATGTGTCAAGCCCAGTTATTCCACACCCAACACCTGGAGACGTTGCAACGGATCACCAACATGAACACGACAAGCTGCGAAATGCTCTTTACAAAGTACTCACCACTCCAGAGACAACCATTGTTTTTGATTTACTGTGTTCTCTTGTAGAACTCATTCCAAGCACTTTTTCAACAACCGCCACAATGGCAGCCAACAATATTGAATTAGCACAAGAATTAATGTAATTACAGAGTTGTCGCAACTCGTTGCATGATAATAGGAAGCTCACTTTTCTATTGACATTGTGTATTGGAGTTAACCTTGATCGCAACCTTGATGTGCTTATTATGAAAGCAAGAATGAAGGAAGCAAAAATTCGAAGTAAATTCTCAGAGTGCATAATTTAATCAAATAAATAAAATATATTTACAAAATTTCAAACAACATTTCTGGTTTCTTCTTTTCAGTATACTTCTCAGCCAATAGAGCATATTTCAATAGAGTGACTTCATCCCAATGCTTGGCCATTAATTGCAATCCAACCGGTTTTCCATCAACAAATCCAATAGGAATGGTAATGGAAGGATATCCACAAAAGTTGGAAATAAAAATAAATTTCATAATTTGTGACAAGACGTCATAATCACTCACGCCATAACCTCCCTTCATGACTTGCTCATCCACAAATTCTGGAGTCACTCCAGCAATAGTGGGTGTCGCATAAACATTCACATTTTGGAAAATCTTGTCGAATTCTTCCATTTGATGAGAACGAATTCTTTGAGCGGAAATGAATTGTGAGGATGAAATATACTTTTGTGAAAGCAAACTCATTCTGGTTTCAGGACAGAGCAATGATCTCTTACTATATTCAAAGTATCCATAGTCCTTCATTCCATTTCTCATCTCTGAGGCAATACAAACCAAATGAGAGACTCTACTTGGTTCGAGAAGTGGTGTGAAAATAGAATCATCAACTTGAGCTCCATAAACTTTGCAAAATACATTTTCAATAAAATCTCTACACATTTTCACAATTCGTTGATCCTTGACGTCATTGAAATAGGCATTGTCGATACCAATTTTTTGTCCTTCAAGAGAATAATACTCTTTGTCGGCCAATCGAATTTCGCTCAATCTCAAATCTCGAGGTTGAGACCATGAAAATGAATCATTTTCTCTTCGACCTGCAATGGCAGCAAATGAAAGAGTCAAATCAATGGCAGAAGAAGTCAATGGACCAGCCACACAAGTGGAGAAGGCAACAGGAGCGCTGTGTTGATAAGTGGAGACTCTGAAATGAGTAGGTTTTAATCCATAGAGTCCGCAGAAGGATGCAGGTACTCGAATGGAACCTCCACCATCTGTTCCAATGGACAATGGAACAAGGCCAGAAGCCACACATGCTCCTCCTCCGCTGGAACTACCTCCGGTGTCACATTTCATGTTGAATGGATTTCTTGCACTTCCAAAATTTAAATTCATTCCACGAGCTGTAGGTGGCAGATGAAAATGGAATCAAAATGTTCGTGTTTGTTAAAAGTATTATATTTGATCATTTGCCATCATTGACCATTTGAAAAATATAAAACACCATGATTCAAAAATATATCAACAACAATTCTACTACTTACGACAAATTCCAATCTCATTCTGGTTTGCCTTACCAACAAAAATTGCACCCAAAGCACGCAATGATTTACAAATGTTACTTTCCTCCTCCAAAGTGATTACGTGATTCGAATATTCAGTGACTTTCATGCCCTTACTTGAGGTAAATCCGGCAAGATCCAACTCATCCTTAATGGTGACAGGAATTCCATCAAATACAGAAATTTCCGTTCCATTTTCAAATCTCTCAGTCGATTCCTTTGCTTGTTTCAAAAACAAATCAGCATCATATTTAATGACTGCCAAGAGTGGTGGTTGACGAGAATCTCCCTTCTTGATTGCTTCCAAAATATTTTGAGCAACTTTCAATGGAGTGGTTTTACGTTCCTTGTAAAGTCGATGGAATTGTGTCAAATTTTTCCAAATTGGTTTAGTGTTTTCTTCTCCATTGTTATTACTGGATTCAGAACTTGAATAATATTCGTTGAGAATACGTTCAATTTCCTTCTTTTGAATCTCTTGAACTGACATTCCAGCATGTTCTTGAGCAAATTGTAAATCCTTCAGTTGATCTTGTTCATTCCTTTCGGGAATTGGATATAATTTAGGAGCATTATAAAGGCTCAATTCATCCAATAATGAGAAATTGGAGGATTTCAAAATCAATGGAACGATCCAATCACCCAATGGAGCATACTCGAGCAAGGTAACGAATAACCAAAAGAGTGAGCCTGTTAGCTTGGGAGCCTCCACGCTACGGAGCTCATAGGTACGACGTTGGAGAATTTCCTTGATAGGAATCCTTTTTCCTGTGGTTGTTGTTGTTGTTGTTGTTGAGGATGATCGTAATAATAGTAGTACAAATTTATGTTCGGTATTGTTGTTGGATGATCAAGTGATGATGATCAAGAATTAAAATATTGAAAATTCCAAATTTGGATTTACATAATTTCATGACCACAATAACATGTTAATATCATGAAAACAATATTTACAAAGGTATACTCACTTCCAACAAAAGTGTCATAGGCATGATATCCCAAAAACGCTGCAACCCCGAGAGCAACAATGGTCCACAACATTTTTTTCTGATAATAAGAACAGGTTCATCACGGAAGATTGGAAGGAAACGGAAAATTATTATTGAACGAACATTGTTGAAAAGCCAATTTTGACCTTTTAATTATTTCAAACATCGAATGCTCAGGTCATAATATTCTGCCATATTTTGCTTGTCTTGATAGATATTCATGTGTCTCACAATATTGTATTCGTAAAAATTGACCTTCTTTTGAAGATAGAGAGCAGTGAATTTTCCTCCACAAGAAACTTGATTAATTTCACATCGAGGTTCAAAAACAACACGAAAACTGCATGTCTGAAGTTCATTAGGAAGGAAAATTTGTCCAAAATCGTTTCCTCCACCTGTGTGAAACAAAGAATTGAGTGCAATAGATTAAGCATTGACGTTTCCAAGAATTTCAGTAACATTTGGTAAAATGGTTAAAAATTAAAACAAACCATCTCAACAAAATACATACATCTCCACACCTTTCGATCACTAGTTATAAGTACTGTATGGGTGAGACCACATGATAAACCTGTCACAAAAGTATTAATGTGTTTGATATAATTTCCAGTAACTGGAGAAATGGCTTCAAGCTTCAGACGTATAAAAGTCGAATTGACAGACTTGTTTTCACCATTTCCTAATTGGCCATATCGTCCATCACCGCACACAAAAACGTCACAATGATCAACAACCACTACTGTATGATACAATCCAAGAGCAACATTGGTAATTTCTCGACCTGCAAAAGGAAGATCTTTTGGTTGTGCAAAATCGAAAATTGTTGAATCCACATCATATCCTAGTTGACCATGACAATTTCTAATTTTAAATAATTTTTAAAATGAAATTCCACAATAACAATGAAATTTTCATCACAAATGTACGCGTTGCAACAGTAATAATTTGCAAAAATTATACCTGAATATTTTCACAAAATACTTACAGTCCAGAACAAAAATATTCATTATTGTGTAAAACAATCACGCTGTGATAGCCTCCACAAGCAACAAGTTTCACATTGGGTGGTTGGTGTTCATAGCCTCGTAATTTAATTTCTGTGAGCTTGGCAAAACTTTGACCTTCCAAATTTCGTCCATATCTGTCAATGAAATGTGCGTACAGGTTTGTTTTGAAAATATATTTCATTCAATTAATATTAATTTCAAAACGAGCAAATAATACAATAAATTCGTCATTAATGTGATCAATTTCGTTATCATTAATTTCATTAATAAAATTCATAATTTCAATAATAATAATCAAACACATGGTAATCAATAATCCACATTAAAAATCATCCTTTCATCATACAATAAAATATTAAAAAACATACTGATGATAGGCATTCGATCCTCTTCCAAAAATCTGATTAAATTGATTCACCACAATACAATGATCATCTCCAACTTTGGAGCAATCAAAACACTTCACTTTGAAATTCTTTTTCCATCCTTCTTCGGGTGTCCAGCGAGTAAATGAAACGTTTGCAATGAGCTGAGCCGGTGATGGTGAGGCTAAATTGGAAGTCATTGTAGAAGAGGTTGCAGAACCACTATTGAGGCTAGTAGTTCCACCCATAATTCCAGGACTACCATCTCCTACACTACTCACATGAGAGGCATGAGCATACAAATTCTGTAACGGTGGAGTACCACACCAATAGATGGAATCTCCTCCGCAATCATTTGATGATAAATTTGATGTACCCGAGGATGTTGCTGATGATGATGGATGATCACTACTACTACTATTATTGATTTTTCTTGCAATGATATATGAAACCAGAGTTCCTCCATACAAATCATAAATCTTCTCTCCTCGTTGCAAAAATCGATTCGTATCCAATTTCGTTAAATCCTTCACGGGTTTGTTATGGGAGAGTCCGAGTTGGAATTCAGTGTTCTTTCCGACCACATACACTTCATTGAGTCGGTTCGTGAGAAGAAGTAAATGAGAGGCTCCACAACTTGTTTTCTTGATACGAATGGCTTTCTTGACTTTGGTTCGGGTCAGAGAATTGCCTGTTTCGACCCAATCCGGAAAGGGGAGTTTGACTTTGTGTAGTTGAAAGACATCGACAAAGTCATCGGTGATGCATTGACCTCCGTGGTTGTGGCCACATGTAAGAAGGGTGGCGTTTTGTCCATTACTTTGTGGTTGTCCCATGAATATTTGTTGTTCTTTGTGATTTATGAGGAGTTGTTGTGAAGCAAATCTATGATGATGAGTGGTGTTGTTGTTATGTGGCGATATCCGTGTACAAAAATCAACACAATCACACCAGCAATTTAAAAATTATATTATTATTACTATTAGAAGAGGTAGTGTTTAACTGAAACTTCCACACAAGTTGATAAGTTGATCGGGGTTTTTTTACTGATGGATGGTTGTTGAGATTTGCAGTTAATTTTTTCTTGTTTTATTTTAATTGTTTGGTTGACACAATTTAAAATAATTATTTCAATTCGAGTATTTAATGTTTTTTCTTCTTCTTTTTTGATGATCCTGTCTGGACATTCTTATTGGGTTGTTGTTGTTGTTGAGTGTGTTGAGATTTTTGTTGCTGAGATTGTTGAGCTTGTTCCTTTTGGGGTGACGATTTTGGTTGTTGAGTTTGTTTAGGTTGTTGTGGCTGTTGTGTTGGTTGTTGCGGTGAAGTTTTAGGTTGTTGAGCTTGTTGTTCCTTTTGGGGTGACGATTTTTGTTGAGCTTGCTTTGGTTGTTGTTTTTGTGATGGTTGAGAAGTGTTTTTCTGTTTTGCTTGTTGTTGATTCTTCTTATTTTTCTTGGAAGTTTGCTGTTGTTGCTGTTGCTGCTTTTGTTTCTGCTTCTTTTCCTTCTCCTCCTTCTCGAGTAAATCAAACAATTCCTTTTCAGCTTTTTGACGTTCCTGCTCTGCATCCTTCTTACTTTGTTTTTGCTTGGGTGCTGTACTGGATTTTCTGCTCGTGCGATCCATGGTATTTTTGAGCACAGAGTTTTGATAAAAGAAATTAAGCCACTCTGGATGATTGTAAGGTCTATCACTCTCTGGAGATTTCATATAGGTCTGTGGATTTAGTAACTTTCTCATGTGTGCTCTATCGTCAGGGTGCATACGACTAATGTCATAGCCAAAGTCATCTTCAATTTCTTCATCTTCCTCATCTTCCTCGTCTTCCTCTTCGTCGTATTCGTCCTCATCTTCGTCATAATACTCGTCATATTCATCTTCATCATAATCGTCGTCATCATCTTCATAGTATTCATCCTCATCGTCATATTCATCCTCGTCGTAATATTCGTCTTCATCGCTGTCTCCATAACCGCCCATCATTGAACTAAATAAATCTGCAAACGCATCTTTTCTGGCTCTTTCTTCGTCATCATCACTTCCTTCCCACTCTGCTTCCTCAACATGTTTCAAACACTCTTCAATCGAGCCATAATGATAAATCATGGACCAAAATTCATTCAATGATGTCGAGTAAAAGTGAGGTTTTTCGTGTCTTTCTGTGACTTCAATAATATCCGTTAGTCGATGTTCGTCAATAAGCTTTACATTTTGATCTAATACTTTGATGGTTCCTTCCGCATCTTGTGGAATTGAAGTTGGCTTTTTCTTTTTCTTTGTAGTAGATTGATGATCCTTTTCGCTGTACCACCACAAAACATCTCCTCGGTAATTTGAAGATGAAGCCTTTGATTTTCCAAATGTAACAAATTTAAAATTTCCTGATTTTACAGCATCAAATCTTTTTAATCCTTGTGCTGCACACGCCGAACAACCTCCCTCTTTGAAAGGAATGACTTGAAACTCTCCGTGATCACACAACGACCATAGCGGAACGAGTGTGGGCATGTTTGTTTGCTGGTATTTTTTTCTTTGATCAACTGAATCGTGAGCCTTGTGCGCGAACTTTTTTGAAGAAGACTTGTTTGGGACTTTTTATTGTTTATTAATAATAACATTTTAATTGAGACAACAAGGAGATGGTATAATTCTTACCTTTTTCACAATTTTTGAAACATAATTCCTTTCTTTTTTAATATATCTCGTTTAATGTTGTAAATCATAGGGATTGAGAAACACTTGCTCTGTCAACCATCGTTGTTTTCCAAAAAAGTCTGAGGCTGGTACAACAGTGCTTCTCTTTGCATCGACAAATTTTGCAGTATCTTTCCTGTGATTCTTCTTGTAGAATTCTAAATGTAAAAATTTCAAAACGGCTGGATCGACCTCAGTTTTCACAGTAAATGGATCGACCTTCTCCTTTGCAAGTGTGGCCTCCAATTTCAAATCTACAAATCTCTTGGAACGTGATTTCTTGGGTGCTGCCGTCTCTAAGGTTGCTTGAATTTGAGGTGTTTTTGTAGAGGCTAATGACTCCAAAGCTGCTTCTTGTTTTTCATCTTGTTGAACTAGAAAATCCAAAACAGCGGTATCCAATAATTTCTTTTTTTTTGTTGATGATGATGTAGTATCATGTAATGCTTCCGCATCTACCACATCCTCTTGCTCTTCCGAATGTTTTCGTTTTTCCGATTTTTTCGTTAACTTTTTCAATTTCTTATCCCGAACACTTTGTTTTCTCAATTCTTGTTCTGCAAGTGCTGCAACAGCCAGTTTAGCCTTGCTACTTTGTACCATTTCCGGTGCTTCATCCTCATCACTCGATGTTGTTTCATGTTTTTGATGACGGGAAAGAGATTTTTTCGTTAGTGGTTGAGTTGGCATTTTTTTTGAACTTCAAGACAGAAAATAAAAATTTCAATCAAAGAGCAAGAGCAACAAGAAAATAACCATTTTCTGTGAAATTATCTCTTCTCTGATTTCCAGACCGTGTATAATTACACGCTGAATTGGACTAAAATCCAAGAACTGTTAGCCCTCTTCGTTGGCAGATGCCTCAAATTCTGCTGCTCTGACAAGATGGAAGACCAGTCGCTTGTGTCATTAGTTAAAGTCCCAACTAGGGATTTGGTGTGCAAATGACTTCAATAAATTTGTTTCAACTTCAATACACAGGTTTTCCAATGATGAGAAACATTCATTCAATTTTAACAACAAGAGCCTTGTTATTGGAAATGATATTTGTTGAATTACTGTCGATTCAACCGTTGAAGCCAAATGAACAATTACAGCAATTTCTTTCAAAAACCATCACTAAAACACAGTCCTGATGACGCAAGGTTTATTAATAACCTTGTTTGTTTTGGAGGTTTTGTTTTTATTAACGGTTTTAAGTTGCTCTTTTCCATGATCAGTCCGGACGAAAAGAATGAATCAAGTTATTCAAATTGATAGAGTTTCAATTAAATGAGTCCTTCAATACTGATAGAGTTTCAACTCTTGTTGAGGTTATCAAAAAAAAACTCAACAACAACCTTAATCTCAACGAATGAAGAGAAGTAGAGAGGATGAACCTACTCATCCTCCTACTAATCCATCTCTTGCACACGGCATCATTCCATTCTGGGATGAGTACTCACAACAAGTATCGGATGAACTTTGGGCATGTTCAAGAGATTCCTTTCATGAGTTTAATCAGTACAACAACAAGGGATGCACTGACAGATGGTTCAAATTTTCTCAATTCACTGTGATTGAATCAAAGCCAGTGTTTGATGTTCCACTCAATGTTCATTACTCTATAACAGAAAATGTGGCTTTTGATAACTCTAAAAAGCCACCTCAGCTCAAGAAGGCAAAGAAGAATCAAAAGACGCCCCAAAAATTTCAAGCAGACAAATCATTGAAAATTCGTCTCTACCCCAATGAACAAGAAAGGACAACATTGAATCAGTGGATGGGAACTGCTCGTTGGATCTACAACAAGTGTTTAGAATTCACCAACAAATCCAAAGGTGTCAAGAAAAATAAGAAGAATTTCAGAACGTTTGTGGTGAACAACGATAATTATCAGACAGAAAATCAGTGGGTTGTAAATACTCCTTATGACGTAAGAGATGCTGCCGCTAATGAATTGTTGACTGCATTTAAAACAAATTTTGAAAAGAAGAAAGCTGGAATGATTGACAAGTTCATGATCCGTTTCAGGCGAAAGAAAGACAGAAAAGATCATTTCGTTCTACATTGCAAGCACTGGAAGAAAAAGACTGGACTGTATTCTTTTATAAGGAACATCAAGAGTGCCAAACCTTTGCCTGAGGAGCTTCAGTACGATTCCATCATTATTAAGAACAAGTTGAACCATTATTATTTATGTATTCCACAAGTACTGGACATTAGGGGTGAGAACCAAGCCCCTCAACATTCAGGACAAGTTGTAGCATTGGATCCAGGAGTAAGAACATTTCAGACCACCTTTGATTTGAATGGTTATTCAACCAAATGGGGCTCAGGAGGTGCCGAAAGAATTGGTAGATTGTGTTGCGCGTATGACAAGTTGCAATCGAAGTGGTCTCAACCAGAAGTCAGACATTGCAAAAGATACAAGTACAAGAGAGCAGGAAGAAGAATTCAACAAAAGATTAGAAATATTGTGGATGATCTTCTCAAGAAACTGTGTTTGTGGCTGTGTCGAAACTACCAAGTGATTTTACTTCCTTCGTTTGAGACTCAGAAAATGGTAAAGAAACTCCATAGGAGAATTAATAGCAAGACAGCAAGAAAAATGTTGACTTGGTCACATTACAGATTCAAGCAAAGATTGCTTCACAAAGCTAGAGAGCATCCGTGGACACACATTTATATTGTCAACGAAGCGTATACATCCAAAACTTGCTCATGTTGTGGACATGTTTATACGGTTGGATCATCTGAAGTGTTTCGTTGTCCATCATGTGGCTCAATTTTTGACAGAGATATCAATGGAGCAAGAAATATTCTTCTTCGATTCCTTACTACTCATAGAATTAGTTTTTGAGCACCTTGTGTGTTGGGTCTTCCCCACCTTGTGTACGTTGGGTCCTTTCCCCTGGCTTTCACTCTTTGAGTGTTTGCTTGCAAGATCAGCACTTTGTTCGATTTGTTTGTTTTGTTCAAATTGTTGATTTAAATAAAGGCGTTACAGTATTTGAAAAAAAAATACCAAAAATGATCACACGCACCAGTAGTGAGCCGAGTTGTACAATCTCATCACCGGTTGAAAGTGTTGTTGTTGTTGAATCAAACAATTCCTCTCCTCCGATCTGTTCCAACATCCATACACCGTTCATTGATGATATTATTTTTGAAATTCTTCATTTCCTTCCATCATCATGGATCATTCGAGTGTGTATGAAAATTTCAAAACAATGGAGACAAGTATCATTTCAAATTCCGCTATCATTGGCATTCAAATCAAATCACTTCAAACAAGTTCGTGAATCAATCAAATTTTTGGGGAATTGTGAATGTTTGACGAATTTAACTTCTTTGGACCTTAGTTTCAATCAAATTGACAATGAAGGTGCGAAAGATATTGCTATGAGTGAATGTTTAAAGAATTTAATTTCTTTGAATCTGGAAAGCAATAGTATTGGTAATGAAGGTGTTAAATATATTTCTACAAGTGATTATTTGAAGAATTTGACTTGTTTAAATTTGAAATACAATCGCATTGACAATGAAGGTATCCAATATATTGCTACGAGTGAATTTTTGAAGAAGTTGACTTTTTTAAATCTGTTTGACAATGGAATTGGCAATGAAGGTGTCAAATATATTGCCGCAAGTGAAGGATTGAAGAATTTGACTACTTTGAATCTGGTCAGCAACAGAATTGACAATGAAGGCTTCAAACATATTGCTACGAGTGAATATTTGAAGAATTTGACTTCTTTGAATCTAATCAACAATAGAGTTGGCAATGAAGGCGTCAAGTATATTTCTACAAGTGAATGTTTTAATAACTTGACTTGTTTGAATCTGAGACACAATGAAATTGGCTGTGAAGGCGTAAAATATATTTCTGCAAGCGAATGTTTGAAGAATTTGACTTCTTTAAATCTAGGATTCAACCAAATTGGCAATGAAGGTGTCAAATATATTGCTGCGAGTGAGTGTTTGAAGAATTTGACTACTTTGAATCTGGGTAGTAATAGAATTGGCAATGAAGGTTTTAAATATCTCACTACGAGTGAATATTTGAAGAATCTGACTTCTTTGGATCTGATACACAATCCAATTAACAAACGGTGATTCATATATTGTTGATGATTCAAACGAGTCGAAGAATTGTGCACAGTCACTTCTTAAAGCAATCTCACACAAAGGCTGTGATATCTTCTCTCAAGATTGGCCACTACAGATTTTTACTCTCACAGACTTTCACTCGAGATTGGTTTTTGCAATGTTTATTTGCAACCATAAAAAATGAAATCTTGTCGTGGTTCGGAAGCTATGTGGATGATAATTTTGTACATCTTGATTCATCATGTTACTATAGCAATGAACATCATGACCAAGTCCAGCTTTCTTGACACCAACTGTCAATTGTCATCAACCTCATCATTGAAGACTTTTTACGTTCGTCCACTTTACAACACTTCCCAAGACACCAACCAGAAAAAATGGCTTCATTCAATCTCTTCGGAAGAAGAACAACAACAACCAACAACAAATTGTACTCAAGAATTTCCGTGTCCGTCCGTTGATGAAGCTTTACAATTAATTGTTCAATTATTTAATTCTAAACAAATTGAAAAATTAGAAGGAAAAATAATATTAATGCCCGGTCTTGATGGAAATGCCATATATGGAAAAAATCTTTGCAAAATTCGACAACCTGGAGAGTGTGGGCTTCCATGTTCGATCACATTTGATCAAATTGTGATTGAATCATTCGATCTTGATTCCATGATCACCTTTGATTGTGAAGATTTACCTCTCTTTTCAAAACTTCAAACGAACCAAATGATCATGTCTCATATCAATGTAAAGAAAATGCCATTCGTAATGAGTGACGGACTTATTACACAACAAACACATTTTCATGCAGCGAATGTGTCACACGTTCAAATATATGCATCATCACCTTCGTTTCCTCAATTTCCAAATGCTATGATATTTACAAACACTGAAATTTCAAATTCAAACTTATTTATGGATGGGTTAACGCACATCTCTTTTCATAACGTTTCGATTCTGACTTGTCAGATAAAGACTGTTGATCCAATTTTTATGGATTTTCAATTTTCAAAATTGATCGATTCTCAACTAACTCTCATTCCCTTATACGATAGACTGAACAATAATTTAAACGTGACATTCACAGAATTTATTCGATCAGAAATTGTGCTGACCTTTTTCAACGAAATTATTTTCCAAAACGTTCAATTTTCTGAAAAGAATCAAGTACGTGTCACCTATTCAGATCATGCTTCTTTTTTCGGTATTACAGCTCATTATTCACAATTCTACATGTTACTTCAAGGAGTGTTGCAAGTGAAAATGCATGATTCAGAATTCCGCTCATGCCAATTACTTCACAATGTTATGATGGATATATCATCATGCTATTCTATAGAATTCACCAATTGCCTATTTTCTCACAATCATGGAGTGTTGGTACAATTTTCTAAAGTCCTCCTCTTGTATATGTACGACAGTGTATTTTCACATAATGTACAAGGCCCGTGTATCATGGGAACGAGCACCCCTTCAGAAGCAACGTCGAGTAGTCTAACACTGTTGAGTAAGTCTCGATTTGTGAACAATACATGTGCCGTAGGAGGATGTGCCATTCATATTGGATATGTCCAATCGATTAATATCCAAGACAGCCAATTTATTCAAAACACAGCCACCATGCAATCTGGAGGTGCCATCTACGCGATCACTGAAAATATAGATTTTGGGTTCTCACTCATGCAACAAAACAGAGCATTACTTTCAAAAGGAGGTGCCATTTATTTGAAAACTTGTCGATCGTTGGACAATAATTTTGAGTTCAATGAGTTTTTGATCGATGGTATTGATTGTGAAAATAACACGGCTGGATTTGCAGGTGGATGTTGGTACTTGGAACGTGATGAAGATTCAATTTCTTCCTACACTTTTTTAACTCAAATTTCAAAGATTCAATCAGGAACTCGTTTTGTGAATAATCGAGCACTTTCTTTTGGGAATAATTTTGGAACCTCTTTTCAGAATATGACGTATGAACTTGTACTTTATTACAGCTCTGAAAATGTCACAGTTTTTAAAGGAAGAATCCACTCACATGACTCTTTGAGTGAAAACCCTCCTACCTTGTATATATACCCGGGACAATCCATTCCTTTGATAGAATTACATTTATGGAACAACAAATCTGAACCCATTTCGTTTTTAGAGTCATCCTTAAGTTCTATCTTGAAACGTCCTTCCAATGTTTTCCTCAGTGATCAACGACGACAAGACAATGTGAAAAATATGCAAATTCATAACTTGACACTCTCATTATATTCACCACATGATGTTCGTTCCACAATTCAAACTGTATTTCAATTGGACAATTTTCATGAAATTGAGCTATTCATTAACATTCAACCATGTCCTTCGGATGCCTCTCTTCAATTATTGATGTCTCCAGTGGCAGGATCCTATTCATGTATTCAAATTACTCCAATACCCTTTGGAGTGATCATTCCAGTGGTCTCTGTGGTTTCCATCACACTGTTTTCATTGTTTGTTTTGAGTGTATTTGTAGTAGTGAAAGTATTGACAAGTGTGTTGAGAAAATTGAAACGATTGAAACAAAAAGAAGATGCTGAGAAACAAATGGAAAAGAAATTATTGGAAAAACATGTCATTCTTGAGGGAGAGACGATGGTCAATGAGAAGAGTCAGATTCAGAACAACAACGAACGAGAAGACGACACGTATCATGAAAAAACAAGTTTATTAATTAATCAATTGTCACATTCCACACAAAAGAAGAAACATTTAAGTTGGATCATTTCCATTGATCAAGTCAAACTCATTCGAAGAATTGCAGAGGGAGCCAATGGAACGGTTTATTTGGCTTCATGGAATGGAACATTGGTGGCCATGAAAACTCTAAAACAATTTGCCGAAAATCATCCTTTCGAACAAGAGGAAGAAGAATTTGAAAAAGAAGCTTCATTACTTTCCTCCATTCGTCATCCAAATATTATTCAATTTTTTGGAGTAATTTTAGCGGGTTCTAAAAAGTATATGGTTGTGGAGTTTATGGAAAAGGGAAGTTTGGCACAATTGATTTATCAATTACGAACCGGCGCACACTATTTATCCATATTTGGTAAAATTGATATTTTACTTGGAATTGCAAGAGGAATGAATTATTTACATTCCATGAAACCACATGGAGTGATTCATCGAGATTTGAAACCAGCAAATATTTTACTTGATCACAATAGGAAGGCAAAAATTTGTGATTTTGGATTGAGTCGAACGTGGAATTGCAACACGTCACTTGATGATACAGTGACCATGAATGTGGGAACGTTATTTTACATGTCCAATGTAAGTATATATATACTCAAAAGTGTCCATAGGACTCTAAAATTTTTTGTTTTTTTATTAAGGAAATGATTGGTGGCAGTAATTACAATCAAAAAACAGATGTTTACAGTTTTGGAATTATCATGTGGTACGTATGACTATTTTCCAAAATCCACAACCTAATTCACAATCACACACTCATCATGGCCAATTTCATTAATTTTTTTGGTTCTTCCTATATCCATAGGGAACTCTTTTTTGAAGAAACACCCTATCTTTATTCGAATTCAAAAAAGTTTCCAATGACGACAACACAAAATCATGACATGTCATCTTTCAATGCACTTTCAAAAGTACTGAAAGGAGAACGACCACTTTTACCATTCGATTCGAATGAACAAGAACAAGTACGAAAATGGATTTTGACATTTCATGGAAAAGATGTTGTTGAGACCATGTCGTTGGAAAGGTTGTGTGAAATTTGTAGCAAATACATTCAATTAATGAGAGAATGTTGGAATGCCAATCATCAAGAAAGACCTACCTTTGCAGATGTGATTCATCGCCTTATGAGTTTGATTGGAGGAGAGACTAGTGACATGTAATTGAATGACTTGTTACATGACATTAATGATTGGAGAATATTTTCTGTAATGCTACACTAGAGCACAGGTTACTTAGACAATCCCAATACACACAACACAAAATTTTATCAAATATTAACCTCAAGAAAGTTTTCTTTGGATTCCATTTCAATGAGAACTGAAAACAGTACGACCTACGGACGCTTTGTCGTATCATTAATAAATTGTCCGTTTCACATTCAAAATCGTTTACAAAAAAAATGATTTCACATCGCTTTTACTAAACATCACATGACCAATAATTCCACCACCACGAAAATAACTTTCAAATATATTTTCATCGTTTCCTTCTTCTTATTCTCTGTTTTGATGGAGTTGGGTGCCATTTCATCGACCATCTCCTATGCGGTCATTAAACATGTTTCTTCACCCAATCCCGACACCATGATCACGAATATTAGTATTGGAGTACCGTGTGTGGTTCATGATTGGCGTGTCAATTGTCAAAATTTACAGATGTGCTTGGGAATTTATTGTACTCGGTATGCATCCTGCCAAGCCAATGTTTCCTTGTTATTGTTGTGTGATCAAGATGTTGCATTTCGAGGGCCCTCATACGTAAATTGTTCTTCCAATATTCATTCACAAACAATAACGAATGAATACAATAATTTTCAAAATTATTCCATTCGAACAGTTCTCACCCTTTCGCAACCTCTGTATTCCATTCCACCACCATCTCCTCCCAAAAATTTCAATTCGACCCTTTGGTCAAATGTCACGACTTGTTATTTAAGGCAAGATCAAAACATTTTCACATCTCCAGTTTCTATTTTACCATTTCTTAATGATACGTTGTATGAACAACAAGCTTCCAAATATACCAATTACTTGGTCGTGACAATTATTATTGGACTCTTGACGAATATCGTTGGATGTGTATTAATTGCAATCTCACTTGTGGCGTGTTGTGGAATTGGTGGTATTGTAAACGGTGCTGCAATATTTTTGCATTGTTATAAGAATGATCAAAGTCAATGGTCTGAAAATTATCGAAAACGAGTGTTGTTTGTGAATGGACGATTGAAATATTCAGATGGAAGTGATTTTTGAAATTCCACAAATGTTGACTCAATGTATTTCAAAACGTTATGAATTGTTCTATCGAATCACGAATTTTTCACTTGTTAAAATAAGGTAACGACAAGATATCTTGAGCATTGGGTCTCGTCACACTTTCCTTCTCCAACATTTGGAGTACAATATTGGCCAATTCTTCTGAATAATCATTTTCCAGTATTTTGTTTTTCAATATTTGTTTGGAAACTGAGGGTTCTTTGGTTAATAATAAGTGACTGATGGAAGTGGCTGTATCTTTGGTCATCATTTGATAAACAGTCACACCCAATGAATACACATCCGTATTTGCATAATATTTGCTTCCCAATCCAATTTCAGGACTCATATATAATGGAGTGCCTGCATAACTTTGTGCTTCAGATCCTTGATTTCCTTTTGCGAGACCAAAATCAGCTAAAACAACACGAATCTGTTGTTTCTTTTCATCAAAACTCTGAATGAAAATATTTGAAGGTTTGATATCTCTGTGAATAATGTTCAATGTTCCATGAACATAGACCAATGCAGTACAAATTTGATAAATCACTTGTTTCACAATCTTTTCATTACATTCCACTGCATGACCAGGTGCTAATGTGGTAAATTTGTTCAAGTCTCCTTTCTCATAATAATCCATATCGAGACACAAAAGTTGATCTTTGGACAAGAAAATATCATTCACTTTCAAAATATTGTCATGTCGAATGTTCATCAATTGAATTCCTTCTTTCATGATACTATTCAATTCACTCATCGATGAAAATTTCATGACTTTGACAGCTTTCGCTTTGTTTCCATATTTTGTATCATTCGCTTTAAAAACTGAACCAAATGCTCCTTGACCAATCTTCACAATATTTTGATAACGAGAGAATGGATCTATCGCTTGTCCTCGTGCCTCTGCTGATACAGTTCCAGAACCATTCTCTGTCATGAGAGGTGTGAATGAGACACTTGCATCGGAAGGAAAGTCTGAAGAGGAAAAATTTGTTTCCAACTCGACACTATTCAATGTAGAAATATGAGAAATTCCCTTGTTTCCATTTTCAATATTCACTTCTGAATTCTTGCTGTTTTTTCCTCTTCGCAAAGACAAGTACCATGCAATGACAATCACAACAATGACAAGTGCTGAAAGAATGAGACAACCTCCAACACCAACCACCACACCAATAATAATTGCATCAGTATTTTGGCGAAAGGATGTTCTTTCACACAGTGATCCTTCAAATCCATTTTGGCATTGACACGAATCCAACGATTTACATTGACCATTTCCAGAACATACTCGAATATCGTTGGCCCAAGTTCCATTGCAAGATGGAATTTCACAATTCGATCCACTCCATCCATTCAAACAAATACATTCTAAAAAGGTTTCATTATCAAGTGTTCTGTTTCCTTCACAAAATGGAATCATTTTTCGAACGAGACCAAATGTTTGATCAGCATAATACAGTTCGCCATTGTCTCCAGATACGATCGTGGTTGGAAGTCCTGCACAAGTTTGTGTAGATAACCGTCCATCTCCATTATAGTTGCATGTCTCTGATCCTGGAATCATTCCTCCAATGGTTACAATTCGTTTAGTTTCTTTGGATACTTTACGAATCAACCCATTTCCAGAATCAGAGATCACTAAATCTCCATTCTTTAGAAATACTAACGATTGTGGATTTCTAAGGCTCGCCTCTGTTGCCAATACATCTTCTCCATTGTAACCAGAGTACCCGTTACCAGCAATGATAGAAATTTCTCCACTAGTAAAATTTTTCATTTTCACAGTACTTGTTGTTTGTTCTACAAAATACAAGTCACCTGTGAAAGGCGAAATGGCAGCTCCATTCACGATTGCTGTAACGTTTGCCAAAAATACAATGCTCTCAGTGGCAGCTATATATTTCGAAATTCTTGACATTCCAAGTGCGCCTTGAATGAAGAGTATATCTCCATTATCAAAGCACATTGGGACTCTTGGAGAAGCAAGCAACGACTGAGATGCAAGACCTTCCGTTGGTGGTGAGCTAGACTGTATAAAGGTTCCTGCGATAATTGAAACCAATCCAGTGGCGGCTACATATTTGTACAGCACGTGGTATTGTCTTGCTGCAATAATGACGTCTCCATTCGAAAATCCACATGTAGACACCAAACCAGTGACAAGGACGTTCTTCAAAAGACCTTCAAATGCATTCACTCCATTCACATAGATCCTGAAACCTGATAAGCGAGAAAGGTATCCGTTCTTGATGTCAACCTTGCTTAACAAATAGGAGTTGTAAAATGAGTCAACTGAATGAATCCAAATGTCTCCTCCACTTTTAGAGTCTTTGTTTTTAACAAAGGAAATGGAGTTAATGGTATTGAGATATGTAGAATCGGCTGATTGAGGAGCTTTGGATGATGCATCGTATTGAAATCTACCGGCCACTGTTGACAAAATACCATCCACAGATATCTTTCTAATTCGAACTCTGTTACATTGTTAGCTAATCATTTTACTGCCATATAAAAACAACGTACGTTTGTTCAACAAAATAAATTTCTCCCTGTGCTGTGAGGAATAGACTTGTAGGAGTGCTTTAAATTGACACAAGTTAACTTTTTGAATAAAAAATTCTATGTAATCATGACATACCTAATTAATGATTCAGTTGCTTTCAATCCATCACCGTTATAACCCGCAAATTCATTTCCATTGCTATCTGGTGCAATTCCAGCAATAATACGAACTGAACCATCTCGAAGTGACAATGCCCGAATGGTCGAACTTCCATGAACAAAATAAAGAGTATCATTCTGAACTGCAATACTGCTAATTGACAGATCATTCGTTCCATTATAAAGTAAAATTTTTGTTGAATTATTCTCGAAATATTTGAATATGGAATTCGTTCCATATTCAGCAAAATAGAGGATTGGGCCATCAGTTAAAGCATCAACCACATGAAATGATTTCGTACTTTGTTCGGTGTTTCCTGCAAAGTTGTAAACAATGGTCATGCTTGATGTTGTTGCGTTGATTTTAAATATGAATGCTGAATTTGCACAATAGATGAAACCTGTTGTTGAGCTTTGACCTGTCGGAAAAACTAATGTTTGAAGTTAATGTTATTGATATTGGAAAACAGTAAATAACTACGCACCTGCAGTAACTTGAGAATAGAAGACAGTAGTAACATTTCCATTGAGCTGAATCCTTCTTAACCGTGAACCCGCATCACAAAAAAGAATTTCACCATTTTCGTATCGGTGTAGACATGTAGGTGCACTCAGCAACGTTTCTCTCGCATTGACATTCTCAAGGCCAGGGTACCCTGTCTTCTTTGGAATTCCAGCAATGGTTGTCAGAATACCATCTTGTGAAATTTTTCTAATAGTTGAAGCATTTGAGTCTGTAAAATAGATCTCACCATTATCTTTTGAGACAGCTACATGATTTGGATAAACGATAGCTCCCAAAGCAGTGGACCTTAGACCGTCACCATAACGATTATTATCATTGTACTTTCCCCAAACTGTTGAAATGGTTCCGGTAGATTTTGAAACTAGTTTCACATGATCTGCTCCAGTAATTACAACATCTCCGTTTGAGTGCTCATAAATAAAAGCAGGTTGATTAATTGCGGCTTTGGTTGGAATGACATTTTCACCGTCATTTACATTTCTACCATCACCTGCAAAGGTTGTGACAATGCCATTTGTTATTGAAATAGTTCTAACTGCATTCAATCCATAATCCGCAACAAGAATGTCACCATTCGATCTCACAAATATTCCTCTGAGATTTTCCATCATAAATTTGATCAAACAAGTTTCATGCAAATTGATTCATGTTTCGAATAAAATAAACACAAGAAATATTCACGTAAAGTTACATTAACACACGAAGTAACATACTTGAGCGCAGAAAAAAAAGCCACCCAGGGTTGCGAGTTTTCATAAAAAGTTTTAGTGCCCATGCCCTGGATGTTACCTGCAACTTGTATGATTTGTTGCATTCCAATTTGAGGCCCTTCAATCTTCCAAACCACGCTATATCCACTTCTCAATTCTGTAATGAAAATCACTCCTTGTGGGGTTACGTGAATTCCATACGGAGAAATTAACTTCATGCTTGTTGCTAAACCTCCACCTACAACAACCGATCCTCCTCCTTGTAACATGTATGAATTGAAAATTAATAAATAGCCAGTGATCATCATCAACATTAACCACGTACCTGCTACTAATGAAACCTTTCCTGTGGTTGCATGGAAATGTTTCACTAAGCCTTTCGTTGAGTCCGTTACATAAACATCTCCATTCATCATGGCAAACACTCCGACCGGTGTAGAGAGTTCTTGATTTGAAATTAGAGTGGTAACTATCCGAGTAGAGGCTGATATCTTTCTTACCCTTCCATTACCCGAATCTACAAAAAGTGAGATTGATTTTCATCATCATCACGATCACATTTTTTAGTTGTTAATATTATTAATGTTAAAATACATTGATGATAATTTGATGACCAAAAGATGAACTCGTTCAAACTTACCAGCCACATATAAATCTCCATTCGGAGTTAAACTTAAACCTATTGGAGTGTGGAATTGAGTGAGTAATGCATGCATGCCATCTCCATTGAATCCTGCTGTTCCTAAACCAGCATAGACCCTCGAGGTTGAATTTGGATATAAGACACGAATGACATGATGAATGGTGTCTGCAACAAATAATTCATTCTTTTCATTCATGACTGCAGCACTGGGTTGACTCAATGGGACATATTCACTCAATGCATAATCGTCTGAAATTGTGTCCAGGAACATGCTTCCAGCCAGAGTTGTGGTCTTGTATTGCGGCGACAAGGACACACATGGATATATATGAAGAAGCTGAGTGAATAGAACAAAAGCAGCAACAAGCAAAAACTGTGTGTGCGGTATGGTCATGTTTGGTGGTTCACTCAATTTTTAAGTTTGTTGGCGATGGATTTAGCTCCTCAGACATCTGCTGGATGCGTCATGAAAAAATTGGAAGTTTGTTTAACGAATGATTGGACGACGATTCCAGTTGGCAATGACACATGAAATTGTGGCTGTTCAATTATGACCGCTCGTCCGTTATTGTAATGAGATTCAACTTTTAGCATGTTCATCTCAGACATGTTCTTAAAAGGATTTACGAAAACTTTCAATACCTTTGAAAATGAGAATGGAACAGCCTTATCTCAGGTTTGCAAAAACTCAATTCATGAACGTTGAGGTAAAAACTCAAGTCCCTTGAAACCAAGTTCACGCAAAAAAAAAGCCAAAATCATCATGTCCGCCTTGCTGAGTCATTTGGCCATCATTGAGCAAGCAAATCCCATCGTCGCTTCTGCTCGAGGCTTGGAAAAGAACACCACCAAATTGTTTGATCTTTCATCAATTTCTAATCCTTCCGAGAGTGAGATCAATAAACAAAATATTGGAAGAATAGTAGGTCGATTATTTGAGTATGGTACTTTTGAACCTGTGGATCATAGTTCGGGACAAATCAGCGATCCAACCCTTTGTAAAATTATTGAATTGTGTAAGCAGGCCAGTTCGGAAATTGGATCTCGCTCTCTCAAAATATTCCGTTATGATGAAGGAATGAATACATGGGGAGGTGGATTTGCGGATGGTTTTTATTTTGTTGGTGTGGATGGAGTGTTTTTGATGGAATTCAATAGCTATGGCACGTTTTAAGTGAAAACAATTGATTCATAGCTATCGTTGACCGAACAATCATTTGGAACATATACAGAGTTGTAACATAAAATCACATCACCACCTTATTCAAAATGAAATCACAATCTAAAAAGTTTTTTGAAATTGTTACCTTTTTGAAAGAAGCAAGCAATTTGATGGTCATCAAACACATCCATCGGCAATTGGTCTCCATGAAACAAAGACATTTCAAATTTTTCAAATCGGTCAAAACTCGAGACAGTCCTTGAAATCCAGTCTTTGTGTAATGCAAATAGAGATCCTTAATTTGATCCTTTAAAACGCCCTTTGAAAGAGCAACAAGGCCTTCATCTCCAATCTGAGTCAATCCAATATCTAACAGTGAAAGTGATGGTAGAGAACGAGATTCAGACAGAAATATCAATCCTCGATCTGTGATTGGTGTATGATACAAACTCAAATAGTTCAAACGAATTAAATTTCCTTTCGAAATGTATTGCAATGTTCGGTCACATAAATTTTGACATGAATCCATATTGATACGCTCCAAACTTTTCATTTGGCATAAATATTTCACGCCCTCTGAATCAAATACATTTTCACTAACATCCAAGTCAATGACATTGCAAAGAAGAGATATGGATTTCAAACATTCATTGTTCAGATTACACCTTCCTAAAATGAGAGTTGTGATATTTTGAAATCTTGTGAACAAAGTTTTGAGGTCCTCTGCTCGTGTGATATCAAGGTATGCTCTGAAAAATTTCAAATCATTGTTGCCCTTACATAGCTCCTGCAATGGTTGTGAGTGTGTCAATGACAAGAAATCAATTCGATTCAAGTTAGGGTGATGGTTCAGATGTGAAATTATTTGGTGAGAAATTGTTCGTGAGGCGCTCCCAAAGAAAGAAATGCTCTCTATGGAATGCATTTGTGAAATAAGTGTGTAGTCGATGGTTTTAGAGGAATATTCAGGGCTTAATGGAGATTTACATCCCAAATATTTCAAATTAGTAGCTCGTTTCAAAATACTGTTGAAGCTTGTGGGATCTAAACGTGTGAATAACAATTCCAGAGATTCTAACTTTGCAAGGTCTCTGGAATGTACCGAGTTGTGAACAATATTGGACACGCCTTTCTGTTCATCAGATTTCAAATTCCCAATGAATAATTCTTTCAATTGTGAAATAACCTCCGAGTTCAGTAATTCAGTCACCCCTTCACATCCAATTGGATTAAAAATCTTGAACGAAACAAGATTGCAATAATTCCCTTGTAATAATAGTGAAACGCCTCGATGATCCATTCCATTATTGGTGAGGGTTAATTTGTTGAAATGGCGTAATCCACGCGCAATGTTTTGAACATCACTCGTGGACAATGTAATATTGACAAGATGTAAATCTTTCAACGTTTTCAAATCCACATGGCTTGGTAGAATACTACTTGAAACAAAATTAGTGTTATTCAGTTGAATGGAAGAAATGGTCTGAGAATGAAACATTGTTTTGAAATGTGCGTTCATCAATTGACAATCTCTAAATTCAAACTTGGAAAATAATTGAAACATATCATGATGCCTTCCCTTAATCTTTTGTAGAAACTTCTCACGTCGAAGTCTATTGCTATAGACTTTGTCATGAATGGGAGTTGTTGTGGTTGGTAAAAGAGTGGAAGACGCTGCCCACAGAATAGCCCTTCTCCATTCCGAACAAACACCAGCAAGCCGTATGTAATCGTTTTGATTTAGATAGGGAACTACACCAAAAACTATTAAATCACCACTCAACAGTACTGTTGCAACGTGAACGTTAGCTCTCGTTGATGAGTGCATGGACAACAACGATGTTGGTTTGTTTTTTGGCTAATAACAAAGTTAGGGCAAAATAGAAGTGATCCTAAAGGCTTATCGTTCCCTCACGAACCAGTTCTCTTTTCAAAGCCTCACTGATGACATGTTTGATTCTTTCTAAATTCATCTCGGAACGAATTCGTGAACCGAATGCAGAGCTTTCCTGTTCTTCATTTCCTTCCATAAATGTTGATGATGACATGGATTTTTAAACCACAGGGTAATTACAGAATCTTTTTCAAAACATGAATAGAAAGAACATGTTTCTTCATGAAAGGCAGCGGCGACAACAAATTGCACACAATTTTGTGGCACGTTCAATCAATTTTTTTTTAACTCAAAAACAAAAAATATTAATTGGTTCAACGGCTGATTCCTTTCATCGTGTTTTCAATAATATATTACCCTCGGAAACTGAATAATTATTGGTGTTGGAAAGAAATATATCTTTCATCAACAATATTGAAAGCAATTTCACGAGAATCTGTTATTGATCATCATTTTGCTATAAACATCATCCGAAAAAGATAACTACTGATCAAGTTTTATTATTACCACTATCATCATGCCAAGACAATACGTCAGAGGAGGTCCTTGGAAAAACAGCGAGGATGAAATCCTAAAAGCCGCCGTAATGAAATACGGCAAAAACCAATGGGCTCGTGTTGCTTCATTGCTGAACAGAAAATCTCCAAAGCAATGTAAGGCCCGTTGGTTTGAATGGCTGGATCCGAGTATTAAAAAGACAGAATGGACACGAGAGGAAGAAGAGAAATTACTTCATCTTGCTAAAATTATGCCAAGTCAATGGCGATCTATTGCTCCGATTGTTGGACGAACAGCAAGTCAATGCTTGGAGCATTACGAACGAATGTTGGATGAAGAACAACGAAAACAAGAAGGTGCAACAGAATCTTCGGCAGCATCATCATCATCTACGGACGATCCAAGAAAATTAAGAGTGGGCGAAATTGATCCAAATCCAGAGACAAAACCAGCTCGTCCCGATGCCATCGATATGGACGAAGATGAGTTGGAAATGTTGAATGAAGCTCGTGCTCGTTTGGCCAATACTCGAGGTAAAAAAGCAAAGAGAAAATTGAGAGAACAAAAATTGGAAGAAGCCCGTCGAGTGACAGCTACTCAAAAGAAGAGGGAATTGAAAGCTGCAGGTTTATTGACAAATACTGCTGCTAAATTGAAGAAGAGAAAACTCAAACACCCTGGTTCAGACGTAAATTATAATAGAGAAATTCCATTTTACAAGAAACCAGCACCAGGATTCTATGACACAGCAGAGGAAGATAAAAAAACTGTATTGCTTGCTTTTGAAGGAAATTCCATGCAAGCTCTAGAGCAAGTACAAAACGAACAAACCACAGAGAAGGAAAAGAAAAAGGATAAGGTCCAAGTCTTGCTGGACAAAAACTTGCCACAAATTATTAAGAAGATTGATGACATGTCAAATGCCAAGATTAATTACAAAAAGATCAAATTGGCGTTACCACCTCCACAAATTACTGATGCTGAATTGGATCAAATTGTCAAAATGGGCAAAAAGTTGAACACTCTGCCGGCAACATCGTTATCGTCAAATCAAGCAACAAAACAATTGATGGGGGACTACAAACCAAACGCCACTCCTCTCATTCAGGCAACTAGGACACCAATGCGAGGTGACGTTATTGGAGAACGCATTCGAGAAATTCAACAAATACAGAGCACACCAACTCCGATTCAACTTTCAAGAGAACGAGAATCTGCTCAGTTGACCATACCTCAAACCTTATCTGTTGCCTCAACCCCTTCGCAAGTCAAAGCAACTCCTATCATTCATCAAACACCCTTCAGAGATCAACTTCATATCAACACACCAGGATATGGTGCTGAGTCGCTTTCTGAAGATTTACAATTCCACAAACAACAATTGAAAGAAGGCTTCGCAAATTTACCTACTCCGACTGGTGGTGATTTTGTCGTCTTCAAGAATGCAAAGGAGACTGAAGAGGCAATTCCAAAAGATTTTACAAAGAAATCCATCGCCACAGATGATGCTGGAGTGAAGGAAAAAGATCAACGAAAGCAAAAGCTAGCATCAAAACAACAGGAAATGTATCTCAAAACCTCAGTTGTAAAGAGACATTTACCAAAACCTTCGACGCCAAGTATGGATCTTTCAATATTTTCACACTCGAAAGAAATCAAACAAGATACTGCTGGTGCTGATGTAAATACTCGCGTTCTTGCCAGTGAGCTCATTGCTACTGAGATGCGTGCGCTTGTGAATAGCGACATTTCGGGAGAACGTGCTCACAATCTAGGACTTCCAGAACATTTGTTGTTACGAGCACGTATTGAGTTAGCTATGGAAAACTTCGCACAGCCTCAGCCAAGTTTTGAAGAATTTAACAAAGTTTACCATGCATGTACAATACCAATTTCTGAAGAGCAAGCCATTGAATTATTAAGGCAACCCTGGGAACAGTTAAAGCAAGAAATTTCACAATTTACCTCCGAGCACTTGAAAACGAATCTCTCCAAGCATGAAATGGTAAAAGAATATGTCAAAAAGACAAGCATTGAAATTGCCAAAGCATCTCGTGAATTGGACAATTACAAACAAATCCAAGAGCAAGAGAGAAGAGCAATTCCATCTCGTTTGTCAGAGCTGCAAGAAGAGGGGTCGTGGCTATCAAGTAGAGAAAAGGAGTTGCAAGAACGGTATAAGGCTCTCTTAGATGAAAAGGAACAGCTTAAAATAATTCATCTTGACGATATCATGATGACAGCGAATGATGAAGAATAAATTACAAGTGTCAATTCTACACTTCCATTAATCAACGTTTGAACAATTATCATCCATTTAAATTTCGAGTGTGTCCACACTGATCGATTCCCAACCTCAACAGGCTTAATACTGATAACTACATGCTGCACGAATAAACTACGAATGCGCTATTTTAGAAATAACATTCATTTGTTGTTTTAAATAACAATAATTTGTAGGGAATAGTATTATACATCCTTCATGGTAACGTCATTTTCTTCTTCCAAAATATGTTGTGTATTATCATTCATGATTTCTTCTTGGCTTAATTCCATATGACGACCCGATCCATCATCATAAAAATCGGAAAGGAATGAGCTCACCGTTAAACATTTTTCTATTGACGAAAGTAAATGACCTAGTTTTTTGTAGTGCCTGTTGGGTTGAGTGAGTAACTCACACAAACGTTGTAGAGTGAACGGAGGATTACTATTTTCAAAAATCAGATGAAAATCATGGATTATTCGCATTAGTTTTGTCGGATTAAATGTAATTCACGAGTTGATGTTCAAGAATAAGCGCACAATCAACAGAGGTGATCAAAATGTTGGAATTATTAACGTAATATTTGAACAGATGACATAATCAAGTTTTGATGATTGTTGAGCACGAGAGGAACGTGCGTAAATATTCCGGAATTGTCATAAAATAGACGATGTAAAGCGGAGGAAATTAAATATCATTGTTTGTTGATCAGTTTCACACAATTTCACGTTCAAGACTTACCTAGCAAATTTAACAAAATGATGATCAATCGACTGCATTAATGGTTCAAATCCGTCTTGATTATTTCCGAATGATTTTCGTACTTCATGAATTTTGTATGACATGAAAAGATATAATTGATTCCAATCATAACACTTGTGCATGTCCAAATTTGAAGCAATACTGTGCAGTATGGAATCTAAGACTTCCATATTGTACTGAACATTGGTATGATCGATATTATTATTCGTATTACTATTGGTGTTGGTTGATGATGATTCATCAGATCCCTCCGTGGTTGATGAGCCTTGTTGTTGTTGTTGTTGCTGTAAGGATGATACGACATTCGGTAAGACCTTCTCCGAAGCAGAAGAAGCAAACAAGGAGAGATGATGAAGTTGTTCATCGCTCATTTTTTTTCTTGTTGAAAAATTTCAAAGCATTACAACTTCTCTCGGATGAAGGAATTCTATTGACGTGCTCGTTGATGGTGACCTTCTGTTCGTAGTTTGTCAGTATTAAGCCTGTTGAGGTTGGGAATCGATCAGTGTGGACACATTCGAAATTTAAATGGATGATAATTGTTCAAACGTTGATTAATGGAAGTGTAGAATTGACACTTGTAATTTATCATTCGCTGTCATTTATTGTAATTTATAATATACATAAGGTCATCTTAATGTTCTTTTGGTTCGGAGTGAGAGACTATTCAAAACAAGAATAAAAGCAATAATTTCTCAGAATTCCAGCCAAAAGGTAAGGCAACTCCCCCGGCATAGCACAAATGACGACCTGACGGCCCGTCAGAGCCGTTCTCTGCCATCCCGTACACCCAGAGTGGCCGCTCGGAATGTAGGGACGGGAGGGACAACGAGAAACTGGCCGGTCTCTCAACTCGACCCTGGAGACGCCAGGGAATGACTTGCGGGTCTGAGGGAGTCTTCCGTTACCTCACAGAACGGATGGAGAAAGCGGAGGTTTGTGGAATGGTTTGGGTAGTGTGACTTCAAATTGTGGTTTGGATGAATTTTTAATTTTTTTAATTCTCCTTCATCTCAATTGATATTGGGATCTTGTTGAGGTTTTTTTTTTCGTCTCTTCATAATGAATTACAGTCCTTTCTCAAAGTTGATATAATGTCTGTAGGAACGATTTGAAAGTCTTGTAGTAATAGCTAATGGTAGCGACAACGGCAAAAACATTACAACAGTTGTAACAAGGTAACAATTTCTTCCACGCACTAATTAGGAAGGTGATCAATTGTTTCTGTAACCATTCCTTGTATACACCTATCAACACAAGTTGGTTGACTAGGTTATCACGATATCGAAAAAAAAATGAAATCCCTCCTCGCTCTCACACTCTTGTGTTTGTTCGGTGTGACTGTTGCACTCCTTTCTTTCACACAAGCACACGAGTTCGATCATTTTTCACAATTCACAGTTCACTCGGATTGGCCCAATCGTAGAAAACAAGAACAAGATGAACGCATTCGTCGTGATTATGAAAATGCTGAGAAGCATAAACGTCATTGGCTCATGAAGCCGCCACATGTCATTCCAAGATTTTCCTCTTCTCAAACAAGACCTGGAAAGGTTGGATGGCCAAATCGTAGAAAGGAAGAACAAGACGAACGCATTCGTCGTGATTATGAAAATGCTGAGAAACATAAACGTCATTGGCTCATGTTGCAACGACTTTTACCAACTTTCCCAAATTCGAGACCTGGAATGGTAGGATGGCCCAATCGAAGAAAACAAGAACAAGACGAACGTATTCGTCGTGATTATGAAAATGAAGCAAGACATAAACGTCACTGGCTCATGATGCAAACAGGTGCTTCTCGAGACAAGAAGAACAATCAAAGACAAAACAGAGATCTTGTTGGATGGCCTAATCGTAGAAAGGAAGAACAAGACGAACGTATTCGTAGAGATTATGAAAATGAAGCAAGACATAAACGTCATTGGCTCATGATGCAAACAAGATCCCAACAACAACAACGAAGAAACTCCTCTTGTTCCAATAAGAACAAGAGAAGACATTTATCATTGGTTGGATGGCCTAATCGAAGAAAGGAACAACAAGAAGAACGAATTCGAAAGGATTATGAAAAGAAACATAAACAACACTGGATGATGAAAAAGGATGTTGAGAATCTCGAGAGGGAGGAAGATATCAAGTTGGATGAAATGGTTCATTCTGTCTTGAATGAAGTGTTGTTGAGTAATAATATTCGAGATGAGGATGAATATTAGAGAGAATAATGAATAATTGTTTGAGTTTTAAACACATGAATAAAGAGTTTCAATGATGTGATTGTTTTCTCAAATAATTCCCAATAATTGTTATTTTATCATTTAATAATTATTCATATATTTGACAATACCATAATATTATGATTACAAAAGTTCAATGATTGGTCCTTGTTTCTGATTGGTTACTTTTGATTGGTTGTTATGTTACAACGGTTTAGAAACATATAAAAAGTGTTTTTTCTGGCATCTAAACAAATTTTTAATTAAAAAAAAAAATCTCGAAATGACCTCTCTCACCAAGTTATCTTCGGACATGGCTTCCCTGATCAACCATGAGACCATTCGTTCCCTTTTGTTACTAGATCCATCCACATGTGATCACAACACACTCCAACAACATTTCAACTCTCTAGTTATCTCTCAACAAGACAATTCTCAAAGCTCCTGCATAACAGTTGTGGTAGGGCCTGTTTTTCTGGGGCATACATTAGGACGATTTCAACCAAATATCAAGCTCAGGGGTAAAGCACTTCCTTCCACGTTCCAGCTCCATTATTTATATTTCACTCATGAACAAGTCGTGAATGACTTTGAATTTGGTACCTATAAAATCAGAAAGGACTTGTCATCCTCCGATGATGATAGTCAAACCTTTACAAGACACACCAAAGGACATGACTATCCTTCTAAAATGAATTCTTCTCATAGAACCATGATCATTGTTTTGGAGATGGGGAATGAATTGGGGATTGTGAACAAGCTCTTTCATTACGACTCCAAAGTGACCAAAGTAAAGGCAAAACAATCCAACACGAAGAAGAGAAAGATGCAAGATAGAGATGTATCCAAAGAGAAGTGTGATGACAATGATGAAGATCATGATGTTGTTGTTGATACCGATGTCCAAGAAGATGTTTCTAGCAAGAAGGTTAAAGCTGAACATTCATCCGAGTTGATGCATTTACAAAACAGTGAGCCGACACCAACTTTTTGTGAAGATGATTTTTCATTTCTTGACAGTTTGGAATCCATTTCTGCGAGTGAACAGAGTTTTCATGAGGATCAAGATCAACAAAATGCTGAAGTGGATCGGGATGTAGTTGTTGAGAATGATGAACCTAATGCTGATCTTGATTGTGGTTCAGTTGTTGAAACAAGTACTAACATGAATGACGAGTTTGATGACTGGTTATTTGCAGAGTTCGCATGATCTATCGTGTGAAATGTAAATAATAATAAACAAATATCTTTGATTATCGCAACATGTTTTCCTCTCCCAAAAGACATACTGTTTGTACAGGCGAGTAGTAATATCGACTACCTTTTGGTTTGGCCGTTTTCAGCTTCTCCTTAATCTTCTTTGAGATGAGAGTTTTCACATCCTCATCATTCAACAAGTCCAAATGTACAGCATCTTTTGCGTCCAAATTTTGTTTCAATGCTTCTAACACAATTTCCTTATCCTTACGAAATTCGAAGGGAGCACTTTTCAAAGCAAGACCATGAGCTTTTACAGCTTTCAAAACAAATTCACGTGTGTGTTGAAGTCGATAAGAGGCGTTCGATAGAGCAAATTCATTCTTTTCAACAAGCTCATTCATCAATTCATCGTCATCCGAAAGATGCAACATTGAATAAGACAAGGCTTGTGGATTTTGCTTGACAGCAGCTGTCACAATTTCCAAATCTTTTCCAAATTCCACTTGCACATATTGTAATGCGGTACCTTCATTTTTGACTGCTTCAAGTACGAGTTCTCGGTCCTTAAGCAGCAATGGATTATTCAAGTATGCTATTTCCATACCGTTTTGTTTCAATACACGTAAGATCACTTCTCTATCGTTCATGAAAGGATACAGAATGTTATCCAAGCCGTGATCAAGCGCCAATGTGACAATTTCTAGGTCTTTCTGGAATTTAAAATCTGCATATTTGAGGGCGTTTCCATTCTTCGTCACAGCATATAAAACCATCTCCCGATCAGTCTTTATGGAATCAGGTGCAAAGACAAGAGCTGATTCCGATTTTTCAAAAATTTCTTTCATAAATTCTCGATCCTCACCGAAATTGAAATGGCGATCATATTCAAGAATGGATGGAGAATTTTTGATTGCTTCCATCACAATCTCCTTGTCCTCCCAAAAGATGTCATGCATGTAAGGCAATACATATCCATTCTTTTTCACAATCGATAAAATGATCTCTCTATCGTTAAGGTGCCAACATTGTTGAAAGTGAGGATACTCACTGTTCTCAATGGCAGTTAAAATTAATTCCTTATCATATTTCAATTCAGGGCTCGAGACAAAGTGCAGAGCATCACCATTGTTTTCAATGGCATGGATGACGATTTCACGATCATTTCGAAGTCTATAGCTTGCACTCATGATTGCGGTACCATCGTTCTTAACAGCTTCCAATACCATTTCTCGATCATCTCTAAAGGATTCATCTGCATAACTTAGAGCCCTTCCAAAGTGTTGTATCACATTCTTGATAAATTCTCTGTCACATCTCAGCTCATCAGGAGCGAAACGTAATACATCAGGACGCGATAAAATGAGCGCTTTTAGGAGATCTCTGTCTTGGAATATATTAATTCCAGCAATGTAAATACATTTGGGATCACTGTTAACTGCATGAAGAAGAATTTCCTTGTCTTTCTGTAATTCTTGACAAGCCTCCACTAACACATAGCAACAGCCATTCTTGACACTAGTCAACACAACTTCTCGATCGCTAAACATGATGGGATCAGCATATAGCACGGAATGAGCATTCTGTTTCACTGCGGCTAGCACAATTTCTCGGTCTTTCTTGAAAGAGGCATCAAGATATTGCAAGGTTTTACCGTTTAGCTTGACCACGTCTAAAACAAACGCTCTATCCTTCTTATGTTCCTCGCAGCAGTATAAGAAAGTCTGTTCGTCCCGTGAAACAGCACATAAAATCATTTCGTTGTCGTTCATCAATTCATTAGATGTGTAATAAATGGAATACCACTGCTTCTTTACAGCAGCGAGTGCAATAGCTCTGTTGTAGCGTATTTGTTGATCCATATTTCTAAATTCATAGGGATTGCAATGAACAACTTCCAAGGCAATGTCTTGGTCATGTAGCATGTCATGGTCGATAGCTTCTGAAAGCTGATAATATGTTTTAGCTGCAAGAAGTATCAAGGATTTGTCAATTGTTCCACACACATAATCCAGAGCTCTTCCATTTTGACGTACTGCTTCTCTGATAATTTCAGGGTCTTTTCGTAAATCTTCAGAAGCAAATTCTAAAGATTCCCCATTCTGTTTGACAGCTGCCAACACAATCCCTCTTTCACATTGTAATGATGAGTGTGCGTATTGGAGTGATGCTCCTTGTTTTTTCACAGCATACAGCACAATTTCCTTATCTTTTTTCAAGCTATCGCTAACGTAACTTAATGCTTCAGCTTTTGATTCATAGCCGTATTTGAATGCCTTCAAAACAAGATCACGATTGTTTAAAACTCTCTCGCTTGCATGCTTCAACATTGTTGCACTTCGTTTGATTGCCATCTCCACTAACTCATCATCATCTTTGAGGTCACACAAAGCATATTCCAACGCGATTGAGTCATTTATAACAGCAGCCATAACAACCTCTCGATCTCGCCTCAAAGTTGGATCGGCATATCGAAGCAACGATCCAGTTTGATTTACAGCAAGCAAGGTAAGCTCCTTATCCTTTCGTAAGGAGTAATGAGCATATTGATACTCGTATGAGACCGCTTCAATTGCCATCTTGACGATTTCTCTATCTTTCTTAATGCAAAACGCCATATTGTAGAGGCTAATGTCATTATGATGCTTGTTTTCGAACAACTTCTTAACAAGATTGCGATCCATTCTAAACTTGTCATGAACATATTCAATGCATGACGGAGAAATTCTAAGGGCTCTCATCACAAATTCTTCATCTTGTTTCAATCGAATACTGGCATATTTCATGCCCTCACTGCTGTCAATAATACCTCTCTCAATAACTTGCGGATCATCTTTGAATTCGCTAGCTACAAAAGGCAATACGGAAGAGCCACCACATGCTACTGCAAGGAGTGTAAGCTCCCTGTCTCGCTTCAACTCGCTACTTGCACATCGAAACATATTCGGAGAATGTACAATAACTTTTCTAAGGACGTCTTTGTCTTTTCTCAAGTCCTCATCAATATATTCATATACGGATGAACAACCTTGTTGTACTAGCTGCAGAATAAACTCTTTATCTTTTCTCAAAGATGAATCTGCATAGGTGATACAAAGGGGATTGTTCAATGTCGCTATTGTCACCAATTGTTTGTCTTTCTTGAGAGTATCGTCCACCGTTTGCAAAACAGAGGGATCTCTCCTCAAAGCTTCCATTACAACCTCACGATCTTGTTTAAGGGCATCAGATACGTAGTTCAGAGCATAGCCATCTCTTTTCACACATTCCATCACAATTTCCTTATCGTTGTTCCATTCTTTTGCATACTGAATTAATGGAGAGTACGCGGTAGCTGCTGCGTTTAGTATAAATTCTCGATCTGAAGCATACTTTGGAGGTAAATAATAGTAACTAGATGGCTGACATTGTAATGCTTGGAGGCAAATGTTCTTATCATTTCTAAATTTTAGAGGAATGGACAATAGAGACACGCCAAATTTGATTGCTCCTTTGATCACTTCAGGGTCGCTCTTCAACTCCTCATTCAACGATTGATAAAAACTCAAGCGGCCCATCTTGGCATACAATAACACAATTTCTCTATCTTGTTTAAATTCATATGGAAGATATGAATGATAGAGGCCACTTCGTACTGCTTGTTGGACAAGTGTTCGATCCTTCTTAAATACCGTTGGTATGTGGCGTAATGTATTTCCGTCATGTTTGATGGCATGAGTAATAAATTCAATATCATTTTTAAAAGGTTGAGCCCTTAAAAAATACCGCAAGATGATCAATAGAAAAGACTCTGACATGCTCCACAGCTTGGAAAAACGGTTAGCAAAGATTGAACAACAAACGCATTACATTATCTTTACCCTCCAACAATTAAATAACATACTCGATGAATACATACAAAACCACGAGGAAAGTACACAGCACCCTCATCACATTACTTTAAACACACACCATCCACCAATTGAAACCGTCAATAATTCAAATGTTGAAAAACCAGAGAAAAAGCCACCAGAAATTAATACCGAACGACCAACGCCACTAACACCTGAGAAAACAAGCATGAGAATACAACCCAAGAAACCACGTACAACCGTCAAAGCCAAGCCAAGAAGAAAAACTAACCAAAAGATGAACAAAGTTCACCACCACGTTGTTCATGACGACGATGAAATTGGACAAGCACTTACGATCCACTTGACCAAACATCAACTCGACAAGAAACATGTAGTGGTTAGAGGATTAAGAAAAAAACATCTCACCCTTTATTGGATCCAGGATTGCTCTCCACCCTGCTGTACCACGACTATTATGACATGAATCCTATGAAGAACAAACTGGTAATCTTATATATTTGTTTATTGACTAATCAGCACTATTTACTAATTCGTGACCTATTAATATGATTATTGATAACCCAATATTACTAACCATTGATATTTCAAAAAACATTAATAGAACAATCCTTGCATTATTTTCGCCATCTGTTCATCGATGGACTTAACCCGCTCCATTTATAGCAGTTGCTCAAAACAAGCAAGAAACCTGTTAATATTTGAAATATCCTTACAAAAACATTTGACATTCTGAAGTTGTATCCTTACTAAACGAACGTCTAATGTAACGTACTGAGGCACCGAAGGGCCAATAAATAATATTTAAATTTTTAAAAGGTTGCCATAAATGCTCGAATTGATAAGAATTCTTCTTAATCAATTCCAACATCATTCTCCTATCGTGCTGGAATTTCTCATCAAAATCTGAAATGTTCAGGCCATAACTATTTTCAGACATCACTGCTCTCCATGCTAGCTCTTCATCTTGTTTTAAACTATCATCAATATATGAGTAATTACACCCAAACTCATCGATGGCTTGGATTGCCAAATCTCTATTTTTCTTCATCATAGGCCCAAAGTACCGGTAATTGTCTGATAAGGAAACTGCTTGGCATAGTTCCCAATTATCTCTCAAATCAGGGCTAGCAAATTCAAGTGATGCTCCTTGTTTAATGGCCTCCATGACAATGTCAAAGTCGTTTTTCATTTCAGTTGTAGCATATTGTAAGCAGTTGCCGTTGATTCTAACAGCCTCCATCATTACGTCTCTGTCTGCTTTAAGCTCAGGACTTGCATACGTGAGGGCGTTTGGATGTGATCCATTTAACGCGATAAAGAGTAATTCCTTATCTGCTTTCAACTCGTCAGAAAGCTCGTAAAATAAATATCCATGAGTTTGTAATATTTCACAAACAAGTTCCTTGTTGGATTTGAATTGGTCACCAACATATCTCAAAGCAGAAGGTTGGCTTCGTATGGCTGCCAGTACACACTCATTATCATTTTTAAGCTCATCAGATGCATATTGAATACTCTCTCCTCCAGAAGTGTTGATTGCTAACAAGACAATTTCCTTATCGCTTGTAAATTGATTCATGGTCGAAAGTGAACAGCCATGTCTTATAGCTTCCATCACAAACTCACGATCGTTTTTCAATTCGTCTCCAATGTGGTTAAATGCCCAGTGATTATATTTTAGACATAGGGAAGCAATTTCTCTGTCATTCGCAAATTGTGAAGGGATGTTACTGATATCTGTTCCCAATTTCACAGCTTTAAGCACCATATCTCTGTCATACCTGATGTCATCTCCTGCATCAGCAATACTAGCATTAGTTCAACCAACCATCAAAATCCAAACCATGTGAAATTTCATCGAAAATAATGAGTACGTGAACAAATACTCCAAACATGAACACATACCAATTGGGTGCAGTTCGTAGAGCCTTCATAAACATCTCCTTGTCATTTCTAATATCATTAGAGAACACTCTAAATGCTTGACCATTCGTCGTAATAGCAGCAAGAGCTACTTCCCTATCATCAAGCAAATCATCACCTAGATAATGATAGGCAGGTATGGAACAATTTTGGAAAATGTTCAACATGAACTCCTTGTCATTTCTCAAGCTGTAATCGGCATAACCCATCGCGCTTTCTCCACCGGAGCAACAAGCCAAATAGACTAATTCACGATCCTTGGCAAGGTCAGTATGCTCGACCAAAGACAAATATTGTCCATCCATTTGGACTGCCATCCGTATGATTTCTCGATCCGATAATATATTTTGAGAACAAAACTTGATACAGTCTATATTCGCTCCGAGTGCTTGAATAACCACTTCCAGATCGCTTCTTAAATCCTCTTGAGCCTGTTCAAAGAGCTGTAAAACTCCTTCACCGTCTTGTTCTTTGAATTTTGAAAGAATTTCATACTTGCGCTCGTAATAATCCACAATGGATCGGGATTTTGTTTGCATGGTACCTCGAAGATATCCGTACAGTGTATTGGATATCAAACTATTTTCTGTGAGGATGATGATGGTTGGATGCCAAGAACAGCAGCTGCTTTGGCTGTTCGTATGGAAAGCTGGCTCTGCGTGAGTGTCATGTTCTTGACTTGCCATCCAAAGATTACAATTTTTTGCAGCTACTGAACACCAACAACAAACAATTTGCACGAGAGGCTGAAACGAAGTTCCTATCGTTTTCCGAAAACGCAGCATCAACAATCATGGAAGAAAAAAGAATTCAATTCATTCGGATTGCAATGAAAAATCTGAAGGATGATGGTAATAGAATTTGTCCATTTTGTTTGCAACCAATGACTGCAAATTTTGTGGAGGAGAAAATGAATCATGATGATGATATTATTAATACACGATTGTACAATTATGCTGAACAATTATCCGAACATGTTTCAATTTGTTTAAATTTGTGGAACAATGAAAAAAGAATATTATTTGGAGCTCCAGAAAATAGTAATATAAATCTTACTGATTCAAACCAATGCATAGAATCAAACAGATGGCTAATGGGGCGAGATTCTGAATTTGGAAAGAATTTAGAAAGTACTTGCCATACAGTCTCATCGAATGAACAAGCCCTAGCTCAATTTTCATGTTCAAACGAACACTCAAACAAAAGAAAATTAGAATCTTTTAATGAAGCACACAAAGCATCACTCAACAAAATACCAACGAAAAAGAAAAAACAATTTTCAAACTTGCAAGAGAATGAGAACCTGATTGATGAAAATGACGCTTATGAACAATCTTTTACGAGATTGGACGACGTCGGTGATGACATGATGTTGCATATTCTAAAATTTCTTGATCAGAAATTCCTTATTCACACTTGCATGACTGTTTCAAAATATTGGTACGAAATAGTATCGCAAATCCCGTTTTCTTTAGTCATCCCTGATCTTAGCCATGATACTCTTTCTATTTTACGAATCATTACATCCAATCCAAATACCTTTAATTTCACAGCCCTCGATATTTCAGGAACACATGAGAAGGTGAACTCCATTGAAATGATCAAATTTATTACAACAAGTAACCAATTCAGTAATTTAACATGGTTGAATGTAAGAAATAGCAACCTTGCCACAGAGAGTGTGAAAGCAATTGCGAACAGTATCATCTTACAACGTCTTCGCAAATTGGATTTAGGTATATGTAACATTGGGAAAACTAGAGTACAAATATTGTCTCAAAGCCCGTACTTAAAGAATATTACCAAGATAGACCTTTGGAATAATAACATCCAAGATGAAGGAGTTGCAGTAATTTGTGAAAGTGAATTTTCGAGAAACATTACAAGTTTAATTTTGTCAGAAAATGGTATCACTGAAAAAGGAACCTCTTTTTTGACAAGCAATCATTCAAAATTGTTCAACCTGTCCAAACTAGACCTTACGGACAATTTAATCACATCCAAGGGAGCAATATTGATTGCCACAAGCAACGTAATGCAAAATTTACAAAAGCTTTACTTGCAAAGATGTGACATTGGAGATGAAGGATTGATTGCTATTTGCGAAAGTAATTTCTTGAAAAAATTGACACGACTTTGCGTAAACAACAACTCAATTTCGTACAAAAGTATGCCATCCTTAATCTCTAGCCCTATTTGCAACAGGTTGCAGCAATTAATGTTGTCCAATAGTAACCTTGGTTATGAAGGAGCACGTTTGTTATGCACAGGATCATTTCCTGAACTGAAGGCACTACATTTAAAATGTTGCAACATTGGAAATGATGGACTTTTATTTATTGCTGCTTGTAGAACTCTTAGTCTAAACCTCACTGAGTTGGACCTTGATGACAATAACATTCTTCAGAGGGGGTTAGAGCTCTTTGCAACAGTCCATATCGAAAAATTTGGAAGCGCTGTTTTTGGACTCCAATGATATAAGTCATGATGATGTTTCATTAATTGGTGATTCGCTGAAAAATTTGGAGTATTTCAGTACTCTTTAGTGTTGATTTATTTTGATTTGAGATATTGATGGAAGGAAACAAGACACGAAGACACCACGGGTCAGATTGACCGTCGTTGCAAAAGTTTGTTCATTTTACTGGAACAACCATGACGATTCTGAAACGATCTTACTCGTTCGATAGAAATAATCCACAGAGAGCGATCATGACCAACGAGAAAGCAGCAACAATTAGAAATTCAGAAATTCCAATAGATTATACCACACATCGAGAATTACCACTCACCACATCCCTCTGACATTTCGCGCTGTGTGTTATGAGCGAGTATCCCCACTTGTTACCAGCTTCAAAAATTTATCAAGCATTTGCAATTCTTTGCACTCTCTTGCAAAAAATATAGACGAACCACCATGAATTCACACCAACAACAACTGCGCCAGCAAGGTGTTCAGTCCATTCATATCTTCTTTGATCAACAAACAACTGAAGTATGGATGGTTGGAGAATACAACATCCAAGTACACAGATTTTCCAACGAATACTTTGAATCATTCACTTCTTCGTTTAATGATGTTTTTTCTGAAGATACATTCGTTGATCATCTTTTTCATCATGATGATGTCGATTATAGTTTACCAATGGAAGATGATACCAACAATGAATTTGCAGACAATCTTTTTAGATGAAACGAAGCGTTGTATTAATACAGATTGTTCACAATGTTCATATGTTTTGTGTATATTATCGAATAATTAACAAATACATAAAGGATCATTCAGCTCTATCGCGGGGAAAGCTAATGTTAAAGATTGATCAATCTTTGACAGAAAGCTTTCCAAGATTTACTTCGATCCGAAAGGTTTTGAAAACTTTTCGTTCTCTTGAACGACCACCAATAACAACATAACACCAGGTTAACCCATTTCGACCATGTACAATGAAACAGTGAATCAGTTCTTTGAGGACGGAGCGCAAATTGAGCTCTCGACAGGTTATCAACATGTTTCTGTGGATAACATTAATGGACTATCTCACTGGAAAGACAGTTGGCATTTTGAACGAATTTCCCATAGATTACGTAAAGCGACTCGAAAAGACTCTCGAATATGATATTTACATGATGACTCCAAGTGGGTTCATGCCAGGTCCTCTCAACGATGGTTGGGACGTCCATGTTCCCAATTATATCAATTCATACGCGGGCTATTTTCCCAACTCGACCCAACTCGACACTGATTCGATGGGTATTGAATCAAAAATCAATTCCACCTCCTTCATGGACAAGTGTATTCTTTCCCAATGCTAGCTTTGCCATCATGAGAAGTGGATGGACTGCCACCGATCATTATGCCTTAATGGATATTGCAAGTCTTGGCTACGGCCATGAACATCAAGACAAGTTGAATATTATTATTGAGCCCTATGGAAGACGCAGATTGTTATTTGATAATGGAGGAGGAGATTATGAACAGAGCGTGTTCAGAACGTATTCTCTCTCCAAAGAAAGTCATAACACAGTCTTAGTCGATGGTTTTTCGCAGAAAAGACAAAAACGAGTGCCGTGGGATTTGATTGGTTATGGAAATGCAAATACTCCTCGGCCTATCTTTGAAACTCATTGTTTGATTATGCCATGGGATGGTACGTGGATGCGTATCGAAATTTGACGTATTTTCCTTCGAATCATTCTCGTGAGTTGTTATTCATTAAGGGAGGAGAAACTTTAAAAGATTATCCGAGGGCAATTCCAATGTATTTGGTCATTGATGAAATGAGTTCCGTTGATGGCCTTCCACACACCTATGAAGCACGATGGCATCTAAGAACCACCAACGTCCAATTCAACTCTACTTTGAAATTATTGACACCACAGACCATGGCAAATTTGGCAATTATTTCACTTTCAAAAGAAACTCAATCGTACCATGCCAACGCTCAAACTTCACCCAAAATTTTAAGATTTGACATTCAGAGAGGATCCTCTCCCATACTAGCCACCACGTACGTCACCTCTCAAAATGGCCTCAAAAACACCATACTGACATTGTTAATTCCATTGAAACCTTATCAAACTCCAAATATTTCAAATGTCATTGAAATTGTTCCTTCCTCACATTATCAATTCCTCATGCTCAATGATGACAAGTCATTGAATTGGACCATTGATCTTAAAATTGAGTGGATATTGACAAAATTAGGAAGTATTCTTACATCCATTGTTGTGAATACTTCTCGAACATGGACTGAATTAATTTATGAATCCATCGCTCCAACGTCATTGGTTAAACCAGAACCATCCATGGCAGTTTCATCACCACGACCATCAAAAAGTGTTGTGAAACCCAATCCAACCACAAGGAGTTCAAGTCGAGTCGTCAATGCATCGAATTCGAGGATGAAACATGCGTGGAATGTGTTCACTGTGTGCTTGGTCATTGGTTTGGTTCTTGCTTTTCTTTGTGTGAGAGACATCTTTGGATCCATGTAGTTCAATATTGAAAAAATCGAAAAGAAAGTTCATTCAAAACCTTGATCTGATCCAACAGTTCATGTTCAATTTGTAAACTCTTTTTTCTTTTTTAAAAACACAAAAAAAAAATACTTTTTGAATCATCACCATGGGCTGTGATGGAGGAACCATTGTTCAGAGGAGAGACCTCATTGTAAAAACAAAAAAGGAAGAAAAGAAGGCTGATAAAGAATCTGTAAATTATGCTGCTTGGAATTTATGTCGGTTAACAAAGGAAAATCTTTCCGAGCCTATTGTTGTGGATAAAATCGGTTATTTGTATAACAAGACGAGTTTGTTGGAATGTTTGGTGGATAAGAAACAAAAGAAGAAACATGAATCGGTGATTGGACATGTTTCAAAATTGAGTGATTTATTGGAGGCTCGATTGGAGAAGAATCCAAATTTTGTGGAGGAGCCTTCCGATGATCAAACAACCATTGATAAAACATCTGTAACGAGGAGCGGAACAGCAAGATTTATTTGTCCTGTAACAAAGGAGGAAATAAGAGGACAATTTCCGGTGTATATTATTAAATCATGTGGACATGTGATTAGTGGCGAGGCTTTGGATTTGGCCAAAAAGGATGGATATTGTATGCTTTGTGAAAAACCTTTTAATGCAGATTCTGATGTGATGAGATTGAATCCGGAGCCTGAGGTTGCAAATCAATTAATAGAATCACTCAAATCATCGGCGTCAAATGAAAAGAAACGAAAACAAAAATCATCAAAAGAGGAAAAACAAAAGAAGAAACAAAAAGAGGATAAGAGCTCAACACTCGTGGTTCCTACAAACGCCAATCCAGAAGTTTACAAATCCATATTCAGCTCAGCATCGAACGAGTGAGTTTTGTAATTACTACAGAGGATGTTTTCAGGGAAGAGTAAGCTTTGAACATCTGAGCAAGGAAACATTGATGACACTATCTTTTTTGTGATCATTAGTATCTCATTAAGTAGCTCCAAGATTCAGTACATCTTTGAGCAATTCATTGAAAATGGTAAAATCCACACTTTTTTTATTTGGAAATCATGACACCTTAATGTTTTCTTTGTGACGCCAAGCATTCCGCAACGATTTGATAATCCAAAAATGGTGTAGCACTTATCGTGGTTTGATACAAGGTCTTGCTTTCCAGCTTGCTATTCACTTGAACCGTCGCATCTGGCACTCCCGTGTTCGTGTGGGGAATGACTAACACTCGACCATAACGATCTCTCATCTCCAAAGACAAAAATCCACCTGTAAAGGTTGCTGTTTTCGACATGAAATTAACCATCCACCCAGGAATCATCATTCCCAATAAGGCATCTTCTGAATACACATGCGATTCTGATGCAAAGTATCGATCTCTGTATTCATTTTCTGAAAAACCGTCCACTTCAAAATCGTAATATCTGGCAAGCGAATTTTTCACTTTTCGTAACAACTTCCAAAACCATGAAAGCTCTCGTTCTTCTTTTGCATCGATTTTATCTTCCACTAGTAATGGAATTCCATACCATCGTGTCTTGTAAGATAAATTTGTACTTCGACACATGGAGAGAAAATGAAATCCCATGACTTCTCCAATCACAAAAGAGTAGGTCAACAATCGTTTCGCAGTTCGAAAGGGTAAGTAAAATATTTCAATCGATTCTCCTGGCAGTATTCCTTCACGAATGTTGTGTTTCAATCTTCCTAGAGGAAGCATGTTGTAAATGTCTGAAAATTGTAACGGAATGATCGATTCATTCCAATGCTTGAGCGAGACAATATGAGTTCGAAATCCATCCGTTGGAATTAAATAAACATCGAATCGATTATTCACAACATTTTCAATATCTTTCAGACGCCAATGATTAAATCGGTAATGATACTTGTCAAGAGGTTTAGAGTTCTTTTGTGACTGGGATTGATAGAGAGCAACGACTTGAGAGAGTGTCCATTCTGGATTATAATTGCTGACCTGTTGTTTCAACTGTTCAAGCACATGCTTAATTTTCTGTTGATTGTGACGCATTTCATGAACGATGCAATCTGCTGCTACATCTCCAAATTGTGTTTTTTCAGTAATGTTAGAAATATCAATACTTCCAATCCATGATTCATATTGAAATGGAAATTCTGCTCCTAGGATGTACTTGTTAATGAGATGCTTGTAATTTTGTAAAATTTTCAAATAATCTTGATCCATTGGAATTTCATTCGTGATTGGAATTCGAATGGGAAGTAGTACATTTTCATGGTCAATACAATCAAAACACACTCCAGTCGTATGAAACAGAGAAATTGGATTATTAATGTCTCCTAAATGATCTCGTTCATAGGCATCTCTTGTGACACTGTCGGAAATGAGAGTGGACTTGGGAACCTTAATTTTTTCATTTTTCAAAATTAATTGTTCTGTCTCAAATATATAATCAAATTGTAAAACTCCCAAATTCGATGCATATGGACCTGCCTGATGAATGTACACATCATGTTGAATATCATGTTGATTCTTGTCATCCCTGCGTCGACTCGTAAATGAAAGTTTTTCAAAATAAATATTGTGAGAATGTGACGAAATGTGTACATCGACTGCAACTCGAGGAAGATGTTCATTCTGTTTCTTTGAATATTCTGTTTTGTGTTTTTTCACAATGATTTCTGCCACTTCCTTATCTTCAGGCTCTCCAGAATGAGACAAGACGACTACGACATGACATTTTGGTGATCCATTTCTTCCTAATTTCAAATCAAGAGCAAGATGATAGATGGAATTGACATAACGATCAATATCGACTTTTTTGGTCGTTTCATTAAATCCATAATAATGAAAACAAGGTTGTCGACCTGTCATGGCTGTCATGGCAGCAGCTGGACCCATCGTTCCAATCACTCCTACGGTTAATTCAGTTCCATTCTCAGATTTAAAAGTTTTTGTCATGTAGGGTGTGAAAAATGTTCCTTCATGCTGGTGTTTTGGTTCTCTTGATTTTTCAGCATTTCCATTGTTTGGATGAATGTGATAGGGATCTCGAATCAAATCGTTCCAAAATTGTTCACATTCTTGCAAGTTATAATTTCCACCCGAGCTCTGTAATTCGTTCAAATTTGTGATGAGATTCGATGAAACAATTGGTAAAGCATACTTGTCGTTGTGACTTTGAGAATTCATTCGACGAATGATGGAAAGAACGCCCTCTTGAAAAACATCAAACTCGTGATTGCCTATAAAGTTGATGGATATATTCAAATTATTATTTCCACAAGAATTGATCCAAAGTTATGATCGTCGTCAAATTGGAATGTCAAAAAGAAATGAAATTCGAATGTCAAAAAGAAATGAAATTGGAATGTCAAAAAGAAATGAAATTCGAATGTCAAAAAGTAATGAAATGAATACTAACCCATAGTGATTGCATCATATCCGGCAATTCTAAAAAATTCCAATTCTGGAGGAGCTAACTCTGGAAACATACTTGACATGGAGAGAGTGTGAAACATGGTTCCCATCAACCAATCTCCACCGTCTTTGAATTATTTAATATTAAATATAATAGTTATAATAAAATAATATTTAAATGTTTGTTATAAACTATTAAGAAAAATAATTTCCATAATAATAAAAATTTACCTAAAAGTAAAACATTGGAATAGGTCTTTTTCATCTTCTTGATCAATGTCAACAATCGAGCATAATGTCCAATCACTTGATTATTTCCATTCTCAACACTGCCATCCGTCAAACTCGAATCGGGACCATTACCTTCAAAATGTGAATGTAAATCATCGGTGTGTAATAAATGAAATGAAGAAATTTGATTGGAATGAAATGCTAAAAGAGATGATTGGAGTGTAATCAAGAGAATGAATAAACAACAAGTAATTGTCAATGTTGATGATGATGAAAATTCCAAGAAATTATTTTGAATTCTCCTTGGTCGAGTTTTCATTTTTTTTTCTCAGTTCTAATTCTCCTGATTTAATGGGAGTCGTTGTTCAGAGGTCATGGTTGTTCGGGATGATTGTCATCAACACCGCACAAGGACGCTTTGTTTTTCATTTTGTACGTTTTGACTTTTGGCAGCTGCTTGTAAAAGTTGTAAAAGTCAACTGTAAAAATATATCCATATTTGTAAGTCATGGTTAATAAGGCAAAAATTAAACTCAAGAATCGCACGGATGCTTTTGTAATTTGTGAAAATTTAACGAACCTGCCAGCTGTCAAAAAAGAATCAAAAAAAGAGTCTTCACACAAACCAAGAATACACTTCTTGTAATCCATTCCCAACACCAATAACTCGTCATGGCACCAAATCATAAACTCAACCCTCTCACCTCTTCCTACTTTATCCGAAAAGGAGGTTTTCAACTCGCCATCTTTGGCGCTGCTGCTTTTGGTTCCTTGTTGGTTGGAACTACCTATTCTTCACAACAAGGAAAATCCTTCACGGATGCTCGTGTGAATCAAGACTCGACTAATTTCCATCAAAAACATTGTGCAAGACCAGGAGACCAAAAGGATTATTTGTTTATTGATTATTCACCCAATGTTTATCACATGGTGTCTAAGAAGGAATAATAAATTAGAGTGCTAGAGGTTTTAAATGTCAATTGTCATGGCTGTTGTTTTGTTGAACGAAAATTGCAAGTTCCAAAGGCATGTCTTTTGAGAATTAATTCCACCATACTGAGAGCTTGTCATGATTTTGACGAGTTGTTATATTTTGGCACCTTACACCTTACACTTAGTGTCAGTGCTGTTTGCATTTGACACTTGAGTGCCAAATGAATGAAGTGTGATTTGTATTTGACACTTGAGTGTAAGGTGCTATTTGTATTTGACACTTGAGTGTAAGGTGCGAAATGGATGTTGATTGAAATGGAGGTACTAGTTTGTGAACCTAACCATTCTACTTCGTGTTCATATAAAAAGGTCAATAACGAATCTATCAAACAAAAAAAAAAGCATGATTTAATCTCATGCATCTACTTTCCTTACGTATGTTAGCTTGGACCTTCGTATGAAAGGAGTTAGGAGGCACAAAAGATGATATGTTCCTTTCATTCACGATGATAGACTCAGCCGTTAAGAAGTATGACTACGAAACAAAAAGTGATTCCAGTTCCCTTAATTGTACCCTTCTGATTGCTTCAGCTTGACTTTTGCTGTTACCGTCATTCCCAAATCACTCAAATTCGATTACATCAGCCAACAACAGTGTTGAGCACCATTCTCTTGTTCTTCTCACCGTTTTTGTAACAATTGAACAAAAGTACATGTCACTATGAAGAAAAGCTGGCAAGTTTCACTCCCCTGTTGAACCAAATGAAAATGTTTTCCTGTACTGCAAGTGTTTTTCCTCAACATAAATCGTCTCTCAAGTTCATTCAGCAAGCTCTGACATCCTGTTCGACAACTTCATCTCAATCTCTTTCAACGCCGTGTTGTATGGCGCAACATCAACTCAGAAAACAGGTGCTGAACGGTGGAACATTATTTGAACCACTGCCTCACAACGCTTCACCTTAGAAAATGAGCGTGAGTCTATTCTTCCCTCCATAAACTAAATTTCGTAGATGATCATTTGGTATTGTCGTTGTCAGACGAATTGTCCAAAAATTGCGTTCGTGATACTCGATGATGATTGTGTAGTGAAGAGAATTTTGAGGCCCGTTGCTCACAACCGTGAAGACGGAGGTTTGTAATTTCAAAATAATATTTAAATAAATTAAAAAATATACAGGTGCTGATGACACTCGGCACTCAAGTGTCAGGTGCTGTTTGCATTTGGCACTCCAGTGTTAAGTGCTATTTGTATCTCCTTTTTGGGACTACGTGCCATTGCAAACGGCACTAAAGTGTAAGGTGTAAGGTGCTAAAAGGTATGTCCTCGATTTTGACAGAATCTCCGAATTTGCAACAAGTTATCGAATGGAATATAATCCAAATTGTCATAATCTTTTTCTTGAATCGTTTGAACACCAAAATATTCACCTGGATCAATAAAGACCACAGTATCACAAAATGATTCAAAGTACATGGCTGTTGCCATATAATTGATGAGACGATTCCATCGAAATTGTGCCTTTCCTTCATATTCTGAAAGAGATTGAGATAATTGTTTTTCAAGAGCTTCTCTCGATGGTATTTTCACACTTGCAACGTTATTACTATACAATTGTTGAATGAAGGACGTAAGTTCTCCAAAAGCAAGGAATGCATTATTCACACCAACTCCGAGACGGAAGTGAGCCGATGCCACGCTGTCTCCCTTCAAAATATTTACAGCAAATGGAGAGGATGGATTATCTAAGGCAATGGTCGTTGTTAAATTCTCAGCTTTTTGCAATACAACTCTCAAGAGAACCATATCAAATTGTTTTTGTAATTGTTTGTCTCCAGTGAAAGTATCTGAGCTGACAATGGCTTTTCTGAATGCATCGATCGTTTCATACTTGTTTGCGAGAACGGTATTGACGATGGTAAGAATTTTGTCCCAATCAAAGGCCTCTTCTTCCCAATTCGACACAAATTTCTGTTCTTGAGATGAAGTACCCGAGTTGACATAGGAAGAATCACGAGAGGCGTCAGCGAATGCAGCACTTCTGATTTCTTTAGCTTCTGTATCCAAGATGAGATCTCGCAACTTGTTGTCTCCATTGTCATTGGCATTTGGTTGATCATTGGCATTTCCATTGAGATTGACATTGTTGTGACCGCTCTCTTGTAAAAGTTTGTTCAAAGCTTTCCGTCTTGCTGACATGTATTTTTCAATGGCTTTCTGACCATATTCATTGTCAAACAGAATTTGCATGTGACAATGTCCAGCATAAAATCTCTTAAACACACTACAGATATTTGGCAATAATAAACTTGGTTTCCATGGATCAATAAATTCACCAGTGTCTTCATCAATGGCAGTTTCTGGACAATCTCTTTGACCAACACTCTTAAAGTTAATAATTAAGGCCACTTGTTCGAGTTTTGGTTTCACAGTAATTTTAGGAATGGCTGGTTTTGGAAGACCTCTTGCATACACGGTATTTGAGACGTCAAACGAATGAATGTCGTGAGTGCTAATGTTGAGAGAGCTTCTTACAGTACTGTATAAACCGTCACTTCCAATGAGAATGTCGAATGGAATTTTCTCTAATTCGCAATTCTTTCCATTTGTAGTGGTAAAGGACACTGTTTCAGATTTTGAGCACAGATCCAATTGTTCCGATGATGACATGAAATCAAGAGTAGAAGAACAATCCTTATTGTTTGTCTTTAAGAAATTTGCAACTGCATACTCTGCATTGGGTTCAATCTTCAAGTCACTCCATCTCGATGTCCATGATTGGCTAGCACTGCTACTTGTCGATCCAGGTTTCGTTTTACATTGATTAATGTATTGATAACCGAATATGTGTTGAACATTATCGAGAAGGAAGGTCACTTTGGTCAGGAAACGTTGTGTCATTTGACAACGAATGGTATAGGTAGTTCGTTCTTTTCCGTCAGTATCGGCAACAGTGTTCAATTTCACTTCCAAGTTTGGAAGCTCATTTGGAAATCCTAATTCTTCGAGAAGTTCCACCGATTGGCTGAATGGTTGAGGATACAAGTCAAACCAGACATCTCTAGAGAAGGTAGTTCTCTTCTCAATAATGTACACTTTTGGAAGAATGAGAGATGCTTCAATGGCACTCAAAAGTCCAACAGGTCCAGAGCCAATGACCACATATTTCAATGCACGATTAGGAGCAGGTTCATTGTTAGCACCTTTAGCAAGACCCATTCGTCTGAGATTAATTCGTTGAGTCTTGTAGATTCGAGCAATTTGGATGAGGAAATTTTTCAACTTTTCAATCTCTTCTTGAACATGCGAAGTCATTGTGACTTTTTGCTCGGCCTCTTCGTCATATTCAACAGGTTCCATTCGCGTCACGTATTGAGCTAAAAATTCTTCGCTGAGTGTGGAAATTTGTTCCTGAGTTTTGTTCATGAGCATGTCCATTCGATCGAGTTCTTGTTGGGAAAGTTTGAATAACTTCAAAATTGGAGATCGTTCATTGTCATTGGTCGTACCATCTTCAGCGTTACCTGGTGTCAATACGTATCCAATAATGTTTTGAGCGATTGTCTTGAATTTGCCATTGAATTTTTCAGAGTCCGTTAAGGGATGGAACAAGTCCGTTCGATGCATATGGTTCAAAAATTGAAGAAAATTAATCATTGAGTGTTGCATATTCTTGTCAGGTGTACTAACAGTCACAGTACCTGGAGTTTGAGGAAGACCAACATGGTACATTAAATTAAGATCTAAAATTTTCTTATTTACAATCAAATCTTGAATGGAAAAGGATAATTTCACCTCCTGTACATGATGTTGCTGATTGGGATCCATCATTAAATTTGGCATTGGATCCATCATTAAATTGGAGCCAGGCATGACTTGAGCTCGAACATAAAATCCGTTCCGATGATGATCCAATTCATGATTATTGATGTTCCTATCAAAAAGTGGAATGGATCGGAACAAGGTCAACACGATCACCACAATAAATAGAGAGGATAATAACGACGGCCATTTGCTGATAAGCCTTTTATGGTGTTTTGATGAGCCGCCTTGCTGCTGAAGAAGAGTGAGTCGTCGTTGCATTTTTTACAATTTTAAAGTTGGCTGGCTGGGAACAAGACAAACCATTTAAAGAATTCGTTGACATGTGTTAATGTCATGTACATAAAAGAGGTATTGCTTGGAAAGTGTTGGCATCGTATGAAGGCAGTCTGTTTTGGGATTTTGTATGTGTATTGGATGATTTCAAAAAGTCATCTTGATTTTTCTCAGCTCAAATCAAAGAGTCCTCAGTGTCACGATAAATTGGTAACTCGAAATTTCTCACTCTCTCATTATTCATCGTCACTATCATCATCGAGTTCAATAACAATGTGTTCATCACCTTCGTCATCGTCTTCCTCATCATCTTCATCTTCTAAATCGTCCATTTCTTCATCAAAATCGTCAATGACAATATCATCTTCAGCATCCAAAACAATAATACTTTCATCATCGTCTGACATGTAGTCATCGTCATGGAATAGAGGATGGTCAAATAAATCGTCTTGGTCTTCATCTCCTTCGTGTTCTTCATTGTCCTCTTCCTCAATAAATTCATTTTCATCTTCGTCGTAGGAGGCATCTCTTCTTGATTTTCCAAATTCATACAGTTTCACATGATTAAGGTTTTTAGCGGCATTGTTTGTCACCAATCCAAATTGATTGTATACAGGATCTATTGCAAAATCCACAATGGTGCTATTCTTATCGAATGTATGAGTAGCAAGGAGCTGATACGAAGATGAATCGACAATCTTGAATGTGTTTGCATTGGTATCGTGGATGTTTCCTGAAGAATAATCATTGTAACCTACAAACATGACTTCCTTATCACTACTAAATTTCACATACTTGGCATCACGGAGCGGAGCGCACGTAGAGAGAAGTTTTAACATTCGTAAATCCCAAATCTCACTATTGATGATGACTTCCAAGCCATTTGGATTAAAAACATTCACATATACTTGTGAAAGACGATCAAATCGGTGAACAGCCTTAGGAATGTGAGATCTAAAATCCCAAAGGCTCGCATTCGTAAGTATCAAATCGTCATATGGGCTAAAACATGCAACAGTATTATTCTCTTCAGTGGAATCTGTCAACTCAGCAATTTTCTCTTGCATTGCCAAGTTGTATATTTGAGTGGTGTTAAAACTTGAGGTTACAACCAAATCGTTTCCATTGCTGAACATGGAAGCAAAGCAATCTTTAAACTCAAAAATTGGTTTGGTTAAATTTGAAACGCTGTAAAGTAAACTTGAATTTTCTCCCCATGCCAACATTCTTGGTTCAATTAAGCGATCGGTAGAGAATTGAATTCCACGAACAGGTCCATATTCCATAATTTTGTATGAATCCACATCTCCACTTTTTGTGTCACAGACATAAATGTCACCTTCTTCACCTGAAAAATAGAGGTTGGAACTGTCTGGTCCGAAAGATATGGAAGTGATACTGTCTGTCTGTGTGATTAATGGACGAGAATATGATAGCCGTGAATAAATATGTTTTCGATTCTTCTTGTGAAAATCAAATCCCAGATATTGAGGCTTGTTGCATATTCTGGACATGTTCAATCTTTTTGTAATACATTTTGCACTCTTCAAAGAGTTTCCTGGTTTTGGGCAGGAATGCTTGTGGAACAAAGAAAATTCAGGCAACACTGAAATAGGATCTTCACATTCTCTGTGTTGTTGTCTCAAATAATTGACAACTATTCTATCAAGTACAGGTTTTGGTTTTGGAACAAATGGAGATAAAATTGTGTTTTGAGGAGTAATTTTTGCTTCTGAAAGTAGCGACTCGGCCGTTTTAGAAAGACCCTTATCTTTCAAATATTCGTGAATGATTTGTAAGAGTTCGTCTTGTTTGTATGTGATATGAGTGTTGGCCACTATACTGGCCTTCTCCAAACGAACGAGAGTGTGATCTTTGGCCTCTCTAATAACTGTCTTTGATTCTCTTCCTGTGACTTTTTCAAGCAGCTTCAACACCACTTCCTTCAATTCGCTGAATGACTCCGACTGTTCTTCGTTATGCTGTTTGTCTTTCATAATGTCTGTCAACAACTGACCCAGCTCTACTTTAAAAAGGATTTGGTTAATAGATGGCTCATCTGAAAGTCCTATTAAAATACCACAACACAGTGTTCGTACTTGGTTCATATTGTTAGGATCGTCATAATTTTGTAAATCGTCAAGTAATACTCGAATACCATCGTTTTTACGGAATAATTCAAATAGTGTTTTTCTTATTGGTAACAAGACTGATGCAATTTTGGAATGTGTAAAGAACATGTTATGAATCGTTCTAAGAGCAGCCTCTATAATTATAGGTTCATTTTCTACAGTGGAGCTTCCCAAAAGTAATGAAAGACCAGATCTACCGCTTAATACTTCAGTCTCTGCAATTGGAATGTGTGAAAACGGAGAAAGAGAAATTAATTCCAAAATCTCCAAAATTGTGAAAGAAAGAGTGTTGTCCATCCAAACATAATTGCTCTTATTAAATATTTCTAATATGGGGGCTAGACCATAATTATTTACAATTTTCACGACAGGATTAAATATTTGTTCTTGGAATGCTTTCATTAAGACTGATATATTCTTTTTAAAGGGTTCTAGTGCCACTCTGTTTGTAAAATTCTTATTTTGAAAATCCATATATTTCAGCTTCTTTTTTTTGGTGGCTTTCTTTTGCAAATTAAATCCAAAATTAATGACATGATACTGAAGGTATGATCGCAAAGCTTGACATGCAGCCGTAAGCAGTTGTCTCGTTAGTGAGGGATCTTCTTTAACATCTTCGATCAATACAATTTTGAGAATGGCTAAATAACATGTAACAAATGAAGTGTGAATGCAAATTCGCTAAAAAAAAAATAGTGAATACTTACACAACAACATATTCAAACCCATTTCCTTATCAAATCGAGCTACGACGGTCGAATAGGCCAAAGTGTTTTGAAAAAAGTGACAACCATGTCTTCTCAGCTCTGTATGGTTGGATCTTACAAATGAGAGTCCCAACTCTGTTATTTTTTCCGCAACGGCCGTGTTTTTGCACACCTTGTCCATAATTTCTGGATAAGTGGCAATACTCGAGAGGCACAAAGACAAACCTCCTGCCAAATAGGTGATGTTTGGAAGTTTCAATAATGCTACTAGGCAACCTTTTTCAACAAAATTTTGAGCAAACGAGGTGTGAGCAAGTAAGGAATCTGCAATTTTCAATCCATCTGACATGAGGAATTTGTCTTTAGACTTGAGTAGAGGTAGAATTAAAGAGCCACCACCAGCATGCATGACGTGAGGGATGACTTCTAAGTATTCGCCCAATAAACTTAAATTCGAGGCCAAAAATCTGAGCTCTAGGTATTCTAATTCTTGTATTGAGTTATTTCCAATGTTATACGAAAAATCGGGGGTAAATAAGTTAGTATCTGGAGATTTCTTCTTGGGTTTTTTGGGTATTGAAGATATCTTTGATTTAAATCTGGTTATTATAATTTGAGGAAGTCCATCTTGGATGTAATAGGAAGTTCCATCTGTTGAGCTTCTCATGACGCATGCCATTAACCCTAGACAATATACATATTTAGAATAGTTGAACTCAAAATCAGATGAAGTGTTTGATTTATCATCTTTTCCTAAAAATTCCTTAATTTCTTTCGAAAAAAAAGTCATTACCTCGTCCAACAACAAGGGTGACTGATCATACGTGGAAGGATTGACACACGCTAAAACTCTCAAAGCTGCAATTAATAATTGTCGTTTTTCAGGGGTGTTAAGTTCTGTGTTGGTATTATTGTTGTCCCTTTGACTCATGATATATTTCATTAAATATTGTTGAGTGATTTCATCGACAAAATCCTCTGGCACACACTCCAGCACTGCTCCTACACCAAAGTCTTCTCTCAAATCGAGAAGTGGATGAGCAGTATTGTCTTGATACATGTCCTCATAATATTCGATAAAAGCCGATAAGGCATTTAAAGCATTAATTTGCTTTTGTGTGCTTTCGAAAAAATCATCATGTTCTTCCTCCATCTCATTCACAAATCTTGCACAAATTGTTGTAACTAGATTCAACACAGCATTAGGTACGCCTTTACGGCTATTGATTAAAGCTGCAGGAGAGTTCAGACCATAGGGCCGTTGTGGAGTTACATTCGGAATGTGTTGTGGTGGATCCGATGATCCCGATCCAGAAGCTCCTATGGTTGTTGTTGTTATGGAGTGGTTCCTTGCTGGTGATGAAGCCTGTGGCTGCTGTCCTCCTCTCTGTGGTGTCAGCAAGCTTCGATTGGGCGGATTGGCCATTTTTTTGATGATGAAACGGAAAAAAAAATTCATCAAAACTTTGCAAGTGATCGGAAGTGTTGCCGCTTTTCTAAACCGTTAAAAAAATTTTCATCATTCTTGGTCTTTCAAAAGAACAAAGCCATGTTCGAGGTGGTCGAAAGACTTGTTTTAAAAATTCATGATATGTTTCTTTGGACATTACACCCATTGATCGTGTGACTCGGTTTTGCATGTCGCAACTATTCGGCAATTGAAAATCTTTCCAAAAGTTGTCCTCTCTTTGACAAAAGATGGAATTCAAGTATTGAATGAGAGAATTCAGAGCGTTCACTCGATTCTGAGAGGCGTGTAGTTTCTCCAAAAATTGTGCAATGTGAAACATGTTCGAATCATGATCATTACGTAAATGAACAAATCTTTCAGCTGATCCTCTTGCATAGTATCCAGATGGATTCATCGACTCGACGATTCGATTCGTAAGACTTGACAAGTATTGCGTTACATAGGAATTTTGAATTAATTTTTTCAATACTTGTTTCCATTTCACTTGAGGATGATAGTGTGAGATGAAATGAAATAACCGATTGATTCCATTAAAAACACCATCATTTTCTTGATTGTAAAATTGAATACTTTCATAACAATCATTTCTCAATACTTGATTCAAAAATTGAAAATCCACACAAAATTGTAAATTTTTTCGAACAAGCCTAGGAAGAACAAGATCGTTTCCGAGAACCTTGTTTATGGAATGACCACAAAATAGATAGTGCCGAACTCGCAAATACCACAACATATTCGCAAGAGGATGATCGGAAAGAAACCAAAACGACCATTCTTTACAGACACAACCGATGGATAAAACTGATACTTTCTTTCCGCTGTTGGCATGTCGGAATGGAATGAATTTGAAAATTTCAATCCACAGCTCTGTTGGAATGATCATTTTTTTGTTTTTGAATTTTCATCCAAAAACAAATAGGTACATTTTAAAATTCAAACGAGCTAATTTACTGAGTTCATACTTCATGAAAGCATAAGGAAGTATTGAGTACACCTGTATCAAGTTAGATTAATTTCTGTTTTCTGAAAAAGGTTTTGAGACTGGAGAGTTGCCACCATGCACTCATGACAAGAATCATGACTTGCAAAACTGCAACGATCCATAAACGTTCGTAGGTGGAATCTGTGGTTTCTCGGAACCTCTCTTCTCGATGTTTGAAATATATTTGTTCGGAAGTGATGGTAGTAATTTGATTTCCCAGGTTTTTCAAAAGAGTTTCAATTTCTATAGTGTGACAAATCATACGTAGGTTTCATCAATTTTTCGTAAAGTTTGAAATAATTCAACATACTTTTAACATGCTTGACCGACTCTAATTCTTCAAATTCCACTTCAGCTGATTTTCCAACATCGATATGGAGATCCAATTCCACTTCTTTCAACTTGGATTCTTGTTCGATACAAATTTTGTAATTTCCATACAATGTGGAAGAGCTTTTAAAATGATGTGAAATGATCTTGAATGCTTGGTTGTCTTGAACGATGGTTGGTAAACTCTGCAAAAAGTAATGAGCATCTAAATATTCGTTCTTTTCTGGATCTGTTCCAAATAATCGAATTTGAACATCTCGAATGTCTCCTCCATTAACGTCAGTCGGTGATTTGGTTGGAAACTTTAGAGTTATTTTCACTGGAGTGCTTTCATATAAATGTTCTTGGAAGCATACTCGTTTGTTCTTCTTGGAATCTAATTTCAATAAAACTCCTTCCACATTGCAAATTTGAAAGCATAGAGCCTGAAGGATCAACAGAGTAGAGGCAAGAATGAGAAATCGATAGGAATGGAGAGCTTGCATTTTGTTGTTGAAACGTTTAGTCTTTTGGAACGAAGAATTGTGAAAAGAACTGTTTTGGAAACGGCAATGTCTCGTTTTTCATACCATTTTCAAAGAAATTCCAAAATTGGAAATTAGGTTTGGAAAACACATATTTGGACAGTTGTTTCAATTCGATGTTAGATCTTCGTTCTACTCGTCCTCATCATTGAGGTTGGCTACAACGTCGAGACGGGCTTCAATCTCTCTAGCTTTCCTATCTACGGTTCTTTCATAGAGTTGAGGACACATTTCAACCAACCATTCTGGTTGAATAGTTGAAACATCTCTCATAAAAACTTTTGTAGTGAATAATAGCTCAGTAAATAAGACATACTCGGGTGGATATTTGAAGAGAACAGAGTTCGGGTGAATGTGTAAAATTTGATTGCCCTTAATAGATCGATAAGATCCGTCATGTTGTCTGAGTGCTGCATTGGAAAAATAGCCAGTAATGAGGCACTTTCGAATGATATCACTTGGTGCATCGTGTGGAGAGTCCATAATGGACTGCACTGGAATGTGAAACTTTTTGAGAAATTTTTCATATTGATGGTAAAACTGTTCTGCTCTTTGCATGGCCTTATAGTTGATAAAGTTATCGTAACACCAGTTGCTTGATTTCTTGTTGTTGAGGTAGGCCAGATAAATGTTGAGAATGGTCAAATGATCGCCTTCCATGACTGAAAATTTCTTTTTTGCATTCTCAATTCGATCTTGAATTGTGCGGGACGAAACAAATACATTTTTCACACTCAACATGGCGCATATGATTAGTATTTCGTACGAGCAATTCATTTGACCTGATTGAATCAATATCTTGGAAATGAAGGGATCCGTTGGAAATTCTGCCATTTGCTTTCCAAGAGGGTGTGTTAATTTTCCATCATCGTCAATCGCTCCTAGCGCATATAGGGTCTCCAGAGATTTGGCCATGTTCTGTGATGGAGGTGGCGACAAGAAATCAAAAAAGACCAAATTTTCAATTCCCATTGCTTTCATTTGCAATAGACACTCTGTAAGATTACACTTCTGAATTTCTGGAACTGTATTTTCTTTGAGTTTGGAAAAGTCTTCCTCTGTGTATAATCTGAAACACTTGCCCTGACTAACCCGACCAGCTCGGCCAGCTCTCTGTTCTGCAGCGGCCTTACTTATTTCAGCGACTACAAGACAATCTCTATTGGCCCTATAATCGTAAACTCTCTCTTTCACAAATCCACAATCTACCACATATCGTATGGATGGGATTGTAATTGATGTTTCTGCAATGTTGGTTGAAATGATTACTTTTCGAATTGCACTCTGCTGTGCAGACACGTCAAATATTCTCATTTGCTCTTCCATGGAGAGCCCAGCATAAAGAGGTAGAGGGTGTAGCGTTTGAAGAATCCCATCTTTGCCATCCTTCTCTATTTCTTCTTCGAGAAGTGAAATAAGCTCCTCTATTTCTTGCTGACCTGTGAGAAAAACTAAAATGTCACCAGAATTTGGGGGTTCGCTACGGTGAATGTTTAACACGCACTGTAAGCTCGAAGTAATATAGTTTGAAACAGGCTTCTGTACATGAAAAACGTCAACAGGAAAATTCCTTCCCTCAATACTGACAATGTAGGAGGACAAATTGAGTTGTGGTACATTGAAAAATCGAAAGAAATCTTCTGCATCGAGAGTGGCACTCGAAATGATGAGTCGTAGTTCAGGACGTTTTTGTAATACTTTTTTCATTAGTCCCATCAATAAGTCTGTTTTAATACTCCTCTCATGAGCTTCATCAATCATGACTACAGAATAATCGCTAAGCAATGGATCGACCATCATTTCCCGAAGTAACATGCCGTCAGTCATAAATTTAATTCTTGAATAATCAGAATATTTTGCATCAAATTGTACACAGTATCCCACTAGGCCACCAAGTTCCATATACGAATTTTCACGTGTGATGACACCGCTTCTTGTAGAAATTCCAATGCTCGAAGAGGACGAGGCTCCAGAATTATTACCACTCTCCATAAACGAAGCTTTTTTTTCTTCAAATACTCTCTTAGCAGCTGCTATGGCTGATATTCTTCTTGGTTGAGTGCACACAATCGATTGATTATTCGAGCACCAACCAGCTTCAAATAAATATTGGGGAATTTGTGTTGTCTTTCCGCTTGCAGTTTCTCCACTCACAATAACCACATTATATTTTTCCACGAGATACAAGATACAATTCCTATAGGAATATATTGGTAATCGTTTTCGTTGTTCATTCATTGATAATTTCCTAAAAGGATTATAAATAAATTCTCCAACTTGATCATCCTCTCCGATACCACTACTTGTGCTCCTAATAATTGAATCTCTATATTCCGAAGAGGATGATGATGACAGTGATGAAGATATTGTATAGCTTGTAGTTTCCGAAGATGAAGCTGCGGATGAAGGCTTCCAAAATCCGCCTTTTGCTTGTGGCTTCATTTTTTTTTTACTTCACCTTCATCGTCTGCTACATCTATTTTATTGGCATTCATGACTATTGCTGTCGGCTATTCAGGCATGGAATTCTGTGGAATGATAAGTAGCGAGTAGTATGACAATAACTCCCAAAACGACACGTCTCTCATAACGGTCTACATAACGGTCTACATTAAGAGCTACTTGTGCTCATGACCATAGCTTAATCACTCAAGGTTAATCAAAACAAGTGACTGTATTCGTGTGATTATCAAAACAGTACAGCACTGAGGATTTTTAATCTCAGACCCACACACCCAGCAAAAATGAACATGGGATTGGGTGAGTTGGGTGTGAGGACGGCGTTTAATCTCAAACACAACACAAATCCAAATCAATCTTCAAAAAAAAATATTTCTACAACAAATATGATGATCATCAGCGTTTTATTATTGAAATTTGAACAAAGTGTTTGGCATGGTTTTAACCAACGGATTGCTTTTCAAAATAGCGTTCGAACATAGAACAGCTACCATTGCAACATATGGAAGCAAAGATTTTCTTTGTCTCCATCTTGTTGCCGTTGCTGATAATCGTTTTACATATCCGAAGGTCATTTCTACAATCATTCTCTCAGATTTGTGTTGCACAAAGAGATCAGGCTTACTTCTGATGATGGTTGATGTTGGAAGTACCAATTCAACTCCATGTTTGAATGTTTTTGCTTGATATCCACCATCAGCAAGGACCATCACACCCTGTAAGTATTTTTGGATATTACTGAAGAATAATACATCTTTGTCGTTCTTGCTTCCAGGAAAACCAACCGTAAAATGTAAAAATCTGCCTTGAAGATCAACTAACGCTTGTCCGATGAAAGAATGGATACATTTGTCACCACGATAATAGATAGCCTGATCTACACTTGGCTTGGAGATTCTGAAATGCGTTGCATCAAGCGCGCCTATTACTAGTCTATCAATATTAGAGCTTCCTTGTAATACAGTCAAATGTCCTGGCATAACAACCTCGTTCATATAGGCCGATAATAATATGGGAATAATATGTTTGATTTCCATGCAAACATATCCTTTGGAAACTCCAAACATTTCTGACAGCAGAGCAAATTTGGAATATGATCCCATCCAAACACAGATTAGCAGCAATCTGTTTTTTGGAGTAAGTTTTGAGTATCTGTATTCACGTTTAGTATTGATATTTCTTCTCAAGTCATAATATCTTCTTGGCTTTAACAGTTCTAATTTGATCCTAGAATACATTTCTTCAAACTCAGCACGAGTTAAATGAGTGAAATCCATCAACTTATCGTCATCCCATTTTCCATAATTGTCAACTCCTTCCACCTTACTTTTTGGTTTTCGGTATTGACTTCGTCCTTGTCCACAAAATGGAGTTTTAGTTCTAAATTTTTTGGAAGTATAATATGGCTCTTCTGGTGGCAAAGGCATTACTGGAGGGATTAATGAGCAAGCAAGTAATTGAAGTCTTTTCAAATACTTTTCATCCCATGAGCATGCTTTATACATCAACAGTTCTTGTTGTAGGTTATTTAATTTTGATATGAAACTATTGACATTGATATGACTATTTACACCTGGATAATCAATCAACTCAGGATGAGTAATGATGACAGTTGCTGCCATCATTAAATAAGTGATGACGACATGTAATGTATTAGGTAGCATTTTTTTTCAGTTTGCATTGTAATATTACAATATTACATATTTTCTCAAACTATTGTAAATTTACAACAATTAACCGTTACAACCGTTACAACCGTTACAACTGTTGTACATAATTCACCAACCCTATTTAACGTAGTTGACTAGTATTGTTTTGAAGAATCATCCATTAAAAAAACAATGGCCAATACTCAACCCAAGAAGAAGCAAAAACCAACCAACACTCAACCTAACTCAAGTCAAGCATCAAATAGCAATCAATCACAGGACCAATCCAGCACGGGAAAACGATGGACAGACTCTGAAGTCCTTGCTGCATTACAACTTTACAAACAAGACAAGGATTGGGAAAAGGTTGCGAGAAATATTAAGGAATTATTTGACAACAAAGAATGGAATTGGCATGTGCGTGGTGATAAAAGCTGTGCTGAAAAGTATCGCAGATTGAAGGAGGAATTGAAAAAGGAAATTATTGAATATAGATCAAAACTCTCAGAGAAATTTAATAATCACACTCTGAAAATTAATCAAGATGTCGAATTATGTATTGACGAGGTAGTTATTGGTAAAGGTATCATCTTGAGTGCAAATCCATCTAATAACGAAGATTTATTCCATTGCCACGGTAAAACATATCCATACAACCAATTTGCTAAAATTACAATCAAGTCCCACGATGCAAGTAAGAAAAATTTACTCTTACCATCATCAGTCGTGACATCTGAATTTAAGACAGTTGGTGATTTGCAACAAGGTTCCATCATTGCTTTTCCTTTAACAAATTTATTGATTTTGAGAACTTTTGATTTATTTGAACCAAGTAATCCCATTTTGAAAGAAGTGTGGGATATTGAACGTGATAATCAACAATTTTTATTGACCACCGGAGAACTTAATTCTAATCCAGAAGACAATGTAATTGATCTTGTTGAACGTGATATTCAAGACACCGATCGTAGAAGAAATGCTATCCAAGAAAGAACAGATATTCAGCGCATGCATACCATTCAACATATGACATTCTATAGAAACAGTGAGAAGTGGGCCGAAGTATTGGATAAATTAACGGAGACATTCGAACTGGCCAACACTCTTATGAAGTCACATCAGGGCAAAGATAAGGTTGTTGTGTTGTCTTATAATGGAAAAAGAAAGAAGGTAGTTGTTTCTGACATCAAAGTATTGATTTACTTGTCTGGTGATTTTCTTTCATTCCTTCAGGAAAGAGTAACTTTAGGGGTGTGTACTTTTACTGATTTATTGAACAGAATAGTTCTTACAACCTCCGAAGGATTTATTGTCAATGACACGTATTCATTTGAAGCTCTTTCTTCAACAGAAACCACTGAACTCTCCATCAGTGTCATTGATAGAATGCACGATGATGAATAATAAATTTATTGATATTTCTTTATTCAAAAATTTTTTGAGTGTGAAATGGGTGGGTGGGTGTGAGGTACGGCGTTTAATCTCAACTCACCCAACCTGTGTGGGTGTGAGATTAAAAATCCCCACTCCATTTGATAAGGAATAAAAATGGGCTGTGATGTTTTTCTGTGAAATCGCCTCAAAATCTTTGGAAGCATATTGAATACCATTGTGTGAACGGAAAATGTAACCATCCGAAATTGGATCATAAAGGAGAGGAGCTGAAAAATAATAGCCAGAAACTTTGAGAGTTTTCACATATTTCAAATTTCGTGTGAACATTTTGAGTATGGGTATCCAGTTTTGATCGTAACAAGTCACTAACAAGTTATCGTTTCTATCCATAGATAGGTAATAAGGGTTATAAGCTTCTGAATTGAAAGTCGTTTTACAATTTTTTCCAATTTTATCAATAATCTGGCCACTTTCACTACAAATCAAAACGATTTGCTGACTTGTTTGATCCAAAAGATAGATAATTCCTCTAGTATCCATTACAAAACTGTGAAGGCTGTTGTATAGGTTTTTAGATGAATTGAAACTTGTGGACCATTTCACTTCTCCGTTCCTAAGATCTATTTTCGAAATTTTGATTGGAAATCCTGAAAGTGGTCTCGTTTCAAAGATACAAGAATGATCTTTCTTACAATATGCAACCGAATACGGTATACCCTGTAAATTACAAGAAACGAGATCAAACGTTTTAATTTTTTTGAAACGATCATTCACATCAAAAACATCCATCTTGTTTTCACCAAAGCACACAAACTCTCGTCCGCAAGCCCATGCATACCGATATTGTGCTACATTATCTACATTATTCGGAATTGAGCTATCTCGTTCAAACGTATGAGAGAAAATGAGATTGAATTTTCCAGAGAAGCCTTTGATCTCTTCCGAATACAGCAGCACTTGGTCTGTTGTTGTTGCTGGAGATGATGTTTCGCTCATTTTCTTCTTTTTTTTTCATGAAAGATGGAACAAGTGAACTCGGTCTTTACTTATTCCAACGGATCATGAATTCAAGAAAAAAAAATCCACTGGTGCTGGTAAATCCGTGTGAGGATTGGGGTTTGCTTTTGAACTGGCTTTTTGAATCTTGTGTTTTCATAATACTTGGTTTGACATTTACCAACTTGGTAGGGTGAGAATTTTATGGATTTCACGCCAATTTTGGTAAATAATATTTGGGAATTGAAAAAAAAATGAAAAATTCAACCACATTTCGGAGCTTGTCATTGAGTCATCTTCCATCGGAAATTAATTTTGAAATTTTCTTGTATTTAAATTTTGAAGAAATTTATAACATCATTTTCGGAACGAATAGCCAGAGTTCCAACTTGGAGTGTGCTAAATTATTTCCGAATTTAAATGATTTTTTAATTTGGAAATTTATTGAGAAAGTGGAACTCATGATTGTGCACTTGAAACCTCTAAGACATTTACAACACGCACAACGCAAACGACCAGTGAGACTATTACTCGATTTGAAACCCTATTTTTTCGAGAGAATGACGCAAGTTCCACAAATAGAAGGTGATGAAATATTTCACAACCAACAAGTGTCAAAATTTCACAGTAATCGTTTAAATTTTACTGTAAATTTTCAATATTATTACATGAGATTTGGAATCAAACAGTTGCACCAAGGTCTATCCAAATCCGATAAATACTTTTTTGACATGGACCAATACTTTAAAACCATTCAACTCATTGAAAAATATTATTTACCAACACCTAATCCTTATTTTTACAAAGATCTCACATACTATTTTATTCGTTGCATGGACGCCGCTTTGAAACATTGTTGTAGAAAATGGCATCACTTTACCAGCACAGTTTGGCCTGACAATATTCTCGAACGTAAAACTGAAAGCAAATTGAAGCTTTTACAAAAATTGAATGAGAGAATGGAATGGGTAGTATGCATTGTAAAACAACAGGATTGCTATTTGAAGCAAAAAACAGTGCAATGGTTTATAGAAGTTGCTTCACAATTAGATAAAACCATTGCAACACATGACTTGATTTTGACATTTTGGAAAATCACACCAAATATTGAGAGTTTTGAACCCTTAATTGAAGTACTACATTGGATCAATGGAAAGAGCTCCTATCACATGGTTGTAGATATTTTCACAGCTTTGCGCATGAGATTACAACGAGAATTGAAAATTTCACACATGCAAGATTTTGAGCGTTTTTGCAATTTATTGAAATTTCTAAGATCTTCCTTCTTGGATATGGATTCTAATGGTTACCTCTTCAATGAAAAATCTAGAAAATTTGTGACACTTGCCATTGAACTCATGGAAGCCATCATGAATGCACAACACTTGTTAGCTCCAGAAGTGCACTATGAATTTTCTCAATTCCTTGAAAAGTACCGATTGGAAAAGAATTTATTTCCTAGCAGCTCGCAGTCTTATCAATTGTACAGTCGTGTCTTTGAACAGAACTCAAGGTCTAATAATGGTTATTAAATTAACAACTCGGTTTTTCATTTACAAAATATGTCACATTATTCATCAATTTTTCGAATCGAGAAATTGTCGGATCCTCTTCATCATCCGAAACATCCTTAAAAACTTGATTACATTGATTTTGAGCCATTATCTCAAATTTGAGCGAAATTGTTCTATGTTGCTCGAGTCTGTGTTCAACGTCAACTTTATCATTTTGGGAACCATGTTTTACTGATTTTATTCCACTGTACATTGCCAATAAGGAGGAAGTGCCAACGTTTTTCTCGGCCGTGATTGGCGTCGTGGCACGTATGAATAAGCATTCACTGGTTTCCTCAGAAATGCAAAAGAAATCAATCTCAATTACTGGAGCATTACAAGATGGAGCAAGATTCCTTTTTGAGAAGGCAATAATTATTTCAGACCTTTTGCTTGTATTTGTTCAAACACAATTTTCAATAAAGATTGAATAGTTGGTGTGCACTTTTCAATCATTAACAACCCACAAGGATGTGTAGGAGCCTTAAATCCATACTTTAGGACAAAAAACACCAGCTCAATCTTGTTAGAAATGGGAATAGATATTGAAATAAGTCTCTCAATCAACATATCAATCATTAATTCTAAGGTCATCATTGACGATTCATCTTCTTGTGTGGCATGATTGATAACTTCATCGCTCATGCTTAACAAGGATGTATAATCCGTTTTTGAATCAACTAATAGAGTGACATATCGTCTATGGGTTGATGTGCAATGTGTGTTGAGTAGTACAGGATGTGGCTGCCTTAAATTTGCAAAACTTTCCATGAGTGTGGGTGAATACAGCGCAGGAAATGCTTTCTGGAAAGTAGGCCTTGTTAAGTCCTTTCTATTGTGCAACAGTTGCTTCGTCGAGCAAATCAATAGAGTGCAAAGAAAATGAAAATCTTCTCCTCTAGAACTATTCTCTATCATCAACTCTCGAATATCAGAGCTGTAATGTATTGCCACCTCTCGTTCGATTTGTTTCTTGATTTCAACATGATCTTGTAACATAATATTTAAATGGTGAAATTCTTCGATTTGATTAAGTTGTGCAGAGTAGATTGTTGGCCCCAAAGTGTGTTCAAGAAGCGCACCAAAAAGAAAAGAATCTCCACAATTTACAAGTGTCAATAAATTTTCAAACGTTGACGAAAGAGGTGAAAAATCCCTAAAATCTAGCGAGGATGGTTGATGTAAAACGTTATTCAGAACAAGTGGTTCATCACGTTGAACATTCTCTGAAGCTGCTTGTGAAGCTAGGTATATCAAAAAAAAAGTTGGAGAAAATCGAAAGGGAATATTGTCCTTTCGAAACTTGTCAATTTTCTCACTCACATGCTGGAAGATCATGGCTTTCTGTTTTGAACCTAACAATGTACAATTTTCTACCAAGTGCAAATCTTTTAAAAGTCCACAGGTGATCCAATTGAGTACGTTCATTGGATGTCCATTAAAGTTTTGGCGTTCGAAAAATCTATTAAGATTTTCAACAGCGGTGATAGCTAGTAGAATTTCCTCACTAGATAAAGTATTAGAGATCAACTCGGGGGTTATTTGTACTATGCACATAGTGAATTCTTCATGATGATTTTGCTTAAATACTTTTGCTCGAAGGCCATCCAATAGGGTTAGAGATCTTCTCAAAATGATATCTATCTTAGAGTTGGGAAACAAGTATTCACATAGTGTGATCATGTACGAAAGCCAAGTACTCTCCGGTTGAACTGTTGACATGTTCGAAATTCTTTCCTCCCACTCGCCATACCTGTTTCAATGTATCATCATCAATGGTGACGTATAAAAAAACTTACAAGTTCCTCCTGTGAACTGAGCTTGTCAGTAACAATTGTTGAATATGTAATTTATCATAAGGAAGGTACTTAGTCAAAAGTAAGCAAAAATATTCTATTTCCATCAGTCGAAAGTCATTCGACAAAATACAACAAATCTCGCCACGTTCATCCCTAAAAACTCTCCATACGGGCTCTCGCATGACACAAGAGGAGTTTTCAACAGACGGGGGTTCAGGTATACTTTCATTGTACTCTCCTTGTGTCATGAGTACGTTAATTTTTCTCGAGAGAGGAGCCCAGCTATAAGGGCCATAGGATTTCTTTGAGGTCTCCAACGTTTCCCATTCGTCAAATATTGTGTCCAACACGTCACCAAGCAATTGTGCTGAACCAAAAAATCCAAGTAGTGAATCACTGTTATACTCCATTTCATAATTAAGGAATGTAGGAAAGTCAAAAGTTCTAATTTGGGGATATGTTTCAGCAGAAAAATAGTCTTTACAACAGCAAGTACTATCCAATCGCATATATCTTAAAGGGACAAATAAATTATTGAAACAATTGCTAAGAAAATCAATGTTACACGTATTACTTTTCAAATGACTTTTCTCATAATACATCCTTTTCAGCATATTCAAACAAACTTGTTGCTCATGAATGGCTGATTCCGAGCATGGAAACAAGAGATTAAATTTTGCAACTTGTCTATTCCACTCCGATATTAATTGTTGATTTTGAACGCTCCTCTTGTTCATGATGATTTTTCTCCCACCACGGATACTCTCAAAATTGTTCGTTGATGATGGAAGAGTATGGTTAGGATCGGATTCATCCTCTCCCGGTGATGATGACAATTTTTCATGCTCATTCCAAACATCCTTCAACCAATTCATCAGCTGCCTCTCCTCCCATATGAAACCTGAATAGTCATGATCATTTCTCAACTTGTTATGATGATTGTGCTCCTGACTGGTGTGAGAGTCATCTTCAAAGAAAGGCTTCATCTTTTCATTTTTTTTGTTGTTTGTTTGCCCTTCATGATTATTCATAAAAGAAAAGCAGTTACAATAAATAAACATCCCAATCCTTACTTTAAGCGGATTTCCAAGAGGCTCTGTTAATACTTTTGTGGAAATTCAAAAATTTAAAAAAGTTCATCTTGTTGTGAAGTCTTTGAACAAACAAAAAATATGAAAACACAACTGAACCCTCGTCTTTGCATCCGATCGAGTGATCGGCTTGTTTTCAGTAATCATCAAAACTTGTATCAAGTAGATCCCTATGCGGTTAAATTTGATTCATGCTCGGAAAATATTATCTATGATTATACTCGTGCGATTGCAGAGGAGAATGTAATTATGATCGCGAACTCGTTCACTAAATTTTATCTGGTTCATCATGATATGAAAATTACAGGTATGATTTCATTTGTTGAAGCACAAGTTGCTATTTTTGAAATATTTGATCTATGATCAACTGAACATGTGTGATTTTCCAATTTCATTCTCAGAATTTGACTTACCCAGTCGATCTATTCGAGAAATTGATGACATCAAACAATTAGGTCTTACCATCAAATTTATGGATTGTGGAGAAAATACTGTTTGGGTTGTCACAGATTGTAATAGACTCTTTAACTTTGGAGAGGACATATTCAGTCAACTCGGAAAAAGTAAAGCAAAACACAAAATATTCCAAGAAGTAGATAATGCCTTCATTCCAGAGCATGGAATAATTACCCATTTCTCTTGTGGAAGATATCACACCTGTCTTGCAATTAATGAAAAGCAGGTATTTGGAATTGGTTATTCATCTTTTTATCAAACGGTAGGTTATGATGATGATGACTCAATGGCATGTTGACATTATTAGGGTCTGAGAGCAACACGAGATGCTTCCAACTTTGAGAAATCATATTTCTTGATCAACGATCAGCATGGAGTCAAACAACATGTGCAAGAATTTCCACACAAAATCAAAAAGTTGACATGCAGCCGATATTTCACAGCATTTGTTTCCAGTAAGTGGAGATGTAAATGGACATTTTCTCACAAAACATTCATGAAGATACAAATGAGTTTTGGGTCACAGGTTCAGCAGAGAATAATCAAAGTAAGTGTCACCTAGGATTCAACTCCTAAACAACATGTATCACCTACACACCATTGTTCAGCATTTACTAACAAGACATGTGAATGCTTCACCAAAATCTTGTTTGACAATATTATTGATGCATTTCCAGCAAAAAATGGCTACCATACCCACGTCATTACGTCTGCTCAACAGATACAAGCACCAGGGCCTTTTGCAGTTGTCAGTTCTGGTTGGAATGATAATAATCAATGGTATGTGGATTTTAATTCGAAAATTGATCACCTGTATTTCTTTAGTGGAGTCAAGTATAAGGATTCGTCCTCATATGGTTTTATGGATTTACCCATTCTTGAACAACATGACCCAAGAGTAGCGAATATTCAACTCTTTCCCGTCTTCACCCGAAGTTATTTAAGATATGAAAATTTATGTAAGTTTGTGTTACATGACAACAAAGCAAGACTCCAACAACTGCATTATCATTCCATAATTTAACACAATAGTATTTGGGACATGCAAAGCAGAGAGCGCTAAAACTTTTTATTCTGTTGAGCTTCCCTTTCATTTGTCTCCAACCGATCGCTTAGTTGTGTCTGGAGGGAACAATTTCACATTATTCTTTGCGAGTAAGTATGCCATTAGTTAATGTGGAGTTTTTATACTGATGAACTTTATTGGTTTCCATTCATGCCTTAAACCTCAACCATTGCTATTGTGAAATCACTCCTTCAACCTCAATGGTCTTGTGAAATTTTTCTACAACCTAGCTGCATCTACAACACGTACCCTTGAATACTTTCTAAATAACTTGAAGAATGTTAAATCGGCATTTGCCGATGTGACTTTCTATTTAAACGGTCGTTCCATGTTTTAACCATTGCTTTGGAAGTGCTTCTCCTTGAATAGTATCATCACTTGCCAAACTCTTTCATTATGAGACTTGGTATGACTTGCCAAAATTCAATCATCCACTTTCTATTAATGTTGTTTGCTTTTTCTTATTTTGATATTTCCAACCTTGCTGGGCGAATCTAGTGAAGATGGTGATGAACGTGTGTTGGCGAGTTGGATCCAGAAGCAATTGCTTCATCACCAACACTGCCAACAAGTTTGTCGTTGTCGTAGATATTGTTGGTGTTGACCACAAGTTTGTCGTGGATATTGAAACAACACCAAAACAAGGAGTTTCTTTAGCATGTGAGGAAGCTATTTTTTTCGCACACGCCGGATACGCGCCAGAAAGGAAACATTGTTTGTAGTAGGATAAAAAAGATCACACTATTTGCACTTTACTGGCTATTTCAGATCTAAAAGAAGCGATAATGGGGGAACACAGTGTTCAACACACTATTGTACTTCACCGTTTATGGAGCAGTGTCTTCATTTACTACTTTGCACAAATATTGTTGCTACTACCTTTCACCCACTGCAGGTTTACCTAATTTCCTGTTGTGGGTTTTTGCACTCCAAAGAGATGCGGTCGACTACTTGAAGAGCATTGAAAGAGTCTCTTTATCCATTTGTTGTTGTAATACAACCACACATTGAAAAGCATCATCATTGTTATGGAATATGCATCGATTAAACCAATAGCGGCTAAATTATTCGGGTCTTTCCTTCAAACCATTTTTGTACAAATTTGACACGTTGGCCACAGACACAACCACAGCAACGATGTGCGTGGAAATACTATTTGATATTTGATAATCAGAACCATCAGCCTGTCAGGAGTTTTATCTCTTGCGCCACAACCATCACAACCACTCGTCATACTTGTAGTTCTTCCAGGAGATCCAAACCAATACACACAAACAAGCCTTCTTGATCTTCTGCAGCGGTGAAACACGCATGCTTGTTGTGTGAGAAAGGGCACTTTGTTGTTGGCCTGCGAACCTACGAACCTGCTCTACTAACTGCCACAACAACAAACAAACAAAATACATCCACTGCTCCACGCCAAAAAATGGAAGACCACACTATTACTAGCACGACTAGAGATTCCAACACAACCACAGCCACACCAACAAGTTCATCAGTAGAACGAAATGAACCAAGTGGTAGTGTGTTTTCCATTACAGCACCAAATACAATTCAAAGCATGGATCCAAATCAGGTAACTCGTACATCAGACCACTCCAAACAATATCATGAAACACCCCAACCTGTACAGAACATGGAAAGATCTACCTCAGTCCATGACCACGTTCCATACGAGTCGATGGCAACCACTGAAAACATCATGTCCAACACGATTAGTAAAAACGATGGACACTGCAGCTCAATCCAAGTCAAGTCAGGCAACCCAAGTGCGCACTTGGATTTTCAAACCATTCAACCTGAAACAACAATGCTGCAGCGCATGGCCACCCATACACATGAATCATCATCACCCAAACCATCATCCTTCTTTGGAGATGGAATGGTGTCATCCTCCTCGTGCATGAAACCCCTACGAACATACTCAGAGGATGACCAAGTCGAAGCAACACCACAACAACTACGACCACTCCATGTTGGCACTTCCCATGCACAATCATCACCTCCATTTGTACCAGTCATGAACCCAAACAACACCAACAACAACTCCGTCCGTAACTTCCCGTCGGGGAAAAACGAAGCAGAAGAACATCAAACGACTACAACTGCCAATAACTGCAACAATCAGAAGAAAATGATGGAGCAGAAGAACAGCTGCAACTACACTGCAGCTGCTGCTCGTACCGATCTAGAGTCTTCCTCAAATATTACTATTCCTACGACTATTACTACTGAAAATTCTCACCCTACAATATCAACAACAACCACTACGGATTACTATCAACAAGCACCACTTCCTTCCCTATTCTCTTCATCATCAAGCTCGGGTTTTCTTTCTCAACAAGCACCTCAATTCCGTCCTCTAGTCTCAGCAACGTCCATGACTTGTTTGCCTCCTCCTTCCTTGCTCTTATTACAAGAACATGAACAACAACAACAACAGGGGAGGATGATATCATCCATACCTCCATGGATGCATCAACCTCAGAGTAGTCAGACCGAATCAAGTGGAAGTACCACCACCACCACGACTACTGAATCTATCCAGATTGGAGATGACAATAGCCATGTCCACAGACGGATGCATGCATCTAGTGGTGGTGCTGGAGTTGTTCATGGAGGTACCATGCCCATACCTGTTTCGAACGTGCATCTAACGTATCCAACCTTGCATCCACCATCATCGTCATCAGCAGCAACACCGCCACCACAACAACAAAATACCAATGCGGATGGATCAGTCCATTCCACCACTAAATTCAACAACAAAATGATGACGAATAGAGAAGGAGGAAACACCAACCACACGTCCAACACGATTAGTAATAGTACGAGTAGTAGTAGCAGAAATCAAAATGTATCCAAACAAAAATCGGCTACCACGATGAAACAAGACGGTAAAAAGGCAATGAACAATCATAACATGGGGGATGGCACATTGAGTGAGAGTAAAACATGTGTCATTTGTGGAAAAGCAGATACAGGTAAGTTGAGATTGAATCGTTTTGAAATGAGATGTATTCATAGGTGTATATTTATGATATGACATCATGTATGAACACAATCTTCATGTACATGAATGTTACATGCATATCATGCTAACTAACAACACATCAATCTCATTGGTGCAACATCATCATGTACATACATATGCATTACATGATATGCACGTCATACAACAACATGACCCACTCATCTCCCAAATGCATACTTTTGGTCGGTCTAAATCTGTTTATGGAATATTTGGAAATTTTCTCAATTCATCATTTCATGGATTTGAACGACATTATCTCTTCTTCTCTCGTATACTATCCTCGTACTACAATGACATCCTTGCACATCATGCTAACATGCATTACTAACCGAAGGCAACAAGTACATTAGCTACACCATAAACGAGTCGAATATTGCACAATATAGAGGATGTTTTGCACATGTACCGAATATTAATATCGGAGATGGAGTTTGCAAGAATTGTTATGCCAAGGTAAGCACATGCAGTATGATTGGTATACATGTATTTAAATATTATATTTATTCATCATGTTCATATTATTTAATTTATGAAAATTAAATTTTATCAAGAAATACAAATTTGTAAGTTTACATTCTACCATTTCACAAAGAAATAATAATAATTATTCCACAATTTTCTAATATTTGCATGAATCAACCTTAAAATTACATACTTTTCAGGTTACTGGCCTTTCCATTAATAAGGTAAAACGAAAACCTGGATCCACACCTCAAACAACACAACCACAGGCACAACCATCACTCCCTTCTTCCGCTTCTCAACAATCCCACACACCCTCTTCGAACTCTTCAAAACCTCCTTACCTTACGAGCAATGTTGCAACCAATGTTGTACCACCGACCTCACATTCACCTCCACCCTTGAAAAAAAATTCTACAGCACCCCCATTGTTGCCAACGGCCACGAAAGTAGGAAATTATCAAAAACATCATTCCTTGTATACACAACCACCTGTATCGAGTGCTTATCATCATCATCATGCAGGTATTGCTGGATATATTTCTCCATCGGTAGGGGAAAATCCGATGTCTGGATATCCCTATTGTGAAGGAGAAGTCTATAGTAGTGGAAATAGTAGTGAGAATGCTCATCATCATCATGAAGGATATTATCAGCAACAGCAACAACCCGGAGAGATGTACACTCATCAACAATATTCCTCTCAATATCTACCAGCTCAACACCGATTATCTTCGCATGAGACGAGATCATCTCCAACTCATAGTAGAGAGTATTTATATCATCCGTATAGTCGACCTACATCATCACAGCGCTCTAATTACGACTATCACTCGTCAGTAGCACATCAGCAACCATACGCACCTTCACCTTCTTCCTATCATCATGCCGATGCATATCGTGCACCTCCCGTCATGACTCAGAGAGGAAGTAGAGCAGTTTCTCCAATTGTACGAGCATCGAATGGTCCATACTATAGTACACCAGAGCATTCGGTACAACTCATTGAGAGAACTTCACCGTACATGAATTCAAACTCTCCTCCCTATCATACATCACCTTCCAATGAGCTTGCATACTCTGGCTCTTCAGGAGATGCTTCTTTTCCTGCAATAATGACAGCATCTGATTCCTCTAATAGAAGAGAAAGTAAACATTCCTTACCTTCTCATAGATATCATCCATATGCATCTTCATCCAATCCGTACTCTCGCTCTTCTGAGTCTCAGAATGATGGTGTTAACAATCCTGTAATGAACTCATCCGTACCACCATCAGAGATTTCACCACCTGCATTATCAAGAAATCTCCCATATGGTGTGGTTGCTACTGGAGTTGCTGTATCGTCCCAAGAAACACGCAGGCGGGAAACGAGAATTTCTCAATACGATCCACTGAAAGACACTACCAATGCTCCCAACAATTTGCCAGAGGGTGTACAAAGTAAGCAAGATCATCGCATTACAGAAAATGTGTCAGCCAATGATGCAAGCAGAAGTAAATTACCTAGCGTCAAGGATTTGCTAAATTTTCCCAGTGAAACAGACAGTAATACTGGCGACCCGAGTGGGATGAAGGAAGCAAAAAATCAAAACGAAAAGCAGCAGTTTTCTTTTTTTTCTGAGCTCATAGATGACACCTCCAAAAAGAAATTACCAATGATTGATGAAAAGAATCAAATGGACAAGCTCAATTTAAAGGATATTTCACAACAACGAATGGTGGACATTATTCTTTCATTTGTCAACGAGAAGGTGTCATCAGAAGCAATTTCTACGAGAATGTCAATTCCAAGACGTGTCACACTCTCTGACTTACGTGAAAACATTAATGAACGAGCAAGAAAATGCTACATGATGGATGGATGCTTGACTCACACTCCAAATGTTGGAAATATTTTATGGAAGAGAGATGAACGTAATTTTATCGAAATTGATGACAATTTTTGTTTGAGCAATAGGTTTGAAAATAACGACATGCTACGAGTGGTTTTGCAGCTAACAGAGTAATTGGGTTCTACATGAGTGCTATTATGACTGTCAAAGAGATTCAACCTAGGTTTAATGGATTATTTAATGAGCATACATGTACGAAGTGTTAATGAGGAATAAAATGTTGCCAACGAACACGGTTCATGTCACAAGGGAACATAATTTTTGGAGCTAATGAATTGTATGGATCTGAGGTTTTTTTGTTCAGTGCGATATGAATGTCCAAACTTGATTCTGCTAGATACTTCTTGAAATGAGCTCAACCTTAATTCTTGCGCCTTGCACGATCACTGGTTCCGCTACGTGGTTAGGTAGATGCCTCTTTTTGGTGGAATGAAATCTGAGTGACGAACAAAGAAGACGGACCGATGGATTGGATTCAGTAATTGCCACAATTTATTTTGATCAAAATATTTTACAATTTAAATATTTACAAATAATTTCATGATGCGGTCATGCCTGATGAGCGAACAATGAGACAGAATGATTCTTCTGATCCATACGTAGTGATTCTATCACCGCCTTGATCAACTTTTGATCAGCAGTCTCTGATTTCATTACAAGTTTTTTTCATGGTCTATGACGGTTTCAAACTGTTCTTTCATCATGACTCTAAATAATACAACACTTGTCAATAATTACATATTTCAACATTCATTCATCATCCTCTTCATGATGATCAAAGAGAGAATTCGAACTTCGAGGTTCCTTTGCTCGTTTATACTTTTCTTGTGTTCGTTGTAAACTTCGTATCAATTCATTGGGATGTTTCAATTGTTCTGAACACTGGGACCACATGCGTTCAATATCGTAATTTCGATACAAGTAAATTCCTGTACAAGCTCCCAAGACAATGGTTGGTATCATGTTGTTGAGATCAATAATAATTGAAAATGAGAATTTTGAGAATTGTTAGGGATGAAGAATCGAGGTTTAAAGGCTTTTTTTTTGGAGTATTTTGAAAAGAACGAATTGTATTGGGCGCTTATTTTTGGTCAATTATGGAAATATTTGGGCAACAAAAAATTTTTTCCAAAAGGAGAGGCGAGTTTGACATTTGGCAGACTTTGCTGGTTGTAAAGTAAAAAAATAGGCGATTTATACTCAATAGTGGCGACTTTCCATTGATTGGAACGACTCACACGAGCACTAAAAACGTCATTGGTCAATCTTAATTTTTCTTAAATTTCTCAATGTGTCAATAATATGACAGAAAGACGAAGGCCTTCATCGTTTTGTGAACGGAATTGAGGATAACCACATGATTCATCGATCTCATGAAGACACTATTGTAGGTGTACATTATCATGTAAAATATCAATGTACACAGCACAAAGCCTTTCTGTTTACACAAAAAAGTTCCAAGTTCACATGATTAATGAGGTTAAGGAATTGCATCAAAGCATGAAATCTCTAAATGACGATATAAACCGTACCACTACTAGTGAGCTTTAAAATTAGGTTATTTTCTCCTAAAAGTAACAAGATGATCTTTTCACATTTGTTCAATTACCTAATTGGGTGTTCTTGGTGCCCTCATTCAAGATTCCTAGTTCGAGTGTGTGAAAAATATTTTCTCAAAAACAACAAATCATTCAACATGATCAAATTATTTCCAACCCTCTGTGCCATTGGGTTCATCCTCTGCTTACTCTCCATTGGTTATTATGGTGAAGAGCAATTCTTTGGCAGACGTGGACGTCGATGTCCTCGTCTTGCAACTCCCATGGCAAACTTTTCCTTGTCCCAATTTGAAGGAGAATGGTTTGAAATTGCAAGATTACCTAATCGATTTGAAAGGTATGTTGTTCTCATTGTTGTTATCCAAGTAGAAGGATTCATACATGTGAATATCTTGTGGTGGGTTTTCATGGTCATTCAATTGTTCATTGGATCAACATTAGAGGTATTTGTCAATCCGTCTCGTTCTCACAAATCCAACAAGAAAATTCCACCAAAGTGAAGGTCGCCATTGTTGCCAAGGAATATCGAAATGGAGAACTTGTCTCGAGTAATTCAACAGCCAAAGTGAAATCCTCTAATAATGCCAAATGGGTGGTCAAGACCAAAGTAACAAGGAGATTCTTTCATAGACACATTACTTATACCATCAAAACTCCAATATCCATTTTAGATACTGATTACTCGAATTATGCCGTATTGTGGTCATGTAAAAATCGCCGTAGACGTCGTCGTGGTTGTCATGGTCGTCGTCGCAAGAGACGTCATTGTAGACGTCGAAGACGCTACAGAGATGATGACGATGATGACAATCAATCCAGAAAACGAAGAAGAAGAAGACATCGTTGGTTCTCCAAAAGAAGATATGCTTGGATTTTGGGTAGACAAAAGACGCTTTCAGATCAGAGTTTAACGGAAATTCTTAACAAATTGAAAGCAATGGGCATCAAGACAAGAAGATTCAAGTTTGCAACTCAAGAATACTGTACCGTTCGTCCCAGCGACAATGATTAACATACTTGTGTGTATCCTATTTCATTATTGAATAGTAAATGGTGTGTGACACTTGAAAAATAATACGTACCACATACAACTCTAATTTAATGGCATCTGTTGAATCTTTTCTTCAATAACTGCGTTTGTCTCAGTTAGGATGACAGGTTCAACAACCGTTTCGTGAGTAGAGATGTCCACTGATCTTGTACTTTCATTGGACGTGGCAAGCATCGTGTCGCCATGACACATAGTTACAAAGAATGAGCTGTCCAATCCACGTTGCTTCAAGCTTTCTTCCAAGTCTTTCTTGGGTTGCATGATTGGTTCCGTGGTCAAGATAAATGTGCCCCAATGCATTGATATTTGTTTTTTGGATTTGATATCTAGAGCAATCTGAACAGCTTCATCAGGATTAATATGTTGGGATTTCATCATCCATCTTGGTTCATAGGCACCAATTGGAATAAATGATAAATCAACTGGTCCAAAACGATTTCCAATTTCTGTAAAACAGTCCTTACTGTAACCAGTGTCTCCAGCAAACCACATCTTGTATGTCTTGATATTATCATTGGAGTTCATGTTGGCCTCTTCTGTTTGACTCTGACAGCTATCAATGGTGTCCATCTTGACTGTTTCAGTCAGTTCAAGAGTGTTACACACATTGGTGCTTGTATTTTCTATCGATTCGGATTGTGACTTTGTTTGCGACGCATCAGAGAGGGAGGTATTTACAAAACTACATTGTACTCCCCAAGAACCCCACAAAGCTTCATTTCTGTCAAACCCAGATCGCATGGACCAGTGTTGAGCTGGAAAATAGGTAAATGTAAAGTTAGATTCGACACGTTCTGAGCTATCTTTGTCAGTGCTCATGGACACATTGAAGCTGGTAGATTTCCACCAATCCAACTCTATCAACTTCAATTTTGAAAGAGCTGAATGATTTTTCTCAGAGTAAAACTTTTCCATCCAATCGTATTTCATTCTGAATGGCAACAAAATAATTGGGTCATGGTGTTTCTGTAAAGCAGTTATTGCATAATAATCTAAATGGTCGTAATGATTGTGAGATATAATTACAAAATGAATGGTTGGTAGATTTTCAATAGTAATTGGCAGTGGTTTGATACGGTTAGGGCCCATGAACTGCACGGGAGAACATCTGTCGCTAAATACTGGATCTGTCAAAATATTTACACCACGATATTGGACTAAGAATGTAGAATGGCCAATCCAGGTCACTTGTGCACCATCGCCTCTAATGCTTTGCATATCTGGACTATTCAATAAATTAATATTTGGTTTGATTTGAGGTAATTCATCATTTGATGGAATAATTTGTTTGTTGAGAGCCATTTCTCTCTGAAATTTAAAAACATCACTTGTCGAAGGCTGTTTGAAACCATCCCAAGGATTCTTAAATTCCAATAATTTAGATCCTTTCATCACCCAATGGGATGGTATGGCTTCAGGTGTCTCCTCTTGCTTGGCCTTTCTCGGCATTAAATTTTCAATATATACATCCTTGAAAACATATGGATTTTGTACTTTCAATTTTTCATCCATACATGATCCTATCGGAACTCTTTCATACTCTTCATCCATCCAAATAGATGCTTGAGTTGTATTCATCATCATCATCATATTCGTCATGGAAGAGCCCGATCCATTATTGCTCGTTCCAGTAGCTGTGGTTGTATTTTGAGCACCAACCCCCGCGGTGGATGAAGCATGATGAGGACGATGATGAATGTTGGTCCCGTGTTGTTGTTGGCCCATTTTTTGAACTGAAATAATTTCCGAGGTCATGATAATGTTGGTGTGGAAGAGATGTCGAGTTCTCGTTTCATAATGTCCATAGCTCCGAAACAATATTCTTGCTGCTGGATGCGTCGCAGAGAATGAAATGAAAGGCTTTACAAGTTGTTGTTTTCGCATTTTGTTTTACAATCGCGAGAAAATTCAGATGGAGCAAACGCTCATGCATTAATGGGCGGCGGACACCATTTGCGAGAGAAATTTATTGTCCTCTTGTCAAGGACACGTAACAGTAAGTTGTAGTAGTGAAAGGATCTGATACCAAATGATTGCAAGCCTCTTCATTCCTTATTTCTTGGATGAAGGTGTTAAGGACTCATTGGGCATGATCAAATCTTCATAAGGTGGAATGATACACTCAAATGTTCTGCGAGATAGAGTTCCATCTTCAGAGCAATTCTGCATGTACTCTCGAATTTCATTGGTAAACGAGTTGGAAATGTAGCATTGTTGGCATAAATCATGTCCAGTTGGGACATGGTGAAATCTAACACCAATAATGGTATTCTTACACACGTCGCATAGATAGTCATGTGGTATTAGATTGGCTTTGTCAACAGCATTCTTCATAGTGCAGTGGGAGCAGTAAAATTTCGACTTGTCTGATTTTGATTGAAACAAGATACCAGTTGCTATGGATCGTCGACAGTTTCCACAAACTGAAACTTTTTGATGATGGAAATAGTTGTGCATAATTTTGACTTCCTTGTGGTCAGGATTCTTATTGATGATTAGGAGTTTCCTCTTTTTGGGTGTTTTGATGTTGGTGTCTTCATTGGGTGGACAATTATTGACAATACTATTTAAAATTCTTGTTGCATGTTTGACTTCAGTCAAATGCTTAACAGGTTGTGGTGGAAAATCGCAAATTCCATCCAAAATTCTTGTGGAGCTTTCATTACCGCTCACATCTAGTACTGAAAAGGGAAGCACGTCCTTAATTTCGTCCATTCGTGAAAGAATATTCGTAGAGTAACTAAGAGTGTCAATATCTCGTTGTTTGAGACATTCGGTACAATTGCAAACGTTATTGCATTGAGGACATGTCCAATTTTTGATTCTACTGCATTCACAAAGAGTAATGGTATATCTATCCCATAGACATTGATTACAATAAGATTGATGGCAATTTGAACATGTTTTCGAGCAATATTTTGGTTTGCTATCGTCGCATTGGTGGCAAAGTAAGTATTCAGGAAACTCCACATGATGTTTTGAGTAATACATGTTGTTCCATGCAATAGTAGTGATCGATGTGGTCTTAGTGGAATCTCCGTTGATGCAAATTAAATTATTTACGTCATCTAATGTTGTAATATTTTCTGTTTTCAACAATTTTTGAACATTCAAATAGGCCTTCTTTGCTTTTTCAAAGTTGGAGCTCAACTCAGAGAAGCCAATGTGCTCCATGAGCTTCATTTTGTCTCCAAATAAAGATCCTCTTCCCTCAGCAACACAGTTGGTGCACAAGTCATAACCGTGGTGTAGTTTTGTTTTTTCAACTTGAAAGCATCTATTGAATATGTCACATTTGCAATGATCACAATATCTGGAATGCATTCTTTCTATCTCTGGGAGTTTTGACACATGTATCTCTTCATCAAAAACTTCAGATTCAATAGATTCTTCAAACAGAATGTCGTCAAAAATTCGAAGTAGTATAAGCATGTCATCTGAAAATCTTTTTCGCTCATTCTCAGTAGATCCAATTTCCTCAAGCTTTTTGAAGGATTGGGCCTTTTCCGAATACTTTAGCATGGAATAATATGCTACAGCTTTGATTCTATAAACTTGATTCTTTCCAAACTTTCTATATTCGTCAAGTATTTCGTAAGAATAAGGTAGTGCAAGACATGACAATGTATTCCAGGCGACCTTAATACTTTTTCCTCCCATGTTTAACACCTGATGAGGAGCGCTTGGTGGTAATAAAACTAAATCACCAAGTTTCTGCTCAAACAAATATACAGTGAATGGAGCTTTAGATAAGAGATGGAGAGGTAAAAAACAATTGTCATCATCGAGAAACGCTCCATTTTTCTGAAAGAAAGTTCTAATTTGTTCCAAGTCCTCATATTTCATGATACACCAAATGGCGTGAGTTCTATCATTGTCTGAATAGACCATCAGGTTGTGCCCTAAAGCACCACAGACGTCTTTGTGGGCTGGTGTGAACGTTTCACTATTTCCAACATATATCATGAGTGTGATTGACCAAATATCTTTGTTGGTGTTTGCTAGAATATCTTTTGGGCCTTTGTACTTTAGCTTGTCTGGAAATTTTGGATTGTCAAATAAGTAACTCTTCCATTGTTTAGGGCATGTTATATCCTTTCCATAGAGCAGCCTTCTGTTTGGGGCTCTAATATCGTTATCTTTCTGAATAAAATTAATGTATTGTTTCATTGTCATTTCTTCATCAACAAAAGTGGTGTTGTCTCTAGGATAAACTTTTAAATCTCCCACAATGTCTCTCAAATAATTAAGGTGAAATAATTCAGCTTGTTTGAGCTTACTTTTCTCTAAATTACTGGATGTAATTTGTGCATTGTTTTTTTCCAAAAAGCCCTTAGCCAATGCTTCAAGAGAGTTTGTGAGGATTATTGGCTGTCCTAGTTTGTAGAGATAAAAATCTATAATTTCTTCATTTACATCTGAAAAATCTAGAGTTGTAACTGGTTTGAAATTTGTGTCTTTCATGTCAAGCCATTGTTGAACACTTCGTGCTTTTTCTGCTGCTGTTGTCGTTGTCTCATCAAAATTAAAATCCAAATTCACTTTTTGAACTCCTTTTCCACACATCCCAACTGGTTCTTCCGATGATGAAGCATGACAATTATTATTGGAAGAATTCGACTCAGCATCAGAATCATTGGATGGTGATGGTTGTCGTCCCTTTTTCGTTGTAGTTGATTTCTTTTTTGAATTTTTTGAATTGTTTACGTCTTCATCATCACTCTCAAGAACGGCTTTACTTCGCTTTACTGGTGTCTTTAGGGTCCTTCTATAGGCATAATAAGCTTTATAGCACGATTCACAAGTGGTTCCGACGGTTGCTGTCTTTGCAAATGCTGGCAAAGCGGCTCTGTACAAGTCCAAATTTTCTGCTTTTACTTTAAAATTTCGTTTAAACACCGTTTCATTGTTATTCTTTCCACAAATACAGCACACAGTAGATGATGATGCGGCCGGCAACATGCTCTTGATGATGAGGTGAGCGTATTTTTTGCTTTTGTGGAGAAGAAGCCTCACTCTCCAATAAATAAAAAAAAATGTTACCGTCCGCAGATAAGAAGGCTCATCAGAATGAAACGGAACATCATGAATCATCGGAATCGGATACATCAGCGGAAGCAGTAAAATCAAGAGCTTCTCAGAGAATTCTCAATGTTAATGTGGGAATTTTAGGACATGTGGATTCAGGAAAGGTGAGTTTTAATTTTTTCCACTTGTAATGTTGATCTTGATTCCAAATGGTTCTGTCATATTCCGATTCTCATTCATTGTTCATTGCATTAGACAAGGTAAATTTCATTTTGATTTTTAATGACAAGAACAAGAACCGATTTTTGATGGATATTGAAATACTTCCCGAACATGGTATTGGATAAATTTATTTTAGTCTCTGTAAGGCTCTCTCAACAATGGCCTCTACAGCTGCATTTGATAAAAATCCACAATCACAAGAGAGAGGTATTACTTTGGACTTGGGATTTTCTGCTTTTTATTCGGATTCGAAATTACAGGACTATGACAAAATTCAATTTACTCTAGTGGATTGTCCAGGACATGCCAGTCTTATCAGAACAATAATTGGTGGAGCTCAAATTATTGACTTTATGGTTTTAGTAATTGATGCAATCAAGGGAGTACAGACACAAACTGCAGAGGTATGTTTGTGGCGGAGTTGTGCTGATCTCTCATAGCTTTTGAAATTTTCGTTATGGTCAATCTTAAAATAGTGTATTGTGATTGGAGAAATTACATGTGACAATTTAATAGTGGCATTGAATAAGGTTGACATGATTCCAATGGATCAACGAGAGGAAAAAATTGATAAGGTATGATCTTTTTTTTTGATGAGTCGTTTTTTACTAACACACTTGTACTCGTAAAGATCAAGAAGAGTCTTATTAAGAATGTTTTCTCACAAACAAAGTTTAAAAATCCTCCAATAATTCCAGTTTGTGCAGACCCTAGAGAAGAGAGCGAACAAAAAACCAAGCAAGAATGTTTGAATAATCTGGTTCAAGAATTTCACAAATTTGTCAAGATTACCGAGAAGAATGAGAATGAGCCATTCTTATTCATGGTTGACCACTGTTTTTCTATTAAGGGTAAAGGAACTATTTTGACAGGAACAGTGTTACAGGGATGTGTGACCATTGGAAAGGTATGTCCATAATATGACTTCTTTCACATTATTTGTCAATTATGGTTTAATAATTCTTAAACAATGATCAGAATATTCATATTCCTTCGCTTGGTGAAGAAAAAAAGGTAAAATCCATTCAAATGTTTAAAACACCTGTAGATAAGGCCATCAAAGGTGATCGAATTGGTATTGCCGTAACCAAACTCGATAGCAAGAAATTAGAAAGAGGTTTTGTTTGCGACAAAGGATATATCGAAATTATTGATACAGTTTTGGCAACTGCGTCAAGAATTAGATTTTTCAAAAAAGATATCAAAGGTGGAGCTAAATATCATGGTGAGTATTTTAACACCCAGGCTTTTGAGATGAAATATTTATTCTCACACAATTTCATTCTTTGTTGACTCTCAGTTTCTATTGGTCATGAAACAGTGATGGGAAACATGACTCTCATTTCTAGACCAAAGAAAGAGGGAGTGTCCAGTGAGGTTTTTGACACAACTCTTGAATATACATTAGTGGAGGACTTTGAGGAAAACACTCACCTTGACCGAGATGTTTTTGTGAAAATAGAATTTGAGCAACCTATTTGTTGCTATGCCAATGCTCATTACATTGCTTCCAAATTAGATACAGATATTCGTAAGTGTTTTCACATGATTTTACAAAAATCTCATTTTTCAATTCCCAAATCTTATTTTCACAGATGCCAACACTTGTCGATTATCATTTAATGGAAAGGTTTTACAAATGTGGAATAGAGAACAGATCCCCAAAGCACAACTTGCCAAAATGCTTCCTGTCTTCAAGTACAAGGAAAAGAGAGGAGTAGTGGATCGTGTCGAAAATGCCAATACGATTATTGGAAAAAACATACTGAACTCGAAATCTCAATCGTTACAACCATTTTTAGGAAGGACAGTCGCCATTTTGGTGGACGAACAGCCAAGATTTTTCGGAACCATTGATTCGAGTTTTGGTCAGAGTGGTAAATTTCGAGTGGTTTTCAAAGACCCTCTCCCAAAACAACCCAATCTAAGAAATAAGCCCATTCAATTCAAGTACAAGGTAAATATTTATGATGAGACCAAGACGTGGTATCAATAATAAATTAATTTATTGGGTGTGTGTCAACATTATTGTTCACTTGGAAATAGCTTCCTCAGCGAATACAGTATTCAAATTATTTGAGACAAGCCAGACAAACTCTGAGGAGTCCAAGAACCAATGCTAGGCAAAAACAGCAAACTGGTATCACCACACTGACCACAATAGCAGCAATGACGCCACCACTCAACGGCTCACATTGAGTACCTTGGCCGTACTGACCTAACATGAGTGATTGAGTTCGTTCACATCCAAGAAATGTCGTGTAATTTTGCCCAACAATTGGAGCCATCAACTCTTGAAGCTGTGAGCCACCGCTTGCCCAAACATATGACTTGGAAACTCGAATGGCTGCAGCTGAACATGGAGATTCATTACATAAATACGTGACATTTGTTTTCACATTACCAAAATTAACCATTTCAATGGCATTATAGGTAGGTGAGTTGACAATAATTTTCTTCAATCGGCTCACAACATTGGGCGCAGTTGCAGAATCTCCATTAAACTTGACTCTATATTTCACGCTCAATTCCGATGAAAGCACTAGTATCGTTTCCTTAATCGGATATTCAATTAATACCTCAATCGTTTGCAAATCCACATCTTGTCCTGTTACAAAATAAATCACAGCAGTCCTAGCATTCCAATCATACAATCCACCCCGAACATTTTCATTCAAATTATCCTTCAAATTAATAGAAGCTGGTGTATCATTGGGAAATTCGCATCGTGCACAAAAATAGGCTGGATTCAATATTCCTAAAAAGGAGCTAGATTGAACATAATAACCAGCAGTAGCCGCGACCAAAGTAATCCAAAAAGCTGCCAATACCACCAATGTTTTACTATTGATCATGGTGGTCATGGAAGAACAAAAAAGACCAAATCGGGATTGTGTTTGGGATGATGAACTCGTTCCACAACGATGTTGGGATGACATTTTTTTTTTTTTTGTAACTTTGGTTTTTTGGTTTTCCAAGACATGAACTTGAGCGCCCTTGTGGAAACGGTGAACAAGTTCTGAACAAGAAGATCTGAAGATCGTTTGATAATTTCAAGTTGATTTTTGGTGTTGGTTATTTATTGAAATGTGTTCAAGTTGAAAGTCAATTGGTTTTTTAGAAATTAGTTTAATTCATCAATTAGCTCTTTGTTAACAAGATTATATTACCATTGAGAAACAGCATCGAATGAAGTATCTACATGCTCCAACTCTCCTAATTCTTCCATTACCATTTTCATAAATTCATCGGTCTTGGCAAAAACTCTCACTTTGGACAAGTGGTCAAATTGTGTTTTTTGTAAATTTACAATACTCATCACACCTGAATTGTCCAACGTCATGAGTGGCAAGTGACAGGCTGGTTGAACCATCATGGATGTTCCCAACACCAAAGTAAAGTCAGCTTCTTGAGAATGATGTAAAGCAGATTGCAATTCTGAGGTTGGTAAATTTTCACCGAAATGAATAATCGTGTCTTTCAAACAACCTCCACACTCTTCACAAAATCTTCCAGTTTTGTGATTTTGAAAGAATTTCACTGTTTTCATGACATCAAAACCTCTCAAATATTCTTTGGAACATTTTTCACACACTTCTCGATAACAATTTCCATGCAATTCACTCATTTCTGAAGCAGTGAGACCACTTCGTCGATGAAGACCATCGACATTGGTTGAAACAATAAATTTCACCATCTTCTTTTTCACTAAATGAGTCAAGGCATAGTGTGCAAATGTTGGCAATGCTTGTTCTATATCTAATTTCGCAATTTCATGTCCTTTACCTGCTGATCTCAAGGTCCACACTCCTTTAGGTCCACGATAATCAGGAATTTTACTCGAAGTTGAAATTCCAGCTCCCGTATAGACACAACAATGTTTCGAGTTACGAATGAGTGAGGCGACTTGTTTGGCCTTCTCTCGAATGGTTTCTTCATCGTCTTGATATTCGGTCACATCTTGTTGAAGACCAGTAATGGAGCCAAGATCGTTTTGAGGAGCTTCATTCGTTTTGGATCGGTTTTTTCCAAAATCCACGGGAATGTTACCGACCATATCAATGAGAGATGTTTCATGGGTTTCGGATGATTTCAATTCTGCATCCTTTTTGAAGTTCTTGATTTGATCTAAAAAGGAAGAGTTCTGTGTTCCATTCTGCAATGCTTTTTCTTTCAATTTTTGTGAAACTAGTGAAGATTTCTTTTGAGCTTCTTGTTTCTTCTTACGATGAGATTCGTCCTGAACCAATTGTTCATTCAAAAATTGTTCCATTCTTCGGTCGAATTCTTGTTGAATGCGATCCTTAAATTGTTTCTCTTTCAATGTTGAAATATAACCTCCGCCTTCTCTCAATACGAGATCAGTGCAGAGTGCAAGGGTAGAGGAAGAATTCTTGTTGTTCTCGTCCAAGTACTTGGATTGAGACATGAAATCAAATCGAGATTTGAATTGAACGGCTGAACGATTATGTTCGAGTAGATCATTTTCAACATTTCCAAACACGAGCGTTTCAGAAATGAGAATGTTCTCTCCAGTCTTGACTGTGAGTTTGACATTTTCACATCCAATATTTGACACAATTTGTAAATGATTACAAAAATTAGTCAAGAGTTCAGAAAAAGCTCGACCATCTTGTTCTGCAAGCTCATCTTTCAACACATGAAATTCGATTTCACATTCTTTCAACGAGTCGAGTTGAATCGTTTTGATTTTGCTTGTACACTCTGGTGAAAGAATCATCTTTACATGTTCACAGTTCATCATCTCCACAAATCCAGTTGTTATTGCTGAAAGTTGTAAATTCAATTGACATTGTTTTGAACTTTCGACAATGACTTTCATGCAACGTTGAGCATGAATGGAAATATCACTCAACTCGGATTTGCAGACATAGATCAAATCATTGGGACCAATATTTACAATTTGAACTTGGGATTCGTTTTGATGGGAGATTACACGCTGAGTTCTTTTGGCGAATGGTGAGGCAATAAGTGTCATTCGGAAAATGTGCTGGATAGTAGTTGTGAATGTATTTTTTTCAATGTTCGGGTGTGTTTGAAGAAAAACGAGAACTTTTTAATTGTAAAAAGAAAGTTCCAAGTTCGTTGACTTCAAATACTAATCGTTTTAGGGTTTTTTGATGGAAGGATAGGTCCAGTCATCAAACACAATTCGTAGATAGTGAGCACACTGTGAACTACCATCTTCACCACGCGGCACATGCAAAGGTTCCTTAAAACTCTTTATTTAAGGTTAGCAAGTCATTGTTTTTCATTGAGATGATCGAAATTCAGAACGATCATCGGCACTATGCTTTAAAAGAACATAGCTGTTGAGATCAGAAGAGAATATCCTCTCTCTCGACCATGATTCAATATTCGGAGGTGATGATGTTCCTCGGAGTCAAAGAAAAAATTTGCTCTGGTTCTTCCTCAAAAGATATTTTCATCATTACCAAGCAAAGAGCTCATCATCATCATCCTACGAAGAACTAAATTTACTGAAATTTATTTTCAAAATGTCTCAAGAACAACAACCATTGTCTGCTACCTACAACAAGTCGGACGCTCCATACTATAACAAAGAGGTGCCGTATGTCATCAATAGTGAAGAAGGAGCCTTTGAAGAAAATCCAGAACCTGAATTTCATGACCCTGTGGCCGATAAGAGGTCTATGTTGATGTTTGCTATTGGATTTCTTGTTCCGATACTACATGTGGTCGGATTGATTATGTACGGACGATCAAAGAGTAAGAAGGCTAAGAAATTTGCAGTGCTGAGTGGATACATGATGATATTCACATTTACTTTTTGGGTTTTATTAATTCAATGGGTGATTATTCCAGTGGTGGCCATGACCAGAAAGAATTAGAAAGCTCTCATTCAACAACATTACGATTTTGAATTATATTAATTCCTATATTTCCAGAACACCGGTGAATGTCATCATTATTTGCTCTCCATGAGCAAGACATTTCAACGACATGACCATCTTTCCCCTAAAGCTTGTGATGATGAGAACTTGTCCCTTATTTATTTCATGAAACTTGTTGTAAATTCTGAATATAATATAACATATTAATTATAATATATTAACATCCATACATTATATTCATCTGTTTTTGAAAGAATTGAATGAAACACATCTAGCACGTAGAACGGTCATGAAAAGCGTTTCCAACATGTTTTGCGCCAAATTCTGCGATGTTAAACAATTTATTTGAACGTTCCTGTCGAAAGAAAATGACAACAACCGAAGCTACTACCACTCTCCAAAAGTTACCAGTCACCTTGCTCACTGGTGTTTCGGATGAAAGCAAGTCCTTGATTTGTAAGAAAGTTGCAGAGAATAAGGATGGAATGAAGATTGTTCTCTTTGTGAATGATTTACAAAAGTGTATGTATTGTCCAAAACAACAACAATTGTAATCCTCGAGAATCATATTGCTTGATGTATGTAACAACAATTCTTCTCGCGTGATGACATGAAAATATTTTGAAATTCAATCTTGATGAATTGAATAATATGTATTTTTCTGTGATCACATTCTCCCCATCATCATCATCATCATTCTAACACCACAACGATTGGGAATTCATTTCCAATATTTGTTTCACACGCACACATACAGTCAAATTCGATGCCTCTCAAATTGAAAAACAAGAAGAAGATCGTATTGCTCTCAAGAACGGTAGCTTACTCGTTCAAGCTTCAGAGCTCTATTTAGAACAATTGAGTTCGTTTGTGGTCGATAAGAAATTCGACAATTGTCTCTTTGAAGTCGATAAATTGGAACCTCTCGTGGCAACCATTCAAGCATTTGCTGCCATCATTTCGGAAGAGGAAGAACATGAACATGATGAAAATTGTGATCATGAAGAGGAAGAGGATGGTATTCGAATGAATGACATGGCTCCATTGGATACCATTGTTGCAGTCGTGGATGGTGAGACTTTTATGAAAGATCTCGAATCTGAGGAAACCTTTGCGGATCGATATGGAGAAGATTCCATTCCACAAGACGCAAGTAATGAACAAATTTGTTTCCAATTGGTGGAACAAATTGAGGATGCCAATATTGTGATTATTCATAATCTTGATAAGGCTGAGGATAAAAAGACAGTTGAAGCTTTGATTAGAAAGTTGAATCCTGTGGCCAAGATTATGATTGGAGATGTAAATCCAAAGGAACTTTTCAACACTGGATTGTACTCATTGGAGAATTCTGAAAATGATACTCCAGTATGGATGAAGCAATTGGATGGTACTGTGAAATCTGATACCATTGACGGAATTTCAAGCTTTGCCTATAAGAGAAGACGTCCATTCAATACTGAAAAGTTGAACAATCTTGTCTATGGTTCTGATTATTTGAATAAGGAAACTGGTATTATTCGATCTAAGGTAAGTAGCGGAGACAGAAAAAACTTTGATTCATGCTGTACTATTGGGACCTATTATTGAATGAACATGTGAATATCATGATATGGTGGACATGATCATGTGATCACACGCTAATGAATTCTGAATTATTCTGACATGACAGGGAATTTTCTGGCTCTGCACTAGAAACAATGAAACTGGTGACTGGAACCATGTGAAAAACATTATTGAATTTACTTCAGGTGGTCCATTCGTTTCTAGTCTCTCAGAAGAAGAACTTGCTGCTTACCCTCCTGAGGCTATCGAAAAGTTAAAATCTAAAGTTGAGGGCGAACACGGAGATCGTCGAACTGAAATTTTATTTATTGGTAAATCCATGAATCAGAAGGAAATTGAGGAAAAGTTGGACAGTTGTCTCATTACTCCAGAAGAACTTGCTAAAGGTGTTGAATATTATGGTACCATGTGTGAAGATTCCTTGCCTGAATGGCCAGTCGATGATCTTTTGGCAATGGAAGAGATGTTTGGTGTTGAAGATGACGAGGACGAAGAAGGTGACGAAGAGGACGCTGAAGGAGGAATTGACATTACCACCACTCCAAAGAGAAAGAGAAACACTGATGAGAGTGGTAGTTCTAAGAAGACCAAGAAATAAATGATTGCAAAGTTTAACCTTTCGTTGTATTCAGCACTGATCTTGTCGTCAGATTGGGTGTGGGTGCTGCGTCTTGGAAAATAACCATGAAAAATTCATTAAGGAAAAAATCCATCATTGGAAACACCATTTCTTGCTCGCAGTAAGTAATCAACAAGGTGAAACATTCTATCCAATCTCATCATCAAATAAATCCTGTTTCGAACCCTTTTTTGAGAATCCAAGATTATATAAAACCGTCACACACGAACGTTGCCACAACCACACCATCGTCATGTCTTCAAATAAACACCAAAACTCAAATCATTATCAACACAACAAGAACTCATCGAAGGGTTCTCGTTCCCTTGATATTCACACGCTTTTCAAACCGTCGCAAAGACATGAATCACAAAAACAGCCAGAACCTTCTTCTTCATCGTCATCATCAACTCAGAAGAACAATTCAGACTCTGTACCACCTTCTTTCCATCCTCCTCCACCCAACCACTCCCCTCAGCGAAAACAAAGAGCTAGCGTTCAACACGAGCCTCGATTTCGAATCTACGAAACTCCACCACAATGGAATCATCAACACAACCACAGAGAATCACCAACTCACCATTTTCACACTTCGACCTCACCTCACCATTTCTTTCCTCAATGGTTCAAGAAATTCACCAATCATCATCATCACCACCATCGCAACACTTCCTCACCGAATGAATTTGAGCCTCATCATCATCATGGTCATCCTCACGACATGTCCTCGTATTCCTACCCGCCCACACCTCATCGCATGGAGATGAGCCATCCATTCTCTCCAACAATCACCTCTCCAACTCCTGAATTGTTGACTCCCCATTCGACAAGCCCTCATCATCAGAAAGGTAAGAACATGAATAACAACTTGTTCTTGGTTCGGGCGAATCAACTCTCTCATCATCCAGCCTCTATTGAGATGTATCATGAGGAAGATTTACATCCATATCCTCTCACACCTACGAATATTAGGAATCCACCATTTGAAACGCTTCAATTACATCATCAGAAGCTCTCATCTTCTTTACATCAACATTCTCCAACGGAACAACATCATCATCATGAAGAAGATGATTTGAACTCACCAATCTCGCCAACAAGCTCACCATTATTCAATACGAATCCCGATTCGCCCAATCAAACCCTTAGACGAATCATCACTCGTTTTCAACACTTATTCAAGTCTAATACGCATCCAAAAGCTCATGAAGGAGGAAATGGTGGTTTCCAACATCAGCAACATCATCCCCATATGAAAATTCTACCCAAACTTGAGGTTAATTTTTCTCATTCTGAAAAAGATCATCCTAAATCGCCCACAGAAGCAGAGGCTCATGCTCATGAAATAACCTCAAACAACCATCAGACAGAGTTCAATAAGAAGATCATTTCACCTCAAACACCAACATCGTTGGTACCTTCATTACTACATCCTCACCTTTCACCCTTATCAAAAGTTCAAGCGAAGCCAAAGCATCAACATCCTCAAGAGGATCATCCATCACGAGAACGATCATCATTGGTGGAACAACAACAACAACAACAAACATTACATTTACAACATCAGAAACGCCATGAAGCTCAAAAACAAGCAGTATTAGCCTCGTTGGATACTTCGCAACTTGTAAATACAAATACTCCTCATCATGACAATGTTTCTCTCTCGGAACCCACTTCTGTGCATCATCATCATAATTTACTCTCAGTCTTGTCCCCAGTGAGTCCTCAGATTCATCAACCTCCTCATCATCATCATAGGATGGACTATTTCGATTCGGAGCCTTATCCACGACCAACGGCAGCACAACTTCATCATCCACTGCATGCCTTACATCCTCGGCATACTCATCATCATGGTCATCCTATACACGTTTCTCCTCAATCTCCTCATCATCAACATCATCATCACCCTAATCATACTGGTTCTATTATTGAGAAAGAAAAAAGCAAAAAACAGCCTCTCGTAGAAGAAAGCGCCAAAGCTCTCGAGCACCCAAAAAAATATTCGAACCAGCCTCCGCAACGGCATCATCGTTTCCATCGAGCGGAGCCAAAAAGCAATCATCAGAAGATTCCTATTCCTACAACGGACATTGTTGTGTGTACACAATCATCATCGTTGCCAACACAAGAAGAGAACACAAGTTCTGCGCAGAAAAGTGCACAGCAGCAATTTACACAAACATTTTTTAGGAGAACGTCATCCGACAACCTCACTCCGGTTTCTGTGAGTTGGAATATACAACAACCATTGAACAAAAATAATAGTAATAATACAAACGACACCATGAATATACCAAAGAAGACAACCAGTCAAGATGATTTCTATATGGAGGATTCAAGTCTTCCAGAATCGAATGTCCACGCCATCACACAAAAACCTTCGCGTACCACTCATATCATGAGTGATGAGGATGGGGTCATTATTAGTTCATCTCCAACAAGTAAACCCCGAGTGACCACTGGACAAATTCAAGAGGAAATTTTGGACCCTATTTTCGACTTTTTCAAAACAAACACAAATTATGATTTAATGCCCTATTCCGGAAAAGTTATTGTATTCGACATTGATCTACCTGTTAGAGAGGCATTCCAAGTAGCTGCTAATAACGGTATGTTTCATCAGCATTGTGAGAGTCGCTAGAAACACAAGCTTTAACAACTTATGCAACAAAATTCGCTACTGTATTTGATGATTGTTTATCGGAATGAACAGATATTTCTTTTGCATCACTGTGGGACAGTGAAAAGAGTTGCCTTGTCGGAATGTTAACTGTGACCGATTTGATTGATATTTTACTCCTGTTCCACAATCAAATGGACGTCATTCAAGACCTGGTCACTCACAAAACAATTAGAGAATGGAGAGCCATGCAAAAACGTACAAGACCAGACAAACTTATTTATGTAACACCTGAGGATACTCTCCTTACTTCAATTCACACTCTCAGCAAGTATTCCATTCACCGTCTTCCAGTTTTGTCGCCAAAGGGAGCCTTACTACATATCATTACTCACTCCCATTTGCTAGCATATCTAGTTCAAAATGTAAGTGTTGCCACCATTTTTCAATTTTCTCTCACCAAACCTGTTTCCTTTATGCATTATTAGTTGAAATTTGAATCACCTATTTTCCAATACAGTCTAGAAGATTTAGGAATTGGTACCTACGTGAATGTTGTGACAGCCAAGATGGAAATGCAACTTTTTGCAGCTGTTTGTCTTTTTGCCAAGTATAAAGTCTCTGCCATTCCTGTTGTAAATGATGAAGGATGTGTGGTGGATGTCTTTTCAAGATATGACATTGTTTATTTCGTTAGAGATGGAGACTATAGACTGGAAATGACTCTGGGAGAGGCTCTTAAAACGAGACCAAGAATTCCTGTATTTACTTGTACAAAATCAGAATCCTTCGAGAAGGTATTAAGGCACTTGTCCACAACACGTATTCACAGATTGGTGTGTGTTGACGAGTATTCACGAGTCGTTGGTATTGTTTCCATTAGTGATATTTTCTCGTTCCTCATGAAAAAGCAAGAAGAAATTCTTTCAAGAGAGCATGATATTGAACTTTTGCACGGGGCTGACATGGTTGATGAGAAATAAACATGGATCAATCTAATAAACAAAACTTAACCATCGACTAATTGTATGTAGAGTTGCAACAATGATGTGAGCCGAATTTGAAAATTGGAGACAATAAAAACTTTGAATGTATTTCAGTGAAGTTTAAAACTTGTCACGTCCAAATGACAGAGCTTCGTTCATCCATTCACTCAAAACATGAAGGGCACACAAACTGATAAATGTTATGAAAAGGACAAGAATCATCAAGTACTTTTTGTGGTATAGTCTTGAAAACACATTTCCATTGTAATCTTGGATGAGTGACAAGTTTTCTTCTTCAGAAACACCAACTCTTCTTGATCTTCTTCTCTTAATTCTATCATTGACAGAGGACCGAATTCCATCACCTTGTTGCATCTCTTCTAATTGCTTATCGAATGTTGAAAAGCTCTGATTATCTGGTAATAATTTCATGTTCATGTATTGAATGTCTTTTGGAGATAATCGATACAGAGACCATTTCAACAACATTCTTTTCAGGAATGCCATCGAAAAACATAAGAAGAGCATCAAAATAGAGAATATTTGATAAATAAGCCCTTCCCAAAAGAGTGTCGTGTATGCAAAATCAACTTCTGGATAGAAATGTTTGGCCACAAACAATGCAATGATTCCACCAACGAATGTAATCACAAAATCAATGCTTCGCAACACTAATGGTGTCCTTGTTGAATAAAAATGATAAATAATACCAATAGCAAGAGAAGTCAACATTTGGCCTACACTACTTTCACCAGCTAAAATTGCAGTACATGGCAAAATAATCAGAGCTGGAAGACCAACAAACACAGAATATCTCTCCAAAACATGCATAATCAAGACAATACCCATTAGAACTTCTTCATTTGGCATGCACCAACCGAGACTATTTCCAAGAATGAAAGTTGTTCCTGCTGTCACATTTGAAGGGCTAAATGGTTCCTGCATTACTGAGAAAAATCCGTTCATGCTTTGTGAGTCAATGTCACCACCTTGGTGCAAATTTCCAGAGCCCACGAATCGGCATGAACAAGGACATGGCTGACGAATTGCTAACAATAGTACCATATTAAATGATTGCACAATTGCAAGTCTGAAGAATAGAGCCAGTGTTTGCAACACATAGTATGCAAAATTGCTGCCCAATTCTTCAGTGTAATGATCTTCATCATACACGCTCAGAAGGAAAGGAAGTAAAAAGCACAATGCAAATAAAAATGGGTTCACAAAACGGAACATGTCGAACCACTGCAATACATATTGAGAGAGTCTATAAAGTGCTTGCTTGGTGTTTGATGGAATGTAAGTACTTGTTGGATCACTGTTGTAGAATATCAAAGCATTTTCACACAAATGATTCAAATAAATTTCATAATTAATAATTGTTAATTTCGGTAGAAAGAAAAGAAATTCGAAATTATTGGACTCGCATTAGAATTTGAAATTCACATAACCTACAAATGACAGCCATTCATAAACCACAAAAATCCATTCTTTGGATCACCATCTTTTGGATACTGATTATCGGGTCCCAATAAAGGATTTGTGGCGCATTGTAACGTCAAGTATGTATTGTTATAATTTGATGCATTATTTGTATCAGCCTTCAAAGCGTTCACTCCATCCAATAATGAAAAGGCTTTCTCCCTATTTAATGATATCAATGATGACGATCCCGATGATGATAATAATTCACTTCTCGGAGATACCATTCTTGAGGCCTCTACTACTGCCTCAAAACGATTCATCAAGAACAGAATAATAAAAGAAAAAATCAAACATAAGGTCATCAAGCTTGATGAACGGTTCATCCTTCTTCCCGACGTGTTGTTGTTCTTGCCGTGTGATGAAGAATGAGGTTGCCCCAAACTGAACATTTTTTTTTGAACTTAGATTTTTTTCAAAAGCTTCAAACCCAATTCACATTGCAATTGCTGAACTCTATTTCTTCAAAGAAGGAACTGATTCAATCCCGATTCAAACAAACAACACGTTTCAAAACTTGTAAATTCAAAGGAAAGTATTAACTTTAAATCTCCAAAAAAAATGTCCAAACAAGTATCTCCTTCATCTATTGCCACAAAACCATCTTCTTCCAACCATTCGGAAAAAAACATGTACTGCCAAAAATGTGCGAACGCCATGCAACGTATTCAAGAGGAAGGATCCACTTTTTCACGAATGAAATGCATGTCGTGTGGTTTCATTTTGTATCAAAATCCAGTGCCTGTCGTGGCAGCGATCGTGGAATGGAAAGATCTTGAACATGTCGTGTTGATTCAGAATAAGACTTGGCCCAGTCATTGGTAAGTGTTGTGCGATTTTGAATGATGGAGTTTTGGAATGTGTGCCATTGGATTCTTTCTTAATTGGGCTTGAAATATTTCATGAATATTTTCAAACAATTTTTGATATCAAATATTGACAAATGATGTTTCAAATAGGTATGGATCCACTCGATGCAGTGAAAAGAGAAGTGCAAGAGGAGTTAGGCTTGTCCAAAGTCGTGGTCACTTCACAAGATTTAATTGGAGTTTATAATTTTGCAGTTAAGAATGAAATTATTATTGTGTATCATGTTCAAGTGTGTGAAGATTCCAATGAAGAAATTCGTATTGACACGAACGAATTGAGTGATTTCCAATTGGTGAGAATTGATAAGGTACGACCATGGAAAGCTGGCACAGGCTATGCATTGCGTGATTGGCTCTTGAAAAAAGGATTTACCGAAAATGCAAACAACTTTATTGATCCATTTCAAAAGAAGGAAAGTGTAGTTGATACAACAAGTAAACTTTAAGTAGAAATGGAAAGTTTTTCTTTTACGCGAATGTGATTATTGATGTGATGATTGAGGTTGGATGGGATGTCCCAAATCTTCAACAACGACAATGGGAATTGTTTGATGTGGTTGGCTTTCCTTAGATTGTCTATGATGCTTCTCGTTCAGTAAATAGCTCTTCACGATACCCTTTCCTTTCAATTCAACCTCTCTTTCTTCAAATTCATAACCAAGATCATACACTCGAGCGTAAGTCGATCTTGAAACCTTGTGGAAATTGAAAATTGAGAAAATGACAATAAATTATTGAACATTATAAATTCCAACTTACTTGTATCCGTCCTACAAGGGACGTCGATTCCTGGACATGATAATGTTGTAATAAATGTTTTGTAAATGTTGAAAACAACTACTTACCATTCTACTAGCCACATTGATGGTGTCACCCCATAAATCATAGGCAAACTTTTTGGTTCCAATCACTCCTGCAACCACAGCACCTGTGTTAATACCAACTCTAATATTGAGGTCGTTTGTAATCGTTCCTACGTTTTGCTTGTTGGTGTTGTATTGATAAATAACATTAAATGTGTCAATTGCGAATTTCAAGACTCTAATTGCACGTTTTGTGCTATAAATTTCATAACTGTTGTTGTGACACATACCTTTCTGGATGGTCGGATTGGGAATCGTGAAGTCCACCCACACAAAAATACTGAACAATTTATTTTGTGACACAATATGATTCCCTGATTTCTAATTGTACTTACGGCATCTCCAATTGTTTTAATTTTTTCCAGATTATACTTCTCGGTAAGAGCATCAAATCCTTTAAAGTTCGCAGAATTGTTATTCCATATTGCATTGGTTTAAACAACTTACCATTGACAATAGTATTCAACATTAGAACCAGATCCGAGGCTTGAAGGTTACTACTGATTGCCGTAAAACCAACCCTGTTTACATGACATGGATGAACGAGTAAGGTAAATTTACAAAAATTCGTAAAACACGAAACAAACTTACATGTCACTAAAGAAGCATGTTACATCATCCAGCTTTTCTGCAATAAATGAATCTCCCCCGTTCTTCAATCGATTTGCAACTTTGGTGGGCAATATATTTTTGAGCAAGTTATCGGATTTTTGTTTTTCTTCGTTCAATAGCATGGTTTGTTTTTTTTCAAGTGTGATATCCCTTAGAGTTGCCACAATAGAACACGAATGTCTTCCACTCAATTTGACAATGTAAAAATTGATTTTTGCAGGAAATTGCGTGTGATTTCTTCTAATGCAGCTGATTTCCATAGTTTCAACAAATTGGTTAATATTAGCCTCTGAAGAACTTTCTTGTTTAAACTTGGTCAACAATTTTTCAATTGCTTTTCTGACATCCTCACGAACAGTTGAGTCAAAAATGTCATACATGGATGTACCGAGAATTTCTATAATTTTGATACCGAACATTGATAAACCAGCATTGTTGAATAACTCTATTTCTCCACTTTCTTTGGACAAAATGGTTCCTTCAACGCTAGAGTTGAAAATTAGTTTTAGATCAGACATGGAATCACCATCTTTGGACTTTGTCGTGACGCTGTCATGCTTTGAGAACGATATGGAATGATTTAGAATATAATTCTTTAAATTGTCATTTCTGTCAAGTATTTCGACGGGTACATAATTAAGCATCATTCTCAATGAATGAATTTGATTCCAAACATTGAACGAAATGAAGTGGGCACCGAAAGCACAAACACAAGTGCCACATATTCCCAGTATGGAAAAAATCGTGACCAGCGTGTTCGAGGGTTGGCTAGAGCTCTTAACAAATTCGCTGATAAATGTCACAAATTTTGTTGTCAAAGGCAAAGACATTCTAAAAATATTGTTCAATTGCATTTGAGTTGGTACAATGTCTAGTAAAGTACCATTTTTAGCAGCTTCAGCTTGTAAAATATATTGTTTTCGAGCATCAGTACTAACTTGAGGAGCCGCTGACAAAAAATCAGTTAAAACTTTCTCTAAACCTTGGCAGTACAGAAGGTTACTAGCATAGGTAAAAGCAATATTATTTCGTTGAAGATACTCCGTGCAATTTCCATCAAATCCAACTGTGATTAGCTTGTCAACAGAGGGATACATTCCAATTAAGGGAGCTGCATTTTGAGCTAAATCTCCATAGATAAGCTTGGAAAACGACTCGCTTACCATCAGACTCTTGTTTACCACATTGTCGAAAAGAAAATCCAAGTTATCCTTGCCTTTGTACAGTCTTAGATCACCAAAGGATACTCTTCTTTTAAATGATGGTGCCAAAATAGAATTTGGTCTTGTAATTTCCGAAGCTGCATAATAAGTAACAATTTCACCAACATCAAATTCCACGCTTTGGACGCCTGTTGCTGTAAGAATGGTCTGTCTTACATTCGTCAACACCATAGAAGACATTTGAGCATTCAAATAGCTCTCTACAAACATAAGAGCCACACAAGCAAATACAATTAATACCAGTAATAAAATGATAGAGGGAAGAGCAATGTTAGGTTTCAATCTACTCAACGAAAAAGATTTCACTTGGCGAGCAATTTCATAATCTGTTCTTCTACTTAAAGAATGATAAATCTTGCCAATAGTATCCTTTTGCAAAAATCTTTCGAAAAGTTTGATCAGCTTTTTAAGGAAGAAGATTTCAGACCTCACAAATAGTAACAATAATACGCTTAAGAAAAAGTAGATGCCCAAGGAAACAGATATAAATATTAAGAATTGTGTGAATGACCGTGAAATGATTGCTACAGATCTATCTAAATATTTCTGGCAAAATGATTCATATGCAAACGTGAACCCATAAATATTTTGCCATAGAAACATGTAATTATAATTTTGTAATGGATTCATATACACGTTGTTGGCCAAGCGGTTCAACAGTGTTTGTTTTTGTTGAAAAGTGTGATTTCCAGACTCAATATCCATTAATAAATCAAAGGGATACTGAGCTATCAACTTGTCAGTATATTTGATGATCATGTTTGTAATCTCAACAATTGAAGACAGTCTTTGAGAGTTCGCCCCATTATAAAATAAGCTTGTATCATTGGAGTCTTCATTTGGAATTAATAACGGATAATTGTTAGAAGAATAGTCAGAATAGATAGCAGGATCAAATACGTTTTGTTGTCCAACCTGCAATAGCGTTTTCAGCAAATTCAAGTCATTCACAAGTCGGTTCTTATGATCGTTAATGTAAAATTTTTTCGTAACGCTAGGAAATCCGTCAATGGTTGGAGGCCAAGAGAATTCGAACAAATAAAACGCGTTGATCCAATTTTGTGCTGCTCGGACATTTCTAATAATTGATAGCGGAATAGTACTTGGAAAGCAAACTTGCTGCAAGTAAGGCACGTTGACTTTCACGCTGCGAGAATAATATACACTTAACCCTATTGACGCTGCGATAATGCAAAATGCAATACTGAAGTATACAGTTAAAAGAAATGTGGCCCATTTGTGAGACTTTGGGGATGCTACTGCCATTCGCATCATACTTTCTTTTTTAGACTGAGCATCTTCGAAAGCATCTCCCGCTAAATCCATGAACATTGTTTCGTCCTTATTATCCAATGCCGAATAATCGTGCATATCATCTCCGTAAGCACTGGTTGCTTCAAGCACATTATATTTAGATAATGCATCTGTGGTGACTGATGGAGCCACCTTATTTCCTCTTTTAACATTGAAGATATTGGCAGTGCTGGAAAATTTCCTTTTCTTCTTCATTTCTTCTTCTTCAATGTTATTGGCCTCCGCAAAAAGAGCTTGACTCATTTCCTTATTAAACTCAAAACTTTCAATAAAACTGGCGTACAATCTTAGAATTGTCTTGTTATGTGAATAGTTGAAGTAGAGATTGGTTAACGAGTTTTTACAATCAGTGGTAAGAGAATAAATGCTTCTATTGAGCTTTTCAATATTTTCATAATTCACATGCTCTGAGGCTAATTCTTTCCAGAAATCTCTATGAAGCGACAATAAACTAGCCTGGTTTTTGTTGAGAGCATCAATTTGAGAAGTTATTTCAAATAAGCCATTGGTAGACTGGGATACAGCTTCAATTTGTTTAAGCCGTTCTTGAATGATAATGCGTTGAAGAATATTGGGATGTTGTCTGGTTGCTCTTTTCAATAAATTTTGGGAAAAAATACCACAGTTTGGATCCCCTTGCCATTTCACAAGCACTATTATTTTAGCAGTTCAATCAAGTGGATGTAAATATTGTCATACATAAATTGTTATCAGTCCATACGTACCAATGCTTGAGCCATAAATTAACATGTAAATATCGCTAAATGATTTTTGGTTTGCAATTCCTTTGATGAATGCTATCGAGATTTCAGAATCAAAAAGGTCTTTATGCAGGCTACTGCTGGCACCTTGCTTCAGGCAAAGCTTGAGAAACAATCTTAAGGCTGAAATCATTTTAGATTCTTCAATTTCAGCATAAATGGAGGTGGCTGATTTTTCAATTCCAATGATCATACTTTTTTCATACAAACACATCTCAAAAGTCAATATCTTATCACGAATTCGTGATGTTTGAAATCTGATAAAGAATTCCATTACTACACATCCAAAAGCAAAGCCAAGCACAATCAGTCCTAGCGTCAATATAGAAAACCCATAACCACCATCGACAGGAGAACTGGTCGAAGATGTTAAATTCACACATGAGCTCACCAAGGCACCAACACTAGCTCCTAACTTTGCGAGTGCAAAGCCAAAATAGAGAGTATTATCTAAGCGTTTCAGGAAAGGAACATAGTAAAAAACAACAAAACACATGGCAATATTGAGTATCACTTGTACGCCTGCAGAAACATATAAATATTGCTGGGGAATGACGTGTGAAAGGATCATTTGAACCATACAACACATTCCCATTAAGGTTGTCACTAGTGAGCTTTCAGCCATCAATGGCATTTTGCTAAACGGAGACGAATGGGAAATAGCAAACTCAGCAACGGGATAGACCACAAGTAGAGACAATATTGCAATGATTGCCACAACCATCATGACAATATTTTGAGTTTCTAAACATGCCACACTACTATAACGTTGCAATGCATTCATTAGAATACTACCTCCTCCTACGGTTGCAATATTGACGGTTTTTGAAAGATCACAATTAAAAAACCCAACAAATACATGCAGCATGAGCAATGAGAATGTTCTCAAAATGTAACTTGATCTCCGTATGAACACTTTCAACTTTTTAAAATGTTTGCTTGGTTTAACTGTATTCCTGAATGCTAAAACCAACAATCCGATATAAATCCATATAAGTAAAAGAAAGAAACCACTCAGGGTGACCACTCCCCAATATGGTACCATTTGAAATAAGAGCGTAGTAGGAAAATTCAATATCACTGAAAATATGTAGCTTCCGTACTCTCCCCAACCAAAATCAGCTAACGTGTCTACAAACAATTGTGTCCATATTAGGTAGATGTTGAAAATGATTGGAATAATGAAGGCTCTCCATGATCTCTTTGGAGAACAATCTATTAATGAAACAATCATGGTCGTGAATAAATCCAACGTTTGAGAGGTAAACGAATTATTAGAGCTTGATGTGCTATTTGTTGCGCTTAATGCGCTATCCGAGCCTGTAACTGAATAGGGCCCATTGCCTCCTCCTCCTCCATGATGATAATTACTGGCAGAAGGCAAGGCTTGCTGTGGTTGCTGTTGAATTTGGTGTTCTCCTTGATTATTTGAGCTTGTACTACCTTGCTGAGTTTCCGTAATTGGGGCGATAGACACATCGGAAAGTCTGTGATTCAGCCGTGCTCCATTAAGGAGGCTTCGTTCGCTCATTTTGTTTTTGAGTTGTTGGTGGGAAAACATGATGTTCGGGTTGTTTGTTCGTTCGTTCGTTATGTGTGGTTTCAAAGATCCGAGCGCTTGAACAGCGCTTTCCCACAACACTCTTAAACTAGTAGTCGAGATGTTACAGTAACTAGTACCAATACTTTTAAAGCGAGAGAGAAGCTCAGTTCTGGAGGGCGTCTACACTGTTTAGAAATATGATGGTACGGAACCAAATGACCTCTGGCGATTTTAATCACCAATATTGGTGTTACAAATCCAAGGCAATAATTTTGTGTGGCCCAACAGCAGTTTTGTACCTCCTTTCCATCCCAATGATTTCAAGAAATATTACTTTTGGAGGTTCGTACATAGAATTTTAATCACAAATTAATTGCGAAAAATCGTCGTTGTGACATTTTTTTGGCAGTCTTTTTTACCCTTTATCCCGCGTTTGTTTAATCTCTCCATTTCACATACAAATAAACTCCAACCTTAATGGCAATGGTTGCTATAATGACACTGGCAAAGCAAACACAAACAATTGCTCCAGTAACCATTCCTGAATAGAGTTCACTATACGGTTCTCTAAGGGCAACGTTCTTTTCTTCCTTATCCGTGTAACAATCGACATTACGACGTCCAGTCATTACCGAGTAGTAGGAAGTGGCATACGAGTTTTGTGTGACACGGGTGATGGTATCTGTGCTGGAAGAAGAGCATGTAATCCCTCCTCCTCTCAAAGTATCATTCAACAGAGCAGCAGTGCCCAATCGAGGAAAAGTCACTTGATATTTGCAGTAAGTATTGTACGAGTATTTAGATTTGGAGGTATAACATTCGTCAACAAAATCAACCGTGCAACAATTTCTATGGACATAAATGAGGGCATTAGGGTCCTTCACCATGAGAGGATCCGAATTCACAACTCCATAAAGAGCTCCAGTTACAGCAAACAACGCGAGACCTAAAATGAAGAAGAAAACACCACCAACCACAGTGAAGAGTTGATACTTTTCCATACGATTCATGTCCGAGAAACTGGGGCATGATGAGAAGCAATCACAATGAATTCTTGGACAAGTCAAGTGAATCGAGTTTTGTCTTGTCAATGGTCTATGACTACGAGGAGATTCATGTTTTGCATGATGTTCAGAAGCAGTGGTGGTGGTGCGAGGAGGAGCATCTACATTGACATGAACTTGTTCTTCGCGAGCCACAGATGAGGATGGTTCACTTTTTGGTTCATCCCGCTTGCGGTCGACCATTGTTGTGGGCTGCACTCCATGTGTTTGTGTTGTGTTGGTGTTATTGCTACTGGCTGTATGGGTGTTCGTTGTGGATGGCTGCTGTTGAACTAGTTCATAACTATTCGTAGAGGTCGGATTTGTGTTGGTGGGTGGATAGGTCATCATGCCGCTATTATAAATCGTGGCATCGGATGGAGGAGGATATATGGTTGCTCCTACAGGCGGATAAGGCTGTTGAGGAGGATATGGCATGCCATTGTTATTATAATAGCTCGACATGTCTGTGGTATTCATCCCTTGCCCATAGTATGGAAGGTAGCTCATTCCAGCAGAATCATACGGATTCCCAGTGGTAGTAGCAGTTGTACCACTCACGTTGTTCGTTTCAAAATTATTGTTATCTGATGATGGTGGTGGATAGTTCATGATGATGGTGTTGAACCTTGAATTTGTGTAACGCTTTTTTTTTGAATGATTTTAATTTTCAAGGTTTCTAACGCCCTTTATGTGTTATCCGAAAAAGACAACAAGAGCGAGCTCCGCATTGTTGTTTTAGCCGAACACACCCCAACAAACTAGTACGCTTGGATATAAATTTCAAAGTTTGGGTAGGGTCACTCTATGCAGTTCTTATTGACTTCCAACCATCCATTGGTCACCAACCATTCTACTTTCCACTACTCTTGCTCTTGTTTGCCAAATGTATTCGGTAAATTTGAGATCTAATTTCAGAGGTCATGTCGTGGAAAAAGGTTGGTTCTCTCTTGAGTATTTCATCATAATTCTTGGCAAACATGAAAATGCAATAGTCCTTTAAGAATTTGTCATTTAGAGATTCGCTAATGTGGAGATTTTGAAGGGCGGTGTGTTCGTCCAATTCTTGTTCCTTAATGATGGCACGCGCCTTGTCCTGTAGGTCCAAAATATCAAATTGATGGGAAGCAAGATAGACCTCTACACAATTGCTTGCATCCAGTGAACTCAGTGTCAATGAATAAATGTACTTGAGGATGATGAAAATACTCTGAATGCTGACATGATCGAAAACCACAATACCATGTTGTGCTTCTAAAAAATTCGAATTGAATAGCGCCTGAAGATAGGATGATCTCGTTTTGAGGAGACCCTTATGAGCGAGAATGCTCTTAAATATGGGTGGATGATGAGACAAATCAGGTGCAATAAATTTAGCCAAGCACGATGGAGGACTCTCTGAATCGGACATGTCACTTGACAACGTTTCTCGATAAACCTCAATATCATCAATGGTGGGCTCTTCTTGAATTTTCAAAAATTCATTGGATATCTGATCCCAATATCCCTTTGAATTGTGACTGAAAAATACATCAAATGGAATATTGTTGGATTCGCTAAAAGCAGAGGCCAATAATGGAATTTTCAAGTGAATGGCAAGTCGATAAATGTCACTAAAAGCATCCCCGGAAAGATGGCGCACCTCAATAAATCCCGAGTACAGATATTGCAGTACGCTCCTGAGGGCTGCATGTGCTTGTGTGACTTTGGGGAAGTAGGTAATTCGAACGGTGACTGGATCGCCATGATGGAGCTTGTAATTTTGAACATATTGATCATCGACATTGTCTTCCACGATTTGATACTTTTTCATTTCTGCCACAACGATCATTCGTTTCAAAACTGGAGACCTCTCAAGCATGGTCTTGTGTGCATAGATAAGGTTCGAGTTGTCCATAGCAGAACCTTGCTCTTCCTCAAGTGGTAGAGTGAAAATCACATCTGCATCGAGAGCATCTTGTTCATTGAACCATTTCAAATAACTTCTTCCTAAATGATCCATTGGATGTTCGTCTAATTTGAGGCCCTTATTAAATCGAAGTATTTTGACAGGATGTTGCTGATCATTATTGGCCATGATTTTGGATGACTTGTTGAGATGTTTCATGATGTCTTGAGCCGAGTGGAACGACGAGGATTTTACACCTCCAAGCATGACATAGGAATCGAGATGGGTTGACACTGAGCCATAGGCAATTCCATCGAAATTTTCTTCATTCCATACCGACCATGACAGGTTGCTCTCGTTAAATTCAAAGATTGCAGAATTCCACTTGTGACCATCCCAACCTCCTTGCAAACACAACGAATCTTTCTTCAATGGTACTGTTAGAAGGGAAGCCATTGTGAGCGGTGGCACTGACAGAGAGCATGAGCTTGTGTTGATCTTCTTTAAGGCTGTTGTTTTCACATTGAATTGATACAGGTCATTATAAATGGTCGAGTGATCATAGCCACCATAGACATACAAATGATCGTCTAAAAGGGCCATAGCAGAGCCTGCTCTTGGTGATATGTCAGATCCGCGAGACAATACTGTGAGAGTATTCACAGGAACGTCATAGACATAAAAGGTGTTCGAGAAACCTTGCTTTCCAATGCCACCAAATAAATAAAGCAGGTTTTGGTTGCATGCAGAGGAGTGATCAGCCATTGGAGGTAGTTTGTCATTCTCAGGAATGACCTCTCTCCAATGTAAATCAGAAATGTTCGCAATTTGAATGTCGCTTTGTAAGTGGTTATTGGCATCCAATCCTCCGATGAGAATCAATGATTTTTGAGGGAGACAATTGAAGCTAGCAAATAGTCTTGGAGTGGCTGGTTTGGATTGTTTTTGTTTGGTGAACATGAGCTTTTTACTCGTGTCCATTTCCACAAGAGTTAAATCGTTACTGATGGCTCCCTTATAGAATCCTCCCCAAACGTATAACTTATTGTGACCATGGTTCGCCGTCTTGTGTAAAATTCGATTGAATAATTGCTTATTTTCACCAATTTCTTTCACAAAATTGGATGGAATCATGAGTTGATCCAACCATAATAGGGGGTCATGGTGGTGGTGGGTAAATTTTCGTGCGTGGTAGGCAAAATTGATCGGTGACTTGTCTTCAAGTGTACCACCACTGTTACTACCATTACCACTAGCAGTATTGGATGATGTTGGATGTTGAGAAAGTTTTGGTGATCCTGAGGCTGATGTTGAACTTGTTGCGATTAATGAATCATTGATCATGGACATGGATTCACCAGTGGCTGTAATGTGTAAAAATTTGGGAGGTGAAGGTGGAAGAGCAGTTTTCAATGATTTCTTTCGATTCTCAATGATTGCTTCCAATTCGGCATCGAAATTGGTAATTTCACTCGACGACTTGGTCAAGTAATCTTCAATGTCTTGAATGAGGGAAAAGAGAGCCACTTGTCCTAATGCTTGGGAGGCTTTGTTCTGGTGTGTGAAACCAGTTTTGGAATTAATTAATTTTTTAAAAAAACAATTGAATATAAGCCAATATTTCCATGACCATGACCAAGGTTTTGTAAGTTCATGCCAGATTTAAACACAGTCACACACGCATTCATTGCAAAGGTGTTGATCATGTGAACATGTGTAGTTAAAATAATAAAAAATTCAAAATATTGTTAACATTGTCCAATGTGATATCACAATAATTGTGGCAGAGCAGCGACCCATATTGACCTACCTTGAGCAAATCAGACAATTCTTGAATTTCAAAGGATTGAATTTCATGAGCAATTCTTCTCTTCTCTTTAAACTCTTCATGTTCGGGTTCCATCTCAGGAGGACAATAAATGATAATTTCCTTTTGCAAGGGCTCAAGGACCAGCTGTGGCGATTCATGCGATGGATACATGTTCGAGCATGACACGTTTAAGAGCACTTCTGTTTGAAACAAGTGATACACATGATCTTGCTCTCCATGTTCGATCATTCCTCGCTCCACAAGAGATTTAATTTTCAATTGATATTGGAGAGTGATCTCGGGTGATGTTTGGGTACCACTGTTCGAAGAGTCAGACACGTTTTCGGAAAATTCGCAAACCTGTTGTACATCTTCGGAATAGATGGATTGTAAGACTTGTAATTCTTCGAGTTGATCCTGCCAATTGGTGGAGGAAAGGATTGTTGATGATGAATGCATTTTTTTTGTAATCTGGGGTGAATTTGAACATGAGGTTCATGTTGGGATTTGAAGAGGTTCAAATTGGAATGTGCAGGTGAAGCGTCCTATCTCAGGGAAGATTTGATTCAGCACTGGCTGGTATCCAGATTAACCTATAAACTTGGAGCAACTTACAGAGATGATGATTCCAAATGGCAAGAATTCATTCTCAAGCAATAAGAGAACAACTAAAACTGGCAGTCCCAACAAATGATGAAAAAGTCATTGAAGGAGGGTTCATTGAGGCACAAGTAACGATCTTGTTGTGGCGTTTCTTTCGGTGAAATTTTATAAAACCTTCTTTTGTTGGAGATTATGTGCACACGCTGAGTATACTATGAAACCATGTAGTAAATTACAGCCTGTGTTAATGGTGTCTCCAAATTCAATAACGGACAAGTTTAGGAACAAAAAAATTTCTTTCGCTCTCCGTGGGGCTCGAACCCACGACCGTTGGATTAAAAGTCCAACGCTCTACCGACTGAGCTAGGAAAGCTCTACATTAATGATTTATTACATAAAATATTACTTTTTACTGTTGTGTCCCCAAGGAAGTAAAAGACCAAGAAAAAACGTTGGATATCCTCAGAGAATCCCAACAAATACAGGTGAAATTTAGGTAAATCATGTTATTTCTTACGTTTAACGATCCTTTCTTCACAACGAAACCTTGTTTGAAACGAGAGAAGTTGTTGTGAGCGAATAAGGTCGTCAGTATTCAAATAATCCCTAAAAGTTTTTAAACACCAACAAATACTTTGGATCTTTGGAAGAACGCCCTTGCAAAGGTACTGCCATAACAATTATGAACGTTGAAAGTGACTGTGCAGGAAATTTGGTAGTAGTGGTACCGCACCTATCTTTGCTGGAAAATGAATTGAATATAATAATTGTCTACATGCATAGCTCAGAGGAAGAGCTTCGGTCTCCTATTTGGACCGATAACCGAGGGTCCCAGGTTCAATCCCTGGTGCATGTGAGTTGTTTCATTTTTTGGAGTGTGAAATTTTTTCTTGCACTGGCGTATTATGAGTGGATATGATCTTGTTAAGGAATGGAGAATGGGATGATGAACATGATTAACTAGAATGAGGAAGAGGTTGAGAGAAACAAGGTGTTTTGCTGAATGAATATCAAGAATTTTGAATTTGGATCAAAAATTAAACATCATTGTTCGTGACCAACACATAAACTCTGTGTGTTGAAGCTAAAAACAAAAGTCGATCTTTTCCACGAAAAGAATAGCTCTCATATCCTTGACTTTCATCCATAACATATTTTTCCAAATCGAGAAAATGTTGTGAACTCGTTGAAATAATATCATCCTTGATCGACAAGTGTTGAATCAAAGAGTCAGCACCTCTCTCCATGTCTTCATCATAACATGGCAACTTTCGTATTTCCACAACATCCCCTAAAGATGCAACTAGATAATTAGTTTTCCAAAATGAAATACTCTTTGGAGTTGAATTCCAAGAAACGCCTTTCGAGCAGGTTGGTTTTCCCTTTGAATTTACAATAATTCCAAATGTCTCATTCCACAACAAGTAGACGTTATTTCCATTCAATGGAACACAACAAGCTGTTTCTTGAGGCGGTCTTGTCAATGATAATTTTTGGAGAGTTGGATTGTTGAATTCGTTCCTTTTCTGGACAAGGTCAAAATCTTTTACGAGAGAATATTCAGTGTCGGATCCAATACACAAAATACCCTCTCTCATCCAACTTACACATTTCACAACTCTCTCCATTTGTATCTCTGTTGAATAAGTAAACATGCAAGATGCAGAATTGGCTCGAAATATGGTCACACGACTGTGGTTACTGGCTGCCACAGCGAGTACAAACTCTCCATGATCTTTTTTCAACGTCATGCATTTGCATTTCTTCAATGGTTGATTCTGTAAAATGTTCACGAATTAACAATATCGATGAAAATTATGAATTTGCATATATGAATATTTTCATCCAATTTTATCATCAATTCTCAAAAGTTCATAATTCTTACTTTTTGATTTTTCAAAATATTTAATTCTTTCAATTCGCTCAAAGATAATATTTTAATAAAACCATCGTGTGAGTGATCAAAGAGGCAAATTAATAAATCCAAGTCGTGTATCGCAAACATTTGTGTGACTTCGATCGTTTTAGAAGAAGAAGAATTTTTCACACTCCGTTTAGGAACACATGTGAAATGATTGTTGTCATTGTCAACAACCACGTCAAAGACCACCAAAGAACCCTCTCGAAAGGCAATGACTAATTCCGTCTCACGATCAGTTACAGCAATACAGATGGACGAAATGGTCAAAGAAGAAAATAATGAATGTTCACAGTTGCGCAGCAGGAACGGTTGTTTCATGAATTTTTTTTAAAATTATGAAAATTAAGATCTCGCTGATTTCAAATCATGAATTTCCATTTCTTGTTCATTTATGTCCTCCACTGGAGAGAACGGATAATACCTTTTTTCATTTTGTTGAGGGTGAATGAGCATGATCCTTTGGGCTAAAAGGATTTTCATTGCTGAACCTTACACCTAATATTTGATATTGAAATTGGTTGTCTTTCATGGGGAGGTTCAAATCATGCAATGTTACTGCTGTTGCCATCAACACCTGAACAGAAATCAACCGTTCCACCCCTTCTAATTGAAAACCTTAACACTCTTGGGAGCAACCTCATGAACTCGAATTGAAATTCGCCTTTTTCCATCCACTCCAAAAGATCACAATCATCAAACCAAAAAAATTCTTCCAAACGTTCAATCGTATTATTTCATTTTACGAACGTTGAAATAAAAGGATAAAGAATGGGCTTTACGGTTACGGATCGTCTCGAGTTAGTGATAGAGCGTGCCTCGGATTTGGTCGCAGCAGATCTCAATGGTTATTCCGATCCATTTGTTGATATTAGGGTGGATAATTGCTTGGAAAGAAGAACACAGGTAGGTGTTGTTGATGATTGATGAACCTCTTTGTTTTACCATCTCTCATACTAATTCTTATGATGATGATTGCTATAAATTCCGATGGAAAATAACTCTTGTTCCAACATGATGAGTAGATCATGAAAAAAACTCTCAACCCTGTTTGGAACGAAACCTTTGTATTCTATTGTATTCCTACGTCTGGAGCATTGAAAGTAGATTTTGAACTCTATGATTGGGATAGATTTACTCCAAACGTGAGTATCATGCTTGTACTTGATTTTATTGAACGATCATGCTTGATTTTAATTCTTTAACTTTTCCTTATTTGTTACTGATAAATCACAACAGGACTTTATTGGACGTGCCTCACTTTCCATTGACTCCAATTGTACAGAATATAACAAATCGTATCCAGTGACCCTTACTTTGAAAGATATAAAATCTGGAACGCTCAAAGTGAGCTACAAGATCAAATCAAGCTCCACATCAAACACCAACAACGCCTCAACCTCCACAACTGTTGGTGAAACTAACAGTTTTAAAATCATTACTACAGAATTTCCAAGCAGTTTCCAACCATGTGTTCCAAAAGATTTCATTTTGGTTTCGTCAGACTCCAATTCAGCCAACAAGGTTTATGTCGCAGTTCTTGTTAATTTGTCGACAGGCGAAGTATTGACCATCACTTACAATGATTTATTGTCAACACCCTTTGATACAGCAGCTCAAGTGTTTTTGGACGTGTATTTGAAAGGGCTGAAAGATGGAGCTGACAAGAAGAGCGGCAAGTATGAATTAATCTCGAGAGACCTAAATGTCACTCACAAGATTAATGGAAATTTCTCAACAGTCTTGGAAAGTCGTTGCTTGACTGCTAGCTCCACTACTGGCAGGTTATTGAATTGCGTATGTTTAACGTGTGGCTATCCTAGTGGACTTATGGCCAATTATGTGTGGATGACTTACGACAGTGTATTTTCTTCTGAAAAGTATCATTTACTCGTTGAGGTTGCTAAGAGAACACATGTTGCCAAATAATGTAGTACGGCCAAAAAGCAAAGCCATGAGGCTAATCGAAAAAAGATTGGATTATTAAAAGCCAAATAAGTGCGAACGATCATGTGGTTAAACCTTTTCGGTTCGATTAGGGTATTGAATAGTTTCATCATGGGGGACATGTCGTCAACCATGCCGGAGTCATTCAAGAAAAATCTAACTACCATTACAATGTATGTTCATCTTCGATTCTGCTTCTAACTCCATCTTGGACTTTACAACGAAACAACAACTAGTTTTTGGTACCCAAGGTCAAAACCATTTCTAATTGGGATTTCTTGCCACGTTCGAAATCTCGGAAATCTCGGTTTATGGTTCATGAGATTCAAAGCGAGATGAACATTTTGCCTCCTTCAGAGGATAGCATTTGAGGAAATGCAACATTCCACTGTGAAACATTCGCTCCATGCATTATTGGGAACATTGGTGTACTCATTTCGAACGCTTGGTTTCTGATGCATTTCTAAAACAAAACAAACAATTATTCTCGCTGCAAAAATATGAATCGTCAAATGCCACAAGATCACTCTTCTACTCATTCTTCTTCTCTCGCAGTCCCTTGTGAATACTACATGTCATCTGGAAGTGATACGAGCGAGTCTACTTATCTATTTCGTCCTCATGAGAATCTTGAGGCTCAACAAGTGGTTGACCTTGAGGAGAAACAAGAGTGTGTATACTCTCAACAAGAACATCAACAACAACCACATGGTACACGGTTTCACAAATACATTTATCCTTGTTTAAGACTCATCTTTTCTTTTGTATTGTTCATGACATGCTCAGCTCTGACTCGACTCGTGACCATGCATGTGGTTGTACCTTCAGTGGATCTCTCTCAAACGCCTCTCAGAGATTTAATTCTCGAAAGATTGAAGCCTTTTCCATTTGCTTTCAAAATTACGGAAAGTATCACAGTGTTCATGTTCATTCTTCTCGTGTTGCTGTCACTGTTCAACAAGACTCATCGATTATCCATTCTTTCTCGAACGTTTCTTCTCAATAGTATACTCTTACTGTTACGAATGTTCACCATGTCATTTACAATATTAAGTATACCCAATGAAATGGATATTCCTAAATGTGCACAATTACAACACATGACATTGAAAGAACGACTTTTCGGTTCTCAGGATCATTCCAACGTCGAGGAAGGTGCACTTTCCTACACTTGTGGGGATTACATGTTTTCGGGTCATACTTGTGCCGTGGTGTTAATGACATGGATGGTTTTACAATATTCTTCACTCAGTGCCAAGACAGCTCAAGCAACACTGTCATCGGCGTCTTCTCTAAGAATTTGGAAAGGAATGAATATTGCCATGGTTGTATTTCTATGGACGTGTTGCTTCATGGCCATGTTTTGTGTGTTGTGGTCAAAAGAGCATTACACATGTGACGTGGTGGTTGCAGGTTTGGTGACTGTCTTGTTGTGTCAGGTATATCATTCTCATTTGAATTGGTGGTGTTTTTGGAGTAATAAGAAACCGGAAGACAGGAGAGGCGAATTTCCAAATTCCAAGTCCTTACTCTTCTTTAAGATTTATGAATCGGATATGAAACATTGTGCCAATGAATTTGATTTGAAACCATGGACTTTGGTTGTGCAATGTTTTCAAAAAGTGAAAAAAGTATTTATTCATGTACAAAGGCAATTTCCAAACGAAAAATAGTCATTCTTCCAACAGAAATTTATAATGAGGTGAAAAACCAAAGACATTACCAACACTATTCAGAAGTGTGACGTTGGATCGTTCGTGTCACACATCCTTCAAGATTTGAGACTTTTTTCATTTTCCATCAATTTTCTTACACATAATTCATATCTTGACACACCACAGAAATATCAAGTAATAGATGATTATTGGGCTCTGAATAATCGGTACTCTTCAAGAGTAAGGCTGCCATTTTCTGATTTGCATACGCCGCAAAATCACAATATGCAACGTAACCAACATTGAGAATTCTTATTTTCACGACATCACGATAAAAGTTATCAATACTCCCTCCTCTCGAATACTTGTCTGCCGGTATGGCTGTTCTCAAATCAATACTTTGAGCATTGTAGACATGACCTCCATAGTAGGTAGATCCAACAACAAAGAGCATGTGTGGAGATTCGGAATATCTGATCAACATAAAATCTCTAGTATATTGGGCATCCAATATTGTTACGTTGTGAGCAAATTCTGCACAGTTGTGATGCATTTCTAGTACTCTTTTCATTTTGTCATTCTTGTCAAAACCTAAATATGATGTCAATTGTACATTACAGGATCCAGTAAAGTAAAGTTCCTGTTTACCATCTGTCACATTCTTGACCCACAACACTGAGTTACTACCACTAAAAATATTGTTGAAAGCGTAGTCGTTCAAGTTCAGTGTCACAAAAGGTAAATCAGAAAATGAAGGGTTTGTTAACTGAGAAGAGGAATTACTTCCTCCAACAGAAATTGAACAATCCTCATGTAATAATACAACATGAAAATCTCCATATTCCATTTTCACAACCTTTTTTTCAAAACTTTGAGCGAGGTATTGCCAGCAATGATATCCAGCTACCAGCTTGTCAGTTGGATAATTCATCCAGTTTTGACCAGTAATGTGAACATCATGTCCATTAATCACGCATAAACTAAATGAATAGCAGCATGCAACATGGTTGATCTTTGGAGGGCATTCAGGCTTCACGTTTAACTGAGTAAAAGGGTCAAGCATCAACTCAAAATTTGTGCAAACAAATCCTGTAGTGCGAAAGTGACTCATACGATAATATCCATTATGACCTAATCCATAAATGTAATATTGATCTTTGCTTGAATCATGAGCAATCAATAACATGGCCTCCGTGTAACACGCAAGTTTCACAGCCTTCAAAGAACTAGATCCATCAAAAGGTGCTACAATATCAAATTTTGAATGTTTCGCACCTTGTACTTGAGCTTGATATAACAGTCCACAATCGGTAATGACAAAGAGAGTTCTCTCATTAGGACGTGTCATGACTTGTGTGATGAATCCCATAATTGTTTCACCGGAATTGGTGGTATCCACGTCTAAAGAGCAAATATTTGTTGGCGAAAACGGTGATTGAGCTAACTCGTGATAGAATAATTTTGAATGAACAGAGGTGGCGGTTACATTTCTGTTTTCCCTATGATCGGAATAGCTCCAATTGCTTGTATCCTTTACAATCATTTCTTGAAATAATAATTGTTGTTGTTTCATCAAATCAAAAGAATGGATCTTATCGATCTTTGCAGTTCTCTGAACTTTCTTTTCCTTTCTAAAGAGTTTTCTCATTTTTTTTTAAACTTTGATTGTTGTAATAATGCTTATTCGTTCCTCCTGTAAAAGCAAGCAAAGAAACACATTACATTAGGGGCTATGATCGTATTAGACAAATTAGAGGTAGATATGAAAATTGTGCGTGTTCATTTGGAAAGTGATATCTTGAAATCTATTTGAAAAAAAATGCAACAATTTGCAGCTTCAACCACCACGCCAGAACAAGAATTAGAAAAAAGAAAACAATTGGAAGCGGAGGTGACCAGTTCGCTGCCTTTTCATAAAGAGCTCGGAGAAGTGGTAGTCACTGTGAAGGGAATTTATAAACATTATCATATTGCAGGAAGAACAGATACGGTTCGGGCTTTGGAAGAAATTAATTTGAATGATGAAAGTGAATTTTATGGAATCCGAAGAGGAGAATTTGTAATGATTAGAGGACCTTCGGGAGGTGGTATGTAGATTCGTGTTGTTATTATTGTGTGAATTTTGAATGGATAATTTTTTTACAAATTGGATGATGATTTTCTGATATATATTTGGAAACCAATGTCACTACGACAACCACAACATAATCAAAATCAATGTAACAAATGAAACAATTTCATCAACAAAGGTAAAACAACCTTGTTGAACATCATCGGAACGATTGATAAACCAAGCGGAGGAGTTTTGGAAATTCTCGGAGAGCCAATCACTGCCAAATCAAGTGACAATTATTTGGCAGATTTGAGACTTCGTAGAATTGGATTTGTTTTTCAAACATTTAATCTTATTGCCACAATGAGCGCTTTTGAAAATGTAGAGCTGCCCATGACACTATTAGGTAAATTAAACAAGAAGGAACGAAGAAAGAGAGCAAAGGAATTACTCAAAATGGTCGGACTGGCTGATCGTATGGCTCACTTGCCATCGGAATTGAGTGGTGGTGAACAACAGCGTGTCACCATTGCTCGTGCACTTGCAAATGAACCAGAGATTTTACTTTTGGACGAGCCAACGTAGGTATTTTCATGAAAGACTAATGTCATGTTACAATAATGTTGATTTTCTATTTTTCTAATTCGATTTGAAACTTGTTCATTATTTAAAGTGGAGACTTGGATACAAAGAATACAGTTGAGGTCATGGACCTCTTATTGAGGATTAATTTAAATCGTAAAACAACATGCATCATGGTGACACACAATCCCGATGTAGAGTGTTATGCAGATCGAGTGTTGTATGTCAGCGATGGTCGTTTCGTGGAACAAGCTCTCAACGAAATTCAAATACCTCTTATTTTCGAAAATTATTCCAACTACTTGAAAAGCAAATAGATTTGAGATATGTACATTATGTTCAATGATATCTATTCCGTTTTGATATAAAATTGTGTTTGATTGTAATGGAAAGAAAATTAACTTTGATTTCTTCTAGAGCATGCCTTAGAAATCGTATTTTACAAGACACGAAAATAAGCAACAACAACTAATGGTTGTTATTACAAATATCTTTTAAATTCTCTTGCATAAAGAATTTACATATTTGTTGATGTAGGTCCCTAGTTTCAGGTTTCGTTACAAGAATAACATCTACTGCCCTGGCGATCATTTGCTTTAATTCGGGATGAGCCCTCAAATACTTTTCATTATCCATACGTTGTTTTACTTTTTCTCGGGCATTCGGTATTGGTGGTTGGGCGTGGGATTCAGAGGTCGATGACGATGATGAAGAGCTCTCAACTGAGGTTGAGCTATCCTGATGGGACATTTTTTGTAGTTTTTTTGGCACAATTTACAGATTCCAAAACTGAATTGTTCCAAACATTATTATTATAACATTTGAATTTTATTTTCATCCCGTTCAGAACATGGGCTAAAACTTACTTTCGTTCTGAATTTCAAGATGTTATTCCTAAAACATATCCCTAAAGTCCAAACTCTAATAAATCCATTCGAATATTTCGTTGATGAAAATTATTTTATTGGATGTTCAAAAAAAATATTCAACTGCCCAACCGCTTTGTTGCTTCTTTCTAAACCCGAATTTGAATATTTGCAATGGTAGGTCTCATGAAATAATATTTTGTTGTTATATAATAACATGGTTTTATTCTTCATGCGTGATGGTTTACTGGCTCGGCCCTGACGGAATTTTATATATGATGTTGTACTACTCCGATGTCAATTTAAATCTAACGAACGGCGGATGATGGTATTAACTTCTCAATGAACGATCCGACTCATATATTATTGACACCAATTAGCCACAAGGAAATTATATTGAAGAGCACCAAAAGAAACATGGTCACAGATTAGACTACTTTGAAACTAAACGAAAGAAGGAAGCCCGTCTTCATAAGAAGACCTCTAAAATGGCTGCCAAGTTAAGAGGTATCAAGGCAAAATTGTTCTCACAACGAAGACATGCCGAAAAAGTGCAAATGCAAAAGACCATTCGAGAACATGAACAAAAGAATAAGGAAGAACGAACACCAACAGAAGATATTGTTCACGGAGGTGCTGTGCCTTCTTATTTGATGGACCGTGAGGGTGTCTCTCATGCTAAAATTCTTTCAAATACACTCAAACAAAAGAGAAAAGAAAAGGCTGGTAAATGGGCTGTTCCAGTTCCAAAGGTTAGAGCTTTGAATGAAGATGAAATGTTCAAGATTGTTCGTAGCGGTGAACGAAAGAGACAAATGTATAAGAGAATGATTAATAAGGTCAGCTTTGTTGGTGAGGACTTTACAAGAAAACCACCCAAGTTTGAAAGATTTATTAGGCCAATGGCTCTCAGATTCACAAAGGCCAACGTCACACATCCAGAATTGAAGGCAACCTTCCAATTGCCAATTTTAGGAGTGAAAAAGAATCCACAATCATACATGTATACAACTTTAGGTGTTATTACTAAGGGTACTGTGCTTGAAGTGAACGTTTCGGATTTAGGTCTTGTAGCACCAAACGGTAAAGTTGTGTGGGGTAAATACGCTCAAGTGACCAACAATCCTGAGAATGATGGATGTATTAACGCCGTATTGTTGGTGTAGAATTTTTTGAACACATGATGAGCGTGATGGATGCATTATTGACTTGCATTGAGAGATAAAATTCAAGTAGAATTTCCTTCAGCAGAATAGATGATTGTGGAATTCACAAACTCAAACTTTCAATTGATTTTTTCTGCATTTGACATGTGTGTTGACATGGAAGCATAAAATAGTTTAATTTCCTTTACAAAATGTACATGTGAATTGATCCTCTTCATGGGGATGACAAAATCGTTAAGTGAGAGCTTTTTCTCTTTAAAAGAGAATATTATACAAATCATTCATGGCTTGACTCTTGAACAGCTTATACTTGCTAGCTGTCCAGTCTCCCAACCGATCGAGCTTTTCCAGAGCTAGATCAATATCTTCTTTCGTGTGAGCAGCAGAGACACAAAATCTCACTCTCGAGTTCAATGTCTCCGTAGCAGGAGCACCCACTACAACCACTGCAATACCCTCTTCGAGACACATTCGACTCAAAGCTGCACATTTCGAAGGATTATACAACATGGTAATAATGACTGGCGAATCGATATCACTAATGACCTCAAAACCTAACTTCTTCAGACCCTCTCTAAAATAGTTCGAAGTTTCGTTGAGTTGATGTAATTTTCTTCGACCCAAATCCGTTCCATCCTCTCCCATAATGACCTGGAGTGCCGATAAAGCTTGCTGAGCACACGGAGTAGGCATACTACTTCCATACACTAAACCATAACAATTCTTTCTCAAATGTGCAATAATTTCCTTATTGGCAGCAACGTATCCTCCCACAGAACCAAAACTCTTGGTGAATGTTCCCATCAAAATATCGACATCTCGAGGATTCACTCCACAATATTCACACACTCCTCGACCTGTCTTTCCCAACGCACCAATACTATGAGCTTCATCCACATACAAGTAACATCCATACTTTTTCTTAATTTCAACAGCTTGTTTTAAATTTGCAATTTCTCCTTCCATCGAATAAATTCCTTCCAAAATGATTAAAATCATTCTCCAAGGTTTATGTGATCCCGGTTGACCTTCTAAAATACTCTTCCTGACAATACGTTCCAAATGGTTCATATCATTGTGTTTAAAAACTGTCACAGTAGCTTTCAAAGAACTTCTCACTCCATTCACAATACTCATATGATTCAATTGATCACTAATAATGAGACACTCCGATGAATTGGCCAATAATGGAATGGTGGTACTATTCGTTGCAAAACCCATCGAAAAAATCAAGGCATCTTCTTGTCCTACGAAACGAGCAATGGTTTTTTCTAAATCTCGATGTGTTTGAGTGTAACCACCACAGTGACCATAGGGAGAACTTTGTGCAACTCCGAATTGATCCAAACTTTGCAAGACTTGTTGTTGAACGTGAGAAGGACTCTCGGCAAAACCTAAATAATTGTAACTGGCGAGGTTGAGACATTTGAAAGTGCGGCCAGTGAGTTCGAGATGAGCATTGTAGTCGTGTGAAATCCGTTCCATGACTTTTGACAGGAAATGAATGGTGTGTTTCAATGAGAACAAGGATTCGTGTGAGAGTGGGTGCGTACGTGAATGTGTGTGTGATTTCAAGTATTCCAACGTGAATAAAAACAATCGAAATAGGTCAAAATTCGTGATCATTCCAAATTTAGAAAAATATATTCATGATGATGACCCAAAATATTCACGTAACAACAACCACTCACCTTCAATATAAGCACCAGGTCGTGATGCTATGGGTCGATTCCAACAATCACACACTCTTCTAAATATTCTCCGTGTATACAAATCTTCAAACGAACTCAACAAGGGCGCACAACCAAAAGGTGTCTTGTGAATACTTCCATAAAATAATTCATGAAAGAAATCACGTAAATGACCTAATACAATCAAGATGGCATAATTCCAACACGTGGTGATGAATAACCAGTTGGAAATGTCACAGTTGGTCATGTATGTATTTGAGAGAGAGTGTGTATTGTTGTTGTTGTTTTTTTTCTTGTGAATCTTTTGAAGATTCATGGATACGACGTCGACGTGTGTGTGTGTTTGTAGAACAAGTTCAGAATTAAAGTGAGCGTGGAATGCGGTCAGCGAAGTTGAAGGAAGATTTTGTAAATTTGAAATCAAATGGAATGAATGGGTTGAGGAATTCCTCTTCGTGTATGACTTCAGAAAGTCTTGCAAGTTGTTGATTGGTGGTTGTTCTAGAATGAGTTTGATCTATTCGGTAGTGATTGATTATGTTTCAAAGTAGTAAACAAGGGAAGATAATGAAATCTTTTTTAGAACATTATGGTTGGAGCTCAAAAAAAGGACTGAAGCAGTGTTGAACTTTTAGAGAAAGATATCACTTGAAGGATGTTCTCCACGAGTTTGATTTCTTTTAAATTTATAAAAATCATGAATTTATTTCTTAATTAAATGGTCAATTAGGTCAACCGGTGGTTCATGGATGGTACAACACAATGCTTTCACGGCTACAGTCGGCCATAATCATTTCTAAATTGAAAGATAGTGTCATTTAATGTGATGTGACATGATCTCCTTGTAGTAACAGTGCACAAAAATTAATGACACCTGACAGATTTACAAGTGCGCCCATGCAAACTTAAAAAAAATACATCAAACAACAACCTCTCGACATTAGCCTCTTCGTCTCTAGGTCGCCTTCAAATATTTGCATTTGCGTGATACCAGTTATCGATCGCTAAGGCTGTTTGCAATTTGTTTTTTCGTGTTCACAAAGATTTAGGAAAATAGAAAAAACGCCACTCAACAAGAATTCATCATCATGCCAAGCAATCATAGCTCTTTATTTTGGGACAAGTGTTCCATGTATTTCACTCTCAAGAATTTATTTAAATTACCCACAGCTGTCAGTAATCAAACAACAGCAGCCATCGATGGTCAACATGATACCATGTCCTCGCCTCACAATCATCATCTCGAATCATCCACGAGCAACAGCAACAACCGAAAATCTCGTACCCTTCAAGATTTTACCTTCCCAAAAACTCTTCAAGAACAAGAACAACAACAAAATGTGACAACACCCGAAAAACGAAAATCTTGGTTCAAACGAAAATCTCCATCATCTCCGAGTGTATCATCGGCTAGCAATGTCCACACACCTCCTTCTGGATCGTCGTCTTCAACTCATTCCAAGTCGCTCATTCATACGAGACAAAATCCAAATTTTAACAACTCGTCGTCGCCACTCAGACGAACAGAACCAGCCACAGAAATTGAGAATAAGAGACGATCTATTTTTGGGAAGTTATTGTGGAATAATGGATCTTCATCGTCGAATTCGACAAGCACATCATCGACGAGGAGAAGTGTTTCATCTCCGGAATCGCTTAATATTTCTGTAAATTCTGTGACAAGTTCGAATTCAAGGACATCGAAATCGAGTCAGCTTACCATGTCACCTTCTGTTAAAAAGAACAAAAAAGCTAAATTCTTAATTCTAATATTTATTCGAGGAAGTTGGTGTGAAGAATGTGTCAATTATTTACAACAACTTGATAAGATTGTCTATGAGAAAGTCACTCAAGAATTTGGAGGAAATATTGCTGCAGTTGTCTCTCAAACATCTCAACAAGCTAGTGATCTTAAAAAACAACTCAACCTAAGATTTGAAGTCGTGAGTGATGAAAGGATGATTTTAGCAGAAAAATATGGAATGAATTGCATTTTGAAAGGTTCCATTGTTTATAAAAAGATGGAAGCCATGTATAAAACTAGGTACATGACAAAAACTGGAGGAAATATTTCAGATTACATGTTGGAAATTATAGATTTTATTGACAAGCATCAAAAAAGTGATGTCAAGAAAAGTAATACATCTGAGAATCGACCATCCATGATGGGATTGAATTCGACAGAAAAGAACGCCACTGTTGCTTCTGATTTAAATGATGTCACACTTGTCATTAGCGATGACGATGAAGAAGATAGTAGGTCTAATAGCAATGGAAGAAGAGGATCACATCGTCATCGTAAACCCACAACACCCACTCGAAATATTGCAATTGATGAACAGATAGTTGTTGACTTTTTTGAATCGAAATGGCAAGAATTATTTAATGTGGATAACAAATTTAACACTGGTTTCACACAACCAGGTGCATTAATTCTCAATCGAAAGAAGAAGGAAATTTATTCATGGAAAGATGGATACTCTCTCACTCAACAACAAGAACACATTCAACAACTCATCATGCAACAAGAATTATTGAAGCAACAAGAAGAAGAAAAGAAGAAAGAAATTGACAATTTCTTACTGGAATGGGATTTCAATCAATGGTTAACAGAAAATCCTCTCAACGTTGCTGCCCTTGTTGGAAATAATGATCTCTCTGCCTCATTATCCCACTCTCATGGAAATCATCTTTCAGATGATATCAAGAAGGCCTATCGAAAAACCATTTCCATTGCTCGAAATTCATCGAAAAGATCTTCTCAACACATGAAACATCTTCAAAAAGTTTCAGATTCATTTGCTGGAACACTTTCTGCTAAAACGTCACCCAGTAAGTCTCCTCCTCCCATTAAAAGTCCACTTTCTCCTCAAATGGGTCAACATTGGAATCGAGATAGCATGAGCAGCACGAACGATGATAATTACATAACAGCATCCTTTGCTCCTGGCTCAATATTTGATAATATTAACATTGCTCAGGCATCCAAGCAACTTTTCACTGAAGAAGGAAATGAAACCACCATGCAATCAAAACCACCGACAACATCTCAATCTTCGCGACTTTCAAAGAGAAGACCTAGCTCTGATCCACTCAAATCATTGGTGAAGGAAGAGCTCGACAAGCAAGAAAAACAATACAACATGAAACAAATACGAAAGAATGTAGGACACTTGAGCATTAATTTTTCGAGCACGAGCGGAAAGAGCAATTTACTGATTGATCGATCGTTTGTGGAAGAAAGAATTCCTCCCAAACACTTGCTTACCATTGCTGAATATTATGCATCACTTGATTCGAATCAAAACTAGGAATAATAAATTCTACTAAGGTTTAATTGGTAAATATTGCTCATTTCGAAGAGTTGTCAGAACAGTGTAGTTTGTGAGCTCTGTTCGAGCCCGAGACAAATTATGAATATCACAGCAAAGAAACACTTCTTTCAGATCTCTGGGCAAGAAATAAGGTTTATTTACTGAAATAGTTCACTTTTCATTATTTCTTGGTTTCTGTTAATTCAAGCATTTCAACTTCTTCTTTTAACCATTTACATCCTCTAAACGAACAAATATCCATACATTTCACATGCATACAATCTCTATCGTACAGCATGGAAAAAGCAGGATAAAATTCAATCTCACCATTTTCAAACTGGCTTGTTGCTGTTTCTCCAAAAAGTGGAAGCATGTCAACCATCTTTCCAACCAATTTTCTATTCTTAAAGAATGCAAATTGCATTTTATGTGAATCAATATAAATTCCCAACTTGTCATTAATATCAACTTGTGACCCAAATGATCGAGTCTTTACAGAACCTCCGTAATACAAGTCACCATTGATGTAATAATAACCAAAGCTCGAATGTGTACTTCCCAAATAACCCGAAAGGCTATATGTCATTTGGCTCACATCATCGTGTTTCATAATGCTCGTTGGTCTAATTGCAACTCCAAGAAACACATTATCAGCTTCCTTTCTGTTTTCTGTACAAACACATTCAAAATAAAAACAAGCTCTTTCATGGGCAGATGAACGAATGGGACATTGGATCAAAACAACATCGCTTCCAATGGTTTGCTTCAAAGCAACCAAATCATTAAAACTCAAATGTCTATCTGCTCTCAATGTGTATGCACTTTGATTTTCAACATGACGGATTGATAATTCGCACTTTTTAAATACCAGTACTTGTTTTTTCAATTCTTCATACCAATTCCGTTGGTTGTGATCATCATCATCGTGCTGATCAAGAATTTTGAAATTTTGTGTTTCATATTGGTTGGAATGATGATGATCATTGGAAAGATAGGCTAATCTTCTCCATGAAAACAAGTTGTTAAAGACAATCCGATAAAAGTAATTTCCACTTTCAGTTCGTTTCAATAGATTATACCAATCTCGACACACGGCTGGCAATTCAACCATGAAAAAGTAATATTCGGTACATGAAGGAGGGTTGATGAAGGAGAAGATATCGAGAAGTGTTTCATTGGGAAGAGAAGTGATGGAAATGAGGGCAGAAGGAGGAGGTGGTTCTGCAAGAGTGTGTGCATCCAAGATCATTTTCACGACACGAGCTTTTTTTGTAATTGGTTCATCTGTTCTGGTGATCGATCAAGAATGTTCGTGTGAATCTTCTGGATTAAATTGAATTTGAAATACAAGAGACCATTATTGTTTATTTCGAGTAAAATTTTGGTTGGTCGGCAATTATTTACAATGAGAAACTTTGGAATTTGAAATATTCGAGATTAAATATCTTCACACACACAAAAAACAATAAACACACAATCAATTCAGCCATGCTCGAACACATGTTTAGAGGCATGAACATTGCACCACTCATCGATGAGTTGCAGATGTCTTTCCGATGACGAAGATATTATAACATCTTTCGAGCAAACAGACCAAAGCTTGGTGCTATGAGAGCGAGCTAGAGAGAAAAAGTTGTATGCCATCATCAACTCCGCTCCATACGATGGTATTCTTCCCAAACGTTATTGACATCATGTTGTATGACGACAATAACATACAGTGATCACTTTAGAATGAAGATGTTTGCCCTTGCTCGTGATTGGGTTCATTCTCGCCAAAATCGAGACGAATATTCGGAAAACTATTTCTTCTCGCATGAGAGGAAGAGGGAGAAGTCTTGCGGTGCTTTCTTGGCTTGGTAATTCCTCTTCTTGGTCCAAAGAGCACGGAATCGGTTGGCAATGAACGAGCGTAGGAAGGTCGAGAATCCAACAGGTCGTCATAGAGTATGGCGGCGCAATTGGTACTAGAAACCTGTCAGATATTCGTCAATCCCACGTCAGCTGATTTGAGTGAACCCCAAAGGAATCAAAAATAAAATGAGTGAGTCTCTTCCTGATTGGTTTGCAAGGGTTTGAAGAACCGAAGCAACTTGGGTTCTTACTGCAACAACAGACAAACTGAAACGAAATATAGAGGCCATAGGACGTTACACCATTATTCGCTTCAGCTTAAGCTTGTAAAACAACAGCGTGCCAACGAACAGCTCACGGAAGACAGATCCTTGCTAGCACCCTAAACCAGAACTATTACCAATTCTACTGCATGACATTCAACGAATAAATTTTTTTATGCTTTCTTTTTCATTTTTGACTTGACGAATATCTGACAGGTTTTTAGTGCGCTTCAACGTCGGATGCGCCGCCATATAGACTTTTTTCGCTTAGGAGCTCCTGGGCACACCAGCTCACCTCTCGGTCGCTGGGGAGTTGTATAGATCCATTGGTTCTCTGACACTAGTGAAGGAAGTCTTCGAGCTGCGTCTTCGGTTGGTGTCGTATAGCCGTCATCGCTATCGACCATGTTGTTGAGAGAAATTTCTTCGTTCTCATTCAAATCATCATCGTGATCATGTGGATGAGTATATTCTTGCTGTAGCATGTCATTGAGAGATTCACTCTCATCGGCATCGCTATTCCTAGTGAGCTTGAAAGCTCTAAAACTCTCTTGTACGTGAGAAGAGTAGTCAGAGAGAGGTTGGCTGGAGGTAGAGGGACGTTGTTGTTGTTGTTGGTCAAGAGAAACAACACTGAAGAGGGAGGAAGAGGATGATTGTGCTGACGGTTTCATGATACGAGTACAACAAGATGAATGCAGAGGGAATGATGATGAACAATTAGGGGTTGTTGAGGTTATTGATGAACAGGAGGAAGAAGGCGAGCTGCTGGGAACGGAGGGCAATGCAATCTGTTGTTTTGAGAACACAGCTGAAAAGGTTATAGACCTAGAGGTTGACTTTACAAGATTAGTATCTGCTATGTAGACGAGAGAAGTTAAAACGGAATCTTTGTTGTTGGTGCGTGAGAAGCCTTTTCGACGAAGATTCAAAGCCTAGCGCAAGAATATCGTGAAAGCAGCAAACCGAAAAAATTCTGCGTTTATCGGAAGGGAGAATCTAGAGGACAAGGAGCGTGTTTTTTTTTGTATGACGCTTTTATATCGAGGCCAAAAGCCTATTTATAGAGTACCGACATAAGCGTGCTGTGCGAGGATCAAAAGCAAACCAAGCAAATCACATAAATAGTTCTTCACACTTCGGAAAGACAATACTTGTAATTCATGGAACAAGACGTTTTCACAAAACAAGCGAAATTCAATTTGTGTTATTTCACAAATTATTCGTTTACAAAGGGAAAGGAATGTTCTGTTTGTAAAAATTGTTGTTGACATTTGTTGTTGGACATGACCAAAGCAACCGCTCACTGACACGATCACGTTGATGAACTGAATGCAATGACTATTATGAGCTGTTTCATCACAATCTTCATCGACACGTTGATCAACACACAAGCAACAGCCAATTGTTGAATATTCAAAGATGACCACATTTTAACACAAATTAAAACATTTCCCAAGGTAAAAGGATTGAGTCTGCAGAAGAGAATAGCAGCTTGTAGAGTCATCTTCGATTTCTCAAACGATTACAGATAACAAATTCCCATTCTCTCTTAATCAAGTAATGTTAAAATTTGGTATGGATATTCAAGTTTGTAAAAACATGATAAAATGAGAGTTGGAAATGTCGAAGAGCTCACAATCATGAAAGAACTCAAAAGTACTTTGCAACTTTTGAACATCACAACAATTTAATTTTGGCCACTTTCACAAATTGCCAATCCCTCTCGCAGATTTTTCTAAAAATTTGTGCGCATCTCAAAAAAAATGCATTAAACTGCTTGTGCTTGGTGGCCCTGGCCACTTTAAAACAAAATTCGCAACTTCTCATCAGTAGTGTAGTATTTGCTCCTTCGTGATCATTGTCTTCATCACAGCAACCTAGTAATTCTCATCTATAACCTGAACGACTTTTCTTGTACATCGACTCGATTCAATAATAGTAATAATAGTAATAATAATCATCAATCATCATGGCCAAAACATCAAACAAACGTGTCAACAACAAGAGCAAAAGTACAACAAAAAAGAAACAAGCAACCAAAAACAAGAAGCAAACAACCAACGTTCGTGATCTACAATGGCTTGCGTATGATGGTAGTAATTCTTCATCATATAGAGATGTTTATCAAATCATGCCTCAAGCAAATCCAGTTGGAAGAGAGCGTATTAGGATGGCTGCTTGTTTGGCAATGTTTGCTCATTCTGCTGCTTTCTTTCTTGGTCATTCTTTAGATCCCTATTACACCAAGAGATACCAACGAGGAATCAAACTCGGTTGTTTGAATCCTGATTACTTTGTAAGATATTTTGGCAACTCTTCAGCAAGATATATCACCAAGCATCAGGTTTTGAATTTTGATAATCATACTCGTAGGATTGAATGTATTGGGTTTGCCTTCGATAATTTTGAAGATATGCCAGGATTGAATTGTGGGAAAACTTATGCTTTAAGAGGATTTGTTGCTCAAAATCCAGTTCGCGTCTTCGATCATGATATCAATCAATATGTGACAATGCATTTTGATTTTCAATATCGAATGTATTTCACAAAACTCGTCTTCTATTGTAATACTGAATCATGGATGGTCACTGTTGATTTTGATTGGACAATTGAAAGATATAACGAAATGAATGATACATGGGATTCGGTTTAATTTATTGATCACTTTCTCCTTCAAATTTTAATGGCACTATATATTTAAATAAATCACATTGAAGTTTAGTAATATCAACATTTGCAAATAGTTTTTTGAATCGACTGTGCTTGAAAACATCTTCATTAAGAAGCAGCAAATACAAATTATGTGCTGTCATATGTCTTGTTTTGTTTGACCAGCCAAAAAAAGGTTGAAGATAAGATATTTGTGAAGGCGTTAATGTGATGGTAAAATTTACATGTTCAACCATCATCTCCGATTGTCGTTTTTTCAAATAATGAACAAAAGATCGAGGATTTGAAAATAAAATATCGGAAAGCTCGCTGTTGGGTATATATAAACTTTCGAAAAACGTATCATCATCTAATGGATCATCAGGATGAAAGTAATAAATTAATTTCAGATCATACAGGTCCATGTTGAGCGTCGATTTTTTTTGCCACGTATGCAGTCACTTAAAATATTTATCGAACTTCAGTTTGGACGCACAAAAAATGACCCAACAGTCCGCACCTGAATCATCATCAAAAAAACAACCATCAATAAAACAACGTCAAGCCATCAAACAGCCTCGGAAGCAAAATAAACCATCAACACGCAAACCATTATCTGGAGGAATTAAAAAGCCACACAGATACAAACCTGGTACAGTAGCACTACGAGAAATAAGAAAATTTCAAAAAAATACGGAATGTCTAATCCCAAAAACAAATTTCAGACGACTTGTTCGTCAAATAGCATCGGATTATAAGCAAGATTTAAGATTCCAACTCAACGCTTTGAATGCTTTACAAGAAGGAGCAGAAGATTTTCTTGTTAGGATTATGCAGAATAGCAATGAATTGGCAATACATGCCAAAAGAGTTACTATCCAACAAAAAGATATCATTCTTGTTCAAAAATTGTTCAGTTATTAAAAAATGAGTTCAAACATCACCACATTCACTAACGTCAATCATTCCGACGGTTTGATTGAAATAATTTTAGGTAAATCTGTTGAAACAATTATTGTCAACAACGATTTCTATTATCGTTTTCAAGATCTCAAACACAAATATGAATCTTATTCCAAGTATTCCAAAAATAACGATGTCGTTAAAATTGGACGAAAAGGGCTTACCTATGTGTGTTTGGAGATCGCTCTAGATATTATAACAAAAGAGGACAATTATCGGTCCCATTTAATTAACTATCTCACCCAACAACAATTACAACGATTCCAAAACAATTCAGAAACGATGCAACAAACATCACAAACAAGTACTTCTTTTTCCAACATTTCACAAGACATTCCTAATGCTCCGTCTACGTCCTCTCCAACAAAAAGAAAACAAACTCTGCAAGAATTGGATAAACAAAACAAAACAAACGCAACACCATCTCTCTCTATCGCGAAGCCAAAAGTGTTGACTAAACGATCACGCAATACAGAACATGATATTAAAGAAATAACTAAAAAAAAAAAGGAAAGTAAAAGGATAAGAGAACAAGAAATTGACACCTATTTAAATAGACTGATAGAACAATATGATAAAGAAAAGAAAGATATTGTGAAAGCCAATATATCAAAAGTCAATCTAGTGGCTGCTTCAGAAACACGAGATATATATATTCAACATAACGCATTACGAAACAATTCAAATAGTTTTGATGCTGCTTCGCGACAACACTCCAAATTTTTTGATCTATTTAGCGAAATTTCCAACCTGTGTCATATCAAATTTTCTCATTTGCTGTATCATCATTTCAGAAAAAACCCAGAGGCAATTCTTTCTCTTGCACAAGCAATAAGTTCTTCCAATCACGTCTCCGATAACGAAAAAGAAACATTTAGAAAGCTAAAACAAATGTCGTTAAAACCAGTCTCTTTAACCAAACAACTGAAGGTAAAAGATGAACTATGTTGCTCCAACAAAGCTTGGAAAGAGCATATTTTTTCGTTGGGACTAAACGATATTCTTAAGGCGGATCTTAAAGACATAGAAGGACAAGTAACGAATGCCTTAGTTGAATATTTTGGAATACAACATGTATTAAAAGGATTTGTGATGAAATTGGAACCTGTGATCATTGCAGCTGTAAAAAGTCACCTGCATACCGTGTTTCTAAGAAAACAACAACAACGTCCTGTAAATGAAGAGTTACCTGATTCTTTGGTAATCAAGATGAGTATGGATGGAAGAAAATTTGACGGACTTCAGACGGTGGTTGTAACTCTTTCAGTTTTAAATCTTACAACATTTGGAACTCAAGAGCGAAGAAATGTTTTTCCTGTCGCAATGTATATTGGTAATGAACAGGAAATTATGGATTATTGTAAAAACTTTGCACAACAAGTCGAAAAGATTTCGAAAGATGGTATACAAATAACGAAAAAACAAGCAGACGCTTCGTTAAACAAAGAAAATTTCAACATGAAAGTGACTATAATATGGGTTAGCGATTTAAAATCTCTGTCTTACGTGAGCGATTTATTAGAAGGCAATATGTTTTGTTTGAGATGCGCATGCTTGAAATGTAATAGCTTAAATGGAACCTCCATGCCAAGGTTTTTAAATCACAAGTTTGGTATTGATTCATCCAAAATTTATATTTGCATTCTCCACGCAGAAGAACGTATTACGGAGCATTTGGTAAAATGGTCCCTTACAAAAGAAGAATATGAAAAATTAGTGCTTGAAAGAGTAAGAAAACTACCATGTTTTTCATCTTCCTTTACATTTCATTCGACCCAAGTTAAAAATACATCTGACGCAGAAGAAGATCCAGTATTAGAAAACGAGGACTATAAATTCATGTTGACTGGAGGAATGGTTGAAGTTATCTCACAGCATTACAAGACAATTTTTGAAAATGTTGTTACGGATGAAATGATGGAAATTTGGGATCAGTGGATTATTGTTCGTCAATGGCTTAAAATGACAAATGATGAGCGAGCAAAGAAAACAGAGGAAGAGCTTTTAGAATTTTATCAATTATTAACTAAATGGCATATCAACATTGTAGAACTACGATCAAGCGTTGGAGTGCTTCCGTATTACATACACATTATTGTGCATCATGTAAAAGAATTTTTCGATGAAATTGGTTCTCTGGTTCCTGTTTCCAATGAAGCAGTAGAAGGTTCTCATCAACATGACCATTTTATAACAGAAAGAGCAACAGCAAAAGGTAAAAAGAAATACTTTTTCGATGAATATGTGAAAGATAGTAATACTGTGTGGAACGAGATGAGTATTTATACAGAGCCAGACTTGTCTATTGATGAGTTTAACAATATATTTAAATATGAAAAACATATTCCAAGAAAAGAAGACAAAAGAGAATGGAATCAATTGTTCCAAATTTTCCAACTAATTGTGAAAAAACTTAGAGTATTATTTCTCTCTTTCAGGTCTGATGAAGATACTACATTTGAAAGAATAGAAGAAAGAAGTGGTGACAAGGTTAAGGAGAGATGGAATAGCTTCAATGATCTGAAAATCAAGGATCGAGTAATAATTGAAAGTGATCAATCAACTGCTACTAATTTACAGTCTTCTCGTTCAGAATTAGAGAAATCTAAGCTGGATCTTTATTTACAGACAAATGTTCAACAGGAAGAAATGTTTCAGGACGAAATGAGTGATTTTGAAGATGATGATGGAGATGAAGAGATGACAAATAATGAACAGCTATTCGATGAACTAAGTGATTATGAAGACGGTGATGAAGAGATGGAGTTTGGAGAGGAAACTAGTATTCCTGACGACATAGTGGATTTTATTTTTTGACCGTCTAATTTGAAAAGGTAGAGAGTTGAGAAAATTTGCTGTTGAGCTTTGGAAATTCGACGGTCAAAATAAAGAGCCGGTTTTAATGAACGTTCAAAATTTAAAAATAAAAAAATATTTTTAAAACCTTGGAAATTCCACTTCCAAATTCTGGAAGCGCATGAATTGGCAATTTCGGGTCCTAAATTGTTGTGATTGATTTTTAGTGTTTTTCTTGGTTGACAATGAAACCAAAATTCTGGCGCCACAAATTTCAGGTGGTGAAATGGATTGTATACGAAGTGTCTTAAACAAAAGCTCAAATATTTCTCTTGCCATTTTACATCGTTCAGTGAGCCGTTTGTTATGGTAATGGCTGAAAGTAGAAGGGTATGGGATTCTTTCATGGATTTCAAAGCTGTAGATTTCTTGTGGAATCTACAGTTAAAACCTAAAGGTATTAAGGGTGATCGGCAACGCTACAGGCTCTGGTTTGTAACACACAGGTAAAGAGCGACAATAACGGACATCGTTTTAACCTTTATCTTTTGGAGACATTAAAAAGTTGAAATTCATGATAAATAAAGAGTAGATTGACCTTGGGGCCAAGGTCGGAAAAGGAAATGTTGTTCAGTACATATTCAACACCAAAGAAAACGAAACAATACAATGTTGACATTATTTAAAATCAGTCTAGTGTAACCCATGGAGGACATGGAACGCTCCTAGAGCCGAATTAGACTCTCGTCGCCCGTTTGGATAGCATTGTATTGGTTCATACAAAAAAATGCAAGAAGTGTTATCGAGAGAAGTGCTCTCTAGAAATAATGAACATTCTGCGGATAGAGATACTATTCGGAAAAAGGCTTTGATTAGAATTACAATTTCGACTTCGTTATCAATAATTTGTTGTTTGCTGTTGATGATAACAATTGCTATCGGAGCACTATTTTTATATATTTTCGGAACAGCATCACTACAGGCCCGTAACTCGATTGATGAGCCTATTTTGAGTGATGCAATTTCATGTACAGTAAAATCTAGAGAATTTAACTGTACTGATGAGAGTTTAGACGAATTGCTAGAGGCAAAGGAGTCATGGACTTTCGGAGACTTTTTTGATAAATTGTTTACTTTGAAAGTTGTACTTGATGAGGACGATGAACAACACCAGATTTTCTTTAATGGAACCATCATTGATGCAGAAAAAGTCAAGCTGAAAATATGCCATGCCAGAGTTAATTATACAATTGACGGCAATCAACAAACGGAAGAAACCGTGGACACATTTATTTATGAATACAGTATTGAAGACGGAGAGGATACCATTTTCACAGAAGGAGATGAGAAGTTATTCACTAAAAACTCAACCTCTTCAGTCAGTGTAATTCCACCAAATTATTTAATGTTTTCACAAGAAGGTGACACAAGAACATGTTACATCCACCCTCTTTATCGAAATTTAATTGGATTTAGTGAAAGAACGATAGATTACTATTATCCTGGACGGTCATCTCTGACTTCTGCATGTGGATACATTGCATTAGCATTTATGATTGTCAGTGGAGGTGTTTGTGCATTTCTAGTCATTCCATTAACAGTCTTTTCTGTTCACAAGTGTATCTCATATAAACGAGATGTAGAAACTATGGAGCACATGGAAATGAACGACCAAGAAAGTGAAGCAAGCGATAGTGGTAGTCAAGTTTCTGACGATGGACGGCGATACTTTTAAAAGCCAAATGAAATATTATTTTCAGGTTGTAATTTTTATTGCACCCAATCCACCAAAAAAAATGTTTGCACACAAATTCCTCATCCTGTTCATGATTTTCATAATTTCTGCATCGAGTATTCATGCTTCTCTCCGAAAGCTTTCGGAACAAGAAGTTAAAGATTTGGTTCAAAGTATACAATCATCACCTTCGTCTGTGGAGTCATCAACCGGAAGCGATCATCCAAGCAAAGTTCTTGGTTTTGTAACTCCATGGAATTCTGGAGGCTATGACGTTGCAAAGAGAAATAATCACAATATTAAATACATCAGTCCAGTGTGGCTACAATTAAGGCCATCACAAAGCAGGAACGCTTTTGAAATTACAGGTCTTCAAGATATTGATATGAAGTGGATGAAGGATGTCAAGAAAAATAATGTCGGAGGTAAATAAGCCTGTCAATAATGATTCGAAAAATTATTCATAATAATTGGTGCATTTACTGAAATGGAAATGATCATAGCTAAATTATTACCACGAATTCAGTTCGATTATGGACATTGGACTAAGGAACATATGCAAATGTTTTATGGACATCCAACATTCTCAAAACAAGTCCATCAACCAGTAGTGGATAGAATCGGACAACTGGTTCGTGCCTATGACTTGGATGGCATTGTGTTGGAAGTTGGTTTTTTACAATTTGAGCACATCAAGCATATCATGGTTCCTTTCTTGAAAGCCCTTAAAGAAAAATTAAGTGGAATCCAAAAGACGTCAACCTTTGAGATTTATTTGGTTGTTCCTTCAGTGCTGCCAAATCCAGACAATCCAAACATTCCCAATGCTCTATTTGAAAGAGACCATTTGAGTTTGGTTTCACCTTATGTGGATGGATTTTTAGTAATGACCTACGACTATTTCTCAAACAAGAGATCCAAAAATCAATCGACACAATATGTGTTCAATTCACCTCTGAAAGGATTTATTGATTACACTATAGATTATTTTACAGAGGGTGGAAAACGAAACGATATCGCCAACAAGATACTACTCGGTTTGAACTTTTATGGAGTTGTAATTAGCACACAGCATTTAAGCTCGAAAAAGTTGTTGTCTCAGCTTGTCGAAGAACAGAAGAATGCAAATTCAGAGGACCTTATTTCCAATTGGATCAAAACATATTCTTCTCCAAAATTTGACTTTACCACTGGTGGAAAATTCAAAGATCATCTCAACTTTTATTATCTTCAAAGCGTGTTATTTGATCCAGACGCTCAAGAATATTTATTTGAATTTGTTGAAGGCGACCAATTGCTTCTTGTTGTGTTCCCAACTCCACAAACCATCCAAACAAGAGTTCAGTTTGCCAAACAACACAATCTAGGAGGTGTGATGATTTGGGAACTGGGTCAAGGTCTTGATTCCTTCTACCATTCGTTCTAAGCGTAACTTTGACAGAAACGAGATGTGCCATAGTAAACAACGCCTTGTTGTTGGTGTGAAAAATCTGAGAAAAAATCATCCACACAGAATTGCGTCAGACTTTTTGACAAGCTCCGACCACCAACACCGAAGTGATTCTGTATGCTTCAATCCACATTCTAATCTCCGTTCGATATAAATACTGTGAATTGATCCAAAGAAAAAATGTTATCTGAACGATTGCAAACTGTTAAAATTGCAATCAAGAATATTTTCCAGACATCCCTGACCACATCGGAAATTAATGATGATTCGAAAGGATCACTCGCGTTGTGGTAAGTCTTTTATCAAATCAAATTGTCGTCAACGTGAATTGTGTCATTATTGCCATAATCTTCATCAATTTTCTATTATTCTAAAAAACCACAACATGATGATGAACGACATTCGGACCACATTCCCAGTGAATCCATCTATAAATTACTTTCTGATGGTTTATTTCTGAGTTATAACTTGCAAGACATTTTCCGATATATTCACACAAATTTGGCACACTTGACTGCGAACAAAAGTTTCACAATGGACGCGATGGATTTAAAACAAAAAATCAAACAATTACAAAATATACCTACCCGAGATGAATCTTCTGTTAAATTTATTCTGAATGAGAAATTAATTGTGGATTTGATTGAATTGATGACTGTCATTCCGAAAGAGTAAGTTTCAAGAATGAATGAAAATACATGTTGTGAAATTATTAGAAAGTTTTATAATGAAAAGGTGAATGATTTATTATTTAAGGACGAAGAAATGGTATTTCTAAAGAGTTTAGTGACACCATTGTTGACTATTAATTTTCGATTGTAAGTTTTGAATTCCATTTTCACTTCTTTTGATTCCACACATTTCACACAGCCAAATGCCAAACCTCGAAGAGGATGATATTGTTGTGACCTCGACTAGAAAAAAGAAGAAGAAAAAGAAGGACAAGAAAACAATTTCAACAAAGAATTTAGAAAAATCATCGACGACAACCACAGACACGACAGAGGAGACCAGTAGTACTCCAACAAGTGAAAAAAGTTTTTCAGGATCACCGATCACTCCAGCTGTAACGACACCTCACATTGAGAAACGTTCCAATAATCCAATTGAAAATGTCGTTTCTACTATTGAGGCAACATCCATCAAACAAAATGTGACAAAACAAGGAGACCTTACTCCTCTTTCTACTCAATCTTCCTTGACGTCATTAACAGTTGCTGAAGAACCTGTAGATTTACTTGAAGATTTCAATCCCTATGAAGGAATGACGAAACATCAAGCTCTTGAACATATGCCCGAAAATTTGAAAAGAGAAGAAGCGGAATCACCAATCTCGTCATTGAACACGCAAGAGAAAGAAATTATGACATTAATGGATGAGAAACAATCTGCAGATTCGAGTCGTACTGAAATCATCGAATCTCCAATGAATGCAGAATATTCTAACACAACACTGTCACCGCATGTTTCGACCACTACTGAAATTACTGAACCCACAACCATTATTTCATCTGTGGTATCATTGGAAACTCAAACTTTGACGCCTCAGACGGAAAATAGTACAAGAGTAGAAGATCAGGAATTGAATGAAAAAGCACCTCTCGAAAAAGATGTTTCTGTGAGTGACACCAAAGAAGAATCAAATATTGAGAAAATTAATGAACAAGCTCAAACTTGTGAGGAAAAAGAAGAGGGAACGACGACTTTTGAATCGTTTAAAATTCCAGAAGAACAAGTTTCTGAAAAATCAACTCAAAATTCAACAGATATCCAAACCATCATCACTGCACCTCCACAAGATGCAGAACATCAATTCAATACCAACTCTACACATCATCATTCATTTATCTCATCAGAAATTTCTGAACAATTGAAACACATTCTATCCTTATTAATGAATCACAAATACTCATCGATTCATTTCAACACACCCGTCGATGACAAGGTTGCAGAATTTTCAGATTACTACAAATTTACCAAAAAACCAATGGATTTCAACACCATCAAAACCAAGTTAGAATCTCACAAGTACAAAACCGTTGATGAATTTATCAGAGATGTTCAACTTGTTTTCAACAATACATTTATGTATCATTTAGAATCAGCTCCACAAGTGAAAATGGCTCACGTACTTTCCGATATTTTCGAAAGAGAGCTTGACCTTGCAATACCGTCCTGGAGAAGTCTCGATCTTTCTCCACAGATGGAAGCTAATTCACACAGTGAAGATGACTTTGATCGTTGTGACTCTGAACATTCGAATGAAGGAACTTTGGAAGCGTATTTCACACCAAAATCCACAACAACCAAAGATCATTGTGATTTTTTCCCAACTCCTCCTACGTATCGTCTTGAACAAGCAGAAATTGAACCTCAAGTGCAGCAACCACAAGCTTCCAATATTTCAATGCATTCATTATCTATGGCCAAAGCAGTTGCTGGGTCGAATCAAGAAAATTCTCTTCCTTTGAACCGTGTCGATTTTGAAGTAGATTCTCTTCTCAAAGATACTGTGACCAATGATTCGGATGATGATGATTCTGATACCTTGAGTGAATTTGAAGAAGATGCTAAAGAAATTGACTCGTGTGAAGAAGACAATCAAGATAGGACGACCATTACTACAACGGAAACGACACAACAACACACAACGAGTGCAACGACTATGGATCTATTAAGGCCAATTTCTACCATTCAATTCTCAGACGATTCTGTGTGTAAAATGTTAACAGCCTCAGAAATGTATTCATTTTTCTCAAGTTATTTGGATCACATGTTGAAAACGAATGAATTGAATATTGCTCTAAAAGTTAAAAAGGATCGATATGAGAATATGCTTGAAAGAATTCCCCATGTTAAGAATCGAGATTTTATTCTTGAAGATTCACTTCCACCCACTACCGTCTTGATGAATCTTTCCATATTAGGAGAAAAATTAAGATATCATGAAGATCGACTCAAATTGAAACAAGTTCAACTCATGAAGGAATACGAACGACAAGTACAAGCCATTCAAAAGAAAGAATTAGAATTTGAGGAATTACAAAAACAATTGCATGAAAAGGAACAAGCATGGCTGTTAGAAAAATCACAACTTTTAACACGTGTCACACAACTCGAACAATTACTCGTAGAGAAGAACACAGAAATTGAAGAATTGAAAAATGTACCACTCCTAATACCACCTTCTTCTTCACTGCAACCTCAACAACCAATAGCTCAAGAAGAACGCATCGATCGTCAAATTGATATGGATGAATTTATTTTAATTGAAAAAGTTGTTGTATTGCCTTCATCTCAATCGTCAGCAGATGTTACTACTTTAAAGACAACAACAACAACAGGTCAGAAATCAATACCATCCACACCAATGAGTGGCTGTCATCAAGATGATATTCATTTCATGGGAGGTTCCAATGAAGACATCTTGGATGATGAAGCACTCACAGAAGATGAAATGAGTGAAGTGAGTTCTGTGGTAAATGTTGATGCTATGGATCAGCAACAACTCATTCTTGAAGAGGAAGATTGTATTCGATTGTCACCTTATCAAAAACAAGATCAAACCAAACAAATTCAACAACAAGATGGAAAATGTCCATGTGGAAGAGAATTGGCAAAGGATTATGGATTTCTTCGTAAGCCAAGATATTGTCATTATACCAACAAGTATTACTGCATGAAGTGTCACTCGAATTCGTTTAATGAGATCATTCCTGCAAAGATATTATTTAATTGGGACTTTAAGCCCTATCGAGTGTGTGATGAAGCTTCTAAATATCTCAAAAGTATTTACAATCAACCAATTATTTGTGTGAGTGCTGTGAAACCAACACTCTTTGATGAAAATGAAAATTTGGGAATGGCAAGGATGATTAGAAAAAGACTTATTATTCAATGGGAATACATTTCGAGATGTCCGTTGAAAGATAATCTCATTACACAACACAAATTGAAACACAAATTACACTATGTGACAGATACGGAAATGTACAGCGTCAAAAATCTTTGTGAGCTCAATGGAAAGCAGAACGAGGCACCATTTTTGAAAAAGCTCTCTCGTTTGTTTCATGTATTCAGTGACCATATTGTGAATCAGTGTGGTTTTTGTAAAACCAAAGCGAAGAGTTTGTGCCCAAATTGTAAGAATGACACTCCAATTTACGAGTTCAACATTAGTCAAGTGATCAAATGTCCAAGCTGTAAGCTTGTCTTTCACAAATCATGCTTTGTGAATAAGAAGGGAGTTGTGGCGTGTCCAGTGTGCAGCAACGATGATGAGTAATTTCACTAATAAGTTTTAATATTAAAAAGTTAAATAATTTATTTCGCAAGGGAACTAGTGTGTTTTTACAATAGCTCTATTGATTGATGTACATGTTGGGATCTTGAATCGAGTTAAATCTTCCAATACACAAGCCGCACATGACAAACATGACTGGAATGTACAATTGAGGTAAAACGTTAAACCACAAATGCAGATTATCAGAGATGGTATTCGAGCCCAATACACTTAATTCTCTAACATAAATTTGTGGAATTTCTAAAAAGACATTCTGCATCAGAAACACAACACAATACACCAACACCATGACAGCCATCACTGAGAGGAGTCTTGCTGCTTGTCTTGTCTTGAGTGAAACTTGTTCTTCAGTTTCATTAAAATCCACATCGACATGATCCACCACATGTTTGTATTCATTTTTCATTCTCGAGCTTAATACGAGTAGAAATATGGAGCAAATTCCTAAAATCAGCACGTGTGATAAATTCGTTGACCAATGAGCTGTTTCTACAATATTCACAGAAACAAAATTACAAAATAAATGCATGATGAAAATCAAAGGTGTGACCAAATATCCAAAACAACATCCAAACACTCCCAAAAACACCAACACGGAAACGAAAAAAGAAAACCACTTTCCATGATATTTCATCACCGATACTTTACATGCCTTTCGAATTCCTTCAAAAACTAATTCCAAAACAAACAATGTGAAACACACTTGAAATAAATAATCTAAAATGACAAGTGCAATTGATCCAGACCAATACACCATTTGATATTTATCCTGAACGTACATCCATCCATACCAAATAAATGTTGCCATCTCGAGTATTTGCAACGAGAGTGCAATCATTCCGATCCGAGCTAATTTTAAAGTTGATGAAACATGAAGAGCCATCATGAAAGTATTATTTAATTGATTTTTGTTTCCTTTGGATCGGATGATGATCCAATAGAGGATGAAACATGCTATCAGTATTAATAAGAGAAATCCAAAAACGGAGGTGTAAGTGGTGAGAATGTAGAGTGAGAGGGAAGTCGGGAGATAATGAGACATTTTTTTTGTTGTTCTTGTGGAACGCGTCGGAGGACATCGGAGTGGAGGTTGTGAAATGGTTCAGAAAGTTGTCTTTAGTTGCAATAAGTTATTTAATCATAAAATTACGAAATTATTTCGTGCAAGCATCAATGTAAGAGAGTGTTTCTTCCAGTTGCGTTCTTCTCATATCGTCATTCCATTGATGATAATCTCCCATAATTTCCACAATTCTTTTGGCTACTTGTTTGGATTCATTTCGATCGACAAACATGAGACTGAGTCTGTAGGCAATGATATCAGAGGGTTTCACTGCCATTTCATGCTTGGCTTGATATAAAACTTCACCCTCAATATAGGGATATTTGGATGAGAGACGTTGAGTGAGACCATTCTTTTCAGAAATTTCAACAATATATGGAGCTCTGTCTCCATAAAAATGTTTCAAATGTTCCCATGAATCATCACTCACATTTGCTGAAGGACTTTGTTTGATGTTCTTTATGGCTTCCCATTGATAAGAGGCACCAATTAGAGGTGTATAATAAGTTCTTGAAATAGGTTTGGCTAACAATCCAACTAAATCTGGGCGCACTGAAATGACAGTGTCAATGGTGTCCTTAAGAATACACATACAAATAGAGTCGATTCTATCCATTGTAGTCAGTCAATTCAACTTACCTCTCCAATTTTCCTAAAACTCGTCCATTTTCCACCTGCAACAGTGATCAAATTACTCGAACTTGTTTCAATATGATGGTCTCTGGAAAGAGTTTTTGTTGATTCAAAGGCAACAGCTACTGGCTTAACAAGTGGTCGAATTCCTGTCCAACTTGAAGTGATATCTGCTGTAGAAAGAGGAACAGTCAAACATGTTCTCATGGTACTAAGTATAAATTCAATGTCAGTACTTGTTGGAGTTGGTCTTTCTGTTAATGTGGTTGGTGTGTCAGTCGTACCTGCAATTAATTTTCCTTCCCATGGCACTAAATACAGCACTCTTCCGTCTGATGTTTTTGGAAATAGTACGCCCATCTTTTTTCCAATTCCTGATGTGAATTTATCGAGATCCAAGGTGATGTGTGTTCCTGTTGATGGAGAAATTATGGGAATACAATTAGGATCGTCCATTTTCCTTAACTGATCAACAAATGGTCCAGTTGCATTAACAACACATTTGCCCTTGATTGAGTATTCTTTTCCATTAATTCTGTCTCTCACTTTTACACCAACAATTTTCTTATTTTCATCTGACTTAATCAAATCAACAACATCCATATAGTTCAATGTTAAAGCGCCCAAAGCATTTGCTGTGAGAATTGTACTAATATTCACTCTCGAGTCGTTAAACACTCCGTCAACATATGACATACATCCATAAAGGCCTTCCTTTTTGAGGCTTGGCCACAATTGTAATGATGCTGCCTTTGAAACCCATCCAGAATAACCAAGTCTTGCTTCAGATCCACTCAACAAATCATACAACGTCAATCCTATATACATTCTTAGAGAGTCGTATAATGAATAACAAGGCGTCAATAATTTTAGTGGAGATGATAAATGTGGTGCCACTTGAAAGAAATGCTTTCTTTCCCTCAAACATTCATAAACTAGCATTAGTTCGTTCCAATCCAAGTTCATGACAGCTTTCTCCAAGTATCTTACACCTCCATGTGCCATCTTGGTGGCACGTGACGACGTTCCGCTTGCAAAATCATTTCTCTCCAAAACCACCACCCTCATTCCTCGCGTGCAAGCGTCAAGAGCAGCAGAAGCTCCAACAGAGCCTCCGCCCACAATAATCACATCAAATTCATTTTCTGGTGATTGATTTTCCAGTATTTTCATATTCTCTGCTCTGTCTGTGTGCAGAATGACTTGACCGTCGGAATCTCTTGGTAAGCCTAATTGTTCCGTGGCTTGATGCTCAAACAAGGCTTTTCTGTCAAACGCTTTTAATAAGCTATTACCGCTCTCTTCATACAAATTATGCTTGCTCTTGAGTATGGCGTTAACGGAAAACAAGCCACCTCCCAAAATTGCTGTGGCGAACAGGAGATTGCGAGGACGGAAAATTTGTTTCATTTTTTAATTTTGGATTTAATTGAAATTTATTATTAAATAAAAGCAAGTCACTACTTTGATATTAAATATGAATTTCTACTTTATGTTACGTTAGGCTCAAATATGGTTATGTTGTTTAAGCATCATATCCACAGCTTGCTCAACTTGAGACCATCCATCCACTCGAACAATCCAATGGGAATCTAAGGGTTCCCGATTTACATTCCAGGCATAATTTCCAAATAAAATTGCAGGAATTTTCTCATCAACACATTGTTGACAATATTTGAGAGAGTCATCAATCAATAATACAGCATTCAATTGGCGACACATTTCAGGTTTGGTCATTTGAGTTTGTCCCGTTTCTCCATAGTGATTTCCCATTAAAATTTCAGCAAAAGTATTAGGGAAATATTTCTGTAGAAATAATTGTGTTTGTTCCTTTAGTTTGTGTTGTCGAGATGTAACAATGACAAGTTTGTATTTTGCAGATAATTTTTGGAGTACATCAAAAGCATTCTCTTCCAAAATTGATTGTCCTAAAAACAATTCACTTTGAAGAAATTCATCGACAATTTGTTTGGATCGTTCTTCACTACCATCCCACACATCTCGGAAATGATATGAATGAAACATTTTCATGTGCAGCGGTTGTTGTCCCTCCAATAAATGATGTTTGTTATAAAATTCAATAAGTAACGGAACAAAAGGGGTGAGCACTTCATCGATATCCACAGCGATGATAGGCTTGTTGCTGGAATCGAGAGCTTCGGAGAGAACTACCGTCTCGGCAGTAGGATGATGAGGCGAGGATGTTGAAGCCATTTTTTGAGCATGACGATTGAACTTTCATTGTTAGAAGCTTCTGTTCATGGATAAAAATGATTTCATTCAACACCTAGATAGAGGATTGAAATACATTGTATTTATTGAGAAGGACAGTATTTTTTCACAAAGGACTCACTGCATAATAAATAAAAAGCTTTTTCATGCTATTTACAAATGTTTTTGCAATTGCAGAGCTATGTATCTAGAGAGGACAAATCTTTTTGAATGCAGAAGAGTCCAAATTTTTCTTGATCACATTTTGTACAATATCATCCAGCTTGAAAGTTCCAATAACACTGTCGTTATGTACAGCATAGAAAATTCCTAGAGTTTCATCTATTGTAACACCATCTGTTTTAGAGACAACATTGCCCATGAACGATGCAACATAGCATAAATTGTCTCTTCTTACAATATGGAATTTGGTTCTCTTATCTAATTGGTCTGTAAAAATGTAAAAGCCTGTTTTCACATTTCTTGCTGGATGTGAAGTTTGGCATGAAAAGATGACAAATCCCTCAGGCTCTCCCTCAAAAAAGAAGCTCTTTGGGCATTTAGTTTTGTCTGAAGGTGCAGGAGTGGATGTCATTCCCAATGTCTCTCCAGAGAAGTCATGTGATTTGAAATTATAAATCTTGACATTCAGTTCATGCTCATCAGCGATAAGCAGTCTGTTGTATGCCTCATCGATCACAATGGTTTCTACAATATTCAGAGTACCAGAAGAAGGTCCAACATCTTCCGTAATGCTTCCAATCTTTTTGGAGTAAGATGCCTCAAACGTTATTTGTGTAGCTTCTTTTTTGGTCACTGCGACTTCAAATAATTGAACTCTTTTGTCTAGTAAATGCTGTGGAGGCACTATTTTGTGTTTTCCCCTCTCATCTTGCAACATATAATTGTCTGTCACAAATACATGATAATGTTCAGTATTTGGGCCTAGACTCTTTTCTGTTTTTACAATATCCAAAGCGTATGGTCGTTGAAGAATTTCACTTCCAAATGAATATAGTATCTTAAAGTCGTTTTCAATATCGACAATGCATACTCTCTTTCCATCTCGTTCTGTAACAAATAAATAATCCTTGTTGAATATCTTGTGAAGGGTAATGCCATTTGGTCTATTTGCCTCATAATCTCCAGTTTTAAGGTGTTTCGTAAATAAATATTCACCAGTCTTTGCATCGAAAACAAACAATGAATTTGTAGCCTTTGCGGTAGTAATAAGCCACTGATGATTCAGCACAACAAGAGAATCAATATTATCTCGTCGTTGGCTTCCTTCAGATCCGGTTACAAACAACTCGGGAACTACCACCATACTTAATTTCTTCTCCACCACATCCTTCTTATTTTGAGATCTCAACCAAAAGGCGACAACCACTACTGAAACCATTATCAACAAACTCAAAATTCTATTGACCAAATCGGACTGTTCTTGTTGATCGGTGCCATTAGAAATAGCTCTTTTTGAATCTGTTTTCGTAGTATCATTGCCTGATGAACTAGTTGATGTATCTGATGAAGTCTTTTGTTCAAGGCTCCTCTTCTCATCGGAGTTAGAGGTCTCCTCTGTTGAAGAGTTGTTGTCTTGAGCGTGTTCTTCTTTCATTTTTTAAAGTTTACGCAAAAACAGCAACACGTGTCATGAGTTAAAAACGTGGTTAACTTTTATGCAACATTTCATGCACACAAACATACAACGACTTTTATGTGTACAGGTATGAATTGGAAACGGATTATTGATCTTGATATTGCTGTCAGATGGTGCGTAGGGAGGATTCGTTTGCCATCCATGGGCATAAGGGATTCTTACTGAAATAAACCAGAAACAAAGCAATGGAATGGATATTACCACGAGAGCCTAATTTCAGAAATCAATGATAATTGCACGAATTGTTTTAGACACAGAAGGAAATACTACAAAGGTGAAGCAATGAAACGATACTTGATGTTGAACAATTTATATAAATTAATACTGTTACCTTATTCGTTCATTCATTCGGGTTGGTTAATTCAAGGAATCTGTGATAGCCAACTATTGAAGGGAAACAGTTGAGATGTATTTGATGTAAGGATGACGTGCGAATATCAAATAGTAATAGTAGTACCACCAAATTACCATTCAAGCGCTTGCCAAGTTGATCATCAAGGACACTCTTTCTTTGTTTCTTAAAGGACAATACAAAGATTACAAATAAAATTGTTGCTTAAATGATATAATATTCATGAACATACAGGTTTTACAACATAAGATTTAATACAAAGATTACAAATAAAAATAATTTAAATCAAATTAAATGAATATTAATAAATATTCTTGTATCATACTCAGAACATTGATCATCCTTCTCACTAATCATTAAACTTTAAAACAATTTAGCAGCCTTGGCATAGAAGAACGTTAAAGCTCCACTCACTCCGGCAACCAACACATAAAGGAATGTACCACCACTCATCAAACCAATCAAACTCACTCCAAAGACCAAAGCGTTGAAGAGGGTCATGACTCTCAAAACATCATTCTGAGCATCGGTAGGCCATGAAACACTCATATAATTTAAAACCAACAAAGCCAATGAGAAGGCTCCACTCAATCGAACAAATTCATCAACCACCCGAACGGCATCATAACTGTTGGATGCAGTGATGGAGAGTGAACTTGCGAACAAGAAACGAAGAATACCTGGAACGAGTAATGCCAAGAGAGTCCAGAAAGCGAGTAAGCCTAATGAGAGAACACGCAGATCATCCGATGTGAGGTTGGTTTTCTTCTCTTTGAGATTACGGACGAGTTTTTGGGCATCTTCTTTGATGCGATCGAGATTTTGTTTAATGTTCTTTTGAACATTTTCAACTGTTGCAGATGCTGTTTCAGACATGATGATGATCGTTCGGTTGTGTAATTATAATTGATGATGACTATGAGATGTGTTGTGGTGGTAATTTATTGCAAATCAAAAGGATTGGTTAGAACACTCTTCACACGGATTGATGAGTGACAGACAGTGGTTTTTTTTGAAAGTCTAAATTGGGACTGGCAACAATCGAAGTTAGACAAGCTGACTATTGGAAAGCAAAAAGGCAGAGATAAGACAAAGAATTTCAATGTTTGTATTCTTTATTTGCAGGTGGTGTAAAACGATCACTTCTTTGTCCACAGCAGAAATTCAATAAGCTCTCGGTCACATTCGTGTGATTTGGTTTGAGTTATGTCACGCTCTCTTGTGGAATATTATTCATTCCCTGCAATTCAGCCTTATTTGTCAGCTTTCTTTAGACATTTTATGAGTACTTGATAGAATGCTTTAGGATCATGACCATCGAAAGTGTCATACGTTTCGGGTTTGCTGACATGCAACAACTTGGCATCATTGTTCTCAAGTAAGATGAAACGTTGAGGCCAAACAGCAAACATCTTTTCAAATCCGTCCTCAATGCCATCCACTGCAGTAGGAATATGATAGTCCATGCCATTCATCATTTGTTTCGTTGCATCCAATCGTTCCTCAATGGTCTTGTGTTGCTCAATGCAAATCCTGTCTCCCAATTTCCACTCGTCGCATGCATGGGCTTCTCGAATGTAAATCGTTAAGAAAAATACACGAGATTTGAACATCTCCACCATGCTATGAAGATAGTCTCGGTATTTTCTAAACGGTGGTCAGGAATAACTGGCTCCAATGAGTGCTACTGGTAAATTATTGGGATTTCTCTTGTTCAACAATTCACTGAGTGTGGTTGTGTACGTGAGAGACAACTCTTGGGAACGAGTCTTTTCCAACGTCAAATGATCATTGGCTCCATCTCTATTGCTATAGAAATCCATCAAATCAACGACCTTAATACCACTCAAATCCAAGTGAGTGTTCAATTCAAGAGAGCATGCTCTCGAAATATCATATTTAAAGTAGTACGTGAGAGTATTCACTTCGGGATCATCTTTGAATCTACCTCGCAAGTTCCGATAAGCATTCATGAAATCATTGAAATAGGAATCTACAGCCAGGTTTGAGTTTCTTCTTCGTCCCAATACATTCGCCACTGCTTCTTCTTGTAATTGCACTGTAATTTGTTCTAATTGATCGAGATCATCATCAGCTTCAGTGAAGGCTTTTTGAATGCGAGGCTCTCTCCTAAGACGTTGTTCTTCTTTCAAGAGCAGTATGGCCGTTTCCTTTTCAATGGTTTGAGAGGTGGTTGATTGGAGCAAAGTGTTACCTCTCTTACCAGAGGTGTAATGAAACATAAACATTTCCGATTAGAATTGAAGCGTGAAAGTAAAGAAATATGGCATGAACACACATGCACGCGATGAGAGGCGTGTGTGTATTGTTGATTCGACGCTTTTGTTTTATTGAAACTTCTCTAGATGCAATTCTTTCAGGGGTTGTTGGTTCATATTTTGTAAACAGTTCACTCTGATTTTACAGAGCCCATGACAACAACAGCATTGGTTAACTTTACAAAAACCATCCACAATTCTGAGAATGAGAAAATCTTCTTCTCCGCTTCATATAATCTTCCAATTCAACTTTCAAAACAATCATCATAAAAAGAATGTTCCACGTGCGAGCCACACGGGACATGGTACAACAACAACAACCAACACAGTTATCATCATCCTTCTTGCTGCTGATCACACTATTCTTTGTTGGACTCATCCTTTCACCATGCACAGCCGAAATTCATCCAAATTCCATTCATGTAGTCGATTCCTCACCTCCTTCCGATAACCTTCACCTCCAAAAGGATCCAACGTCTAGATGGCATAAGAAGCCATCCATTGCTGAAACGATGGGAATGAATCCATTTCAAATCATGATGTTCGCCTCTCCCGAGAATCAGGATTCATCATCTTCTCCGAGTCGTACGGATTCACTCAACTCAATGATGAGAAGTTATTATCAAAACAATGAGAATGCCAAAGTAGACTCATCATCATCAAGTACGACAGCAAACTCCAAAGGTAAAGGCTATCCGTTAATTCTCGTCGGTGGACTTGGTGGAGTAGTTTTAATGTCAAAACGTGATCATGCTTCGGAACCTCATTGGTGGTGTCAACACACGACAGATCCATTTCAAATTTGGATTTCCATCGAAGAGCTTGTTCCATACTTGAGTGAGGACTGTTTCATGCACGACCTGTCGCTTGAATTGAAAGAAGGAGAAAGTCCATACGATCGTAAAAAGTTACTGAGACAGCTCGATCCTCATGTGAAAATATTTGGAAAAGATTATGGTGGTGTGGAAAGCGTGACTCACTTGGTGAAAGAAGCAGGCTCTCAAAGTGGGTACATGATCAAACTTATTAACTTTTTAACCAGTAATGGATATGAAATTGGAAAATCATTAAGGGCAATGCCTTACGACTGGAGATTAGGTGTTGCTGAATGGAGTGCACCAAATAGTTCAACCACTGGAGGAGATTATCATGCATTTCAAAAATTAATTGAAGAAACGTATGCATTGAATGGAAATGTACCAGTTTCTCTACTGGGCCATTCAATGGGAGGACCGTTTGTTCAATACTTTTTAGCAAATTATGTCTCACAAACATGGAAAGACAAGTTTATTTCACACTATATACCTTTTGCTGGAGCGTTTGATGGTGCTCCCATTGCATTGCCATTGGCCTTGGCAGGATCTAATTATGGAGTTCCAACATTCTCTCAAACGATCGCCAAGAAATTGACTCAACAATTCGGAGGACCAAATTTTATGATACCAATCATGTCTCAACATTTCGATTATCCAATATTTACATATCTTTCTCCAAATGGTACACGTCAAGACTATTATGCAACTCCCTCAAGTGTACAACAGCTCTATAAGGACGCTAACATGGAGAAAACGTGGGATGTATTCGAACATGAATATTCTGAATATGCAAGTGTGAAATTTAGAGCTCCAAACGTTTCCACACATTGTGTGTATGGATATGGTGTGAAATCATTGGCTCATTTACAATATTCAGGACAAAAGCCATTAAGCGAAATACTTTTCGATGATATTTTACACCACAGTGAAGCCCTTAAAATCGATGACGGAGATGGAACTGTTCCTTTGTATTCACTTGCCATTTGTGATGATTTTGCAAAGCAACAACAACAGCCAGTCATGGTCCATCGATTTTTCAATGTGACTCACCTGACAGTGGTAACAGATGACAAGGTATTACAAACCTTGTTGGATATTTTGAATACCCCCATTGCGTAAGACATGATTTAACTTATATGAATATCCTTAGTAATTTAGATTTCCATAAAAGGTTTAATTTATGAATTCACATTCAATCTCTGGGAGGTCTTGTGCGACACAGACATCCCAACTGACATCCATGATGATCGGTCAAATAACCAAAGCGACAAGGTCTTTCACAATGAATGCTCTTACAAGGTCTTTGTTTACATCTACAAAGGGGACATCCATGTCGATCTCTTTCAAAGCCATAACGACAATACATTCTGCATGCAGGACGACATCTGTGTCGAGATCGTTGTGCCTCTACATGATTCGAACGGCAACATGTAAACAACATGATGAAGATGAAAACAGAGAGTGTAAAGATGAGACTAAACACAGAAATGAAACCAAGTTTCTTGAGCATGATTAAGAGCGTGAGATTGTTTTTTGTGATGTCGCGTGGAATTGTTGCAACAGATCTTTCTTGCTTTGGTTTTTAACAGTTTTGGAATGGAACAACCACGGAAGGAAAACTGGCAAACCGTGAAAAAGGAAATGCACTCGATTTGAAAGACCATTTATGCGTTTGTTTCCATACAAAAATTAGTATTTGACACCACAAGTTCGCATCATTGTTCTTTGAGGGTTGAACAACGTTGAAAAAAAAAGAGAAAATGATTTCAGCCTCAAAGTTTTTAGAAACGATTGTAATTGCAGCGTTTACAGCTTTAAACAAGTAACATCCTCACGACATAAGCTTGAACTCTCAAACTCATGTTGTAAATCATTGAAGGGTTTCCTAATCCAATGAATCATTTCCAGCAAAGTGAGTGTTCTGTACTGGAGGTTCTACTAGTAGGCGCATTTTCGCATCGTTCTACACACATTTCATGATTCGCGAAAATTGAAACCGCACATCCTGAAACAAAAATCTCAATCAGTGTTCGCTCCGCTACTATATATTCACAAGAACAACAATAACTCTTTGTTATTATTTTGAAACGCTTCATTTACTGATGATGAATACATTCAAATCTAATTGCAATGCCATGATGTGGATGACTAGCCTCATCTCCATGGCGATCTTGATGATGATGATCGCATTGGTTCATGCAACCCGCATTCAAGTCTCTACATCCACTGAACTCTGGGGAAAGATCAATACACTTAAAGCCGGAGATGAATTATTAATTCGGGGAGGCTCTTACACCACCAATGTTGCAGGCTATTACAAATTGGTTACCTTACGAGGAAACTTAACTCATCCCATCCGAGTCTATGCTCTTTCCAATGAAACGGTTCTCATCTCGGGAGATTCTGCTGGCTCTCAGAATATCGTGAATTTAGATGTCGAGTATGCAGTGTTCGAGAATTTACAATTTACATTGGGAAGTCGTGGAGTTCGAGTTCAACATGCACAACATTCTCAGTTTTTGAATTTGAAAGTGAACAATGCAGGAGATGCTGCATTTACTACCAATGATTCAGGACAAACTTATTTGAATTTAACCATCCGAGGATTGGAGATTAGTAATACGCGTGGAACGGGAGAATGTTTTTATTTGGGATGTAATAATGCTGCATGTAAGATGGTGGATTGTGTGATTGAGAATAATTATTGTCATGATACCACTGCTGCTTCACAGGTAAGTCGTTTTGCAGAACGATTCATGTTGTTGTTGTTGAACAATATTTCATGCATGACATGTTCACACACACACACATGTAGGGTGATGGAATTGAGTTAAAGACTGGATCGTACGGTAATATTATTCGAAACAATGTAATTTTCAACACGAAATATCCTGGAATTACTCTCTACTCCACTTATTATACCAATTATGATGCAGCTGAAAAAGCTTTGGCCATCTCAAAGCCAAATATTGTGGAAGGAAATATCATTTGGACCACAATCGACAATGGAATTCAAGTCACAGGTAATGCCATTATTCGAAATAACATTATCATGAATTGTGGTGCAAGTTGCATTGCCATCCAAACCAATCAAGGAGTGGTTGAAAATGTGAAACTTCTTTTCAACACTGCTGTGACTGCTGGCAGTGCTTGTTTAAGAGTCACCAACTCTGGTCCAGGAATTGTCATTGCCAACAATGCTGCCTATTGTACTACTGCATTGTATGCAGCTCAGGCTCTTCCTGGCGATGGTATTGTCAAGAACAATGTAATTCAAGGTACCACCAACATTGCCACTGCTAATGCCACATTGAAGATTGGAAATTTGGCTGCTGATTTCCAACAAACTACGACACTCCCTTACAATCTCTTCCCAACGGCAACAAGCTCAGTATTAGCAAAGGCAGACTCTTCACAAAGTGTTTCTCATGATTTCAATGGAAATGCTCGAAGTGGAGCTTTGGACTGTGGTGCATATCAGAAAGGATCTGCTTCAACAAATCCTGGATGGATTCCAGTGAAAGGATTTAAACCTTACGTGTATACTCCTTCTCCACAACCATCTCCCCAACCATCACCAAAAGTATCACCAAAAACATCACCAAAGGTATCACCAAAGAGTTCCCAAAGGACAAACATTGCTGCAATTTACTCGGCTAATACTGTGTTATTTATTGTTTTGATTTCTACAGCTCTTATGCTCATGTAAATTAAAGTCCAAGTATTAACTACCAACCAAAAAACGGCTTTTAAATTAGTTGATCTTTCAAAACTACCTGTTTGTTCGAAAAGATGTCATGGGTTAAATGGTGTTTTTGATTTATGTGCTCACTTGAGTAGTGGCACAAACGAAGGGAAGAAGAGCCAAACAATGCTTCTGACGATCATGAAAGCTTATTCCGACTTTGTAAGCAAGGATGTGAGTCTAATAATTGATGATAAGGTACTGCAGACAAATGTACAGTATTTTATAGCAATCATAATTCTGATCTTGCAACTCTTATCTCTTATTACATGCTTCAACATGCAGAAATAGTAAACGAGAATTGTATGCAAGAGCCTAGGTGTATAAGAAGTAGTAAAAAGAGAAATTCATTCATATTAGTTCATTCTGTCCTCTATTACAAATATTTATCAATTTTTGCAGGCATTTCCTCAATAATCGTAGAGTAGTATTGTTCAATGTCTTTCAGAACGCCAACGTCCTGCTCAGTCACAAAATTAATTGCAACACCCTTTCTTCCATATCTTCCTGATCTTCCAATTCTGTGGATGTAATTTTCACGATTTTGTGGTAAATCATAGTTAACAACAAGCGACACTTGTTGAACGTCAATACCTCGTGCCCAAACATCTGTTGTAATGAGCACTCTAGATTGTCCTTTTCTGAATTCCTCCATGATGGCCTCTCGTTCCTTTTGAGGCATCTGCCCATGCATAAAAGAAACAGTAAAGTTATGCTTTTTCATTTGTTTTGCAAGCCATTCAACTTTGTCTCGTTTGTTACAGAAAATCACTGCTTGTGTAACGGTCAATGAATTGTATAAATCACATAGCGTCTCAAATTTCCATTCCTCTTTTTCCACAGATACGAAGAATTGCTTGATGCCTTCTAACGTAATTTCATCTCGCTTCACTAAAATCTTAATAGGATCTGTCATAAATTGTTGAGTAATTTCCAAAACCTCAGCTGGTAGCGTAGCACTAATGAGTACGATTTGTGTATTATTTAACATTCTATAAATTTGATAAATTTGTTCCTTAAATCCTTGACTCAGCATTTCATCTGCTTCATCCAAAACTAGAACTTTTACGTGCTTTACATTTAAGTGTTGCTGTCTTATCATGTCAAAAACTCGTCCAGGAGTACCGCTCACAACATGTACTCCTTGTTCTAATTTTTTAATATCTTCTCCTACTTTGTTTCCTCCAACACAAGCATGAACTTGAGCATGAAGATAATCTCCTAAATATGACATTACTTTTTGAGTTTGTTGTGCAAGCTCACGAGTTGGAGAAAGAACAATGGCCTGTGGATGTAATTGTTTAATGTTCAACATTTGCAAAATAGCAATCGAGAAAGTTGCAGTTTTTCCTATAGTTCATTAATGTTATGAAATGATGAAAATATTTAGATCGACTTTGTTGAAATGCAATAACGTACCAGTTCCGGATTGACTTTGAGCAATTAAATCATATCCCTGAATGATGGGTTTAATAGCTCTCTGTTGAATCGCTGATGGCTTTGTAAATCCATATTGATAAATTCCACGTAACAAATCATCACTTAAATCCATTTCCTCAAATGTTTTGCAAACATCTAATTTAACGGATGTACTAATTTCCTCACCATCCTCTTGTCCCGATGATGAAGTGGTCTTTTGTTTTGATGATTGTTCTTTAGAATATCCCAATGATTTTTGTTGTCGAGATGATGATGAAGAATTATTCGTTGATGATGATGAAGACGCACGCAAAGACGATGAAGGCTTTTGTGTTTTGTTCATTTTTTTTGAACCTGCAGATATCCTGAACTTTGATCATAATAATAATATTATTAAAATTATTAATTATATATTGCAATGTATGGATCCACATGATTACAAATATTTTACAATCCAAGAAGTTGTTTCTTCTTCAAATCAAATTCCTTTTGAGTAATGATTCCTCTATCCCGTAAAGATGCCAATTTCTCCAACTCGGCATACTTGTCTCCTCCTCCACTACCACTACTATTACTTGGACTATTACTTCCACTACGAGGACTACTGTTGTTGCTACCTCCACTACTACTGCTGCTTTTATGACTTGGAGAAATTGGTACCCCGTTTTTGACATCTCTCACGACTTCTCGTTTCATTTCATTCTTGTGTTGAGAGGTGGTAATGGATGGAACGTAACCCTTTTCTATATATATAATGGTTCATTCATGAGAGTTAAATGATTCATTGGATGTTCAAGGAATGGTGTGTGAAATATAATGTACATGATCGGAATTGATGAAATGTTGACGGTACGTACCGTATGGATTTTGATTGACAGTTTTTTGTTTGTTCCAATCTGTGTCGTTCATGAAGAAGATATTATCAAACGACAAACGTTTTGATATACAACAACAACAATAACAAACCTTCCATCACTCGTTGTTGAGAAAATGAAATCTTGGAATCATCCTTCTCTTTTTGATTCAAGGTAAGCATGGTGTTATACTTGTGGGCTATTATTCATGATAAATGATCATTTGATCAATCACAAGGATCATTCCGATGATGATTTCACATACTCAACTTGTTGGGTGTGAAAAAATTCTCACTTACCTTCCTTGTCCTAATGTTTGTAAAATTGAAAAAACCACATTGAGAGTGTTGTGTTCGAAACGTTTCAACAACTGTAAAGGAACTGTGACTTACCTTTTGTTCGTATCCTTTCATCAAGTCCTTGATAGAGCTCATTTTATTTCGTTTGATTTTTTTGCATGTTGATTTGTGACAGGCATGTTATTTGACAAGCTTTGTTTCCTTAGATGATGATCTTTGAGGCAAATTTTTCAAAAAATTACGTTTGCTGCATGGCACGGAAAGTTTTCAATTTCCTTAGCAATTTCAAGTTCTATTTCACATGATTTACATAGGAAATGTTCTTTGGGAAGATAATCCCGTCTGGCAATAAATGCTTGGTCATGATGATTTTCCTCCTCGTCGACTAGATGAGAATGTTCTTCTCTTTGTGTTGCCCATTTCATAACTTCAGGATGCTCTCTTGCAATATTCCAAAATTCTAAATCTTTTTGATGCTTGTGTGCTTCCAATAAGGAACATTTGGAAGGAGAATATTCATATTTTTCACATTCTTGGCATTTGAGAATTCTGTACTTGTTTTGAAGGTGGCGATCTGAATATCTGGTCGACAGTAGAATTTGATCTTGTTGATTCATGGCTGAAAATAACTCACTTGGTTTTTCAACGAATAAATAGGCATCTTTTTGAAGAATTTCATTCATTCTTTCATGGAGTAAATCGTGTTTTTCTGATGACATTAAAACAGCATCTAGGTTAGACATGGTTTGATTCATACGTGAAGCATCTATGGAATAATAACCTTTATGTCTTTCAAGACATGGCAAGAGTATTCGCAAGGCAGTTTCTAATCCAAACTTTCGACACAGATCGATCAATGTATAACTTGCATTTCTCAGAACGATCGGATAGAGGTAACAACTTTCATCCAAATCCATAGATAGACCTCCTACAAGGGGAGAAATATGATAGAAGGTAGGATGTACAAAATACTTCTCACATGGGTTACCAATTCTTTGGAAGAAGGAATATGAAGGTGAATGTCTATCGTGCAAATAGCGTTGTGAATATTTTTCAATCATTTCAGATCGAATGGCTTCAATCATAAAATCATTATGCATCTCGTGAGAGAGTGGGTGGAATGTGGGAAGTGAAAGTGTGAAAAATCCGCGTTTACCATACTTTTCAGCTCGTTTTCGATTAATTTCTCCATTCGAGGTCTCTAGAGGGAGAATATTCAACTTGTACTTCAATGATCGTAATCCTTCCAGGAAGGTATAGAGCTTGGAACCATCATAGGCAAATCTACAACAATCGAGATCAAAAAAAGCGAGCAATTCCTCAATGGTTTCAAATTTGAGCAATACTATTTGAATGTTATAATTAGGATCGGCGCTTACTTGATATTGAGTATTCATGGAGTGTCCGTCAGAGCAAATGTTAATCGTTGTTTTTGATTTCATAATATTATATTTCAAATGATGTGTTAAACTTTCAAATTTCAATAGGAGACTCTTAATGGCACTGGAAACTGTGGTTTTCTCATCCTCACCATTACACATGACAAAAATGTCAATATCTCCACAGCCACAACCCGTGAGTGTGTGTAATAAAGATCCACCTGCGACAACAAATCTCTCTTGAGTGGTTGTCGTCTTGTTATGTTCAAAAGCACAGTCATAGACTAGAATTTTAGCAATTTCTTTCAAAATATCATTCTTGAATCGATGATCGAAATCTTGAAGCGTCATTTCGTGAGGATGCTTGAAAAATCTAACAATTCTTTCACAAAAAGGAGTTCTCAAACTCCTGTTCATGGAATCTGAATAAAAGTGATAATCAACATTGTGATCAGCATATTGAATACAATCATAGAGCGTCTCAGTAATGACAAACTCCTTCTTGGATTGATCCATTGCAAAAGGACCAGGCTCGTTCAGATATGAAAAGTTGATTTTTCGTTTGACATAGTCGTCAAAGGTCAGTTCGTACGTATCTTTCTGTGGAAACATGCCATACGGGAACACCATGGTCTGAAGTATTTCTTTTGTTGAATATTCAGCCTCTTCTTTTGCAGTATATGTTGGCAAAGATGTCACAGCAGACCTAGGTATTTCTTGATCTTGATTTTTCACAAGTTCTTTGGCATCCAATTTCGAAATAATGGTCTGCTTATGATCGTGAGCATTGTAAAAGTATGAGGAAGGCCAAGAAGAAGCACTTTTTTGATGGAAATAATCATCGTAAGTCAGCATGACATTCTTGTTGTTCAGATTATTATTGGAAAAGACTTCAATTAATCTCGGAGGAATTGGTCTTGTCATCACATGTTTCACTTTCTTGTTTAAATAATTTAATCGGATTTGAGTTAAACTGGTGGCCATCACAGAATCGAATAATTGATAAATACACTTGCTACATTGAATGAAATTAAAGAGTGAATATTTATCCATCCAAAAGAACAATTCCATGATCATTTCATTCGGAAGCGAAAAAGTAAAAGTCTTGATCTTCACCCTTTGGGGTATTTCTAGTTCTCGTTTGGACACAATCGAATGCGTTTTGGTTGACAACAAGCTCATCATTGTCGTCAGAAGGAGCACAAACAATTTCAAACTCGCTGCGATGTCGCTTCATTTTTTTAAAGTTCTCGAATTTGGTGGATTTGACGTTTATTTTCAAATATTCTACTCTGATACATAATTTTACATAATTTCTTCAATGAGGGCAACAGAATATGGACCTTGCAAATTGAGAGGATTGTAGGTTGGGCCCGCCTCTTCTAAATAGACAATCTTACCAACAACCACATGTAATGAATCAAAGCCTGAAGAATATTTTGTTTTGAGCAAGGATAAGGACTCTGGAGCAATGTAGATACGATGTGGGTTCTTACTTATGGCAGAGAACAAATCTTTGGATTGACCATTTCTAAAGAAAATTACCATATCGTTTAACTCTGGTTCCAAAGAAACAAAAGTCTTGGATGATTGCTTGTTGTTTTCCTCCACTCTGAGGTAGCTCTTCTCAAGCTTAGTATATTCTTCTTGAATGGCTTTAAAAGATTCTTCTTGCTCTTTCAACTTTTGTTGATTCTGTTGAAGTTGGGTTTGGAGAGATGTGATGAGAGTAGCTCCCTTCAATGCAGCGGTTTCATACATTTGTGCCTTAATCGACGATTCCTTAGCTTCCTTCTTTAGCTTTTCAACTTCAGCACTTGAAATTGTTGATCTTGACGAAAGTTGTTCTTCTTTTTCTTTCAATCGATGGGTAAGTTCTTGATTGGCGGTCTGTAATTGTTCAGTTTGTATCTTGATTGCTTCCAATCGAAATTCAAGGTTCTGATTTTCAATTGCTTGTACTTGTAATTTCTTTTCGTACTCAGTAGTGAGTGACAGAATTTGTTGTTCAAGATCAGCAACCTTGTTGGTATCTTGCAAATTTTGATCGTGCTTCTCGTTAAAAGCTTTTCGAAGAGCGTCCAACTCCTTTGCCTTGGTTTCTTCTCCAAGTTTAGCTCCCTTTAGTTCGGTCTCAAGAGATTGTAATTCGTTCACGCACGACTCTAGCTTGTTTTGGAGAATGGCCAATTCACGTGACTTTGAATCTCCATAATTGTGTGCTTCCTCTAACTGTTGTTGCAATGTTTCAATTTCCTTCTTGAGCTCTGAAATTTCATCAAAAGCTTGATTCTTGCTCTCTTCAAGTTTTCTTGTCGTGAGTAATAAATCCATACATTCCTGCTCTTTTTCGTGGTTAGCAAGAGTTAACTGAGATTGAGATTCTTTGAGCTTAGCAACTTCTTGCAACAGTTTCTCATTGTCCAATGTCAATTGGGTATTTTGATCGTTCTTGAACGACACCTCAGAGTTCAGTGCTTGAACTTGGGTAGCCAGCATCACAAGTTTTTCTTGCAAAACTTTGGATTGATTTGCATTTTGTTGAATGTTGGATTCTTTTTCTTCAGCAACTTGCTTGGTAGCATCTATCGTTTGTTTTAAAATGATGATCTCTTGTTGGAGCTGTTGGGTTTCATTGGCTTTTTGTTCTTGCTCCATAGCGAGTAGTGAATTCAATCGCTTATTCTCTTCCATCAAGTGTTCATAGCGCAAATGAGCATCCTCAAATTGTCGTTGGTAGTCTTCAATTTGTTGTTGATGAGCGTCTTTCTCCTTTGAGAAGTACATGGCGTTTTCTATTATTTGTTGTTTGAGAGCGGAAATTTCTTCTTGCAAAGCATTCATCTTGTTATGATTTTCTTGACTATCAGCTACATAGGATTGATAAAGTGAATTTGGAATAGATTGTTGTTCGCCTCTAAAAGCAGGTTTTGGAGAGGAGTTTTGGTTTCTAAAAGATTCAATACCTTCGCTGGTCTTATTGATGGCATAATCAATCATGACACTGTTGCTCATGTTATCAATTGAAGATTCTGAGCTCAACAAGGACTGTTGTGGTCTTTGAGATATAACAAAGAAGTCGTCGTCGTCATTTTCGTCTTGAATTTTAGAACTGTCTTGAGGGAGATTAATGTCAATGGTTCGCGCAATGCTTCTTTCAAGTTTGCGAAGACCATTAGTCACAGCTTCAATTGGAATGCGTTCTCCAATAACTCCAGAGATCAAGTAACGAACCTCTGAGATTTGTGTTTCGTTGAGGTTACGCAAAATTTCCTGTTCGCTCTCCTCTCGTCTCTGATTTTCATCTTCACATGATGTCTTGATCATATCAGTGAATATTCTAAAGTTCTTGATAAGAGAGTTTTCAGTAAACAACTCTCTTCTTTTTCTTATTTCTCCCAATAGTTTGGAGGTAATTTCTGGTAGCTTGACCAAGAACACCAGCTTTTCCAATGAGCCTCCTTCTCTTGCTTGGTTGAAGTACGAAGTAGAATTAACCATTAAGGTCAACATCGATTTGCTGCACATTTTCTCCATTTGCTGGTTGAGCTTGTTTCGAAGTTCATAATCTCTGAGAACATAAAGACATTGAGACTCTCTCACTTGGGTATCATAACCAACAATTTCCTTTAACGTGTTCTGGGCAGTGTATTCAAAGTTAATATATTGCAACTCATCATTTGACTGTTTCACGTGTTCATAATGAACCAAAAGTTGGTCCAAAGCCTCCTTTTGCTTTTTAACTAGATTTTCAATGGAAGTTAAATCTTGCTGAAGCTCTTCTGTAACATCATTGTCTTCTCTCGATAACTCATCAATTTGTTTGGAGATGATGCCCTTACAATTATGTTGAACTGAGACCATTTTCTCATAGGATTTGGCAGTATTAATAAGACTTCGAAGAGAATTCTCATCTAATTGCATAGCCCTCATCAAATCAATGTCGTTGATAGTTTTGGTTTGGGTGAGATTATCAAATAGATCTTCAAACGTAACATGTTGAATTTCACTCTTGTACTTTTCCACGTTGGCTGTCTCTTCTACCAACAGTTTACAATAATTTGCAAAAGTTGTATTTTTGATGTGATTAATAAGAGTTTCTTTAGCCAATTGAACAATTGATCTTCTTTGCTTTCTATCTTCACAATCCTTCCATCTAGAATCGGTTACTTGACAAGTTTGTCTGCACTCATTGACCATTACATCAACCCGTTCCATGGTATTAGAAATCGAGTTGTGATCAACCAACATTGGAAGCTGACTTTGAAGCGTTGGAGGTTGGGAGTTGAGAGATTGTTGAGAACTCTTGATTTCATTCGGAACATAGAGGAATTGTGTGGTTTCATCATGAGAGAGAAGGAATGGAAGAATTTCCTTGTCCTTTCCGGCATTGATCTTTCCTTCTTGAATAACGCCATATCGTGATGCAACATCTGGTGAGAGTTGCTCTCCGGTTGCTGAATGATAGGTCTGAATTACCATTGTTGATGATAGAAAGTGATCAAAGTTAGAGATGTAGGAATCAGTTTGTTGTTGGTGAATCACGCTGCGGTATTATAATTCTTGGCCCAGTGATGGGATTGTTTTTTGTTTCGACAATCGGATTCGTTACTAATAATAGTCTTGTTAGTGGTTTGAGTTGAAGATGAACTCTGTTTCCTCTCACTCGTCTTTCCAAATTATCAAACAATAACCGACAAGGAAGTTTTACGTGATAAGACTTTTTAATGGTACTGGGAATTCGAACCACGTTTTTTTTAAAATCTAATTTTGCAAGCCTTGTGCAATGGAACGTGATTGGAAGAAGAAAGGAGATGACGAGCGCTTAGAGAGTGACACTTTCACTCCCTCAATTCGAACTGCAACAATACCAAGTTAACACGTGTATGTAAGGCTGAACCTGAGCCTGGAAACAGTAAACTGGGTCTACTTCTTGTTGGACTGATAATGTTTTAAGGATTGCACCAAGCCACCACTAGGTGTGACCTTTTGTTCACAAAATCGCTCAACATGTTGTGTTAACTTGGCATGGAAATTGTTTTCTAAAGTTTCCTTGAATGACGAAGAGAAATATTCGGGGCTGAGCCATCCGTTGGGATCGAATATAATGCTGTAGTAGTAGCGACAGGAACTGTCTGTTACCTTTTCGACGAGAAAGGCGGTTTTCGCTTCTGCTCGAACATATTTAGAGGACTCTGGCACTTTTGGATTGTTGATACTTCGTGTGATGCACATATATCTACCAGCATCTTCTTCGTATCTGCAACAATAAGCATGAACTAGTTCTCGATTTTGCTGAGGAAAGCTCATTGAATAAATCTGATGGTAAACTGCATGACCATATTTATCATCGCTGATGAAATCAATTTGAGTGGATGATTCCAAATGTTCAATATGTGTGCTGAATGCAGAGTCATCGATCCATGCATTGAATACTTCCTCAGCACTGAAATTTGGTAATTCGTATATAAATTTGATTTCTACGTGTCTTCTACTGTTACTCAAGTGATTGTGAGTCACTTCAGGAGAGAAGTATGTTTTACCACGATCATTCTCAAAAACCACTCTCCAATTAGAAACATTCAACAGCAATGAGATTCGATGATTAAATTCAAAATTGTTGAATCTGTTGTTTTCGAGATTGATGATTTCTGTTCCACACTTTTCACACCACAGGAAAAACTCCTTCTCCTCTTCTTCTTTATCAGAAGTTGAATTATCGCTTGAAGATGATTTTAACATGGCCTTAAGACCATACACATCCTCTTTTTTCTTTTTCTCAATATAACTGTCAAATGCTGGTGATTTTACAACATTGGGGAATAGTTCTTGAAGTGAACGAATGCATAAATTCTCAAAGTTGGTAAATAAATCTGGAGGACATGATGTTGAATTACAATCTTTGAATTTCAGTTGGAAAGGGTTGACTGCGTTCTTCATGTACTTGAATTTTAGCCGCCTTGGTGCATTTTCGTCGAGATAGGTCTGAACCAATTGTTTTGCAGTCTCATATCTGTTGCTTACAGCTACATCTTCCTTGTATTCCTGTACACTGATAAAGAAATCAACAATGTCCACGAAATGACCTGTTGCGAAGTCCTTGAATATACCCAACATCTCCTTTTGGTTAATCAATTTTTTAAAGTTAAAAGATTGTGGATCTTGGAAGTTCACCCTCACAAAGAGGTTCTCGGATACCTTATTTTTCGTCAAAGTATCAACATCATAATGCTTCTGATGGAGTAAATAAGTGTTGATGGTGTGACCTGGAGTGATTTCCACCACTTGATTTTCTTCAAATTCAAAAATATCATACACTCGTTCGTAAGATTTTCGTGACACATTAATTCTTGCGGCAGTACCTTTGGATTCCATTACTAGTAGACGTAACGGTTAGTGATAAAACTCTCTAAAATTGTGACAACACTTACATTGTGCAATTGTGACAGTTTCTCCCCAAAGGTCGTACGCAAATTTTAAAGTACCTGATAAAGTTGAAGCCTATAAAGATAGAAATGTGAACACTTACCAATGCTGTTGAAATATGTCAATTCAAGCTGTAAAAAAAATTATCATAACACGTACCATCCAGCAACAACAGGCCCAGTATGAATTCCGACTCTAATGTTTAAGTTCGATCCATGCTGCTTGTTATACTTTGAAATTACAGAAAGCATGTGTACAGCAAAGGTGATTACCCGTTCTACATGGTCATGTTGATTTTCCAGTAACCCTCCTACACAGAAATAAGCGTCACCTCTGGAATAATTTGTCATTGCATAATTGTTCGTTGTGGTTGATGTAACTTACATGGTCTTAATTTTTTCCAATTCAAGTTTCTTAATGTTTTCATCAAAACCATTCACAATGGTGTTGAGTAGCTGGACTAGCTCTGTTGCAGTCAGAGAACTTGACATGTGGGTGAAGCCAACCATATCTGAAAAGAGGCATGTGACGTCATCAAATCTTTTAAATCGAAATGTTGGATTTTAGGTATGAATCTTTCATCCATTACTTACTTCTCAGATATAAATGTATCTCCTGCTTTGAGCTGAATTATTGTTCAACAGAGCCATCAATTTGTATAAATTCTCATGAAAATTCGAAACTTACTCTTGAGGCAACATGCCCAGGCAGGATGTTTAGGAGAAGAGAGTCGCTCTTTTTTCTCTCCTCTTCTAGAAGAAATTTATGTTTTTTGTCATTGGTGATATCTCTCAAAAAAATGGTAATAAATTTCTTCTTCTCGAAAATGGAACAACCCACAGAGCATGCAACAGATAAGGTAGATCCTAATCAATGTATTAGATCACAATTAATAACCATCATTAAATGAGCTTCACATACCGCTTTTCCTTAATGCATCCAATTCAACATATTCTCCATATGAATTCGTTGATTTCAACATCTTTTCAATGCAAGGTTTTAGAACTTTGTTATAACTTTCAGGTGTGACCACTTGGGAAATGTCAGTCAACTCTCCAATATCATATCCTAGCATGGTTAATGCGCTACGATTTACAAAATCAATGTTTGTCGAATCGGATTTTAAGATAATTCCTCCTTCAATAGCCTCATCTATTGATCACAACCATTTTGGTGTAGCCTTTGAACTGACAATGTTGTAGTTGAAAAAACTTACTTAAAACCGCTTCCACTTTTGATATTTTGTTCCTCTCACTCATCTTCTTAACTGAAAAGGTATTGAAAAGCACATAGCCCTTAATTAAATCATGATTCTCAATGATTTGTTCGGGTATATAATTCATCAGTCTTCGAAGGCAATCATTTTCATTACAAACATGGCAAATATGGTGGTAATGCAACACTGAAATAGTAAGCAAAAGTAAAATACAAATCACTATAGTACAAATTGAAATAGGAGTTGCAGCTGTTGTACTTGTTGTAACAATCGTTGTGGCTGCTTGATGGATTCTTGAAATCACAATATTGGAAAGAGCATAAATTTCTTCGAAGAGAGATGAATCCAAAGGGCTCATTTGTTCGATGTTGTTAAGAATATTCTGTGTGAGGATATCAATATGCATTTGGTAAATCTCAACGAGATGGTTCAGATTCTGGCAAGTGAAATTTGATGACGAGCAGTTGTCCAAAGCCAAATTAAATTCATCCAGAGTCAGGCTGAACAGTTCTGTGCCTGATCCATACCTAAACTCACTCCAGTTTTGCTCAAACACTTCTTCGTAAGAAACGCTGTCCATTATCCAAGAAATTGATTCGGTTGAATTGCTGGACTTCATTTCCAAATCTCCAAGCTTCCATTGCTGTTCGGCACATGACCTCAATGCTTTGGATGAGTGTTGAATCTTATCCATAATGACCGAGTTGTAATAATCCAATGTATAAACTTCATAAAATACGATTAGTAGTCCACACAAGCTGACAAATATGGTTGCAACAAATAAAAGTCGTATGATGGATTTGCTTTCTAAGCGTATCTTAATCATATTTGAAAAGAATGCGTTTTTTCCTGGCTCTGGAGTGGCGTTAAACATCGTTCCAACAATGTCCTTGGGTATCTTTTGGAAGATGCCAAGTATTTTTGTCTTTTTGTTGAAGAACTTTCTTTCAAAATAGGCATAGACGACCACAAGTGCAATATACAAGACCACAAAAGCCAGGATCAAATAAATCAGATAGGAAATATGTTGCTCTATTTTGGAATCGGTAACAGTATTACAATACGAGGCCAATAAATCCGAGAAATACTCTGCATTTTGTTGGAGAAACAAATATTCGTAAGAAGTAGAAATAAAGTCTGGAGTAACATCTTTCCATGTAGAAAAACGTTCAGTGATCACAAGTAGCTCATTCGATATATCTGAAATTGACATATTTACAAGATTACCATTAGGAAGCTAAATTCACACAGATCAATATTGTGGAGCCTTTTAAACATTCAAAAACTTACTAATACAGGATGATTGACAAGAGTACGATCTTTTTCTAACACTCTATCCATCCCTTGAACAGAGTTTGCTGTCTTTAGAATGTTTTGAACCTCTATAATGTTGGCAAAAAACTCAGTGTGGTATGAAACACCATGATTAAGAGATCTGAGGAAATATTTCAGCTCTTTCAATAAATACACAGGTGTATGAACTCTCTGGCATTGGCTACCAGCAAAAATAATATTTGGAAAGCTATATGTTACAATGATCATGGAACAAATGAAGAAACAAAGTATAAATATCACAGACAGAACTTCTACCCAAAGCAAGCTGACCTTTTCCCACGTTCTCGTTGTTGACATGTTAATGGCGTCACTATACTTGTTATCTATTGTGGATGGAGCAGGACTGGATAGGTTAACATGTCTTGCAGAGTCTTGAGTGACACTGTTTTTGGATGGAGATTCTGGAATATCAACTAATGGTACAACTCGATTGTTTCTACTGAATGACAGGTTAGACTTGAAAGATGTGGTTGTGAATACTCTCGACATGGATTTTACAGGGGTTGGAGAAACAGGGTCAATGAGAGGAAGTGATGCACATGATGAGCAACCTTGTTGGAATTTGAATTCAGCAAGAAAACTTTGTCGTTTTCTTTCAATCTGCATATTTTGAGGGTAGTTCAATTGTAAATACTCCAGAATGATATCAATTTCTTGTTCCGAGTGATAGATTTGAGATGAAAGTTTAGATAATTTGTCTGTTTCATCTTCATTGGACAATAATGCTTGCCAAAAGGACTTTCTCAAGGACCGTATGCGATCTTGATATCTTGCCACCTTTTCCAGCAAGGTTCTACTCTCACTGGTCATTTCGTTGTAAAATTTGTTGTCAATTTCTTTCTTTCGATAGGAAACTATAAATCTGCTGAGTATATTGGCTTTTGCAGTTGCGACTGACATTATACTTAGTGAAAATTGAGGAATCTCATGGTATTTGGCTGTGTAGAGTGAACACATGATAGAAGCAGAAGCATTGAGCTGTTTCTTTTTGGCAGTAATAATTTTGAAAAGGTCAAAATCAGGATGGTCATGGGAAACGCTTAGTTTTAGAATATTTTTCAAGGTTCTGCTGCTGAAATAGTCTGCTAGTGCCTGATCACTTTGTCCTACAAGATCCTTGATCTTCTTTTCTTGCATTTTGATATAAAGAATGTAAATTTCCACACATGAAAATCCGACTAAGAACAGGATCATTGAAACACCCAATCCACAAGCTAATAAAAATATAACACCCAGGTCATATTGGTTGTTAGTGTTCCAAATGGATGAAAGTAAAGATCCAATGGGCATTCCAAATCTGGCTATCAAAATTCCACCAATTACAGAATTTGTCCTCAAATTAAAAAACGGAAGGGAACGAAAGAACAGCCAGCTAACGACCACGTTCAGTGACATGTAAAACAGAGGCTTTCCAATAGATGAATGTATGAACACTTGAGAAATTACCAAATATAGCTGGTTTGTTAACGTTAAAATCATCACAAACCAATGGTGTTCACAAGATATTAGAGTTGTTATATTTTGGCACCTTACACCTTACACTTAGTGTCAGTGCTGTTTGCATTTGACACTTGAGTGCCAAATGAATGAAGTGTGATTTGTATTTGACACTTGAGTGTAAGGTGCTATTTGTATTTGACACTTGAGTGTAAGGTGCGAAATGGATGTTGATTGAAATGGAGGTACTAGTTTGTGAACCTAACCATTCTACTTCGTGTTCAAACGAATCTATCAAACAAAAAAAAGGCATGATTTAATCTCATGCATCTACTTTCCTTTCGTATGTTAGCTTGGACCTTCGTATGAAAGGAGTTGGGAGGCACAAAAGATGATATGTTAACCTTTCATTCATGATGATAGACTCAGCCGTTAAGAAGTATGACTACGAAACAAAAACTGATTCCAGTTCCCTTAATTGTACCCTTCTGATTGCTTCAGCTTGACTTTTGCTGTTACCGTCATTCCCAAATCACTCAAATTCGATTACATCAGCCAACAACAGTGTTGAGCACCATTCTCTTGTTCTTCTCACCGTTTTTGTAACAATTGAACAAAAGTACATGTCACTATGAAGAAAAGCTGGCAAGTTTCACTCCCCTGTTGAACCAAATGAAAATGTTTTCCTACATGTACTGCAAGTGTTTTTCCTCAACATAAATCGTCTCTCAAGTTCATTCAGCAAGCTCTGACATCCTGTTCGACAACTTCATCTCAATCTCTTTCAACGCCGTGTTGTATGGCGCAACATCAACTCAGAAAACAGGTGCTGAACGGTGGAACATTATTTGAACCACTTGCCTCACAACGCTTCACCTTAGAAAATGAGCGTGAGTCTATTCTTCCCTCCATAAACTAAATTTCGTAGATGATCATTTGGTATTGTCGTTGTCAGACGAATTGTCCAAAAATTGCGTTCGTGATGCTGTTTCCTATACTCGATGATGATTGTGTAGTGAAGAGAATTTTGAGGCCCGTTGCTCACAACCGTGAAGACGGAGGTTTGTAATTTCAAAATAATATTTAAATAAATTAAAAAATATACAGGTGCTGATGACACTCGGCACTCAAGTGTCAGGTGCTGTTTGCATTTGGCACTCCAGTGTTAAGTGCTATTTGTATCTCCTTTTTGGGACTACGTGCCATTGCAAACGGCACTAAAGTGTAAGGTGTAAGGTGCTAAAAGGTATGTCCTCAAGATATTATGTTTCTCCATGATTTCCTCCAATCAAAAGCAATAGTTGTCGTGATGATGATGCCAAGTAATGAAAGTGGAATCTGCAGAACAATAAATGCTGATGACAAAATGAGATGAGCAACATTTTGCATTGACCAACATTTAACGCTAGGGAATTGGTTCAATAAATTGCTACCGTTAAATGTGCACGACACAAATGGCAGCACCCATTGAAGAAACAGCAAATGAAAGATTCCAAATAATCCACATGAGAGTGTAACAATTATTTTCAACTTATCCCAATGCTGTTTTTTGTCTTCATGCCTTATAGTCATAGCCACAATCACACAGAACCACGTCAACAACAGAAATGCAAATAACAGACCAGCTATTGCCATCTGCATTGCATGAGGAAACCATAACGATCCAAACGTTCTTGGAATGATGAGAATATTTGCAATCCACTGGCCATAGACTCCGAAATTAAATGATCCATCAAAGCCTAAACTAAAAGAGCAGTACAAATGATACAATAGAGAAACGTAAGAGATCCAAACTGGAATGCGTTGGAAGGGTACTAAGGACCAAATCCACATGAATAGCTTCTCTTCCGTTTCTTTCATGGTTGAATTGTATAATGATGACTGAAGCGTGGCTGATGAAGTTACGGAGGAACGTCCATCACTTGGATCGGTGTTGTTGGAAAACACCATCGATGCTTGATGGTTACTTGACAGCATGTATTGGGATGAAAGTGTTTTTTAAAAGAGAAAATTGTAGATCCTGATGGTCAAAGATGGCTATGGACATATCCTGACAACTGTATCAAAATCGAATTTTCTTTGGCCATCAAGATCTACAATAATTTCCAGGATGTATTTTCTCTCTTCTCATTTTAGAAAATCCTATTCTCTTCACTCAGAAAAATCCCAAATAAAACAAGAGACATGAATCGGGTCAATAAATTGCGATCATCTTTCCGAAAATCTTGTTGATCCATCTTCCTCTCCAGCCATAGAATGAATATTGAACATTTCAATCGTTGGCTTTATCAGCCCGCATCCATTTTTTAATTCATGCCAAGACGAAAAGTTTGAAATTCATCATCAAATCAGAAAAAATTAAAGTGTTTTGTAATAACAAAATATGAAATTCTCAGTGTTGGCTGATCCATCCATTGTACAGTATGTTCGAAATATTTGTGTGAGAGAGACACAGGAACAAGTAGATTTGAGAAATGAAACGAGCGAGAAATTGGGAGAGTATGTGTTCATCCAGATCACAACAATTTTATTCAAACTAATTATTAATTCCATAATAATAATATTAACACTCTTCTATGTATCTCATAATTGAATCAAATTGTGGAAATAGTTATTCCATCATGATCAGCTCACCAGAACAAATGCAATTGCTACAAATCATTTTGAAATTGATCGGTGCAAAGAATATCCTGGAAATTGGATGTTTCACTGGTTACAGTGCTTTATGCTTTGCTTTGGCCACGAGTGACACCAATGCAAAAATCACAACCTTGGACGTGAGTGAAGAATATGTGCAAATTGGAAGACAATATTGGAAGAAGGCTGGAGTGGAGGATCGAATTGAAGCAATCATTAAGCCAGCTTTGGAATCACTTGAAGAGTTGAAACAATCAAAACAATTATTTGACTTTGTGTTCATTGATGCAGATAAGTAAGTTCACTTTTCAAATTTGATGAAAAAATTAACAATTCTTTTCAATTGGATCAGAGTGAATTATCCAAAATATGTTGAAATGGTCTATGAGTTAGTGAGACCAAACGGATTGGTGGTGATTGATAACACTTTGTGGTCAGGAAAAGGTATGTAAAGACTTTATCGGCAAAGTGGAACTGATGAGCTCAATGAATCAACCCGTATTCACATGACTTGGAATTAGTGCTTGACGAGCAAGATCAAACTGCAGATACCATTGCAATCAGAGAGACAAATAACAAGTGCAGAGACGATCAACGTTGGGACATTGCTATGGAAACGATTGCCGATGGATGTACTTTCCTTAGAAAGAAATAATTTATTAAGGTACTGACAACATGCTGATGTGAATATTGTTGAAATAAACTTGCGCAAGTCCCAACCAAATACTCACTACTACATCACAAGACAATCATCGAATGAACAGCGTGGCAGGTTCATAAATTTAACTTTTGGAAATTTTGAAACAACTAGGGACGCCGCTTCATGTCCAATTTCAGACAAGTGCAAACATTTCAACTTGTTGAGGTACTTGCTTTGTGCAAGTGCTATGGCACCCTCATCATTCACTGATATATCGAGCATGCAAAGCTCTTCTAATTGTTGCATAAATTCACTCTCAGCAAGTGCATGAGCAAATGCATTACTGATGGTGTTGAGTTCGCTCAGCCTCGAAGGTCCATCCTCATTAGACACGTTCAAGTAGGTTAAATTTTTCATGAAGGAGCTTTTGGCAATAGTACATGCTCCTGCATCACTGATCATGCATGTGTTTATCGTAAGACGCTTCAAATGTTGCATGCTCCTACTCGTTGCGATGGATTTGATGCCCACATCTCCAATATTATTGCCACTTAAATCTAAACTAGTTAATTGAGTTATATATGGAGAGGTGGTCAGTGAGAGCACTTGTTGAGATGAAATACTACTTTTGTACAGGCTCATTTTGGTTAAATGACACATGCTTTCACTGTTAGCAATGACGTCCAAAAATTGATCTGTTTTCATGAAATTTAATGTTACATATCTGCAAAAAATTAATATATTCATTACGTACGTGTGGATACCACATTCATGTCCAAATGAAGCACGTTTAATTCTGTCAAGCTGGACATGGATGACACGTGTTTAATTCCTTTAAGTGAAATATTATTGCTCCCAAATTTCAGAGAGCGTAAATGTTTCATATTTGCAATGGATTTCATTCCCTCATCTCCCACATAGGTTAAAAACACATCAAGACTCGTCAAGTTCTTCATATTGGAGCTAGATGCTAGCGCGAGAAAACTCTCTACCGTAATTTTTGGATTAATACTCCAGTTTAAGTGTGTCAAGTTTTGAACATGTTGGCTATTTGCAAGTGCCAAGCAACCTTCGTGTGAAATGTCCATATTTTCCATTTCTAAACGTGTTAACGATTTCATGTGTGGAGATTTTGCAATGATTTTAATGGCTGCATCTCCGTAAGCAACATCTTGACCCTTTGAAAATCCATTCAACACCAGAATAGTTAAATTCTTGAGTTGAGCACACTTGGCTGCGTGTTGTAATTTTTGTAAATTAGTAATTCGTAAGGATAAAGGCTTTGAAAGAGAAATTTTGAGCCATTGCTTGCATACTCTCATACAAGATCGCAAAATAAATTCCGATTGCAAAAATTGAATAACAGAAAATACAATGTCATCACACAACTCTAAATTTTGTACATTATAACATTGATCATTTACCAGTAACCATTTAAATGTATGATTTTGATCCGTAGTGCTGGATGGTTGCAACGATGAATAATCGTCTTCAGTTTGTTGCATTTTTTTAAGGGTTCATTTCAAGAGTTTCTAAAACGAGAAAACCAATGAGAGAACCAACATGGTTTATTTTTCAAATGAGAGTGAATCACATCGTCTCACACAAGTGCACTTGACTGTTTGATCCAACACAAATAGATTGAGCATTGCACTACTAATGGTTCTCTCAAAATATTCAGCAACTGCATTTTACAAGTTACTACCTCCCTTAAGAATTCTATCCTTGAGTCTAGATTTCTCAATCTTATCTCTGGGGACATTTGGGAATGTTTGATCATTGCCTCCATATTTGTGTTTGAAAACAATGGTATAATCTCCTTTCTGATTGAGACGGCTATCAGAAACTTCATAATTGTCATCTCTAGCGATTTCATCAAAGTCCTCACGAGGGAGTGTCTCTGTTTGGGAACCTCTTACACCGAGATTTTGATCAATATCAGAACCTTTTTGCATTTTGTTTTTGATTTTAAAACATTATGCTCGCAATAACTTTCCTGATTAAAACGTGTACACAACTTGGATTGATATGGGAAATATGCTGAATAGGGAATGAATAAATAACCGTAAACGAATATTTTCTAGATCGGGAGTGGAGTTAAACCTTATTAAGAGAATCTTCATGAGTGTTTGAATCTCATGACTCATGATTACAACGTGTGAAAGTAAATCCAACCAAGAGAATGAGCTCTCCATAACAAGAAGTTTTCCCAACATAAAATTTTCTCTTTAAATGTTCTGAGACCTCTCTTGTTGTTCCAATCAGCATGATTCCATCGTAGTGTTTGGTGTCGTAGGTTCTGTAGTGGTCAACATACTGCTACTAGATTCTTCCTTTTTACAAATCGTTGCCCCGCTCATCATGGGTGAAATTGGGGATAATGACAATGAAGTTGTAGCTGATAAGTTGTTTTCATCGACCACTGTGAGTAGTAATTGAGAGGAGGAGGTTTGAGTAGTGCCCATTGTTGTGACCAGAATGGAACGAGTTTGTTTTCTCTTTTCAATTTCTTTGAATGCATTCTCTTTCTTTGGTTTCCATTATGAGTCTCATAATGTCCACATTGGTCATGGTAGATGCAAGACCACCTGCAATAATTTCCATGAATACACAAAATAAAAGTGCTCCTAACAATCCAAATGTGATTTTAAAAGGGTTTTGAACCTTCTTCTCAAAATTTCTAATGTCAAACGAAGATCTGGAATCTGTGCGTTCGATAGGTTTCTGATCTGTGGTATGTGTCAATATCTTGTTGGAAGTACTTGTTTGTTTGATTGTTTTTAAAACAATAATTCCACTCGCCAACACCATTACAGTATAAAATAGAAGCATGCTCACAATAATGGCAAAACACAATGCAAATACTATGGTTGTGGTTGTGTTATTGATAAATCCCATTCGGTTGCAAGCATAAAATACTGCACCCAATATGACTGTACATGCACCAACAATAAGAAAAATTCCATTGACAATACGCATGACTATCGAAATAATGTTGTGAACTTGCTGTGAAATTGCTCTTACTAATCTAGCCGTTTGCCAACTGAAATGTCAAGATAACGAGAAAGGTTACGGATATATCATCATAAATTCAAGCATACATACAATACTTGCTGTACAAAAAACAAAATGACAAAGAGTGACATTATGTTGATGAAGGTAAAGAACGTGGTCACTCCCGATATGGTATTCAAGGCAGTAAAAAAACTCCATTCCACTAATCGCTCGGTCTCAGCAGTCTCTCTGGCGTAAATAGTTAAAACATCGTTCACAATTCTGAGAAGTTGAGTGAGAGATTGTATGGCCACAAATACAATCGTCCATGTCAGCAATACCTTGTGTGTTCGTTTCAATTGATTACGTTTAGAAAGTCTTCTCAAATATGGCCAGGCATATCAAGTAAATAACATAGGCAATGAAAAAGAAGGAACTGTTCGAGATGGTTGCATAACCTAACCATGTTGGGAAATAATAAGAAACTGATACATTGGCATATCCATCAACGTTCAGAGAGGGAAGTGGTTGTTCAGACATTTTTTGTTAGTAATTCCTCTCATGGCTCTTAACGAGATTGCGTTCTAAGAAAAATTTAGAGATCTATTTTCCGTTTTGCCCGAGCAAAAAGTAAAATACCAAAATGGTGTGTTGGAGCCAAGTTTGGTGTATGAGTGATAAATTTTCATGTTACAATTCACACAGCATAGTACCAAACACGCTAAATCTGGTGCACTGATTGCTGTTAGTAGAGGCGTGTGAAGATGGAGCTACTCGATACGATAGTAGGCAGAAATCCTTCAGGTCGTTGGATTGTATCAATTCAGTAATTTTCTTCTCAATCAAGCGTTTGGTTGTTGTGTTTTCATGAAGATTACACGGGGCAAGTTGTAAAAAGTATTCAGCCTCCTTATCAAAGAGAAATAAAGGTAAAGAATTGGATCCTGTCTCGTCCACAAGCTTGATCTGGAATAAATATCGGTACTCTTGGAGAGTGGATGAAGATGCTTGTGAGCTGGGTCTAGTAAATTCTTCAATTTGCTTTGGAAAATAATCAACAACCTTCGCCCTCGTTCTGTACTTGAAAGGAATTATGGTGTTGTGAATAATTTCTGAAAGAGGGGTAATAGGTGCCTGTGAATAATCAATTTTGGTTGTAGTAGTAGTGGTTGAGATGATACTCTCAATGTTTCCTTGACCTCCAGCAGGACATAGACGATTTTCTGTGCTGGGTTGTTGTAGAACATTGTTTTTTGATTTTTCCAAGCATCGACTAATGTAAAAATGTTTCTGTGGAAGTATGACCACAGATCCATTAAATAATCGAAGTGGAACGTATCTTCCGTCTGCCCATTCAGCAATGGGTGGACAATGTACATTCCTTAATTTAACCCAAACTTCTCTATTCTCATTGAAAATATATTTCACCTCTTGTTCCAAGTAATCAATGACCTCATTAGATTTGATAGCCACCTTAGCTTTTGCAGACAAGTCATCAACGGTTAGTAGTAATGAATCTCCTCCATCACTCTCCCACTCTTCAACTTTACACACCACGTCTAAGAAGAATCCAACGTCAACAGTGGATGCTCTGGTTTTAGCTTCCGCCAAATCTCGCAAGTACCGTTGTTCTGAAGCAATCACTGGAATATGTTTCACTACATCAAATGATTGCGAAAAGAAATGATTAGAGAAATTTTTGAGTTCTGTAATGCGTGTGAAATCTTCCTCTGAGAATGACTTCTTGTATAAAAGATCGTCTGGCACTGGTTGGTCTATGGCTGAGCTCATGAAAAAGTAATCAAATCCTGGACCTGCATTTCCTTGATATCCATATTTTGATTTTTTCACAACCAACCGATGACATCTAAATAGTTGACCAACGCAGTGACAATTACATATATTCTTTTCGTTGTTATAATTGATTGTCACAAGCAGAGAGTCAACACTAGCATTCTGCACTGTGCTACTTTCATCAATAATTTTAAGAGTAATGGTAAATGTTTTCATGTCCGTTTTTCTTCTAGTTTTGTAATCACAAACCACTCCATAAATGTTATAGGTTCCATCACTTTGAATTTCTGAAATCTTTGTATATATATAATCAGGTTTTTTCTTCTTTTTAGCAATTTGTTGCTTTGGTTCCACACATTCTAGATCATAGACAACATCATCAACTTGAACCAAAGAGTCCTTATCAATAACAATTCGATATGGATGACAACAGCTTATTGATTCTTCTTCGATTTCATATTCAGAGTCACTGTCAGAGTCATCAATACAAGGCTCAATCGATACGTTTTGTAGAGTGATTAATTTTCTTCCAAATGTACAAATGCTAATCCAATCTGAAAAGTCTACGTCAGATAACCGTACTTTAGAAAAAGAAACTTGAATGCAATTTGTTTCTCCGAGAGAAGAGGTGCTTCCTTCCTTTCGGTTGTCATGATCATCATCATTCGGACCATCTTCTAGTATGAAAGAAAATTCAAAACGATCATTTCTTGTTCTCTTCTTATTGTTTGCTGTTGAATGATTGTGATCCCGATGACAAGGATCATCAGCGAGCTTGACATAGCCTCGTAACGACTGTGGATGTGTGATTCGGGAGAATGTGCCATCAATATCTTTTGCGCGCATTTTTTTTATTCTAACAAATGCTAGAAGCTTCCGTGAGTCAATAATGTTTTCATTCACAGGAAAAATTGAATCAGTGAAGTTTGTTGAGACGACTCGGAGTCTGTCAATGTGTGTTGTAAATAAAGAATATGAATTTAAAAAATTGCAATAAATTAATGGTTGTCTAGAAGAAGAGATGAAAAAAGCTACATGAAAAAGGTAGATCCATCACCTGGACCTAAATATCCCACGCTCACGAGAATGAGATCAATCAACGCCCACGCACCCACACCCCCAAAAGTGAATAACTTGAATATTCCCCATCCAATGTGTCCTAGATAAAATCGGTCAGCAGAAAATCCTGATAAGCTGTTGTGGTGATTGGTACAATTCGACGAATGAATGTGAAAAAAAAATTTGTTGTAAATCAACAGAAAGATGGTTGGTAAAACGGATTATTTATTTATTCTTCGCCGCGTGTACGTGCGCATGACTAATAGTTGAATAAATAAGATTTACATTACCTTTTCTATCCTGTAATTCAGCAAGAGTACAACACAAATAGATGCAACAAACATATGCATCAGTCTCATACAGGATGACATTATTAAGCGTGCGCTGATTAAACATCCCATGGTAAACCATGAGGCATCCTTTGGACTGAAATCAGTTCAAAGAGCATCCCACTAAAGTGAGGCATCCTATTGCGATGCAATAAGGCATCCCATGATTAAAATCATAAGGCATCCCAATGTATTGAGGCATCCCAGCTCAAATGGCCAAGGCATCCTTTGGACTGAAATCAGTTCAAAGAGCATCCCACTAAAGTGAGGCATCCTATTGCAATGCAATAAGGCATCCCAAGTTGAGACATGAGGCATCCCACCCAAAGGTGAGGGAGTTGTGGAAAGCCACAACTATGTTTGTTTATTTCAGAGGTGGATTGGGAGGAGGGTGGGTACTTTTCAATTCTTTGAGAGAAAGTGATTCTATCACCTTTCTCGAAGTAATTGATAATAATTGTTCCATATCACAAGTAATGTAAATTTTTTGAAAGTGAAAATTCAAAAAATTAGTCAACCAACCACTTTTATTGATTACAACAAACCTCAGTAAAACTCCCTTTTACTACCGAATTTGTTGTAAATCAACAGAAAGATGGTTGGTAAAACGGATAGATACCGCTAAAAACCCATCTGGCGAGATACATTCTTGTCAGATGCGAATCCAGCTCTGAAATAGGCATCTATCGCATTGGAGGACCAATCACCTAGAGCTTGGATTGCTGTGTGAGAGAAACCAGCAAATGCTGCCTCTGACGCTCCTCCAATTCTTAAGGAATGACTAGAAAAAGAACCCGAAATCTTAAGGCTGGTTGCTACAAATCTAAGAATGTCCGAAATTTTAGCCGTGGATAAGGGAAGGTCATCACCAAACAAATACTTTTGAGGGTTACACACTTTCCATAACCTAAGCCAGACGACAGGACATCTCCTGGAGTTCGTTGCCTCAATTTCGATGACTCTTCCTTTCTTGCTTCGTTTAAAATCATTCTTCACTTTTTCCACAACAATTCTGATTCCGTTAATGTTGTTCTTGTTAATTTCTACCACGTTGGAGGTTAAAATACTACCCAACTCAGATCCTCGTAGCATGGACCTGATGCCGATGATCATAAGGGTCGTATAAAAAACATAAGTTCTCCTGTCGACAAAGTTACACCCTTCGAGAATCCACATATCAATGTACATAATACGCCACTCGTTTCGTTCAATCTCGTATGAAACTGGTGCCATGTTGATCATGCAATCAACTAGAGATGAAATATGTTCACCCACCACGTCAATCCATTTGAACTGATTACATCGCTTCTTAATAGCAAACATTGCCAGTTTACAATTTTTTCCGGACCTACATTTAAGAAAAAGACACACCAGAAAATTGTAAACATCCATCTCTGTGGGTGGTATTGCAATATTTCTCTCATCGCACCATCTAACAAATCGATTCCAATAACTGTCATACGTAGTGTTTGTGGACTCACGACCCGCACCGGCCTTTTCAATTAGTCCACCAACTGATGTTAGTTGGTCATCCGAAAGTCGATTAGGGTCGCCTCTAATAGCCAAGAGCTTTTCTTTTGCGGTTCGCATTTCCCTGACCGAGAGGGTCTGAAATCTATTCCAGACATTGGTACTGACCGAACCTTGCCTTCCAGCAGTAGTGGCCACCAGGGTTTTGCCTTCCATACTGGGTGAACGAGTATCATTTGAGATTGGTAAAGTTTGCAATGCTCTAGCACCTTCTGGATAATGCTGAACGGCACGCAGCACCAATTTAGCTCTTCCTTGGGCCAATAGCAACTGAATGCATCTGCGGGCTGTTCTCTCTTGGTCCTCTTCCACACCATGTATTGAGGAACCTTGAAGTTGTAATTGCTGGCGAAACGGTCGAACTGAACTTTCACCTGCAATTGATGTTGAACTCTTTCGAATGCCTCTGGGGTTACTTCCCAATCTCCGAAATCCATCTCTTCTGTGGTTTTCAACCTGCTCAATTGATCGGCGATCGAATTTTGGGACGACGGTAACCATTCCACAGCAACTAATTGAATGTCGTATTGGAATACTATTCTCCAAATACCTTCCACAATCCTTTGAATTAAGGAATTTTTGGAACGACCTTTTCGCAAAGAAAACACTATCACTTGAGAGTCTGAAAAAATTCTCAAACACTTTCCCTGAATAAGGGGAGCGACTTTTTCCATGGCAATAAAAATGGCTTTTGCTTCCAAAACATTGATATGCATATGATCCATGCCATAAGTAGACCAAGAGCCGTGTAAGGTAAAATTCAATAATGGCATTGTAGCACCAAAGCCGGATAAAGAGGCGTCCGAAAAAAGTTCGTGGATCAATGACGGAAACAAAAATAATCGACCGTTCCAATGGTGAATGTTGCAAAGAATCCATTGTAATGCGTTCGATAACTGGTGGTCTTTCACACGGTGTAGCGTATCCCATCCATCCTCTACCATCTTGAAAATTCTTGAATAAATGGGATTGAGAGCAATTAAGGCTGGTTGAAAACAGTGTACATATGACATAACAGAGCCAGCCAACTTGGCAAGGTCTCGGGCGGAAAAGGCCTCCTCTCTGTGCATTTTTGATAGGAGGTTTTTGCATCGAGCAACTATTTTCTCCACACCCTCTTCGGGAATAGAGAGAGTCATGCAATTCAGATCTACCAATGCTCCTAATAATAAAAAGACTAAGGAAGGTTTGAAACAACCTTTTGAAGGTTCTCTTACAAATCCATAAAAATCCAGCCTTAAGCTTAATCGAACAAGCTTGTTGTAGGAATCTAAGTAAGAGATACATAACACAGCCATAAAATCGTCCAAATAATTGGACAATGTATAGCCTTCTATTGTTAACAATCGAACACCTTCGTCTACTATCTGAGTGAAAAAGAATGGGCTTCCATTCCATCCAAATGTCAAAACTGTGAAGCAAAGAAGATGACCCATAAATTCGATCACAATCTTGTCTCGATCTTCTTCTCGCACCTTCACTTGGTGATATCCTGATAATAAATCGAACGTAGCACAAAACTTTTTCCCACCACTGCGAATGTGATCCAAACACTTGCTCAGAGTTTTGTACTTGAACTTTGGGATCTCCAAACAATACTTGTTTAGGGGACGAAGATCCACAATTAATCTGAATTTCTTCTTTCCTTTCTTCGGTACCAATCGATACTTGGCCACCACCTTCGGAGTTCCTTGGAAGAATTCCAATGCACCAATAGATAACATCATACATATCTCTTCCGTTAGAAATTCTCTTTCTTCCTTCGACCAAAGGGATATATCTACTCTTCCATAGTAAGGGATGAAATACTTGCTGACCATAATTGGAACCCCATCTTTCAAAAGACCCACAATCTCTTTTTTGGCACCCATCATTTCCCATTGTCTCCACTTGTTGGAAATCGAATGAATAGCCTTCTTCCTGAAGGCAATTTCTTCCATGTGAGTATCTTGGAAAAAACTGAAGGATTTCGTAGAGAGAACTGTGAGGGCCTCGTTGTTTATTGGCTTTCTCATCATCCCTCATCTTTTTGCGACACGTTTCTTTAGTGTGACCTGGTTTCTTACAATATAGACATACTATATTGCTAACATCTTTCTCTGGAGTAGGGATTTTCAATTGTTGTTTCAACACCTTTGCATCTTTGTCGCTCTTACCCACTGCTTTCAGCGCCCAAGAGAACAGGTCCGCTTTTTCTCTCAACAACGGGTTGAGTGTAGAGGAACTAATTATCTCTGCCGCTTGCTGGTGCTTCTGTCTCGCAAGGAGAACAAATGCACGATTCTCGACTGAGTCAATAGCCCGTTGCAACTCTTCATCTTCATCCTTATTCTTGAGCTGTTTCTTCAACAGAATCTTGTAAATAGCTCCAAGAGAACTAAACTCCTCCACTTCTTCCTTCCTGACTGAGTTACGGTCAAAAACAGTAGACACCCGTTCGTTGGCAAGAGATTCGGCCATACAATCTATTTGAAATAGATTCAAATCAATACTCTTCCCACTCTTGAGTAGCTCGAGAACCCTATTTCGTTGACCATTAGCTAGGGCCGCTGGTAGCTGGTCATCACAGACATCCCTTTGTGAAAACGCGCCTTGTTGAGTCAAATCAACCATGATTTGGTTGATGTCTCGTTCGGCCGATGACTTTGCTTTCTTAACCTCATCACGCATAAAGTCTAACTCTTCTTCTAATTCTCTAATCCTTTTTGACAGCACTTCACTTGAGACCTCTTCTTCCTCTACTTCCTCTTCTACCTCTTCCTCTTCTGTCCGTTCCGGAACTACTCTCAAATCCTTGATTCTTCTGAGTAATTCTTTCTTACTTGTAATTTCGTTGGACTGGTCAGAGGGGTAGCAAGATATTAAATCATTAACAACATCATTCTTCTTCCCTGCTGGGAAAGCCTTCTTGAGTTTGCTGTAGATACTTTTCAATTCTTTGAGAGAAAGTGATTCTATCACCTTTCTCGAAGTAATTGATAATAATTGTTCCATATCACAAGTAATGTAAATTTTTTGAAAGTGAAAATTCAAAAAATTAGTCAACCAACCACTTTTATTGATTACAACAAACCTCAGTAAAACTCCCTTTTACTACCGAATTAATTCGAAATAGTTCAAAAGTTCATAAATATTCTCAGGCTCTTGATGTGCAAGAACATGTCAATATATACTTACAACAAGGAATACACAAATGCACTTGCCCAAGTCTTTCCTGTAGTGTAATTACATTTTACAATCTTTTGAAATGTTCTATTTCCTAGACAATAAACATTCCATTTAGCCTTGCATTCTGTCACATAAGTATCTTGACCAGACTGACATCCTCTCTTTGGAGGAAAATAATTACAAGTATAATGTACATTCTCCACTAATTGCCAACAATATTTACAGAAATATTGTTTTTGAAATGAAGTGTCTCCAACACATGTCGTTTGCATCGTACTAATGACCGTGCAATTGGTAGTATATACATTGCCAAGAGTACAATTCGTTGGCATTGTACAATTTAAATAGGACGGATTTAAATTGTTACAAAATTCCTTTTATAATTTTATGATGGTTGATCCCGATCATCATCATTGGTACGTGAGGCGGAAGGATTTTCGTTACTTACTTTCAATCCCTCTCCTCCAAGTACCCTCTCAAATTGAAAATTATAAATAATAAACATGATCACGAGAAACATTATGATCACCCGAGAGCTACCAGCATTTATCGTCCTATGCCTTGTCATCATTTTTTATTTGAATTTATTTTCCAAATGATGATTGATGCCAATGTTTCAGAATGAAATGATTTTCCTTCTTTCAACATGGAGAATATTCGACATCTTCACGGATGATATTGGGAGCAAGTCCAACACGAACAAAAAATGAAACTTTCACTCAACATGGGCGCACTTGCTGCTGCCAAGCAATCCGAAGACAAGATCTCACCACAGCAACAACAACCAACGTCTGATGATGAGAGTGTGAATAGCTACACCAGTGATCAAGAGTCTGAAAGAGAAAGTAGTAATCGGATGGATACAAGTGTGGACGAGGCTCCAAAAATCCAACAACCTACTCCACTTCAGAAACTTCCTAGTTTTTCTCTCAATCTCAAAGGAATTGGTAATAATGCAATTACTGATTCCAACCCTTTAGCTAGTATTGTACCAAAAGCAAATGAAATTGAGGAAGAGGACGAATATAGTGATGATGATTTGAAAGAGACTTCCGGAGCTAGAGATCAGTCAGTAAAACCTTCGTCATCATCATCTCTTCCTAAATTTAATTTACAAATGCCATCGTTACCTGTATCAGAGAATACCTCATCAGCAAGAAATTCTTCGGCAAGAAACCCAGCATCATCATTTTCACAGAGTGAATCAATCCTACCTGTAGATTTAATAGTTCCGAATTTATGTACAGTCAATTTAAGCAGTTCTCAAAATATTGAAAGTGTTCTCACACAAATTGAGAGCGATCTAAACTCAATTAAGCGCGAAGATTTAGAATTATTTATTTTAAAACCTGTGGTATCTATTGAAGATATCAAAGATGCTAATTCTCTCGTTTGCAAGACCAAACAAATGACCTGTAAGTTGATCAATTTGAATACTCACCATTTATTTACAAATTTCCGTAATTGTCAGTCAATGTGGCAACGCTTTCCTCTTTGTCTAAGCAAAACCAGGAGCTCAGAGTGAAACATGATAAAACCAGTACTGCTCTTCTCAATCTTTCAAAAGAAAACGAAGAAATGAGAGCACGAATTGAGGAACTTGAAAAACAAAAAGAAGATGCCAGAAAACTTGTTGAACAGCTGCAAAATCAGTTAACAACATTAACACAAAACATGTAAATTTACATTAAATTATTATTTCTGAACTTTATATAAGCATTGGAAAGGATAATAAAACTCGTTGGACTCGTCTTTCCTCTTGATAAGGACAATGTTTTGTGAGTGCCCTGGAATTGATGGAAGCTGCTGGCTCGACTCAAGCGTAATAAATCCAATACCGTACTTCTTTCCTCGCAAGAGAGAATAGTTTGCAGAGGTCACAAATCCAATGCATTTTGCTTCGATCATTGACTTGGGAATGGCATGCATTTTTGCTTCAAGCTCCTTGTTGTCCTTGCTAGGTTTTGCAAGTTTTGTTAAGGCTATAATTTGTTGTTGATTGGTAGGTACAAAAATCATGTCATAAGGTTCCAAACTTCCTCCCCAAATTCCAAAAAGCTGTACAGGTCTATACGAAGATAAAGGGCAACTCAGCTGTTGAATAAAGTCCTCCAAGTGTTCGTTCTGGGCTACAACGTCTCTTTGAAATGCTTGGCTTGAAGGATAGTCGTTTGGAAATACTCGCTTGCCTTGCTCTAGGAGAAGCCTGTCTCTGTCAAATATTGGAAGTGCCATGGTGTTTTTTTGTTCACTGAGCTTGAACCATACATGAGCAGAGACATCAACAGTGGGTAATATGATATCAAATCCTCCTCCCATAGAACTTCCATTGTTGAGTGATGATGGTTTTTGAATGAGAAGAATTGGGTACGACCTTGGTCCTTCTGCGCTTTGTAGTGGATTGAACTTTTTGCTTGTTCTCTTATTTCTTTTTAGATATGGAAATTGATATCTGGCTTTACATTCTTTTTGATTCCAAATTAATGCAATATCATTCATACGATCTGGCACATATACCATGGACTTCTTTTGCAAGCTATTGAGAGATTTAGCATTGTCCTTACTGGATGATTGCGAAGATGTATATGATAACGATGGTGCAATAGCAGTTGCAATTAGCTGTGATTCTTTCTTAAAATCCTCAAAAGTAGTGTTAAACGAAGAAGTATAAATTGGATGTTTAGCCATGAAACTAAGGACCATATCTACTGGCAAAGAAGTAGCCATTTGAATATCTGTTTTCATTCTCTCCCATTCTTTTGAAATTGTTTTAACATGACTTTCTGATTTAGTGGCTTTCAATTCATTGATGGTATCTTCAATGTGTATCCTGACTACGTTTGATATGACTTTCATTGTTAATGGGCCTCTAACTTCAAACCTAGATAAATCGTTTCTGTGATAAATATCTCCGTTTAAATCTTTTACCAGTTGTTCTAAATGTCGATAGCCTTCTGGAAGCGATGAAGGGTGTATCCAAATCATAATTGATTCCTCTGAAGCGCCATTGAATGTCACAGTTTTTGGCCGTACTAAAAATTCCACAGTGGAAATTGTAAAATTGTGCTTATCTTTCCACTCAAAAGATCCTTCTCTCTTTCCAACGAGATAATCATTATGGAACAATAACGATGAATCGATGTGAATATTCATCATAGATTTTAGCAATTTTTCCACATTTCCAGCTGTGTTAAAATCAACTTGTAAGCACACCATATAACTCCTCTCATGAATTGTGCAATGTCGTCGAATATATCTATATCCATTTCTAAATATTTTATCTGTAATATGCTTCACAGGAAGTCTCATTCCCCATTTATCCTCCATTTTCATTCGCTTGGCATGAAATATATGTGTAGATAATCGAAAAGCTTTAGTATTGGCTTCTCCATTTAAAGCAGGTAACTGTTTCACATTCACTACAAAATCTTTTCTTTGTTGTTTTCGTTTCATATCTTTCCTTCTCTTTCTTTGTCGAACCCGTTTTGGAAGATTCATTTCTCTAATTGCAGCATTTCGTAAATGTCTCGGAAGAAGATGAGGAACCTTTGACATGGCTCTCCTTCTTAAATGTCTTGGTAATCTCTGGAATACTCTAGCATTGGATGATGATGTTGATATTTCTCGTTGTAAAGTAAAAAGTTCTTCTTTCCGAGCCTAAATCATTCGGAATAAATTAAATATTAAATTATTGTACACAATTAGATGATCACCTACACTCAAAAAGAGCGATGGATTGATACTGTGCACAGCCTCCAAAGCCTTGAAAGTGGTTGCATTGTTCGCCATTTTTTTCGAGTTTTGTAAAAATCACTTTTGAAAGAAGGGTGAGAGTGATCAACGAGTTTATTTTGTCCTGGACCCACTTCTCGAGAAGTTCCTTCTTATCCACAATATGATTACACCACTAAACGTTCATTGGATGCTGAGGTAAAATTTGAAGATGAAGAGTTCGGGCTCTGAGGTTGTTGTGAAAGACTGGTAAAATGGGAATGTAATGGTATTTGAGTATGATGCATCATCATTCCAGTATTGGGGTCTGACATCAATGAATGAGCATATCGTTCCAACTGAACTACTTCTTCTAAAGGAGCTGAAGGACGAATGTCATGAACATTCTCCAAAAAAACCTCTGAATGAATGGGAGGAGGTAAAATCAATGAAGGAACATTGGGATGAAACAAGGTCGAAGAACTTTTCAGATTTTTGCCTTTCCGTTTTTTCCTTAATAAACAAACCGAAATGATAGAAAAGACCAAGCAAAAGCCTGCCAAAAGAAATGAACCAACAAGACCAAGGATCGTTCCAATAATGGTTGGAAGTGAAATGTCCGTTTCTGTTTTCATGGTACCATTGGAGGTAGTTATCGAAAAAGCTGGAGGAGTGGATGGCAAGGGTGGTGGTGGTAGTGCAATTGTTGAAGAGTTTTCTTGAGAATTTGATGCTATTGGAATGGAAGAATTGTTCAATTTCCAACTCAAACGATAACGTAACGGACATCCTTCAGTAAAACCATTTACACATTGTAACCAAATGTATAATCGATCAATGGACTTGGGAATGTTACGATAGGGTTGTTGTTGTTGAGGAGGTAATGATGGTGGTATGAATGGTGGAGAAGGAGTGGAGCCGCTCGAAAAGGGCCATAAGGTCCATGTGGCATTGGAATTCTCATGGACAGAGATTATTCGAGGAATGAATTCATTCGAATTCATAATTTCTCTTCCCAAAGAAACAAATACAGCCACATTTCGAGGGGGTAGAGGGGGAGAAGCATTACCTTGTGAAAGTGTTCTCATGGAGAGTTCCAAATTCCGAGAGTGATCATTCAGCGATTCAGAAGCAACCACGTCCACAACAATTTTCTCAATTCCAAGAGGTGGTAATTGAATGGAATTGGAATCGGTCAACCAGTCCGAAGATTGGTTGTTGCTGAATAATACCGTGTAAGGATAATAAATTTCCTCAATGTTCACATCCACGATGGAGATACGAGCACGATTATTTTTCAAATCCAATGAATCCTCCAATGTTGGAATTTCATCAAAAGTATTGTTGTCGTTACCTCCTTTGCTGCTGCTTGTGTGTGAGCATGGATTGCTTAATACGAAAAAGTATTTTTCATTACTTGTTTTCTGATTTTGCATGAGTAAGTAATGAGTTTGATCGAAATTCTTGAACGGTCCTGACGTGATGGCTGTATAGAATCGAGAGGTTGTAGCATCTTGAGTCAATTCCACAATTTTATCGCTTCTCAAAATTCCCATGGTGACGTTCGGTCCTTCTTTCACTTGAAAATGAAGATGAAAATGGCCATACGAGTACTCGGTGGGGTGACGCCAATGAGAACATTCATGAATGGCATAACTGCACAAAACTTGTGTGAGAAATAATTGTGAAAGAAGAATATCACCACTTGCCACACAGAGTAGTTGGAGTAAAGCCATCGTGGAACTGAATCGGCCTGTTTTATGTGAGTTGAACCAACTGGTTGTATGACTCTTGTTCATTTTGTTCATTGTGATAAAGTAAGTGGACGTGTTCTCGTGGAGGTAAATCTTTTTGTCATCATAATGTGTTGTCATCCAACACAATAGGTTAGGAGGATTTTTTCTTAATTCATGCAATTTGTCAATTTTGGGATGTGAATTGATTTGAAAAGATACCTATCGAGTAAGTTGATCTCAGGTCAGTATCCATGTTGCAAGGAGTTAAAAAATAATAATGATTCAATGAGTTTACTTCTTCTTAGCACCTCCAGCAACGTTGAACTTGAAGAAAATAATGTCACCATCCTCTACTTCATAGACTTTACCCTTTTCCTTGAGCTTTCCGGCATTCTTGCACTCAACTTCGCTTCCAAGTTCTTTAAAGTCCTCGAATTTCATAACTTCACAGCAAATGAAGCCTTTTTCGAAATCAGAGTGAATTTTACCAGCAGCTTGTGGAGCTTTTGTTCCTCGCTTAATTGTCCAAGCTTTCACTTCATCCTCTCCAGCAGTAAAGTAGTAAATCAGGTCAAGAGTCTTGTATCCACACTTGATAATTTCTGGAAGCTTGGAAGTCACTCCCTTCTTAATGAGCTCTTGTCTTTTCTCTTCATCAGTTTCTTGCCATTTCTTTTCGAAGGCAGCGCTGTATGGAATGACTGGCTCTGGTTCTCCCTTTGAATTAACGTACTCTCTGATTTTGATAATGTATTCATTCTTTTCTGGGTCAACTACGTCTTTTGGAGTCATATTGACGAGGTAAATCATTGGCTTGCTTGTCAACAATTGATGAGGATTCAAAATTTCAATTTCTTTTCCAGTCCAATCTCCGAATCTAACTTCTCTTCCTTCTTTCAACATTGCAAGAGCCTTGTCAATGGCGTCTAATTCATCCTTCTTTTCTTTCTTTTGCTTAGCAAGCTTTTCAGTTGGACCTCTAATATTTTCCAAGTAAGCAATATCTTTTTTGATCAATTCATTTTCAATAATCTTAATGTCTCTCACTGGATCAATACTTCCTTCAACGTGAGTAATATTCTTGGAATCAAAAGTTCTAACCATATGGAAGATGGCATCAACGGCACGGATGTGAGACAAGAAAGCGTTACCCAATCCCTCGCCTGTTACATTGAACATTGCAGACGGCAAGGATTAATACGGAAATGCAATAAAAAGTTGTTATTGTTATCCATAGTGAGTGATCCATTTCCATGTAAGTGCATCAATAATAATTACAGAAAATTGGGAATAATAAATATCGAAGTGAAGGGTCATCACAGAATAATCACCGAAATCGATTTTCAGATTATTACAAATACGTTAATATCAAATCACAAGGTAAACAATGTAAAACAAACCTTCGGAAGCGTTTTTGACCAAACCAGCAATATCAGTAACGTTCAAGACAGCTGGTACGTTATTGGCTGGCTTCCAGTGATTCACCAACCAGTCAAATCTATCATCAGGCACAGCAACACGGGAAGTACTTGGATCGATGGTACAGAAAGGGAAGTTTTCAGCAGGTACTTGAGAGTTGGTCAAAATGTTGAAGAAGGTTGACTTTCCAACGTTAGGAAGACCGACAATACCGATTTGCAAGTTGCTACCCACACGACCAAAGGCAATGGTTTTGCTTTCTTTCGAGCTACTCATTTTTTTCTTCGCAAAGACTTTCAAAATTGAATCATTCAAGAGGAGAATGAAATTGGTGCACATACCGAGTAGTGTATGAAGGAGAAAAAGGATAATGGTCTTGTTTTTATTTAATACCCTTTATTACGTGGAATCCCACATTCAAATTGCAATTGACAATCATCATCAACAACACTCGTGAAGAAGATGAAATAAAAATTCAAAAAAAATGAACGCCAACACAGAATCCTATCGTTTGTGGAGAATTAGACGGACCGTGTTGCAAATGTTGGAAGATCGTGGGTACATGGTCATGCCTGATGAGAAGAATGCCGATATTTCAGAATTTGAATCAAAATTCTGTAATGCTCCAGTAAATGTTGGGCAATCGGGACAAGCTCGCGGTTATTCTTCGGTATCCAGAGAAAAATTAACTATTGTTACATCAATGACTGATGATCCTTCCGAAATGATTTTTGTTTTCTTCCCTCCAGAAAAAGCGATAGGTATGAAGCAAATCAAGGATATCCACTCAAAAATGAAAGAAAACAACGTAAAGAGAGCTATCCTTGTGTTGAGACCTGCTGACTCATTCCAACACAAAGATCTAAGTTCACAAGCTAAAAAAGCTATTGAAGCTATTCAATCAATCGGATATATTTTGGAAACCTTCAAAGAAAACGAACTTTTGGTAAATATTACGGAACATGTGCTCGTTCCAAAGCACGTTCCACTCAACAGCTCTCAAAAAGATGACTTGCTGGCAAGATACAAACTGAAAGAGACTCAATTACCTAGAATTAAGATTACAGATCCAATTGCCAGGTACTATGGTCTTCAAAGAGGACAAATTGTGAAGATTATTCGTGCCTCAGAAACTGCAGGAAGATATGTTACCTATCGTTATGTTGTTTAAGCTATTTCAATGACATGTATTCATTCCATTATTATTATTACACGAAACATGACGATCAAAACTTCTCACTCCTCTTTCTAGTTATAAGAGATAGTAATCTGCTTGTAATCAACCTAAATTAATTATTTTACCAACCAATACAACCCCTTAAAACTTTTAGATCCTTTGTTTGGATTCTTATCTCCATCTCAACAAGAATAAAATGCAAATGCCGTCAAAGGGAAGGCTCATTTCATCATCGTCATCCCTCAGCAAACCACCATCTTCCATAGACCCCATTCATCATCAACCACAAAACGAAAACGGCAGCACGAGCATGGAATTCATGACCAACATACAATCACATTCAATGAATAGAAACGCAAATAACAACTTGCAAAGTCTTTCCGAACAACAATATTCAATTCTGCCCGAAAAATACAATTATTCATCTTCAGCCATACCGTTCCGAGAGAGTAAGGCTGTTATTACATCCACAAGCATTCAACCTCACCAACATTCAACATCTTCAGATATAATTTCCTCTCGACTCGTTCATCAACGAAATGTAAATAACAATAACCCATCTCATAATTTACGACACCGAAATCAACCACCACCAAATGGAAATTTTAATAATTTATTCAGATCCGAAACAACAACACCTTTTTCTTCCATTCAAAATATTCAAAATGTAAATAGTTACAGCTCATATACGGATGTTGCAAATTCATCGGTAAAAGAGAACAACATCGAAGCCTCAATTCAAAGTAAAATTAAGGCTCTTTCTAAAGCTTCAGAAAAGCAAAACGGTTCCAAAATTTGTTCAAATTCATTCACAAAAGATGGACCAAGATCCTCTCCAAGAAGGCATACTCTACATGTGGACGATCCAAAGCGACTACGTCCTTCAACATGCAAGACATCAAGTGATGACAAAACTCAACCATACCCCATCCCTGTTCTGTCTCCAACAACTATTGAGGTAGTTCAGAGGCTTTCAGACAAATATGTAGCAACCTCAAAACGGAATAATAATCGAAAAGTGTCCACTGCATTTGTGGCAAAGTTTGTGGAAATTGAGAGAAAGAAGAGACAAATGAAGGATATGAATCAGCATAAAGAAATGCAATTGGAGATGAGTAAAAATGCAAAGGAAGAAAAAGAAAACGCTGTTGTAAAGAAACTATCGAGAGAGCTTGAGGAACGCCTTGAGTCCATTTCGCAAAAACTGTCTTTTTTGGAAAAGCAATCACACCGAGACAAGGAGCTCATTCAATTTTACAGAAATCGAGAACGTCATTTCACGGGAGGAAAGCCTTCAAAAGCATTAACAAGTTCCTTACTATCATCCAGTAATAGCTCCATGAACAATATCCATCTAGCAGTGAATAATTTATTCGAGCAGCCCGTAGTTGACCCTTTTGATCTCACCAAAATGAGTCCTCCTAAAGGAGTCAGCTTTCAAAGCATTGTTTACTATTGGAAAGTGTTTTGTAAAATAACTTATGTTTGCAGGTTCGTTTTAGCTCGAGAACATTAAATGCGACTTATTCCACATAATCGTCATCATCTTCATCATCGTCGCTATCTTTTTTGCTTAACTTTTTGTTTGATTTAGATTTCTTAGATTTTGAACGAGAGCTGCTTTCAGACTTTGAGCCAGATCCCATGGAGGGTTGTTCGCGCTCTCTAATTTGCTCTTTTAATTTTTCTGCCATTTCAGTTATTGCTTTCAAAGAGGCTTCTTCTTTAAGAATAGGAGCATGTTGTTCTATTTGAGCCGACACAGAAGGTCTAAATGAAGATGTTTCCACTACACTGGTGGTTGTAGCACCAGACTTCCTCTCACTTGTTATATTGTCATCGTCGCTATCAGACTCGTGTTTCAGTGATGCTTCTGTTGCTGTCTTAATTTTCTTGATTGTATTTTTCACATTCTCTGTGTTAGTTTTGAGAATTTGTTCAAATTGTTCATTTGGATCGTAGAATAATAGCTCTTCATATTGCTCGGAAACAAATGGTTTTCTTTTTTTGATTGCATTGTCTGATGGAAGTTTTAAATCATATTGTAATCGTATGGGATCAAGACCGCTGGAGGAATGAAAATGGATGTCAATAAAAAGAGGGAATTGTCCCCAACCTTCTTGTTCAGTTTCAAATGGAGGTTTTGTAATAGTAACTACAGGCGGATTAAACGTTTCATGAAGATGAAACACAACTTTTGAAATATAATTTAAATCATCATCCAATACAAGACCTCTCACATAGCAGACCCATTTACACCATAAACGCTCAGTATCTTTCTTTTTAAGACCTATTGCATAGTTTCCTAAAATTATAGGTTTAGTAATAAGTATTGGATGCTTTCTTTTTGATCCCGATGTTTGATCCGATGAAGACTTTCGTTTTTGAGAATTTTTCTTCTTTGTGGGTGTTTTCTTCTTTGAGGGCATTTTTTTTAATTGTAGTTTGCATTAAAACAATAACACTTTCTGAGGAAGAGAGCACATTTAGAACTCATAGAGCACATTTCTGGCGTTCCCAACTACCACTTCGCTGGTGTAACATTCCTTTATTTGGTTCATTCGGGCTACGTCTCAGTGTTTTTGTTACATTAGCTTTTTGTTGTTCGCCCAGCAAAAGCTGCTTTGTCTTTGTTGAAGGACAAAGGCTTCTGCTGGAGCTATAATGAATAATAAAACGACTTGAGGTATGTTGTTGTGATTAGAAAAATACGGTGTAATTGTGGTCGGAAGAAATAAATAGGTGAACAATTTTAAACGTGTTCCAATTTTTGGACGAACTTTTTTTGTGATGAAAAATGCTTGACATTTTATTGCATGTCTTGAGACGAAGCCACCACCTGGCTCAGCTGGGAATACGAAACGAGGTTTTTTGTTTTCTTTGCAAATACGTAAAAAGGAGGTGACAACAACTGATAATTTCCAACAATCACAGCAATTTGTTTTTGATAAAGCTTGGTGCTGGTTGTTGATGAAAATTGTCCAATTAATTTAAATTTGAATGGATCCGTCTGATTTGGTGCCACAAATATTTTAAATGAGTTAATTGGTTCAGAATGTCGAGATGCATTTTCATTGTTCTCATTGAAATTGCGAACCTCTACGGTTGCATTGCTCAAAGAAATATGATTAGTCTTAATTTCAAATTCTACGGGCTTTTTAAGCAAAAATGCCGCAATATGATTTTGAGCATGAATTAATGAGTCGTGTGTTTGAATAATGGTAAAACTGATGTCGTCGGTTAATGTAAGTCGTTCTGTTAAGTTTGGCAAAACTTCACTTGTTTCAATATGGAAAACAGGAAGTGAAATGTTGTAGTAATTGGAAATGCTTGTCTCCATGAAATCGGTGGCAAATCCGGCCCTATAGTCATGTCTTGACTGATGGTATGATTGACGGATGGAGTTGACACGATGTTGTAAACATCGCAATTGTAAGTCTTTCGCACAAATTAAATCTTGATCTGTAAAACTATAAGAAATGGATGTCACGCTTTCTCTAGCTTGCTTTCTTTCATTATTAAAGTCAACAAATTGTTTTTCAGTCATTCTCATCAAAATTTGTTGGTTAATTTGACTAGGGGCATCACAATATTTCCTCTTTCTATCGTTATTGTATGAAAGATATACACATTCTTTTTTCACTAATTTGATTTTCATGTTTGAGTAACTTCTATGATAGTCCAATACTGTGGTTCTTTTTGAATAATCACGTGACTCTCCGAAAAATCCTTCAAGAGAACGTGTTCCCAATAAAGACAAATCAAAAACTGCATCTTGTGGAATAATTCTGATCAATTTCTGAATTGTTTTGATGTTATGGATAATGATGTTTTTTGTGAGGGTTCCGGATAATGTAAAATTATTATTCTTATTGGAAATAATGACGTCTTGGAAAACGGTATCCCACTCATTCAAATAGTCCAAATTTTCCTTAAGAACTTGCAACACTTCGTGCAAATTGTGTGAAGATGTTCCATCATGATTTTTGTCATCGTAAACATGAAATAAATCATGTATCGCTTTTAAGTACTTATAGAATCCTAAATATCGATAGTTGGTTCTCTCGTTCAATAATCGTAATTTTTCAAGTAACTGTAAATTGCATACATCACGTAATACATCCTCAGATTGATCATCATATTTGATAAACGAGCTCCGTTTAACTATTTTACACCACTCTAAAGGTTGTTGTCTATATATTTCATCGAGTGTGTTCAATTCAAATCGTTGTAAAATAGAACAAGAAATTTTGGTGACAGCTATGTCTTGATTGCTAAAATTTGCCACACACACTTTACCAATGTTAGTATGAAGGGTTTCACTCAACAACGTAACACTTAATTCGTTGTCATTGCTGCTATGATAGAAAGAAATGCCTCCAGAGTTAAAATTCCGTGGTTCTTTTTCTTTCCATTCAAATGAAATTGTGTCTTTGTCATTCACTATGAAGGAAAGTGGTATGTTGGTCGCTTGTGTTCTTTGAATAACAATTTTCATCAAATGGCAACCGTTTCCGTTGTCGTTGGAAGAAATACAAGCAGAGGAATGGCGTGCAATTTGAAGGTTTGGAGCACCTACTTTAGTGGCAACCGGATATAATTTTGGTCTCCCATTAATTGCATTCCTCATGTTTTTGCAATGGTGACTGTAGCAAAAATGATGTAGTTCATTTGGGCTCGATGTGAAATATTTGTAATTAGCAGACCCTGCATCTGACACAGTACAGACGATGTTTCGAGTATATGTGTCACGAAATTCAGAAATCGTGTCTCTAATGGTTTGTTCAGTTTCAGTAGTGCATACTTTGAAGTTTCCAGGAATTCGAACTTCACCGTTAATACTGCAATATAAAGTTTGAACAATTTTTTCAGCTAAAAAACCCTTGGGTGGAAAATTCGGACTCTGAGCTAGTGCAGTACAATCACTAATCTTCAATGGACCTTCATTGGCACCGTATACAAGCCCAAGCTTGGTATTGATTCCTAAATGCGGTGTTACATCTACTGCATCAATTTGAACAAGACCAAAATTTTGATTTTCAATAACCTTCATTTTTTCTACTAGCTTATCAAAGTCATCTTTGTCTAGTTTAGTATTCCCTTCTCCATATGATGCGGTGTGAAAATGATGGTCGAGTGTGGATGAACAAGGTAGGACTAAGTTACATCTTTCAGAAGAGGGTTCAAATTCTTGTCCTCGTTTCAACCCTCTCGCCAATGCTTCATACGCATTGTATCCCATGATAACCAATAAATCTTGAGCAAAACAAAGAACAGATGGGCTCCATCTATGGCCTCTACTGTCTTTGCAAATTAATTGTGAAAAAGCATCACGAAGATATGTGAAAAAGAAAGTTCGAGGTACTAATTTGCGACTACCTAACACCTGAAAAAACAATTTTTTCAATTCTTGAATATCCTCATCAAATATATCACATTCCGAATAATAACTATCATCATCGTTATTTTGTGATTTAAAATCAGCATGGTCTACAAAATTATGAGAGATGGTGTCGGACTTGGTATTTACAATTGATGAGTGTGTTGGAATAAATTTGTTGTTAATTAGTTGTTGCAGCATGTAATACGGTGCTGTTTGTTCTTTTGTTGAATATGACAACGTGATGTAGTCTTCAGCAAAACCATGATCCAGGATTTTATGTAATTCAATAACGCCGACATTTTTTTCTGGTTCGAGTAATTTCATGATGGTTGAACTAGAATAACGTTGTGACGTTGTTGAGGTTTGAGGTGGGTCTTCGCAAGCTGTACTTGTTTTGGAGTGTTTACGTTTTTGACGAATTCGCATCAGCTCGTCATGACACTCTTTCAATTTCAAATAGCCTTGAAAATGTAGTTTGTTGATCCATTCTGATGTTAACTCTTGATTTTGTCTTTGATTTTGAAATTTTGGGTCAGAGTAAATGTTATAGATAGCACTATCCTCGTCCGGGTCAATGCAATCAGTAACATATTGTGCAATCTTTGTTGAATTGTCAACCTGGAATTTGCAACAGTATAGAACAAATGGGACTCGTTTGTTGTGTGTGATGAGGTATGAGAAATATAGTTCGAGATGGCGATGGATGGTATTAAAATCCTTGCGATGAAATCCACATTGATCAATAATATCTTCTATTAAATGTTCGACATTAATATATTGATGGACTGCGAATAGCATTGTTTTGATGGCAACATGATATTCCGGTCTCAACAGACCGACAAAGGCGTTTCGTTCATGTTTTAACATTTTTATTGAAAAAACCTCCAGCAAACACCAGAACAAAACTTCGACAGCCTGCTCGACCTTTTTTAAAATGGTTAGGATTCTAAAAAATAAAGTGCTTTCCAAATGCTATTGTAACACTATTTCTGGGAGTTGGGAACGCCAGGCACATTTACTGAAATAAATAATTTACAACTGTTTCCATCCAGTCACCTTCTTTCCTTGTTGACCCATTTCCTTCAGCAATGTAAAGTGGCCAACAACTGCATCCCAGAATGATGGGTAAGCATTGTATCTAATACCATACTTCTTTGCAACTCTTTCAACAATTGGTTGAATCTTTGGATAATGAACATGGCAAATAGTTGGGAACAAGTGATGTTCAGTTTGATGGCACAAACCACCACTAATGTGATTCCACAACCAGGATCTAGGAGCAAAGTTGCTTGAGCCAGTGACTTGGGTTTCAGCCCAATCAGCATGAACCATACCATCCTTTTCAACATGGTAAGTATCAGCAATAGGAGTAACGTGATTAACTTGGAAATTCAAAACCAAAATGAATGAAGCAACCATGTAAGCAATGGTCCACAAAAGAAGGACACGTTGGAAAGTATGACCAGAGAAGAAAACAGGAATGATCAATGAGTAAGTAATCCAACACATCTTAGAGCTAACAAATAAAAGATATTCGTTCTTTGGAGCTGGTTGGAATTTTACACCTCCCCAAGCACCCAAAACCATGGCGAAAAAGTCACGGAATGCCAACTCAAAAAGCAAGGTACAATAGAGGAATGGTAAGTAAATGTGTTGATACTTGTACCACCAGTGTTGCTTTTGACCAGCCTTAATCTTTCTAAAGTGTGGCTCATTGGTATGAATATCTGGATCACGTTCCTCAACATTGGTATGAACATGGTGACCAACAGAGTGAATCATCTTCCAAGTGTAGGAAGATCCTCCTAAAACATCAAAACATAATCCGACTATTCTGTTAATTGTTGGATTATCGCTGTAACCTCCGTGGTTGGCATCATGCATCATACCCATACCAATATTGGCGTTAGCCCAACCCCAAACAATAGCAACAAAGAATGAAACAATAATCGAGTCAAAATAATAGAAGGTTGCCAAGTACAAGACAAACCAAATGGAGAGTGAAAGGATTGTCTTGACGTACATTTCTGGTACATCACGTGGTGTTAAATTATTATCTTTAAAGTATTTCTCAACTTCACTTCGGACTTCTTCATAAAACTTGGTTTGCTTCTCTGGAGCATATATATGTTTGGTTTGTTGCTTTTTAATCATTTCCTCCGTTACTACTTTTTCTTGTTCAACCTCACCAATGTAATACTTATCAAGCAAGGCTTGATTGGTAATAGTCTTGGTTGGGTGATGGCTGAGGAAGAGTTCAGTGGATTGTCTTCCTGCTGCCAACAAGATCATATCACCTCCTGGATGATATGGAACGAACTTGGTAACGTCATAGACCTTTCCGTGAATGACTAACCAAGCACTACCTTCGTGATTGTGTTTTTCAATCTCGTCCCAGGTGAAGGTCTTGCCCTTCTTGGTTGCAATGTCGGATGAACTCATAACTGTGTGTTTGCAACACACCATAGTCCAGTTCAGTGATGATGAACAATTAATTGTAAAGGGATACCAAGTAGGCCATGATCGTAGAATGTACGGATGATAGAAATTGTGGATTTACGAAAAGCAACATTTCGTGATGATATGAGAAGAAGTGAAGATGACAACAATTAGTTCAACATTGATGAATAGACAGCATATTACAGGTATCAACATTCATCATCAAGCATTTCAAGGTTACCAAGCATACAGTTCGTTCAACGGACAATAAAATTGTTAAACATTCAAGCTTGGACGGAAAGCGAAAAATTGTCAATACCTACGGAGAAAGAGTTGGTGCTGTTTTTTGGGTTCGAAATTATGATGAAGACGAGGGCAACGAATATTTTTCACTGTCCAATTGGCTCAAGGAGAATATTCTTCCAGTCGTCTTCTCCCGCCATGAAATTTATTGTGTTCGGAAACCTACTCGCTTCACGAGGCCGAATGACCAAATTAATGCATAATGAAGACGAGATCTTACTAAGCGACGTCTTTATTATACATTAGAAGATTAGTGCTTTGCAGTTTGAAGGTGAAATAGAGGTGTGTTTTTATGGATCGATTCAGGAGAAAATGGCTGCCGACTTGGAAGGTGGTGTCTCATTCCAACTTAATTCCCTCTGGACACACACAGCCAAACTACAGTCACCTTGTACCAAATGATGCATCGACTTGCACAGCTGTATACCTATCTATTGATTCAAAATTTGGCTTTCCATCGCATCGGCTTGCACAATCTGAACAACTAAAAATGCTTTCATCAACCAAACCGCAGACCTCATCATCACTCTCGGACAGTGACGAGCATTTAAAAGTTTATTTGAACGTTTATGATTTACAAAAGAGCACTAATGTGATTCAGCATTCTCTAGGATTGGGCTCTTATCACAGTGGAGTTGTGATCAGAAATACCGAATACACTTTTTCTGCTGACTCGGGAGTATTCAGCCACAAACCAAAAGACATTCCGGCCACATTTTTAGAATCAATTTATATGGGTAAAACAGAAGTGGAATCTGTGGCAGAATTGAATGAAATCATCAATGAGTTGAAGAAAGAATTTAAACCTTCTGAATACAATCCGTTAAAGAAAAATTGTAATCATTTTTCTAACGCGCTATGTCAAAGATTATTGGACGGAAAAACAATTCCTGGTTGGGTCAACAGATCGGCTGGTATTGGTTCATTCTTCTCTCGATTCTTGCCCAAATCTACTGAGAAAAATTTAATTGAAAGCTCGGAAGCCAAGCAAATTATGGACTCAGTCAAAATGGAAAAATATGAAAATGAAAACATTTATACAAGCCTCAATAACATTGTAAATATGAGCGCTATTGAATGTTTGAATCAAAGGAAACCTAATATTGTACAAAATATGTTTGAAATGAGTGACAAGAAATACTTAGAGAGCGATGCTGACGAACAACTAATTATTAGAATTCCTTTCAAGACTCCTGTAAATATAACAGCCATCATTTTAAAGGCAACCAATAAGCTCAAATGTCCAAGAGAAATATTACTGTTTACCAAGACTGGTATGATCGTAGATTTCGACAATGCTGAAAGTGTTGAACCGACCCAGGTCATCGAAATTGATCCTGACGCTGCAGTTAATGGAGTTGCCATTCCTCTTAAAATTGTGAAATTTAAGAATGTCAATATGTTGCAGCTATTTGTGAGTAACAATTATGGGGACAACACTACCATTATTAATCATTTGAATATTATTGGAAAACCAGTGGCTACAGTGGATTTGAACAAGTTGCAACAAAATGCACCTGGATGCTCTTCTTGTTCTGGAGGTGGTTGCTGTAATTAATGTTGTTATCAATTAATGAAATCAACTCTTATTATGACAACAGATGGTTTTGGTGGAGAATTAAATTCTTGTTGAAATCAAAAAAATGGGAAATAGCGTGCCAACCAATATTCCTAGCGAAAATATCGTTGGGTATCAAGTCATTTCTGTTGCTCCTCATTCTCCTGCCGAAAAGGCTGGTTTATGTCCGTATTTCGATTTCATTCTCTCGATGGATGATATTGATCTTTCCATAGAAGATCGGCAATTTTTTCTCACCTACGTACGTAATTGATCGGGTGATGTTGGCCATTCATTCGTTTATTCTTGGAACTTACGGTTTTATTACCAACCACTCCGATGAACATGATGTATTAGATTTCGAGAAGTTTAAATCAACCTTTGAAAATGACCGTGTTTAGTTTAAAAACTATGAAGCAACGTCTTGTAACAGTCATTCCAAGACAAGATTGGAATATTACAAATTTTAATGATGGTGAAGCAAACAACAACAATGAAATATCAGCACATTCTACATCAGAATCCAAAAAGGATGGCTCTGACTCATCACAAAACACTGCTACTAGTAATATTACCAATAAGAGCATGTGCTTAGGTTGCTCGATCAGATATGAATCTGTGAAGAATGCACTTAATTGTGTGTGGCATGTCATCGGAGTGCAACCAAACTCACCAGCAGATAGAGCTTCTATTCACGGAGATGGAACTGACTACATTGTTGGCTTCGATAACCGATTATTTTCTGAACCTAATGAGCTCACTGAGCTTTTGAGCTATTATCAAGGATCAATGTCTTCTTCATCAATTTATTTATCACTTTATGTTTATAATTGGAGGTTGGATTCATTTAGGCATGTTGTTGTAAATATGAGTGAAAAGGGTCATTTGGGAATTGAGTTAGGAACGGGGTATCTTCATATTATTCCACCACCGTTATCAACTAGCACAGTAACATCGTTTCAACATTTATCACTAGTATCGAATCAGAATAATGGATTGCATTTGCATTCATCAACATTACCTCTCTCAACAATTGAAAAGGTACATTCATTTTCTAATGAACCTGCAGTTGAATCCAACTTTTCTCTACGGGAAGAAGAAGACTATGTGGTTGTGCAACATCATCATCCAGCTGATTCTTCAGAACAAGCAACATCCAAACCATCATCACCAATGCAATCAACAAGCACAGATAAAACAAACAACCCCAGTAACAGTATGGACATCACCACTGTTCATGCAACGACATCAGACATGACAACAACACCGCAAAGCTCAAGCCCACAGGGTGCTGTGTTCTATCAACCCTCACCCACCACTCCCTCTCTTACAGAACGCTCTACCACAATTTCATTTTCTCTTCCTTCTTCCAGCATAACAAGCGCTTCCACGACTCATCAAGCTCAACAACTTTACTCAATTCCTTCAGAAGAAAAGAATTCTACGACGAGGAAAGTCGAAACTTTGAACATTAACATTGCTTCTTACAACCCTTTTGCTCCTGTTGATGGTAACGAAGAATTATCACTGGGAGACATTATTGGAGAGCACGAATAGTAAACGCTTGTTAATGAACAAGGTGACACCACTTTGCATAAAATCGTTATCCTTCTTCTCATGGAAAATTTGAAAGGATGCTTCATTTTGTAAAGAGGTGCGAACAAAGCCTTCGTGCACCACACTCAACCAAACTTTGCTCAAAAAAATATCACCCACTTCTGCTGCACTTCCTGTGTTGTGCCACTTTATTCTTGCATCCGAAGAAGAACAGCCTCCTTCTTTCCCAGTTCTCTCTCTTTGAAACATCATTCTGAGAGAATTATCAATTAGTGCATTAGTTTTGAATAGACTCGTCATCATCCACTCCAAAATTCCGTGTTCTTCATTAACAACATCAAATATCGTCATCATGAGTCAACAAAGTGAATTACCTTCCTCCGTTACTGAAACTACTGTTGGACAAACAACAGAAAAGAAGCAACTCTCTAGAGAAGAGCTCAAAGAAGCAATTTCTAAACAAGTAGAGTACTACTTCTCTCGACAAAACCTCTCCACCGACCATTTCTTGGTATCTCAAATGAACCATGACCTTTTTGTTCCAGTCTCTGTCATTGCAAACTTTAAAATGATTAAAACACTCACTGATGACTATGATTTAATTTGTGAGTCCGTAAAGAACTCGAGTCAAGTCGTTGTGGATGAGCTAAATAAGAAACTCAAACCAAACATTGTTTTGAAGAGAAACACCGTTATCATACGAGACATTCCTCAAACAGTACCACAAGAACAAATCCTTAAACTATTCTCATCAGATAATCAACCACTTACCATTCACAGCGATATTGGAAACACTTGGTTTACATCATTCGAGACTGAAGAAAAAACACTTGAAGCTATTGAGCATTTAAAGACCCAAAATTGGGAAGGAAAACCAATACAGGCTAGAATCAAAACTGAAAGTTTACTAAAAACTGTGGGTACAGCTCCGGTTCAACAAGGAGCATCATCGCATCAAGCACAGAATCAACAAAACAACTACAATAGAGGAGGAAACAGAAAGTTCAATAATAGACCAAATCAACAGAACAGTACTGGACCGAACGTTCCACAAACAAAGCCTGGTACTCAAGGAAACACCAGACCACAAACCAACAATTCTCCACCACAACAACAAAATAATCAAACATCAAACAACAGAAATAGTAGTAGAGGAGGAAATCAACCTAACCGAGGAAGAAGCAATAGTGGAAGTAATAGACCACCTCTCAATGGAAATACTAAGCAACCAAGAGGACCACGTAAGGATGCATTGAATTTGAACAGCGTTAAGAACTTCCCTCCTCTTCCAAAGTTGAACGAATCGACAGAACAAGTTGGATATGGAAGCCAAAAATTCTTACGTTACAGCAAGCAAACTGTGTTGAGAGTATTTATGGAACAACAAGAAAAAGGTGAACATGGTACAAAACCTGAAATCTTGATCGGAAATGAATGTATAGCAATTTTGAATGAACCTAAGAAGGATTTGGAGTTACACAAACCTCAAATGGATAAGAGCCAACTTGCCAATGAAATTATCCCTCCTGAAAGTGAATCAAAAGATTCTACAACTTCCACCACATCATCCCTTAAACCAACCAATTTGATGATTCCAAGATCTTCATTTGCTGAAGCAGCCATAACAGCAAAAGATATCAAGACACCAGACACGCCTAGCACTTCTCATTTCTTTGCCAAGACCCGAAAAAGAAGAGGAAGCAATGCAACTGGACATAACCATAACAATGTCACATCAAAGCCTCATCACACAAAGCCAACGCAAAAACCTTCTGAAAGCAACAAGCAAGCACCAACCAAGACTCAGGAATCAACCACAGCTCCAACTACCACTACCAGTGCTGCAGCAACTACTAGCGAGCAACCATCGTGGGTTTCTGTTGTGAGTTCAACTAAAAAGTAGAGCTTACGAAGCCCATGGTCATTTGAGTTTGGTGTTTTTGTACATGGCTCTTTCGGTGCGTTGTGAATTCATGTGGAGAGTTATGTTTCTTTCACCACGGCTCAAATAAAGGACTTTGCATTTGGAGCTCAATAACAACATTGACATGACGAACAACAACTCAACCTAAGAGATGGATCACCTTCGACAATTTTTATTTAGCTTTGCTATGAAAAGACCTTCAATATTCAACTTTTCTTCTTCTGTTGTAAGGAAAGGCCTTATTAGAGTGGGCCATCTCCTCCAGGATATCCACTGTTGAAGCCATTCCTATCCAATTCGATTGTTCATCTTCCACTAAAACATAGTGAATGTTATTTGAACGCATGGCTTCAGCAACCTGCTCTTCTTCAAGGTAATCTTTTGCAAACGTTAAATTCTTTGACATCACTGACTCAGCAGGAAGATCAATGTTTTTGTAGGATTTCAGACTCTCTCTAACGAGATCTGTTTTAGTCAGTATTCCAACAGGACGATTGCTGTTGGATGGATCAACCTAATGTAAAAGGCCTCATGTAAATCAACATCATATCGTAATGAAACTCACCAACACTACCGATCCGATGTTTTCATTAACCATTAATGTCGCAACATCTTTTAGACTTTGATTGGAAGGAGCCTTGGTTCAATGGTAAAAACAATTAAGTTTATCGTTGCTACCAACCTTTACAACTTTTTCAGTTGGTACCATAAAATGTTTTAATTTCATGACGTGTTCTTTCTTTTAATTTTTTGAATCATTTTCATTCGAGATAATTGTTTCTTCCTCCCAACGCTAGGAATGTTCATTTTCCAAAAATTGCATGACTTCCTTAAAAAAATACTTGGAAGCATTTTCTTCTTTCGAGCCTTCACAATTTGGAGAGCAGCCATGATCCTAATATTCATCTTTTATAAATTCATAAATGCTCGAACGGCAAATCTCTCACTAACCACTCATAGTAAAAGAGAGACACATTCTCTGCTGGATCTTGATACGCCTCCTCCAATTCTGTAAAATCAAATCGAATATGAGGTCGCAGAGCAATGAGGTCATCCAATGGATACACATTGTTGAAAACTTTCATGAACTTCAAATCTCTCCACGAATCAATATTGCTCATTATGGTTTTTAAACAATCCATCAATGAGGACTGGTGTGTGAAATGAACTTGTCCATTCAGAAAAAGACAAGTCAGAGAGGGAAATGCTGTTTCAATCTTTTTCAAACATTGATTTAAAATAATCTCATCATTGTCAGCAAGAGTAACACACAGTCGTTGAATGTGTGGGTTGTACAACTCCAGCCGCTGTACAACATCCTCAACGTCGAGCTTAATGAAAAGAGTGTGAGCACTTTCTTCATGTCTATATTTTCAATCATTAATAATTCTCCAAAATCCTTTAAATTTGGAGCAAGAGTTTTGAGAGAGTTTACAAAATAGTCAAGTTCACTTTCTGGAGCATGATTATTGAAAGAATACATGCTTCCTACATCTAAGAATTCCAATTTTGGTAATGTACCACCTCCAAAATGAATATCTTCACACTGTTCTATGAGTGAAGCATTGTCTCTACCTCGTTCGATTCTGAAATATATCAACTGTTGAAATTGTCCAATTTTTTTAAATACTTGTCCGCTAAAATAGCAACACAAGTCAATATCTACATGTTCCAAATTTGGCATTTTCTTTAGAAATGAATAGAGACCATTGTCAGTGATTTCATTCTCTATACTTGTTGAATGTTCATCTCGTCCTCTTACTATAAATTGTTTCAATTTGGGACAAACTTGAGCCACTTTCAATAGTAAATCATCATCCAGAGAGGAACCATGAAGTTTCTCCAAATGTTCCAAGTTTGGACATTGTTTGAGAATACAATACAACCACACGGTCTGAATTACCCCCCCTGCGCAATCAAGAGGGGTACTCAACTGTCACAGCGCAGCTGGCTCGCAAAAAATTTTTTAATTTCTCTGGTGTAAGGAATTACTTCGCGCAACCTTTTCTCAAGAAATTTGTGAAGAGTGGTTGTATTGATTAACGAGTATTTCATCTCCAATGTCGTAATCAAAATTGACAATAATAGTTTTGAGAGATTCAAAAATAGGAACACTCTCCTCATTGCTATATGAAGCATTAGTCTCTTCTTTAACGTGTAAAATTTTCACTTCAAGTGTTTCAAGGAAGATACATTGAGACATAATTTTGAACATCTCGATGTTGTTTCAACGTTTCAAATTGTAACTTCAAATTTGTAATGAGAAATCCCAATGGACACTGTTGTACATCAATGGACATTGATTTCACTATTTTTAAATGATGAGGAACATTGACTTGAATATTTAACACATTCCTCACTCGTTGTGCCTCTACATTCACAAAATTCAATCGTTTTGAAGTATTGATTCCATATAATATCGGATGCATTTTGTAAAATTTCATAAATATTTTCCACAGTTTCAGGTGTGATAGTTAAACGAGTGGCACTTCTCAAAACACTGGTCAAGGACCATTCGCTAGTCACTGAATTCAATTGGTCTGTGAATTTGTTTTTCCAATAACCATGTTTTAATTTTTTCGAGTTTTTCTCATGCTTGTGATTCATACAACAACACTACGAATAATAATTCAATGAGAAACGGATATTTTTCTTTCACAACGTGTCGAATGAAATTGTACATGTTTTTGCAAGAAAGTGAAAGCATGAGAATTTCTCCTACATGAAGAAAATCAATGATTAATCCTAACTCATCACTACATAATAATTTGAGAAATATAAATGTTTCATTCTTTGAGAGTTTCGTCTTTCTTGATTCCGGTGATGAAAAAGTTTCGTTATCAACGAGAGGTGTCGCTCTTTTCATTTTTTGTTTGAAGATGAATGATCTGACAGGGAATGTTCACACACTCAATGGTTACGACGGTCAACTATTTTGCACAATACTATTCAATACACAAGCTCTGATGAGGTCTTGAAGAGACAAAACTTTCTAAACAAGTTATGATTTTGCTATAAAGCACATTACGGGAACTCGGTACTTCTATTTCTCATCCAAAATATTTTGCAACATTTGTGAAATTGTCTGAAACGAAGGTCGATTGTGTGGATTTTGATCCCATGCTTGCTTCATCAACTCCACCAACTTGTTGAATACACAAACAGTTTCTTTTAAGCTAAGCATGGATGGGTCTTTGTAAACGAATTGTTTGCACCATTCATATTCCTGATTTGCGTCTTTAAATGGAATCTTGGGTCTCAGTTGTTTGTAAAGAAATTGTGGTAAGAACGCCAACGAATTGTGCATGGTCGAAGAAGGTTCATTTTCAGAAAAGTAATCTAGTTTTTCTGACGTCATGTTATAGGGAGTTTCTTCAAATAGCAACTCATACATGATAATTCCAAAACTATAAACATCTAATTTCGTCAGGCGTAGATTATCAGTTTCGTCTGACCAAGTTGGTGATAAATTGTCGTCCACAAAGCACTCAGGTGCCATGTAAAACAAAGTTCCAATATTATTTGTCAGTGCTGAGTTAAACGTTTGTCCCATCATCTTGGCTAGTCCGAAATCACAAACTTTACATCTGTCTCTATCATCAAGCAAGATGTTTCCAGGCTTTAAATCTCGGTGTAAAATTAATTTAGGTTTTAAACTATGCAAATAGTGCATTCCATTTGCAATATCACAAAGGATAGAAACTTTTTGAATTAAATTTAACATTCGTCTTCCAGTTTTCAATTTTCCAATTAGAGACTCTAAACTTCCACCATTCATGAATTCTACAACCATAAATTTACGTTCTTCTGAAACAATAATGCCATAAAAAAAAACAATATTAGGGTGCCTTAGACTACTCATAATCATGGCTTCTTTTTCAAACTCATGCACGCTAGAATCAATAAACTCTTCCAATTCTACTATATTTGTGTTATCTCTCTCAATTGAGCTCGTTGAACAAGTGTCTGTTTTCAACGACTTGATGGCCACCTGGGTGTTGTTCCATTTAGCTAGATAAACCACTCCATTAGCTCCTTCTCCTATATAAGTCACAAAAAGTCAGAATTTTGAAAAACTATAAGAATCTTACCTATTCGTTTAACAATGACAATCTCTTGAGCAGATATCAAATATGATCGTTCTTGTTGAACATTCTCGGATTGGCCTCTACTACCATGCGAATTATTTGAGACCCTAGTAGCGGCTCGTGCATGAAATGTTCAGCCTCAATTAATTTTCTTTCCAACTCCCTTTCTGCTTTCTGTTTCTTATTTAACAGGCGAATCTTCTTGATTACCACAATAATTCCATATAAAATCAGTGCTCCAAATAACAATCCTAGAAAGAAGGTAAGTATGGACATTGAAATAGCCAAAGCAAGAACTAAAGTGTTAACAGGCTTGCACACAAAATATAAATTGTCAACGCTGACCTCAATCGTTTGTGAAGAGTAACATGAAGTGAGTGCTAAAGATTTCAACAAGGGAGCTTTGAGAGTGGTACCTTGTCGTTTCACTACAACGTCCAAAGAAACAGAAAATGTACTCTCGCTGTGATTCATTGGACTTTTGAAATAGACATTGTTGAAATGAACTAAATGATTCGAGATAGATGTGGAATAGAATAGTTCAACATGTTGAGAGGACGCGATAAGAGTTGGCATTTCTTCGAACCAATCCACCTGCTGCCCAAAATAGTCCCAAAAAGCAAGCTTCATATCAAACGTTTGTCCTGGATATACTGAACTCAAATTGTCTTGTACAAAAAGTGTAATGTTGTTCATAATAGGTATAGCTGCAATTAAATTTCCATAATTGTAGCTTGTACTAGTTCCTTTCAAATTAATTTTCAAGATGGATTGTTCGCTATTTACAAACACACAACCTCCTACTTGTGCATTGTTATTTACACATGTTGCATTCATCTCTCCAACAAGTTTACCCTCAATGAACATTGCTCCTCCCCAACCCTTTGCTGAGTTATTTACAAACAACACATTCGAGACTTGTAAAGGATACTTCTCCACTGCGTTGGAGTAAGATAGCAAGGAAATTGCTCCACCTCCTATGAAACCAGGAGAAGTAACGTGATTGTTGATGAAAGCACAATGGATCATTCTCAAAATCACGTTCGTTCCAAAGATTGCTCCTCCTGATTCAGACACCGTGTTATTTTCAAAATGGCAATTCTGAATGTGGGCATTTGGAGGTTTTGATGGTGAACCTTCGAGATATATTGCTGCTCCCTTGTTGGATATAGTGTTACGGACCGAGCAGGATGAGATATGTATCGAACAACTGGCTGTAAAAAGCTTCAATCCGAAAAGAAATCGCATTGCTGTTCCCTTAATATTCTCCAACGTCATTTTGGAAAAAGTGGACACTTGAACTTGTGAAAAAACAATTCCGTCATGATTGGTATTTCGAAGTGAAAGATCTGCTATTGTTGCTGATGTGCACACGGACAAGTAGATGGCTTCGTCATCTGTGGATGTCATATTTTGTATATCTACACCGGACATATAAACAGAAGTAACGGCAATCATCTTTACAAAATATGGGGCATTTCTTGCTTTAAGGTGGGAGATGAAAACTGATGAAGAGAAATCACTGTGCAATACTGAGTTTTCCCATAGGGCGTCGAAAAAGATGCATTCCTTAGAATGTGCACATCTAATGGAACTATCCTTGAGATAGGATGACCGCAAGGTAAATTGTGCCTGAACTGTCACCAAGGATTGAAATATATGAGCTTCAAAAAGAACACATCGTCCAACTTGAAAATTAAATGTAGAATCAACAATGGTGGTATTTCTTATCTGAAGGGTATCATCACTCACAGATGATGGATCAAAAACAATCGAAGTCAGTGAATGAAAGTCGCAGTTAGTAAAATTGCTAAAAGTTACATCAACCATTCCAGTAGGCTGTGGTATCTCAATTTTTGAGCTAGTAAATGAGCAATTTGATACACTATTAAATCGTTGAAATAGCATCAATGAAACATCATTAAACTGAATATTCACATATTTTGCTTCCATGAAATCCTTTCTGAAATCTCCCAAGCTAATCATAGAGAATGAGACATTATAATTGTCAAGCCCAACAAAAGTCAAAGAATACTTCCAATCATCGTAGACAGGTGTTTTCAATTTTTTAAAATTCCAATCATCATCCGACAAGCATGACGCATTGTAAAATTTGAGTACTATTGAAATCCATCCGCTTGTTTGATTGGTTTGTTTTTTCAAATTTTGAATTTCTTCATCAAGCACCAACCACGCTCGCGCCAAGGAATCACAAGGCTCATCGCTTTGAGAACAATTTCTTGATGATAACGAAGAAGAATTAGTATTAGCAACACATGCAATATAAATCGTACTGGTCAGCAAAGATGATGACAAGGATGCCATCTCGCCGTAATGATGAACATTCAGGCCTTCATTCGTGTTCATTCTCGAGAGAGTTAATCGTTGTTGTCGGTAGTCAGCAAGAACATTTTTTGCACCAATTACAACTGAATATTGGAACAGTACAAGGAGTGGTACAAAGAAGAGCAACAACAACTTGAAGACGAGAGTCGGAATTAGTTGCTTTGGGGTAGTGTGGCCCATTGGTATTTTTCTGCTCGTCTCATTCGGAGCGAGTTTGCAAGACCAATGATCTAATATTAATTTTTTCAAACAGCCAACGGAACGGAAGGTAAGCAAAGGACTTTCGATACTTGACTGCATATCAAACATGGTATCAATAGTTTAGGTGTGTGTCACGACAGCTATTGGAGGTACCGCCAAACTAATCCTGAAGGCATGCACGATCCTTAAAGACTATCTTCGGATAAAGGTTCGCTCATTTTTATGTGGCCAAGAACTTGACAACGCCTTTCTCGATGGTCCATTTCAAAGAAAAATAAGGCGCGTTTGGTTTCGCTCCTTTTTCGTATTAAGGAACAAAGGGTACAGAATAAATACAAGAAAGAAGCATGTTGAAGAAGCTATTAACACAGTTTTGGAACTCACCAGTAGGTATGTACTGCGTGGTGAATCATGCTATCTAATACGATATTATCGGAGCGAAGGACCAAAAACTACTCACTTCTGGGGACCCTTTGGTAAGTACCTAGGATACACCTCCCTTCAACGTTGTTCTCAATGGTTGTGATTGATGATCGTCAGCCAATTGGGGAATTGTGATTGCTGCAATTATGGATTATGATAGACCTCCGGAAAAGGTATCGGGCCCAATGACGTTTGCACTATGTTGCTACAGTGGAATATTCATGAGATTTGCATGGGTGGTAAAGCCAAGGAATTTACTCATGCTTTCAATGCATGTGGCCAATGAGGGAGTTCAAGTGTATCACCTTACTCGGAAAATTAGATATGAAATGAAAAAGAAGAATCAGTTGCCACTTCCAGACTCTTCCGACCCTATAGCTAACGAAAAGTAATGATTTTCAAAATTCATGTATTTACTGATGACCAAGCAAGCCTTAATAAAATAACTATCGTATTCCTTCAGCTATTTTCTCTGGACATATGTAATTAACCTATGATCTAGGTAGTGTTAGAAATATAGTGTATAATTCTACTCATCAAGCATCTTGTCATTGTCACTATGGGAGCAACTTTGTTCTCGATTGAGGATAAAAAACTCATATACTTGCTCAGTATTATTCCTTCGTTTCATCCATTCCAAATAAATGTGTGTTGGTTGAGGTCGAACCATTGTGGGCCCTTCATTAGATAAGTGGTAAGGTTTTTGCTCTTCTTTCTTTTTCTTTACTTGTTGTTCATAGTTACGGTCGTCATTCTTGTAATATTTCCTTTTTTCTTTTCTTCGTTTGTATTGTCAAGTTGGAAAGCAGCATGTGATGTCAATCCATTATTCGAGAGGATTGAAGAACGAGTCATGAACATCAACGTCGATATTCCGGTTGATGAAGTCTTGTATTTGTGTTCAAAGTTGACAACATTCCGAACGGTGGTATCGAATTCTTGATTGCTCAAAGCAAAGGATTGTTTGAGCGTACAGTCAGTCTGGTGAATGTCAAGCATTTTTTTGAAACTCTCTGAAATGCAGCTGTCACGAAGCATTGATTTGAAGTGTCTGAACATACAACTCTCACAATTTTGAAAAGTGCGCGAAGTATCTACACAGAAATAAAATTTTTGCGAGCACTGCGTGTGACAGTGGTACCCTTGATGCAGGGGGTAATCAGACGTGTGTTATTGAAGATGTTTAAAATTAATCCAAAGAAATATTTATCAACCTTGATTAAGCTTCAATTGGAAACCACCATAAGCACGAGAATATGAGATGGTTGTCAGAAATATCGGCTATTCTCCAGAGCGTCAGCATTAATGGTATGTGAAAGTTTGCATTTTCGTCGCTCCAAAATTGTTGACTTTGTTTTTTTACTCTTCTCAATCCTACTCTTTGTAAAATGTTTTCGTTCTGAGAGCTCCTGAAAAAGTCTATTAAGACCGTTAGAGGCACAATTAAATTGAAAAGTAAGCGTGTCAGATTTTGACGAAGGAATGTCATTTAGTTTCAGTACCGACGATGAAGGGGAATTGTTAACTAGGGAATCGATCAAGCAAGTCATGTCCTTATTTCTGTAAACGAAAAGAGGGTTCGTGTTGGTTGAGTCAATGTTGAGAATTGAATTTACATAATCTTTGCTTGGAAATCCCTCAAGAAGAGTGGACTCCAAAGAATCTGTGACCGTAGGAGGGTTTGCCTCAAATTTTAAAGGCTCCAGAAAGGATTCCAAGCATTCGGAAATTTGAGAAGGAGAGTTGAGGTAAATGACTGGAGTATGCAAAGACGTTGATACTATTGGAGAAGAAGAATTGGAAGAAGGAATGGAGTGCTCATCATCACCATCATTGGGAGAACTATTGGTTCTAACGTGCTTGTTGAAAATTGTTGGTTGGGAACAATGCATGGTATTCATGAGCAAACGACAGCAGACGGAACGGAAGGTTAATTTACTGAATTCACGATATGTGTGGGACGAATTCTCAATTTTCTTGATCTTTGGTTAAAACACAAGGATGATGTAACGGTGGTCGTGTAGACCGTTTGCAGTCTATTGATAGCAGGACCGAAAAAGATCAATTGCTAACTTTCAAAATGACTCTTTTTTGCTGTTGTTGTTCAGGCGTCTGGAATTGCATTTAAATCGCCCACTTCCAAATTATCAAATGCTTGCGGATGATACATTTGGATAATTTAAAGAAGAGGTCACAAAACGGACTCTTCCGAATTCATTGTTCAATCAACCCGACGCACTCCAAATTTCTGTGTTCACCCTCTTGTTGCACATGCAATATTTTTCGGTTTGTTGCTCCGAACGATTAAGTTTGAAAAAGGCCTCCACTTAAAAGGGATTGATGGAAACGATTTAGGAATGAAGACATTTAAGATACCGAGACAACTGGTTCCATTATCTATTCTGAAATGCGATTTCGCCTTAAAAGTTTACATGTTCGTTATGTTGAATACATTCAACCTCATGAAAATGCAAGCGTGTAAATACATTAAGGACTAAACACGGAAACTCTCGTATATTTGAAGAAGATAATTTATTATGTACAAGAGAATTTCACCTAAACACCCAGTATTTAAATGGATGAAATGGTGATTGGTAAGGTAGAGTGAAATGTGTGTTTGCGTTCGTTGAAGAGGCCTAGACTGTGAAAGTTACCTAGAAGCGGTAGGGTTGAAAGTGAGAGCATGAATGGTTCATCAGGTACTGGATTTAAAAATCATCGTCCAATCTAAAGACTTTCTCTCTCTTTGGCGACATAATGTTTGCCTTGGCGTATTCACCGACTCTCTTCTCAAAGAAGTTGGTCTTACCAGACACTGAAATCATGTTCATCCAATCGAATGGGTTTTGTACCATGTAAATCTTATCGTAACCAATAGAGACGAGTAATCGATCAGCAACAAATTCAATGTATTGTTGCATGAGGCGAGAGTTCATACCAATCAAGTCCACAGGCAGAGATTCTCTAATAAATTCCTTCTCAATCTCGACAGCTTCACTGACCAATGAGTGAATAACCTTTTGTGGCAATTTGGTATATTTGAGCATGGAATACAAGAGACAAGCAAAGTCAGTATGCAATCCCTCATCTCTAGAAATCAATTCATTAGAAAAGGTCAATCCAGGCATCAAACCTCTCTTCTTCATCCAAAAGATGGAACAGAATGAACCACTGAAGAAGATTCCTTCCACACAAGCAAAAGCAATCAATCGTTCAGCGAACAAGTTGTCAGAGTTGATCCATTTCAGAGCCCAACGAGCCTTCTTTTGAACAGATGGAACTGTATCAATGGCGTTGAAGAGACGATGTCTTTCTCTAGTGTCCTTGATATAAGTTTCAATCAAAGTCGAGTACATCTCAGCGTGAATGTTCTCAATGGCAATTTGGAAGCCATAGAAACATCTTGCTTCTGGAAGTTGGACTTCTGCCATGAATTGTTGGCACAAGTTCTCATTCACAATACCATCGGAGGCAGCAAAGAAAGCCAATACTGTCTTGATGAAGTGTTGCTCATTGCCATTGAGAGTGTCCCATTGAGCAATGTCGGTATGGAGATCAACTTCCTCAGCAGTCCAAAAGCTGGCAAGGGCCTTCTTGTACATTTCCCAGACCTTTGCATATTCGATTGGGAATAGAACGAAACGATGTGGATTCTCCTTGAGGAGAGGCTCTTCCTTTTGGAGTTGCTTGTAGTGAGCAAAGAGTTCAGGTTCAAGGTTGTTCATGGTGATTCAAACAAGGATTATGGATCGGAGCAGCAGGCTCGTATGATGATGTGTTGTCTTTTTTTTTCTGGTGTTTTCCTCGAGCCAGCACTCGAACTGGTTAAATTCAAAAACGGTTTTGTAAAGCAGGGAGTCAAAAATATGACCGTTACGAACGTTACATCAAATTTTAAAATTTCGTTTTCATTGTATTTTGATTTTTTGGAGTCCACGATGGCAAACATTCGCACAATTCAGTCTCAAGGAGAATCCACATCAATTCTGTCGGTGCCCGTGTCGGTCCAGGCTGAATATTTGTTTATGCACACTCTAGTCCTTGTGCGTAGATGGCGTGGAGCAAGTCTGGTATCACAACTTGTGAAAAGCACAATCCTCTGTTGAAAGGTATTCGATTTAATATTTAATATGTAAATATCACATTGTTCAGTCATAGACCTATCACAAAATTACAATAACCATGATGATGAATCCACAGATTTGAATTTTCAAAAAGCGGACACAATCAATTTGACATCGCCCTTGTTGCATTGCTTGTTATTTCCAAATTCCCAATTTTGAAGGCAAGCAGCCTCCCATCTCCTGATGGGACTTTCATCAAGAACAAAAAAAGCCTTTTACTTCTCCCTATCACATCTTCACTAATATTCTGAGAACATCATGTTAGGCGGACACCAATTTATTGATACCAGTGCCTTGTTCATGGTGAATTACACTTCGGACAAGGTCCACATCACCAAAACACCACAAGAGATGGCAGAGTCTGTTTCCGATAGAATTATTCAAATCATCAAGGAGAATGATCAAGCCAACAAGCCTACTGTTTTGTGCTTACCAACAGGCTCAACTCCAATTCTCACTTACAAGGCTCTTGTTGAAAAACACAAGAAGGGACTTGTGTCTTTTGAAAATGTTGTTACTTTCAATTTGGATGAGTACTATCCCATGGAACCAACTCATAAACAATCCTATCACTACTTTATGAATGAAAATTTATTTAATCATATTGATATCAAGAGAGAAAATGTTCACATTCCAGATGGAACTTTGAGTGAAGATAAAGTGAAGGAGTTTTGTGTGAATTATGAGAAGAAGATTAGAGAATATGGTGGTTTTGATTTGGCATTGTTGGTATGTTATATTAATTCAAATTGAATTTTTCGGACATACGTGATGATGTCTAATGATGATCCACACAATTTTGTATCTGGCGACAATTTTCACCTATTGCCGAATTGAAAATAGGGTATTGGACGAACAGGTCACATTGGATTTAATGAACCCGGAAGGTTGGTTTTACACAAAAATTCAATTTTCTTCAATATTCACATTCATTCTCCCTCAATAGCCATCTTTCAGACCAAACTCGATTGGTCTTATTGGATCAAAAGACCAGATTAGATGCAGCACAATCGTTCAAAGGAATTTCTAACGTTCCAACCAAAGCCATCACACAAGGTATCAACACGATTCTAAATTCGAAAGAAGTTATTCTCATGGCCACTGGTGAATCAAAGGCTGCCATCGTTAAGAAGGCCATGGAATTCAAATATGAAGATCCATCCGATTGTCCAGCTACATTCCTTCGTGTTCATCCAAATTGCCATTACTATTTTGATATTGCTGCTGGTAATTTATTGAAAATTGTTAAAACTCCATGGCTTATTGACAGAAATTTCAAAGATTGGACATTTGAATGGAAAAAGAAGGCAGTCATTGATTTGGCAAAGAAAACAGGAAAGGGTATTTGTGAATTGGGATCTGAAGACTTTGCTCAAAATGGTTTAACAAGTTTGTTGGCTCATGAACAATTCCATACTGACAAATTATGTTTCAGCGTTTTCCAAGATTTGATGAAAAGAATTGCATTTGCTTCTGAAGAGTCTACGATTGTTCCAGACAACATTAACGAGCCAGTTTTAATTTTCTCTCCTCATCCTGATGATGATGTGATTAGTATGGGAGCTATGATGCATTGCATTATTTCAAAGAGAAAAGAAAAATTGAGCCCTGAAGAACGTGACACAAAAGACATTAATGTGAAAGTTTGTTACATGACTAATGGATCAGTGAGTGTTCATGAAAACAATGTAAAGAATCATTTAAGATTTAGTGCTCTCACAGGCGAGGTTTTGGGTAAGGACGTCATTCACAAAGATGACGTTTCTAAAATTTTGGAGAAGCAAGACAAGAATGATCCAGACAGTGAATTACTCCAAAAATTGAAGGCAAACATTAGAAAAGCTGAAGCTATGGACGCTGTTGATGTTCTTGGATTACAAGGAGAAAGAGATTGTATTTTCCTTGACTTGCCATTCTATAGAACTGGTAAAGTACAAAAGAAGCCACTTGGTCAAGAAGATATTGACATGATTAAGGATTTGATTAATCAACAGAAACCAAAGCACGTTTTTATTGCAGCTGACCTTTCAGATCCAAATGGTATGTTCATGAATTAATTATACTGGTGAATGACAAACTTTTATTTTTAGGTACTCACCGTGTTGTGTACAGAGCTATCAAATTTGCTTTAGAGCAAATGGGTGATCAAGTTCATGATGTCACTTGTTGGTTGTACAGAGGAGCATGGCAAGAATGGTATGTTTCTAATATGTGTGAAATTTTAGGGTATTAACAATTATTGATTTTTAATTCTGTTTCATTATTCAACAATACTTAGGGATGTTGATGAAGCTACTTACTTTATTCCATTCACTAAATATCAAATGGATTTAAAGATTGACGCTATCTTTAAACATCAATCTCAAAAAGATAGAGCCTTATTCCCTGGTGATGACGCAAGAGAGTTTTGGCAGAGAGCGAAAGATAGAAACACTGAAACCGCTCGAGAGTTAGGGTCTTTAGGTCTGCCCAAGTTCTTTGGAGTTGAAGCTTATGTTGCAGTGAAGCCAGATTCCATTCCAGAATAAAAGATGATTTTTCAAAGAAACTAAAAAATGAAGAAATTGGTTGCTTGGGGCACTAGCACTTCCTCTCGTATTTGGCATCGGGACGTTTGTAGTTGGACAACATTTGAATTGATGCACAGAATACAAGGTCCTCAAGTAATGAAGAGTTCTTTCTTTTCTCTATTCAAAAAGAAAAAGAAGTCCATATCGGAGCCTTTGTTGAGCAGCGAACAGTTTGCTGACAAGTACAAAATACATAATTTTGAAATTAACGATCCGTACTATAAATTACCGTTCAATGAGGTAGCTCTTCAAGATTACATCCATCAAGAATCGGAATATTACGATCAGTATTTTACAGAGCATAAAGCAGAGGTCAAACGCGTGAAAACACAGCTGAAGGATATGCAAAAAAATTTTAAATCTAGAAATGTATATAGACACAGCGATAAACTATTGATATCAGATGTTGAGACAGCTGGTGAATGGATATTGATATCATTCAATTTTGATGAATATGTTGCTCGAATTCCTAAAAGCACTGTACCAGAGGATTTAATTTTTTCAGAGAGGTTTTACCAAGATGTTTGTGAAACATTTGAAAGACAGAACCTATCAAAAACATCATTGCATTCAAAAACTCTTTCATCTACGAATGTAAATTTAGAAGTAATATACAACAAGCATGGCTTTACGGTAGAAATTGAAAAATACGTGAAAAAGCATGCTAAGAAAATATCTAAGGATAGAAGCGTATCATACAAAATTACGAAGGAAAAGTCTTCACACTGCCTCAAATATACTGCAACAGTTGTGGACATTAACGATCGATTATTTGTGTTCGTAAAAGGAGAGAAGCAGCTACTTCACGTCATTGACGATATCCCGAATGTTTCTAATTTTGAATTAAGTCCTGAGCCTAATGGACTCGGTTTATTATTCACTACAACAGATGAAAAGCACAGAACCAGCAAAATTTTTCATCGATTTTATAGAAATTACTCGTTTGACTCTTTTGAAGAACAGTTAATTCTTGAAGAGAAAGATGACAGATTTTTCATTGACATTGGGTGCACTAAAACAAATATATTCAAATATATTTCAATTAATAGCAAGAACACAACAGAGGTGCATTTACTAGAGTCAGACGGAAATGGAAATTATACTCGCACTTGCCTTCATCGTAGGCAGAATGGAATTCAATTTTTCTTTGAATATCACAAAGAAAGTGACTCTTTTTTCATAATTTCTAACTCTTCAGAAAATACAGATTTGGACATTTACAGAGCTTCAGGATCTGATGTGAGAAGGGCTTCTTCCGAGGTAATACCAAAATCATTGATATACCGTCATAAGATCGGTCAGTCCATTCATGAAATTGATATCTTTTCAAAATACCTCGTGGTCTACATCATAGAAAATAGCTTAATCAAGTTGTTGAAATACGACATTGCCAATAACAAGTTCGAATACCTTCCCATGGTTCCAGACACTCATTACATTGAGCTTGGAGCAAATTTAGAATATCATGAAAATAGATACAGTGTGAAATGTCACTCATTGCTTCAGCAAGATCCGATCAAAGTGAGTTACAATCTTGACACCAATACTTTAGTGAATATTTTCAACTACTCGTGCAAGCATGGTACCAACGACATTTATAACCCTAATCTGGTGTGCGAATGTACAGAGATTGGTAATAACATTCCAATCAAAATACTCTATGACAAGACGAAAATCAATTCTGAGAGCAAATGTTTTGTGGTAGGCTATGGAGCTTATGGAACTCATCTCATGGAAGATTTACAAGTTTCTAGTAACACATTGTACTACTTCTATCGTCAATACTTTTTAGAAAGAGGATACATCTTTGTATTTGCCCATGTGAGAGGTGGTAGAGAAAATGGTTTGACTTGGTATCAACAAGGAATTAAGGAACACAAGATCAATAGCATGATGGATTTGAAGCAAGTGATGGACTATTTGGTGAATGTGAGACACATGCCTAGAAATTATGGAATGTTTATTGGGAGAGGAATTAGTGCTGGAGGGTTGTTGATGATGTCCACACATCTCATGTTTGAACACGAACAATTGTTTAAATGCTTGGTGTTAAAGGTACCGTTTTTGGATGTCCTTACCACCATGATGGATGACTCACTCCCATTGACAGAGCATGAATTTGATGAATATGGGGATCCAAAGAGCCAAGTTAACCTTGCGAGGATCATGATGAAATATTCACCGTATCATCTTCTTATGACGTCTTCGGTGAAGCACTTCCCTTCTCTACTGATGACTGCGAGCCATGATGATTTTCAATGCCCCATCTGGAATGTTGCAAAAACAATGGCCGTCATTCGAAGTAAGGTAGCCGGGCAAGAACCCAAAACTCACCATCACCTTGTTAAGGTTCACCATTTGGGTCATGCAGACGAAGTTTTCACAAGAACCATGTTCGATGATGTAGCAAAGGAAATTGTTTTCATTGAAAATGCATTTAAACAAGAGTGACTTCAACAAAAAAGTTTTGTTTTGTGAATAGGAAAATGTTTAATAAATTTCTAGTTTAAAACCAAGGGTAATAGATGGGATCTTTCATACATAACTTTTCTGCCGAGGATGCTTGTTGAATAAGCTCGTATACCTTGTAATTAAGTGGTGGGAGATCCAAAAGACTGGTAGCGTTTGCAAACGGAGAAGGTGTGGCAACAACAGAAGTGGTTGCGGTGTTGCTGCTACTTGCCATCGATGGTGTGGATGGAGTTGTGATTGAAGAGGGTGTAGATACTTCGCTTGTACTACTCTCAGACGTTGTCGCGTCTTTCTTTGTCTTCTTCTTCACTGGTAATGTTTGAGGTGGACTGCAGCTCAAATGAGTTGGAATGGTTGGAGCCAATTCTAGAACCATTTCAAGAACTTGATCAACATTTTGTTGAACACAACTTCGCATCAACTCGTCATTAAATAAAAATCTATTTTCTCCAATAGGTGTACTGCTCTCATTATTCAATAAATCTACATTAAAGTTGTGATACGAAATTAATTCATCTCTAATAAACAATTGCATTAAAGTTTCAAATAAATCCTTATTTTCAGAAAGAGAATAAGCAATAGCAGACATGGTGTTCAACAAATAACCTTCAACACCGAATTGAGAAAGGAATTGAGAAATATTTCTAGTGAATCGGAATGGTGTTGGATCATCTCTTTGAATAATACCACTTGCTTTGTTCATATTAGGTCTAAAATCAAATTGCATCATGTGTCCACTGTTCTTTGAAATTAATATCTTGTATGGATGTCTGTCCTTAGTATGCAAGAGATGACTGAAAATATTATAAACTCCTGATTGTACTCCAAATGTTTTTCTAATGCTATAGAATTCAGACCAACTTGGACAAGTACTTCGAATGTAGTTCAACAAAATATCATCTGGTATCTTGTCACTTTGCTCAACAAAGGTTTGATAAACATTGAGCTTATTCTCAAAATCATTGATATGAGTTTTACATGCCTTATCCATTTCCTTCCAATATTTAATGAGTGGAGTATCAATAGATTTTCCAATAGATTCACAATAATCATAGAATATATCTTCCAAGGAAATAAAATCATAATCTTTGCGTACAAGACGAATTCTTTGATTAGTAGTAATGGTGATAGGATATTCCATATGGATATTGTTGTGGCTTCTTGCAGTTCTATCCTTATCTAACAATCGATTAATGTGTCGAATCAGAGATGACACTTTCTCTTCTGTTTTCAGAGTGAGTGGTTCAGAATTGCTTGTGGATTGAATAAAGAATTTGAACACTTTTCCAGAGACACTTCTTAATGCAATAACTCTTTCATTCTCCTTATTCTTTCTACCTTTCATACTCACAGAAGGCAAAAGACAAAGAATCTTTTCATGTCTTTCTGAGAATGGTTCTCGATCACTGGTGAGCTCATATTGGCCTGGAATTTCCAATTCTAAATTAGTTCTATGCTCCAACAGTTTAGCTTTTTGATTTTCAATTCCAATTTCAGTTGGTAATAGATTAATCTTACGTCTAAAGTAACAAATCCAATGTTTAAGATTTTTAGTGAGATCCAATAGACTTCTTGGTCCTACTGCATCCATTGTCTTTTCAACGTATTTCAAAGACTTTGCCATCTCTCTTCTTTCTTTTCTTGGGAGAATATCAGCAATGACATTGCTTTGACAATCAAGAATGAATTGAGGTTTTGGAACGGGTTGATGCTGTTGAGGATTTGAAGACTGTGTGGGAGGATCTGCAAAGTATGTATCTGCAATTCTTTTTGCATGATCGGTCAACTCCTTTGGAATATGATGAAGTTCATCTTCATTTTCTTCATCGACCATACTGTCTGAGTTTTCATAAATGTTAAAAGTATATGCCTTGTCAAGCATTAATTCAAGAGATTTGGTCAATTCTTCCTCACTCTCAGATTTGTATTTGGTCAATTCCTTAAACATGCTCTCCAAATCACTGAACAGCACCTTATTACCGTCATGCATGATTTCATCAAGTTTCTTTCTAATCTTTGTAAATGTTTCAAGATAGACAGAATTAGGACCTGTTGGAATATTGGAATCGCTGCTAGTACTGATTGCTCCGCTCTTATTAATAATTGAAACATGAATATTAGCACTACTACCTCTTAAAGGAGCAGCAGTATTCGTGTTGGACTCTGAAGTACCAGATGGATTTGTGGAACCGGTACCAGTGGTTGTAGATTGATTCTTTTTAGCAATTCCTGATAATAATTCTCTAAGATCATGAACAAAACTTCTAAATGTATGGAAGGCTGCTTGTGGAAAGTTGTATAAAACAGCTTTTAACAATTGCTTGGCAATGGAAGCTTCACACTCTCTTCTATGTAACATGGTGAATAATTGTTGTTGCCATGGAATCCACATCCAAGCTGGAATGTCATTAATACATTTCTCAGCAACTCTATGAAGAGGATAATCAACATTAGAGCCACCCTTTGTCTTATCACTTGAAGCTGGTTCATCATAGGAAAGTAACCATAGTACTCGTCCAATATATTGTCGAACGGTAGCTCCAGATGCTTGAATGGTTTGATGATTCGTAGCACCTCCTGAATATCTAATGGCTAGTAAGTAGGCAGCAACACAATTTTCTGCAAATTCAAGGGCTGTCATGGATTGAGTTGGATGTTTGGTTGAATTTTGTTTTTGTCTTTGATGTCTTGTGGATGAATTCCATTTCTCTACAAATAATTTATCCAAAACAAGAGCCCATTGGAAGAAACTCTTTCCCCAAGCAGGTGTACTTGTCACAGAAGAAATGAATTTCTGCTCTTGTGGAAAGTATGAAATGGATTGAGCAAATGTTTGATAACTTTCATCATATCTTCCACAAGTGGAAAATACTTCTCCTCTCAATCTTAAAATTTCCATCTTTTGAATGGTCTTGATCTTGGTGTTTGCAATCGTATCGGATTCAATATAATCTAATACATCGTTGTATCTTCTATCTTTCATTAAACTTTTGATCACTTCAATGATACGAACAAAGACTTCACTCGTTTCACTTGTAAGTGTTGGTAAAAGCTTTCCAGTTTCTGCGAGCATCTTCAATGCTGGTTCAATAAAGTTTTGTTTTCGAGCGATTTTCGCAAATTTGTGAAGAGACCAAATGGTTTCATTGAGAAGAAGTGCTCGATGATGACTGAATTCATCTTTCTGATCAAATCTTTCGATGGCTTTCTTTAACAAGTGGCATCTCCAAGTGAAAATATCATTCCACACACTAATATCTTCATACTTGTTTGGAAGTCGATCTCTCCAAGTGGTTAAAAATCCTTTCAATTCATGAGTTGAGAGAGGCTTCTTTGTGTCATTGAGAAGAGAGGCTGATTCATTCAATTCATATAACTGTTGGAAGCATTGTAACATGGAGGTGTGATTTCCACAAACAAATGAAGGTAAGGCACACCACCGTTGAAGAGCAAGTTGTTGAGAAATTGCAAATACATCTCCAGCTTCTGCTTCTTTGTCTTGCATGATCAAATAGGAAATGTGATAAAACTTCATGAGTTGATTTTCGAGCGATTGATTCTTCTGGAATAATTCTTTCATTTGTGTCCATTGACCATTTTTCCACAAACATTCCAAATTAAAGTAACCATGAGTACCAGGAGCTGATTGAGAGAATTTAGTCAATTCATCCCATTGTTGTAGCTTTTTAGAGCAGATGATCCAATGGTCTTCCCATAATTGTAACTCTGTGTGAGAAACTTTTTTCTTAATATTTCCTTTATGGAAAGCGTTGATCAAGTCTTTGAGAGCTTCTTGAGCTTCGCACCAATTATTTCGTTGCTCTAAGGAAAGTACTAATTTGGTATGATCTGTAATATCACAGCATCTAAATATTCCACATAAAATATCATCTTCTTTCAATACTCTATAAAGTTCAGTCAGAGAATGGCATACTTTCTCAGTTTTTTCATCAAAAGATCCAGTATTAAATAGAGCACGTAATTCTTCTTCAAGCAATGGAAGAGTAAGAGACCAAGCATTGAATGACTTTCCCAAGAATTTGAGAGTTTCTGGATGAATTGATAAATAATTGAATGTGGATAGGTCTCTCTTGGTGTTCAGCACTGCATTGTTGACGCCTAACAAAAGTGCCTGTATCACATTTGGATATTTGGTGTATTGTTTAGAATGATAATCAATGGAGACCAATTTTTGCATTTGGATTTGAAGAAGTGGCTTGTCATCATTTCCCAAACAATTCCATGCCAAAGCAAAGAATTCTCCCCAAGTCTTTAACACCATATTCGTGTTACTTCGGATCAAAGTTTTGAGAGGTGCAATAAAATTCGAGATCTTGATGGATGAAATGGATTGCAAGAATGATTCATGACTTTCAAATACTCTTCTCAATTTCTCCAAAGCTGTAGATGAGGAAACAGCAATAGAATCTCCTTTGGCACTCGACGTCATTACAGGTTGAGTAGAAATGGGTGGGAACTTCGCCATCTTGGGATGACATGTTAACTTTTCCTCTTGTTCAATACATTCTAAAAGTAACTCCAATGCATACTTGATCCAAAATCGATCACTCAATGGTTCCCATTTTTGATGGTCTATCACAAATTGAAGTCTCTTTAGTACTGTTTTTTCAATCTTTTGGTTAAGAATAGAAATATATCTTGACTTGATGTCTCTCAATTCTTTGGATTCAATTTTCAGACCAGCCATAAAGCAAGATTCAATCTTTTTGGCATATGTCACTTCAGAAATTTCATCCATCTGCTGATACAATTCAGCCACTACATTAAAGTACTCTCGTTTGAATTGATTGAAATTTTCAACACCAAGATTCTTTACAGTTTCACTTGATTGTGATTGCTCGCTCAAGCTTCCCAATTTGGCAAGGAGACTCGCTTTCTGAAGGTACGATTGAACCTTGTAGGGTCTGCTCAATGTCATTGTTTGCAACCCGTCATCAAGCTGTAAGGTATAACTTCTTTGCATTTCGGAGGATGGATTTGTTCGTAACCAGTTGAGAACAATATCAACAACAAGATGGAGAATATTGTAACTAAAGGAATCCACCTTTTCAATGATAATACCAACGGTTTGAGAGTAATGCTTGAAAATCGAATCAAGGTGAACTCCATCTGCAAGGAAGGAAAGACATAATTCAATATATCCCAAGTAAATATCTCTCCAAGAGCTCTCCTGAGTCATGTTCATTGAATACTTGAGGGCTTTTGCCAACAGTGAGTACACAGGTCTTGAATACTGTTGTTTGATTTCATCACTACTGTAATGTTCACATAATAAATGTAAGAGAAGTACATGTCCAAATGATCCATAAACCAAATGCTGGCATGGATCAATTGTTTGATTTCCAGCTGGTTGTGGTAAATCTTTAGAAGCATATTTACCAATGGTCTCTTTCACAGAATTCCAAATGGTCTCATAAAACTCCTTGACATCATTGTCATTGGACTTGAGAGGGTCGAAATGTTTGAAAAGTGTCTTGAAAAATAAACAAACATTTCTGTTCACATCCACGTACGGAGTGGTGAGGAATGGAATTAATCTCTTGGCAAATTGAGCATTCAATTGAATGGTATCTCTATTCATTTCCACAAGTAAATTCATCAGCTCAAGAATACAAGATAATGTAAATGAACCAATCGTAGGTGAACTCTCTTCCGAGTTGGGGAAGAACTTTTCGGCTTGAGCCAATGATACAGGTTCATCTTTCCACAAATGGAGAGCACGTTTTAAAATTTGAATACATTCCTTGTAGAGAGCTTGTGGCTTTTCTGCTCTTGTTTGACTTACAAAAATACACATTCTAATAAGGAAGTTCAAGACAATCCCTCTGGATTGAGGTTTTAGAGTAAATTCATGAATCGGTGATGAAGCTGCAGAAACAGAGAGTGAGGTTTCTTCATCGACCTTTCTCTTCTTGGATCCACCATCATCGGATAGATCGGTCTGGTCCACCTTTCGTTTCTTTTCATTGTCGTCCTCTTGTTCGTCGTATGGTTTCTTTCTAGCTGCTCGCTCTTCCCAAGAAATGATGACATCTGCTAATTGAATATAAAGTTTCTTGTTCTCAAGATTGATGGAAGAGTAACCAATTTTCGAAAGAGCATTAATCATCTTGTAAACAAAACATTCTCTAGAGTCATAAAATGAATCTGCATGTCTAATAAATATTGTCCAAATATTTGCTAATTGATGAGTAGATGGCACATCTTCTAATAGCGTTTGTTTTGTTGATCTGATCCATTGAGGAAACTTTCCCTTTGGTTCACTCGCTAATTCTGCCTTCTTGACTGGTTGCATGACCATATCAAGCGCAGGAAGTACCAAAGATTTACTATCCTTCTTGCAATCCTTTAAGAAGGCAATGTATACGGGTTGAATCAACTTGGGAGGAAGATCAAGTTTACTCATCAAATGAGCAAACAGCACGAATGCACATTGGGCTGCAGTTATATCGTCCTTACAGCAATTGTCATAACAAAACTTGAAAATGTTCTTCTCTTTCTTTAAAACATCAAGTTGAGTCGAAGGAAGATACCTGACGAATAATGTAAGCAATTGTAACAAGTCCGTATTGATGGAATACTTTTCCTTTTCTGTGAAATGAGCAAAAGTAGGAGAAAAGAGAACCTTTTCATCAATAAATCTACGAAGTAAATCAGTGCTCAGTTTTTCTCGTTTAGCAATTCCCCTAACAATAGGAATGGCAACATGCTTGAGAATATCTGATTTCATTTGGAATGTTCCCTCTTTTTTGAATTCTTCTAAAAATTTGGTCAAGATGGCCTCCTGTCTCTTGAGATTGTATTCACATCCAACTTGAATTTCAAAGAACTCCATAACAAAGTTCAAGTCCATAACAATTCCACATCCGAATACTTTCACAATGTTAAACAAGGTATCCACTTCGTTTTCATTATTATTGCAGTAAGCAATCATGAGCTTGAGTAACTTTTTGGTAAAACGAATGCGTTGAGTATCAGTTAAATATTGCCCTTTTGATACTGTCGTGTCTGAAGAGAGATCCATGGCATTTGGATTTTGATTCAATTGTTGTATATACAATGACCATATTCTCAGAACTTGATCGAATATTTCACGATGTGTGATAAATACATTCGGATTAAGCTTCAAAATATTTCCTATTAATATGAGAATATTGTTTGGATCAGAAGCAAATGCTTGAGTTTCAGTAAATTCTATACTGTTCACACTGCTCAATAGAGTGACTATGACATTAGGATGTGTGAACAGATATGCTCTCAAATCAGTGGCTTTTCTTGACTTTAGAACCTCTAAAATAAAGTTCAAAGTTCTCTTTGTAGAGAGAGCATAGCAAACTTGTTCTCCACTTGTCTCAAATAAGAACTTGATGGCTTGTTCTGGATAAATGTTCAAATATTTGGCTAATGGGGCAATAAAAGGATTTGAGTTCTTAATTTCATCGGACCATACAGATTCTAAGAGTATAACCAATTTTACAAGAGCTGGTAATTGTTCCGATGTATCTGGAATGATTGAAAATAGAGCAACTATTTCAGCAGCAATAATTGGTTTTTCTTTTTGATTAGCAATATGTTTGATTTGTTGCTTGTCAGCCCACTTCTTTAAATGCTCCAAGAGAGTGGATGCTACCTTTGAGAGTTGAGTTTGAATCTGAGAGTTCACTTTTAAGAAAAAGGCAGCATTTTGCAGAAAAGTCAAAGTCAGTTGTGTGTACTTGGATAAATTTGTGCTGAGTTGTCTCAATGCTTGCTGAAGAGAGTCTTTAGGTGGTCTGAATTGTGAAATGTATGTCAACAGGGCTGTCTTTGCAATGGTAACCACGTCCTTGTTTGTGGCTACTAAAAATTTGCAAATAGTTTCAATCATGATTTTCAATTGCTCCTTATTGGTATCCTTATCATTGTATCTAAGTTCTTTGCTCACAATTGCTTCTCTTAATAATTTGAGAGCAACTAACTTGGCATTGAGAAGTTTTTTCTGATCCTTTGTATCTTTTGAATACAGTTCATCGTTTCGTAAAAGATTAAGTGCCTTGGTAAATTGAGAGGAAATATACTGTCCAGGTACATTATTATCTCTTGTTGAGAGTTGAAGTACTGAGTATTCCAAGGATGTAGTGATGATACTAATATCTTTTTTTCCAGTTCCATCATCTTTTTGTTCCTTTTGACTCTGGGTAGCATCTGGCCTAAATCTATCAATAATGGATGAGAGTGGAATGTTCATCATATCGGAACAAAGTCGTAAGAGAGATTGTGCAATCTTTCTAATTTGACTTGAAGGAGTTGAAAGTTCAGAGCAAATCAAAGCCAAAAGTGATCTCTTCTTGAACACAAGGTCCTTTCCCATTTTCTCAGCATGAACAACATGTTCACCTTCAGCAAGAGTACTCGAAGGAGCGGATTGTATGTATTCAACCTTTTCATAAAAATTATTGCTGAAAAGTAAAGAAAAGTCCAGCAATGGAGTGTTGTAACAGGCTCGAACCAAACTCTCAGCGGCCATAATGGTGATTTGAGTGGTGTGAGGAGTCATGTGAACTGGTTGATTTTTCAAAGAGAAGAATAGACCTTTTAGCATATCGCTCTCGTAATGAACAAGCCATATTGGAGTAATGTTTTCACACAAAAACAAAACGCCTCTTGCTCCAACGCACTTCTTGTACCATTCTGGTTGATAGAGGAATTTTGTGAATCGTGATTGAAGTCTCTCCCAAATACCAAATTGTATCACCAAGTCTGGATCGTCATTACAAATTTCATAAACATAATCTGTGAATAAACCAAGAATGAAATCTCCAACATTGACATTTGGAGATGTTTCTGTACAATCCTCTTCATAAACGTCAAGAAGAACCTCATAGAACCAATCATGGTTGATTCTAAACTTGGAAGGTTCCTCATAATTATATGAATTGAAAATGGCAGTAAGAGCAAAATGTCTGATCAAATTCTTTGTAAATTCAATACAATCAGTAAGATTCTCCTTAACGGCATAACTCATGAATAAGAAAATACTCTTTAACACCTTGTTGAACATTGCAATCTCTCCTTCATATCGCGTAGTTGTCTTACACTCCTCAATATTAACTTCATCTTGGTAAAAATTATCAATCTTTGGAGATGATGCTGAAATGTGGAAATATTTCTTAATTGGAACATGTTTGGTGGTAAATTTGAAATCATCTTGCACACCAAGGTGTTCCTCTGTTGTAGATATCATTGAAAGAATGCATGTTTTCAAAAACTCAAAGGCACTCTTCTTTGTTTGGATATCATTGTCTCTATCTAGACAAATATCCACAGATAAATCTACCAAGTCGTCTGCTGGAATCATGGTAGACTCGTCATACTGTTCTATCATGTTATTATTTCCTTTGAGATTGATATTAAAGAAAAGAGAATTTGCATATTCTTTGGTATGCACTGATGTTAGTTCACTCATATATTGTCGATGTGTGCCTCCTAATTTTGCAAGTAATCTCATTGCAGTTGCTCCATTGGCATGATGTTGAGGTTTTAGATGAGTAAATAATGCTTTGAGAAGGTCTGGAATGACAGGTTTCAAAATTGCTTCCAAAGATTCGTTACGTAGACTTGTCACCCACAAGTCCAGATTTCGCAATGCAGCTGTTGTTGCCTTCTCACTAGAACCGGGTTGCAAGGCATATAGAATGGGTTTGATCAATAAATAAAGGTAAGGGCATAACACGTGTAACTTAGAGGGAACTGTTAGACAAAGCTCAACAAAGAGATTTCTTGTTTCTTTGTCATGTGCGTTATTTACCAAATCAGAGAGCTTTTCTAACACCGTTGGAAGTAATTGTGCAAATTCCTTGCAAAGTAAATCAAATTTCGCTGATAAGATGGAATTAAAAAGAGACCGTAAAATCAAATAATAATCCATGCACTCCTTGAATTTGTTGGCAAATGTAAAACATGACGTTACAATTGAAGTCATATGATTCTTCAAAACAGTCTCATTCTTTGGAAAGGTAACAGTGGATCCAAACACCAGTTTAAACAAATTATGCATATACTGAGATTCTTTGCGATCCTTTGCTATTTTGTCCATTCTTTTCAATAAGAATTTGAGTAAAATTTCTGAAAAAACAGAAGCAATATTTGGATTAGATGATAAAATATTGGCTGGAATGTGAATAAAAGTCATTGGTCTTCCATCCAACAGCTTTTTGTAGAGATATTCAAATTGGGTTTTAAACACCTCTGTGAAAAGTGGAGCTGAAAGAGATGTGTACAGAGAGGAATAATTGTTAAAAATGTCCTTCTCCTCTTCAGCTACTTTTTGTTTGGATATTGACTCAACATTAACCTGATCTTCGCTAACCAAGTTATAAATATCAAAGCAATCAAGTCCGTATCTAAAAAGCTTATTCAAGAGAGGCAATTCAGGGAACTTGGATCTTTCATCTCTTGGCACTGATGTGAAAACAAGTACGATCGTCTTCAAGCCAAATATGAGATGTTTAAACATGGTGCAGCAGTATGTAATATCGTTACTAAAATTCTCGTTAAACTTGTATGGACTGAATGGTAATATCATGGCATTGTCATTTGCATTTTCCTTTTCAGTTGATACTGGTTTTTTCTTTGATATCTTTTTGATGAGCTTGGAAAGATATTTAACCTTCTGTACAAATGCTCTGATAATACTCAAAAGTATTTCTTTGAACTTGATGATGTGTGGCAAATTCACTAGTTCCGAAATATTGGTACTCACAGGTTCTGTTGTAGAGCCATTTTCTGAGGTTTGTTGTTGTAGTTGAATTTGAGCAGCAATGTTTTTGTAAATGGTTTGCGACAGTGAAACTAGTAATCCTACAGCCAGTGCATGAATACCTAATCCCAAAGAGGTGTCGTATAATAACTTAGTGCAGAATGTTGTACATGAAGACATTTGTGTTGGAGTGAAATCTATCTTGTTTTGATTAAAGTTGAGTATTTCTAAAACTGTGGAATATGCTGATGATCTAACAGTTTCAGAAGCAGATCTACTTTTTCCAATTAACACTGAATCATTCATCATGTCATTCATGTAGGGCATAAAATGAGAACAAATTCCACTTAGATGATCATTTTGAGTCAAAGGAACTTCAACAATATGTCTCATAATTAAAAGCATCTCCTTTCTTGGTGTAATGCATTCATCAGGACATTCTTTCAAACATTTAATGACAAATCTAGGAATGTCTTTGACATAGACATTGTCATTTTTCTTATCCACATATTTGGATGTATAAATTAGGAACGATATGGTTTTAACTCGTAAAAGCATAAAATCCTCAACTCGCTCCTTTCCAACAGCGGATGCCATGACGTCATCAGAAACTGATATATCATAGTTGAAAATATCATGCACTTTCTCGAACAAAGTAGTAAAATTGATTGTGTCTTTCAAAGGGCTGCTTCTAAAGAAAAATATAATAAATATAGGTAATTCTAACATAAATTTGCAACTTTCTATGCACGGAATTAGATAATCTTTCGTATCATAAACCTGATCTGATGGCTCTGTAATAATAGCGTCTCCGGTTGATAAATTGTTTCTCTTTGGCTTTCTTCCCAAATATTTTTCTATTGTTTTTTCGAAATTTGCATAAAATTGAAGAAAAATGTCTACTAGAGGTTGAAAAATAGTTGGAAGGCTGGTTTTGAATGATTTGTGAATGTCAATAATGAGTCTAATTGCCACAACTCCATTCAGCTCGTTGTCTGTTTTTAGGACTTTGAAAAGCGAATTCATGAGCAGAGTTAGTTCCTCTCTTCTTCCATTTCTCTCTTCATATAACTATTTAAATGAGTGACAATAATTATTTGTTGATATATAGTTATCAAATTCGGTCGATTGTTCGGTGATGACTGTTAAAATTAATAGAAAATAAAACTTACTTCTGTGTGTGGCAATTTTTGAATAATTTCAATGATTACTTGACGAAGTAAATGATCTTTATCATCTTTCCTGAATTTAGGCTTTACTCCATCATTTAAGAACTCTAATAATGGTTTTAACATGGTAGAAGCAAAGTCAAAGCATTCGGGAAGTGAAGCACTCTCCAAATGATCACGCAACTCAATTAACAACTTAGTTAGGTTAGCAGTGTCTAGAGAGTGTAATTGTCATCGGATGGAAAGCTAATCGATCGAAATCAACCTACCGTTCGCGTTTTTGAGACTTTCGAAGTTTCTAAGATAGGTTTCAAAATTTAATGTCTGGGCAGCTGGCAATCCCGCAGAAGATGATGATGATGAGGCTTGAGCCTGCAGGTGTTGATCATGGCTGCTCATTTTTTTGGTGGGAGTTTGAAAATCGATTTTGTTGTTGTTTATTGTTATTGTGTAAATCATCTGTTTGAACGTGCCTTCTTGAACGCATGTTCTTCCAATCAATGAAAGAACAACAAAAGAATAATAATAATAATTTTATTTATTTACTTTTGATGATGTTTTGTGATGATTTAAAAAAAAATGAAGCGGCTTGTTTTTCATCGCTCTGCCTGTTCTCTGAACAAGACACATCTTCTTCTTCCGCAACATTCTTCTTCAACAGTAGCCATTCTACTCTCTAGTCATCATCAACAACAACAAAATTTTAGTACCAGCTCTTACTCAAATGAAGGAGTTAGACAAATTGAATTGGACGAAGCAAGCAAGAAAAAACTTGCCAACAGGAAGCTATCTCTGAAGGATATTCATAAACTCATAGAGGACAACATTGCAAGAATTAGAGGTGGTAGGGCCAATTACGATGGTTCAGATGTCTATCAAGCCGCAACATCACAAGCCGACAAGCCTTCCAAAGCAAAAAACATTTCTCCCGAAGCACCATTCCAAGCAAATTCCAAGGACTCTCCACAAGGAAATACATGGTATGATTACTATCGTTATATAGAACGAGCTGATAGCGATGTGTTCAATCATCACTTAAAAACTCCAGTCAACGCCAATTCAGCTGGATGGCTCTACAACAAAGCACCAACAAGTCATATGGAATTCATGAGCGCTATGGATCAATTTTCTGAGATTGCTCAAGATTGGAGAGAAGGTAAACTTGCTGGTGATGATATTCAACACCGTAAAATGATGGAATATCAATTACATCAATTACCTCAATTCAAATCTCGTCCTCCAGATCCATTCGCCAACAACCAACATTACGTTGAAAAGATTTCATACAAGAACCCAAATCTCCTTCTCAAGTTTGTTTCGCAAACTGGACGTATTATTCCAAAGCGATTTACTGGTGTTAGAAGAAGAACTCACAAGAAGATTCAAGACGAAGTTAAAAAGGCTCGCCACCTTGGTCTTCTTTCTTTCACTGGAGCTTCTCTTGAACAAGGAAACTTGTTGAACCAAATTGAAATTCCTTACATCTCCAACCAATTTAATCTCAGAAATCGTACTGAAACTCACTTGACCAAGTCTCAACAAATCGATAACACCAAATTCTACCTTGATAACTTGTCAAAGAATATTAGTACATCTGGAAGCATTGAATGGATTCCACCAGAGAAGGATAGAAACCCACGTGTAGGCATTAAGAGTCAAAAGGCTCAAGTCGAGGGTCATTTGAAATCACAAGTGGAAAAGAAGAAGGCACTTATCCGAAAATTGAGAGTGGAAAACGAAATTTTGAAACAAAAAGAACAACAACAATAAACAACTGGAGCAATACTGTACTCATTGGCTGTAATTCTTGCACTCTTCAACTACTTGCTGACACTCAGTACTAACCCCTTAGCTAAGAACGCTGTTAACTTTAACTCGTGCACGAATCTATCATGATGCCGCTATCAACAACTCCACATCGTGTCACCCTTTTTTGTTGCTATTCACTTGTCACTGAAATCCTTTTTAGCACTAACCGCAAAGTCTCAGAGTTCATTCACAACAAAAAATTCAACACAAGTCATCATCGTTCAAGACAACAACACGATGATGAGCACATCAAAATTACTCGTTGGCTTGTTGTTGGTGGCCACTTGTGTCATCCTTGCTGTATTACCAACAGAAGCCCGTAAATTTAGAGCTGCAAGATCTGTGAAAGCTGTCAACTCTGTTTTACAGAGATGTCAATCCGTTGGTGACCCACACTATGTTTCCTTCACTGGACGAAGATATGATTTCTATGGTGTAGGTGACTATGTTTTGGCAGAAACCGCTGACAAATCATTCATTGCTCATGCAAGAACTGGTAAATGGAAAAAGTAAGTGTGTGATGATCATTCAATCCTAACACTCAACATTACCCTCCAATATATGAATTTCGTGAAATTCACTGTTCATGATCATTCCTTCTCAATGAATGATTATTCATTGCTACGTGCTCTTACTCCTCTTTAAATTCACACAACATTCATAGAGTATCGGTCAATACTGCCTTTGCTGTTAAAATCAATCAAAAGGACACCTTTGAATATGATACCAAAACCAATTCATTCTATTTGAATGGTAAGCAAACCAAAGTGAGTGTTGGTCAAACTGTTCAACTCTCTGGCTCTGCCACTGCAAAGAGAGTATCAGCCAACTCGCTCATTGTTTCTGCAAAGAATGGAGCTCACTTGACTGCTACTTGGCATAGAAATCCAGCATTCAGAAGTAGATATGGTTCTTTTGGACACATTTCATTGATTTTGGATGCTCCAAGAAGTTTGAAATTCTCATCTGGTTTGTGTATCTCTCGAGAATATCTTTCCCGAACGGCTCGAGGTGTATTGCACAATCATGTCCATCGAAGAGTTGAGAGAAGAGTCAAACCAAAGAAACCAACCAAGAAACAACTCAAGAGAGCTCGTAAAGCTTGTAGAAAGGCTGGTTTGAAGAAGAAGAAGAATCCAAATGCTTTCCATGCTTGTGTTGCTGATCAAATTCTTGCTGGTAAGAAACTTGGTAAGGATTTCGCCAAGACCATTGTCAAGGTTGAAAAACTTGAAAAGAAGAAGAGTAAGAAGTGGAAGAAGCAAGCCAGAAAGATCATCAAGAAGG